CGATACGTCTTGCGGTAGTGCCTAAATCTAGTCGTGTAAGTAAGGTAGGAAAATGCCAGCAGTGTGATCAATTAAATTAAAGGCGTAAGGAAGGAATGGAATGTGGTAAATTAAGTATTATTGCGTAGAAAGCTTGGAAATAACTAAGGTGTAAAGAGTGCTGCTTGTAAATCTGTGTAAGTCTGTGTAATTGATGATAATCTTACAATTTGAGGCTCTAATCGCGCTCTTATATAGAAGCGCAGAAAATCTAGTCTAAAGCTGACTCATCCTAGCCTAAAGCAGCCTGTGCCTTTTCCATTCACCACGTTAGCACGCTAGCATTGTTGTTGTTATTTGACATTGTAGAATTTGGTAGGGTTGGTGTATTGGATTAAAGGCAAAAGCGTGCTGTATAGCAAGCTTATTGAAAGAGGCTTCAAAGTTGTAATAGGTTGCAAGACTTGGGTTGGCAGTAGGATAAAGGCATAGGGGTAATTAGTTTGACTGACTTATACAAGGTGGCTAATTGGCATGGGTTTTGAGAGAGAAGGCAGTTGCAATAGTATTGCTAGTAAATTAGGTAGGAAACTGTCTTGAGTAGCTTTTTGACTAGAATGTATATTAAAGCCTACCTTTGTAAACCTTTAGGCAAGTCTATTATGGTTTTTAACTTAGGGCTGCCTAGCAATTCCTACGCAAGCCTTTTGCAAGGACCTTGTAAGACTGTTGACTAGGCTAGCTAGACTTTCCTATCTTGCAAGGTAAGACTATACTAATTATAAGGCTTTTTAATTAAAGGCTGCGCTTGCGCTAATTACTTAAAGCTACTTTATGTAGCAGACTAAGCTACCTTGGCTACTAGGCTTTCCTAGGCCTTGCGCGTGAAGGCTAGGGCAATATTAACCCTTGGGCTTTTAAGGCGTAACACTAGAAAAGGTTATTGCAGCTATTAAAAATAGTCTTGCAAATGCTGCAAGTTTAGCATTCCTTGACTTAGGCTATAGCAATGTAGCTAGAGTTGTTGCAAGAGTTAACAGATTGCTAGGACTGGTTTGATTAAAAAAAGGCTACTAACTTGTTATTAAAAGGCTTTTAGGCTAAGTTAGCCTTGTCATGTTGGTTAAAATATCTGCAAATATCTTAATTATTGCAGTTGCTATGCTAATTATGCTAATTATAGGTATAGTCTTTGTCTTAGATATTACTATTATAAGGTTAGTTGCAAAGCTAAGTGTAGTCTTTGTTGCAATTTTAATTGCAGTTATAGAAATTTAAATTGCTTTTCTAATTGTTTTTTTAGTTAGTATAACAGTTGTTATGCTAGTTGCTATGCTAGTTGTTGCATTAGTTGTTATACTAGTTGTTACGTTAGTTATTATAGCAATTGTTATGTAGATAGTTAGACTAATGCTAAGAGAATTTGTTATACCAAGTATTAGCTTTGATTTGCAAAAGTGGGATTTTTTTTTTAATATCTTGCAAAAAGGTTAGATAGTTAATGCTTTCTTTAAGAAAGTCAATTAGGTTTCAAATAGCTTAATCAAATCCTTTTTATATAGCAGTGAAAAGATTATTGTCTACTTGCCTTTCAATAGCCTTGGCAAGGCAATGCTAGCGTTGTATATACTAGCATAGGCTGCTGTGATTTTCAAAGAATTTGCATAGCAAGAAAGACATAGCTTTAAGCTTCTAAAAGCTTGTTATTTGGTTAGGCTTAAAATGCTTTTGCAAGTTTGCAATAAATTAACCTAGGTTGCTTTTAAAAGCATTGCAATTAGCTAGCATAAGCTTGTTAGTATACTATAATAAAGCTAGGCTATAGAGTAGCGTTAAGATTAGGCTTGTAAAGGCTGCTTTGTCTTCTGCCTCTTAGAAAACTTCTAGTTGGTTGGAAAAAGCAAAAACATTAGTGTAAATATTTAACTTGCCTTTAGTAATTATCCTATCCTTGTTAAGATTCTTTATGTTAAGGTTAAATACCTTAACGTTGTCTTTTTTTAGACAATAGCTAAAGTAGTTGTTAAAAGTGCTAGCTAGAGTAGTAAATTGCTCTTATTGCTAAAAAGCTAGGCTATCCTAGTTGTAAAAGGCTAGGCTTTCTTAAGTGTAAGCCAAAGTGCTGCAAAGGTTTAACTAGTTGTTAAATTAGGTTTGCTAAAAGCTACTATGCTAATCAAGGCAAGATTAGCCAAGGCAAGGCTAAGTAGTTGACTAGTGTTAAGCCTAGTTAGCTATATCAAGGCGTTTTTTAAAGCAATCTATATGCTTAGAAAAGGCGTTAATGTAAGCGTTAGACTTTTTAGCCTAGGTTATTAGAAAATCTAGCTTTTTTATAATCAAGTTGTTGCAGTTAAAGGTTAAAGGCTTAGGTTCTTTTTTCTTGTTATTTAAGAGGCAAAAAAAGTCAGACTTGCGCTTTAACTTATGCTTTTAGAGATTGTTGTATAGGTTATTCCATATAAAGTTGCCTGCTTTAAAAGATTCTAAAAGTTAAGTCTTTTAACCTATTATAGTTTTGTCGACGTTGTCTAAAGCCTTAAAGCTTAGAAAGATGTCTTAAAGCTTAGGATACGCTTTAAAGATGTCAATATCTAGATTAAATAGCCTTTTATTGTAATAGCTTTTCTAAATCTTTGCAATATCTTTGTCAAATTAGTTAATAACTTTAAATACCTAAAGGTTTAAGGTGTAGTATTAATTGCTTAATTTGCATAACTAGTTATAGTCTTTGTAATAAAATTAAGCTACAATATAGATAGCCAAAAGCTAGTTATTGGTAAGCTTGTTGCATAAGTTATTGACAATGTTGTAGTTGTTGATTAGTAATATAGTGAATAGAAAAAGCACAGGCTGCTTTAGGCTAAGATAAGTCAGCTTTAGACTAGATTTTCTACGCTTCTATATAAGAGCGTGATTAGGGCTTTAAATTGTAAGATTATTATCAATTACGCAGACTTACACAGATTTACAAGCAACACTCTTTACACCTTAGTTATTTCAAGGCTTTCTACGCAATAATACTTGATTTACCGCATTCCATTCCTTCCTTACGCCTTCAATTCAATTAATCACGCTACTAGCATTTTCCTACCTTACTTACACGACTAGATTTAGGCACTACCACGAGATATATTAAGGCTAATCAGAGTCATCTAACTAGTCACATGCGCTAGAGGTAAGGAAGAAGCACAATTCCACCCGCCTGCTAGCTAATCACGTAGCTACTGCTGTTAAAGCCTATGCCTTAGCAGCAGTATACCATGTTAAGAGATAGGTAGGTAGGTAGTTTTGTGTCTCTCCTCCTTATTAATACGCTGCTGTTGTTAAGGTTCTTGTTCTTATAGTTAGAGTAGTACTGATTAGCGTCTAGTTGATTGTTAGAAAAGTTGCTGGCAAGGCTAAGAGAGTTTCTAGGTTAACGGCAGAAAAGACTACCTAAGTGGGCAAGAGTGGCAGGGTTTGCCATTGATAGTCTTGCTTGCATAGGCAAGTGTTTAGGAACTAATTAAGCTATAGTAACCAGTTAGATTAGTAGGTTTAGCGTTAAAGGTAATAGCAACGTAGAAGGTAAAACAACGTAAAAGTAGTGTAATGCAATGCAAAGAGTTAAGAAAGAAAAGATCTTCTTTGCAAGTAAGTTGGCAAAGAAGGCAAGAAAGCAGTAAATATGCAAAAGACTTGCTAGTAAATACGCAAGAGGCTTAGGTATTTGAAGGTTAGTAAATACTTAAGTAAGTATTTAAATGTTAGTAAGAAAAGGCTTAAATACTTGACAGGTTGGGCCTAAATATTTGACAGGTTTAGTTAAAGCAGGCAAGTAAATAGTGCTTTACGTGTAGATTAGTCTAATCAATGCGTTAAGGGCTTGCGTATAGCTAACGCTATTTGCAAGCTTTTGAGGTGATTTTGGTATTGCTAAAATCAGCAAAAATTGAGGTTTTTGGTAGGTTTGGTTTGTATTATAACTCCAACAAGTATATCCATGCTACTAATTTATAGCGCGTTGGCAGGAAGCTACTTTAATAGCAATCTGGTAATATTGTACAAAGTAAAAGTGGTGGTGATATTTGGTAGTTTCTATGCAAAAGGTGCGTAGGCTTTGACTAACCTATGCTAGCGCATAGGCTAGGTCATAGGCTACTAGGGCTACTTTAGGCTCTGCCTTTACTGTCTATTTATAGCCAGTAAAAACTATCCTTTCTACCCTACCAAGCCCTACGCATTAGCATAGCTTTTAATTGAAAGGCTTTGTAATTAGTATAGTCTTACCCTGCAGGGTAGAAAGGCTTAGCTAGCCTAGTCGACAGTTTTACAAGGTTCTCGCAGAGGGCTTGCGTAGAGACCCTAGGCAGTTTTGAGTTAAAGACTGCGATAGACTTGCCTAAAGGGTTACAAAGGCAGGCTTTAATATATGTTCTAGCCAAAAAGCTACTTAAGACAGTTTCCTACTTGATTTACTAGCAATACTGTCGCAACTGCCTTCTCTCTCAAAACCTATGCCAATTAGCTACCTTGTATAAGTTAGTCAGACTAATCACCCCTATGCCTCTATCCTGCTGCCAACCCAAGTCTTGCAACCTGTTATATGTTGCGTATTTTGCATACCTAGGTTTTTTTTATGTTTTACTAAAATGTCTGCTAATGCATAAGCAGTAGCTTTTAAACAAAAAAGGCAAGTGAGAGTGTAATGTAATAAGCTAAGGCTTGCAAGTCTAATCTAGCAGCTAGCGACTTTTTAGCAGCTGCTAAATATCTCAAATATATGCACTTGCAAAGCTAATGCCTTTGATAGTAGCGTAGTGCATGCACCTACGCGCGCACTTTTTCTTCCCTTTGTTTGGCAGAGTTTTCCTCCTCCCTTTTCTCTTCTTTCTCCCTTAGTCAAAGTAGACAATAGTCTAAGCCACAATTCGATTTACCTTGCGACTTGTCAAGCCTTTTGCAAGTAGCAGTAGTAAATGTCAAAATCTAGTAGCTTAATCTACTTCCTAGCCTAGGTTAAATCTATTGACTTTTGTCTACACAGTACAAAGAGCTCTAAGATTGTAGTGTGCTTCTCTCTCTAGCGATTACGGTAGCTTCTTATCTAAACTCGTCTTAGATAAGTGCTCAAAGGCTCCACTAGCAATCCTCCTCCAGACATTCTCCGCAGACCAAGTTGACCCGTCAAGACTATACCCAAGATTAAGGAGATAGTATGCAGAGATAACAAAGATAATCAAAGGAACAGAAATGGCAAAGTACACCCAAAACCCCTCCTTCCCTGGCGCGTAGGGATCTGCCATACTGAACAGCGACGCAGTGTACGCTAGGGGGATGAAAACCAGCCCAACAAACGTTAGAGCCCTCGCGCTCCGCGCCTCACGGATTGACCTCTCCGCCGCTTGCAGTGCAAGTTGCTGCTCCCGAAAGCCCTGGCGGTTACCCGCGATGCTTGCAAGGCCGGCGCGAGAGTGGCTGATCATTTCGGCGCGGAGGCGCAGGTCCCGGAAGCGCAGGGCCAAGTACTGGAAATCGGCAGACACATCGTCCCAGCCCACGACGCGAGAGGTGTCAGGTTCCGCGAAGGGGATGCGCAGCTGCAGCATGTTTGCCTCGAGGTAGCCAATGTACTCGTGCATGCGCCGGCACAGCGTCTGCGCGTCGCTCCACTGCGCCTCAGCTTCGGCGATGTGGAAGCCCGCGAGATGTGCCAAGTTGGAGGCCTTGGACTCAACGGCGGACATGATCTCGCGCAGGTACCCCGCGTGCATTAGGAAGTGGCTGGCCGCAATCTTGGCGGCTAGCATTGTCACGCAGGCCGGGTTTCTCAAGTCAAGAAGCGGCGCCACGCTGCGCAGATAGAAGGTGAGATCGGCGGCCATGGATGTGCGTGGCGGGCCCGACTTGCGTTCCATCTGGTGTTCAAGGGGCGTGAAGTCGAGATAGCCACATGGGAATGACGGCTGTGGCATACTCACTTGCTCTTGAATGCCGCCATCGAAGATGCGAATGCTCTCGATAGGGGGGTCGCATAGGATTAAGCCTGGAAGGCCAAAGTTAGTTGGAGCACATGGGCAATTCGGATTACGATGTGATGGCTCACAGTCCCATGAATCAACCTCGGCATGTTGCCGATGCCACACAGTACACTTCCGCCTAGCCATGCCGACATCGTGAAACTCCCCGTATGTCCTTGTCACGCCAACATGTCGGTATGTTGCAGTGCAGTGTACGTTGAACTGTCCTTCACCAAGCTGGGGCAGCCTGACTAATTCCACGTAGTTGAGCCCAACATAGTCTCTGGTGCAACCACTAGCTGGTAGAGCTAGAAGGCTGGTTGGTTCAAGTCGAGGAAGGACCTTGGAATGGTGGCTCCGTTCATGTTCAACAAACATGGTCGGGTGGATGTTGTAGTATACGCCTAGAACCTCGATAAAGTCTGGGCTTAGGCCTTCTAGGATGACAACTGTTCGGCACCTAGGGGTAGGTGTCTGACGATTCTGCAAGATCTGGCGTAGTGCCTCGGCGTCGGTATATGTAGATGGCTCCGTGAATCCACCATCGTTTTGTTGGTGGAGGATAAGAGCCCTAGGTTTCCCGCTAGGCCACACGATCTCACGCTTCTCGCTCTCAAAGTCGCGGTGCTGCAGCCGTGGGTCTGCGGCACTGAGGGAACGAGCTAGTTCTCTGTATGGTCCTTCTGGGGCCAACCATTCGCAATAGGACGTCTTGAGTGATGGGGACCCCATACCCGGCGGGTAGAAAGAGACGCCCGCCATACTCGCCATACTGCGAGCCGTGCTGTGATGTGATGGAGCCGTGCTGTGATGGATTGAGAAATGGAGCCACAGGTCCAAGGAGTTTTCATAGGTAGGTACCGTGTACCCTAGTGTCTGCTCAACTCTTGGAGGTCTAACAGCAGTACTCTAGTCGTGGAATCGGTTGCCTAGCCTAAAGCCTCTCAGCTGGAAGTAGGCGTGAGGCTGAGGCGCTTAATATATTGCTTACTTATCTCGACGCTACAGCGGCGCAAGGCAGACCTCGAGGCGTTTTTTTGCGCTTAAAATCTTCCCAATCAGGCCGCACCAATCAAGCTGCAGGTAGCCTTACTTTGGACAGAGAAGCACTCGAGCTGAGAACACACGGGATGGGTAGCGGCTTGGCGACAAGAGTCTCTCGAGCAACAGATCCAACGAAATAACCGGGATCGCGACCCCAGCACTTCTGGAGAGGGACCTTTCTCAATTCGACATCGATGAGCGGTTCAAGTGGGCGGAGACACGGCGGACCACCCAGGAGGAAGACTGGGCGTATTGTCTCCTAGGGATTTTCGGTATATTCATGCCACTTATATATGGCGAGGGGAGGGAACACGCAGTTCGTCGGCTCAGAAAAGAGATTGCTGATGCTACGAGCCGCGACGATGCTAATCATCAAGGGGGGTATGTTACCTACACCCTTTTCTTTTAAATCTACTTTAACTAAGGACCGTACTTGGACGCTAACGAGTTGACCCTAAGGCCATGAAAGCAAAGACGACCGCTGCCTCGCCGACCTGCGTCTTACTGATCCTCGCCACGACAAGACACGCATTGAGCGGATCAAAGGCGGCCTCTTGCAGGACTTGTATCACGGGATCCTCGACAACCCCAACTTTCAGCAATGGCGCGATCGCCCAGAGAGCGGGCTGCTCTGGATCAAGGGCGACCCCGGCAAGGGAAAGACCATGCTGCTCTGCAGTATTATCAACGAGCTGAAAAAATCCACCCAGCCTGTATTTTTGTCCTTCTTTATCTGCCAAGGCACCGACTCCCATATCAACAGTGCAACCGCCGTACTGCGCGGCCTCCTCTACCTGCTCATTGACCAGCAGCGGTCCCTCCTCTCCCACGTGCAGAGTGAGTACGACCGTGCAGGCGAAACCCTCTTCAAAGATGCAAATACCTGGGACGCCTTGTTGTAAATCTTCACCAGAATCCTGCGAGAACCAAGCCTGAAGGCGACTTACATAGTCGTCGACGCACTTGACGAATTCGTGTCAGACCTGCCACAGCTTCTCGAGCTGATCGCCGAGAAATCATCTGTATCGTCAAGTGGATTGTATCTAGTCGCAATTGGCCGCAAATTGAGGAATGGTTGGAAACGGTCGCGCAGAAAGCCAGGCTGAGCCTTGAGCTAAACGCCGAGTTAGTCGCCACTGCTGTCAACGCATATATCTGACACAAAGTAGACAGACTGCAGTGGCTAAAGAATTACGATGCCAGTACAAAAGATACCGTTTAAGTCTACTTGATCTCCCATGCGGAATGACATGTTCCTCTGGGCAGCGTTGGTCTGCCAAGCGCTTGCGGACCCCAAGGTTTGGAAATGGCACACTCTAGCGAAGTTACGCACGTTTCCAGCTGGGTTGATTCTTATATGCGCGAATGATGGAGCATATTGGTCATTCCGAAGATGCAGACCTTTGCAGGCATATTCTTGCCGTCGCCACGATCATTTGCTGGCCTATCAGCCTTCAGGACTAATCTCTCTTGTCCAAATGCGGGATGACATTTCCGACGATCCGGCGGCCTTGAAAGAGATTATTGGGTTCTGCGGCTCATTTCTGATCCTTCGACAGCAAACCGTCTATTTTGTTCATCAATCAGCCAAAGAATTTCTACTCGGCGAGGCTTCCGACAAGGCTTCCGACAAGACTTCCGACAAGGCCTCCAACATAGCTTCTCAAGAGGCTCTCAACTGGGTCTTCCATTCTGGGATAGAAGATGTGAACTTTATCATCTTCTCGAGGTCACTCAATGCGATGTCCACAACACTGCGACGCGACATGTAAGTCATCTGCCACCGCCGTCTGCAACCATATGCTAAGAGAAGTCATCTATCTAGACTGTCAACGGCGCCGAAGCGTCGGAATTTCTTCACGATGCAAAACGTTTTGCCCTCTACTCCCGTTTAGTAATTGACATGGCACCGCTCCAGGTATACTCTTCCGCGCTCGTGTTTGCGGCAGAGAGGAGCGTTATTCGGCGGACATTCGAAGGAGACATGCCCAGGTGGATAACAAACATACCAATCGCGGAATTGGACTGGAGTCTCTGCCTCCAGACGCTTACCGGCCACGATGGTTCTGTCCATTCGGTCGCCTTCTCGACAGACGGCAGTCGGCTAGCGTCGGGCTCGAACGATGCAACCGTCAAGATCTAGGATGCCGCGACAGGCGACTGCGTGCGCATGCTTAACATCGGCACTATATTGACTCGCCTCTCCTTTGACTCGACCGGTTCCTACCTATTTACTGACGTTGGTAACATCGCGGTAAACCCATTGCTTCTCTCGCTGCTGCAACTGCTCTTGCTGCTACGACTACGGCTAAATTTCCGGCTATCGAAAATCACGCGGCGGTCCATCACAGCACGTTCTTGTTGGCCCGCTGCTATGCGCCAGCTGCCCATCCAACGCGATGTCCATGTCGATGTGCGCCGTCCGCCTGTCTGGCCCAATGTAGATGTTGGCTAACTCGACGACATCGTGGTTCGGGTCGTCAGCATCGTAGAAGCGCAGCTGCCGTGCGCCCAGCTGGTTATTGTCGACGCGCCATGATTGCCGTGTCGGGGGTTAGGCTCGGAAGGACTCCGTGAGGGCGTCGATTATGACCGAAGGTTCACTATTTCCATCACCATCGTTGGGGTTAGCGAGGGCCTGTCGAATTGTCAGGTTGAGTCGAGTGATGTCGCTACCTACTTACAAAGGACGGCACGAGACTAGGCACGGTAACAGAAGAAAAAGCACAAGACAAACAAGAACGGGAGCTTCCAGTGCCTAACGCCAGGGCGGCGGGGAGGAAGACAAAGACATACTTTTAAAACCAAGGTCTCCGACGGCAGAATCGGACTAAAGTGCATTTGAAGCTGTTGGCAGAAATGTTACGTGGCTGATTTGGGCTTAGCACAAGAATCGGATAAAATAGCAGTGCACGAGAAAGGGTCTTTAGGCTTGGCGCCTTCCATTAAATCCGTCCAAACGTAGTGCGGGTACCTGGTGAGGCTATACTGCCACAACCTTCCAAAATTGTATATCACCCCTGCCACACTAACGTTGGACAAAAGTACGCCGCCCGCGGCTACACCGCCTTTGATCTCCAATGTTTCCTGCAGCATCACTAACCTCTTAATTGGCCTTTTCCACCGGCGCCGACGCCCATGCAGGCACTGCGTGGCCATGAATTATTTGCACCATGGCTCAGCAGAAACCGTTAGAAGAGTTCATTGAAGAGCTCTCCCGGCCTCTTGCAAACAGCGCATCGAAGCTGCGCGACCGATGTAGTACAGCTTGCCCCTACCCCCACGCGCGACCCACTTCTCAATGTAACCCTACTTTATGTTGCCCCTCATGTCCCAAAAATTTGCCTGTCACACCGTTTTCAACTGGTTGAATTTTGCACTAGTGGTCACAGAATCCCCTCGCCTAGCCAATTGCGGCCCGTTCCGCTGTACCTAGCACGGTTTGGCGAGTCCTCCCCCTCTCTGTGGGATCATAACTCGATATTTAAGCCCGCTTCTAAGTCCTCAATCAAAACATCATCTGCGCCATCGTTTAGCCATCCATCTCTCAAGAGTAACTTTGCACACCCTCCATCATGTCTGGGGCTGGCGCAACATCATCGAAGCTGGCGGAGGAGAAGCGCCTTGCTGAAGCGGCCGACACCGAAGCAGCCGGCGAACAGTTGCCTAGTAAAGCAGCTGAGGAGCCCGCGGCTAAAGCGGCCGAGGAGAAGCTGTTAGTTGTGGATAGCCTGGAATCTCCGACAGCGCCTCCCGCTGCAATTCCTTCGACTGCGACTCTGACAGCCGGGACGCCTCCCGCTGCTACGACAACTGTGCCTGTTCTGCCAGCCCACCACTGGACTGAAGCCCCTGATGTTGGCCTTCCCTCCGCTCCCCCCAAAAATTCCTTAGTTGGCAGAGCATTCTCTCTAATGAGACGTATGTTGCAGGATGGTTTAGACGATAATGACTCGGCGCTTGGCGACGGAGCAGATTCGACAGCATCCCTTTCGTCCAGCATCCTCAGCTATCGGACCATCCAGGGCCGGACGTATCACAGCGAAATGGGCAATGCGCAGTATTGGTATGTTTCTCTCAAGAGCATCCACCTCTTAAGCAAGCCGACGACTAATTTGGGCGACTGACGAAATTAGGGGCTCGAACGATGAGGGCCACAACGAGTCCCTCGACATCTTGTAAGCTAAGCTCCGAAAGCCAAACTTGAACGACCATTCCTAACGCTTATATGTCTAGGCATCATGTATTCACTCTAGCCCTGGAAGGCAAACTCTACTTGGCACCAATCAAAGAACCGAAGGTCCACAGTTAGCCCTACATTTCTCCCATGTTCTTTGACCAAACTAATTCGCCCCATAGAAAGTACTCGACGTTGGAACCGGCACAGGTAAGTACATGCTCTGCATATCTGTTTCCACTTCTCCACTAATTAAGCTTCATTTAGGAATCTGGGCTATGTAGGCAAGCGACTTCATTCTTTACCTGCCCTTATGCTTACGTCTTGCTAGCGATTTCGCCGACGCATTTCCAGGTAGCGACGTGATTGGCACGGATGTTTCCCCCATCCAGCCTACCTGGGTTCCACCAAATCTCAGATTGTGAGTTTTTGCTCCCCCGCCCAAGTCTACGCACAAGAAACTCTGGCTCACATGCAGCGGTAGCGAGATAGAAGACTGCACGCAAGAGTGGACTTTCCACGAAAATGAATTTGACTACATTCACATTCGGTACATGGTTGGGAGTCTTACAAATTGGCACGCTCTCTTCAAAGAGGCATACAGATGCCTTAAGCCCGGTGGCTGGTTCGAAAGTTACGAAGGCTCTCCAAGCCTACATTGCGACAATGATACCATCCCTCCAACCAGCGCACTGGGCCAGTGGGGCCCACTGTTCATCAATGGCGGCCGCCAAATCGGTCGAAGTTTCACGGTGGTTGAAGAGGAGATACAAAGGAAGGCCATGGAGGAGGCTGGTTTTGTTGACATCCAGGAAAAGTCAATCAAGGTATGTATTGTCAGCTCCCATCTGCACAGAAGCTAATGTCAAATTTCTTTAGGTTCCTAGCGGTAGCTGGCCGGAGGATCCGCGTCTGAAGGACATGGGGTCATTCTCCAAACTAGCCGTCATGCAAGATGCTGAAGGCTTCATCTTGTTCATGACCAACGTTCTAGGTTGGCCTAGACAACAGGTTGATGTGTTTATTGCACATCTGCGAAAGGAGCTCCGAGTTTGCAAGTATAACTACTACTACAACCAGAGGGTTGTGTGGGGCCGGAAGCCCGAACTTTAGTTGTCAGAGCAGCACCAGCGTTTGCAAAGTCATTCTTCTTCCCCAGATTCAACTTTGCCATACCCAATCTCCTTCTACGTCTCTTTGCTACCATGCTGCTTCCTTTAAGCTTGCAATAACGGTTCGAAGTAGGGTGCCTTGCCAGTGCCCAACGAGGCAATCCGCGTCCCAACCGCGTCCAGGCTGCCAGGCCGAAGCGGCAAAAATATATAAAGGGCGGTTCTGGAACAGGTTCGGCCACCTTGCGTATTTTAAATATGGTGTTGTATCGTTGTCTTCGGCCTCCTCCTGTGCGAGTAGGGCATATTTCGTATCAGAGGTGGTTCACGAGAGCCTTGGGCATGAGGGTAGCGTAGGATATGGGGAAGAATGTGAGATGAGATAGACAAGCGTAGCAGAAGCTCTACAATGATTTCGGAAATCCCGAATGGACAAAATCCCGAATGGACAAAATCCCGAATGGACAGAAGAAAGATTATAATGGAAGAGATAGAATGGAGCCGGTGATATAGGGGACAAGGCGTACACAAGCAGGTTGCGTCACCCAGCGCAGGGCTCAGGCGTCGGAGCCGCAAAGAGGACAAGGCCCTCTGGCCAAGCAATAACAGCCCTCGATGTCAGAGGAGGTTGCTAGGAAGACAGGCGGGCCAGTGATGCTGAGGAGGTGGTCTGGGATGGTTAGTTTAATAGCTGTAGGGTTAAAGAACAAGTATTTGCAGTGCGAGCCCATGACTGGGTATTTGCAAAGTTCAGAGACTCTGGTAGCCACAACATCGGTGAACCCAATTTCGGAATACGCGGCTAACAGCTGCGCCGATCGGCGTTTGCCGAGACACCGAATTCTCGGCTTGCGCCTCCGGTTCGGCGTGATTCGGTTGAACCCGCAGAAACAGCAAATTCCCAAGCCACGAAATAACCGCGGCTAAATTCTTACACCACAAATCTATCAGGGTTCAAGTAAACCTATGCCTTCCCCAGTCTGCTGCTCTCGATGAACCTCCGTCAATGCAGCACCTCGTGACTATTCAACATCCCTAAATCATGAGCAACACTCTCAGGCACCCTGTCTGGGTCCCCCACGACGCTCCGTCCACCAACGTCGCCAAGTTCATCGACCATGTCAACAAGCGGCACGGCCTCCAGCTCCAGACATACGCGCAGTTGCAGGCCTGGTCCATCGGCGCCACGACATTCCAGGATTTTTGGCAGGAGGCATATTCATGGCTGCAGCTTTCGCCGCCCGGAACGAAAGGGCCGGGGGTGATGCTTAACGTCCAAGTGACACGCCACTTTCTCTTCCCCTGCTCCCCCTTGCCTGTCATTTTGCCGTTGCAGGGAACTGACTTCCCTCCGGGGGGGAAATAGGACCCGACCACCACACCACTCTTCCCACCCCCAACCTTTTTCCCCGCTGCCAAGCTCAACCTTGCCGAGATCCTCCTCCGCAACGGGAAGGACACCGACGTGGCGATCCACTTTGCGCGGGAGGGTCAAACGGATGTCGAGCGCGTGACCTGGGGGATGCTCCGGGCGCGGACGCGGGCGGCGCGCGACGCTTTACTAAGTTCGGGTGTCGGGGCTGGAGACGTGGTCGCCGCCGTGATGGGCAATTCCGTTGACGCGATTGTCTTGTGTCTGGCGACGCTGTCTGTAGGCGCCGTGTGGTCTTCGTCCTCCTGCGACCTGGGCGTCGAGGGGATTGTCGATCGGTACGGGCAAGCTGGGCCGAAGGTCATCTTTGCGGACGACGGTTATGTCTATGCGGGAAAGATGGTGAGCTTGGGATCCAGGATTGCGGAGTGGGCGAGGAGGGTTGGCGGAAAGGTTAAGGGGCTTGACCATGTGGTGGTGCTCCCGTATTGTGGGGTGGAGGTGGATGTGGCAAGAGTGTACGGCGGATGCACTTTTGAGGAGTTCCTTTCCCGGGGCGTGGGGCGGAAGATGGAGTTTGCGATGTTGCCGTTCTCGCATCCTGGGTTCATATTGTATTCCTCTGGGACGGTAAGTTGGCCAGCCTGTGGCTGCACTTGGCTAACATTTCTTGGCTGATGATGGGGAACAGACTGGAACACCCAAGTGCATCGTCCATTCCGCTGGCGTAAGTCCCCCCCCCCTTCCCCCCCTTCCCCCCCTTCCCCTCCCCCCCAAATCTTACTACGATGGAAGCAAACATGGCTGACGTCTCCGTACGCAGGGTGTGGCTCTGAAGGTGAAGACGGACATGATATTACAACACGACGTGCGCCCCGATGATATTGTCTTCCAGTACACAACCGTCCGTATCAGTTCCCGCCAGCCCGTTCTGTCTTCAGGAGAGCTAACAACATGTAGACATCCTGGGTGATGTGGGTTCTTAACTTTGTCAATCTCTCCTCTGGAGCATCCATGCTCCTCTACGACGGGTCTCCCTTCTATCCCACTCCCACAGTCTTGCTCCAACTCGCACAAGAAACAGGGTTAGCTATCCCCGGATTATTCACGTCTGTCCCGTCTTTGCCGTCCTCGCTGACCTTCTTCTCAGGGTGAGCATTTTCGGTACATCCCCCCGCTACCTCGAAGAACTTCGCAGCCGAAACATCGTCCCACGTAAGATGCACCGCCTATCCTGTCCTGTAATGTGTGACGAAATTACTGAAAAGGGAACAAAGGAAAACAATTCGACCTCGGCAGACTCCGCGTCGTCACGTCCACCGGCTCTACCCTCTCCGCAGACCTGTACACCTGGTTCTACAACAATGCCTTCCCGCCACGTGCTCAACTCGTATCCATGAGTGGCGGAACAGATATTGCCGGCTGCTGTTCGTTATCTCATTTTCCTTTCCCTTGTCACCCGACCACCTCCTTCCCAGCCAACCCCACACCTAAATACAATCATCCCGAAGTCAGGGCTAATCATGCTTCCCCCTCGATCCCCAAACAGTCGTAGGCGGAACACCCATCCTTCCCGTCTTCTCTGGCGAGATCCAAGCCGCGGCCTTGGGAATGGCAGTCGAGATCTTCTCAGCAGCGGAAACGGAACCGGTATCTGTCGAGGGGTTGGGCGAGCCTGGCGAGCTGGTCTGCGTACGGCCGTTTCCCTCCCAGCCACTTCAGTTCCTCGGCGCGATGGGGAAGGAGAAATATCACTCATCGTACTTTGAGCGGTTTGGCACAAGGGTATGGTGCCAGGGGGACTTTGTACAGAGGGTTAGAGGCACTGGTGGGTTTGTGATGCTGGGCCGATCGTGAGTTTTTCCTCTTACTTTTTGATCTGTGACGGAAGCACCATGCTCACTTTAATGGGGAAAGGGACGGCGTTCTGAACCCCTCGGGGGTGCGCTTTGGCTCGGCAGAGATCTACAGTGTGACAGAAAGGATCTCTGAAATTGCAGATAGCATCTGCGTGGGGCAGAGAAGGGATGTGGATTCCGATGAACAGGTGCTTTTGTTCATCAAGATGCGGCCCGGGAAGAAGTTTACAGCCGAGCTTGAAGGGCGGGTCCGGAAGGCGATCAAGGAGAGGTACACCCCACGCCATGTGCCGAGGTATATCTTCGAGGTTGCGGATATCCCCTACACAGTCAACGGGAAGAAGTGCGAAATCAATGTCAAACATGTGGTCAGTGGCCGGAGGGCCGTGGTTAGCGGGACAGTGGCGAATCCCGAGGCACTGAAGCTGTATGAGCGGTTTCGAAATCTGCCAGTGGAGGGCGCGGCGGCTGTTGCAAGGGAAAAGAAACTTTAATAGGCTAGGTGTAGGAAGGAAGAAGCGGAAACAAGTGTATAGAAAAAAGATGAGCTGGCGGGTAAGGTAGGGCAGGTAGGCGATTTATCTATAAAGAGGGCTTATCGTATATCGCGAGATAGACCGATTAGCTGCTTTGCAGGAATAGCTGCGTAGAGAGATCTAACAAAGCACATTGAAATGTCATTTCCCTTCTCCCCCCCCACCCCCAAACTCTTCTCAAATCTGGAACTCCCCCTGCTTCCACGTGGAGCCCATATCCTGCATCGACGCATCAAACTCACCCTCTGCCCCAAATGGGAAATCGAAGGGCCAGTCCTGTGAGAACCCGGACACTAACTCACTCGGGAACGATCCTTCTCTCTGGCGGGCGATGTCGAAAAACTGGCGAAACTCGTCCATGACCAGGGTATCATCCAGGTGCGGCACGTCGCCTAGTAAGCCCTCCTCTAGCGACGAGGGCGCATACGGCGGCGGCTCCACGTTCGGCTGCTGCACACCACCATCCGCCATCGAACCACCCCCCAGGCCTAGAGGCGCGGAACTCCCTTGCATCTGCGTCTGCATCTGCGCTCCGGTAGTTGCCGTCTGCTTGGTCGCAGCGTTAAGCGCGTCCTTGATGACGGCATTGCTAAGCTTGTTAAAGAGCTCGCACGACCGTCTCGAGACGTTCCACCTCTCGGAGATGGCGAACAGCACGTTGGAGCAGGCGCGCGTGACTTCGATGATGCTCAGGAAATCGGGAACCATGTCCTGGTGCAGTGGATCCCGCAGCGCCCGCCCCACACTGTAGATGTACGCCAGGCCCGCGATGAAGACACCGTGCAGCGTGATCCACGAGTAGTTGAGCCGCCGCTTGCGGTGCAGCTCGCTGTACGAGGAGATGGATGCCTTGGCCGCCTTGAGAAGCTTCATCAGATCCGGTTCGCCGTCGTCGTGGGGTCCAGCCACCATGGTTGGGTGGGGCATGTAGGGACTCGGCCTGTAAAGGAGGAGGATGGCGTTGTTGAAGACGGCGTTGTACCACTCTGGCGTCAGGAAGCTGGACGTGTAGACTTTCTGGGAGGAGGAGGAGGAGGAGGAGGAGGAAGAGGAAGAGGAAGACGCTGATAGCCGGAGATGCTTGGTATCCTCGTACCACGCGTGGATGGCGTCGTGGAATTGCCGCCGGATTTGCCGCTTCTTGGCTATAGGCGAGGCGATGCCCTGTCGCGAGTTGTAGAATAGACTCAGGATCTGGCCCGAGATGCGCCGGATGCGGATGACGTGCAGGAAGGGGGAAGTGGAGGAGGGGGAGGAGGACGACGACGACGATGCGATGTCGACGGGGATAGGGCGGTGTGGGGATAGGTCCTCGTCGTCAAGAGGGGACGGAAGCGGGACATCGATCTCCTCGTCGCGGATGCTGACGGGCCGGCCGAGGGTGAAGCTGACGACTCTGAAATAGACCAGCACAAATTAGTAAAAGCAACTTACTGGTGCAGCGGTCTCGGTCGGGTGCCTACCTGTCAAGGTTGTACAAACACCAGAAACACCTTCGCCGCATCTCCTCCTCCAACGAGATAGTGCCGGCGGTCTCGGTAAAGTTCTTCGGCCCGCTGAGCTGCCTGTGCTCGAGGTGCAGCCCCAGCTCGAAACACAGTCGCGCACCGACGCCGATCAGATGCCAATTGCTGGCGCTCGTGTCGCTGAGGCTGCTGAAGATGCCGTGCTGGGAAATAAGCAGGATGGCCCGCAGAACCGACAGGCCGTCCATGCTCATGACGGCCTGGACCTTGCTCTGCGCCATGGCATAGTACGTGCTGGCTCCCGCCGTCGCCGCGCCCTCGAACCGGTTAAAATTGGAGCTGCCGATCGCCAAAACCATGTCGAACACGAAGGCGTCGTACATGTTGTCCTCATAGTACCCCATCTCGCCGTAGATCCGGTCCACGGTCGCCATGAAGCTCGGCCGATGCAGCAGCGGGAAGGTGACGTGGGTGTGCTCGAAGTAGGCGTCGATAAAAGGTGCGGCGACGCCGCGTGACGGGAAGGCGGCGTCGGCTGGCGCGATGTGCACGGGCCGGAAGCTGCGGTCGTCTGAAGGCCCGTGGTCCGTCGACAAGGACATGCCGCTCTGGGCGCTGATGGCCCTGCTGATGATGCTGGCAAGCCCCATCCCGCTGCTCGAGCCCAGATAGCGCGTCTCGCCGGTGGCGATGAGGGAGAGATAGCCTACTTCCAGAGTGAAGACGTCGTCGACCTTGCTGCTCCCGGACATGGATGGCGTGTTTGTGTTTGTTGCTGTTGCATCGGAATGAGCCTGTTGGGAAGGGAGAGACATCTGGGGGCTGCTGGCCGGAGCAGCAACACCTGCAGCACCTGTAAATGGTGGCAGCATGTCCGGCGGCGGGTTAGCCCCTTGAGGGGTCGGCGCAGGGGCTGGGGTGGGCTGGGAATTTCGAGAGTTGTTGAGAAGGCGGCGAAGCCTCCTGTTCTCCTCCTTCAGCTCCTGGGCCATGCTCTCCATGGTGTCGAGGTAACCGCGCGGCAGGTTTCGCTGCCGCAGCTTGTCAGCGTGGAGGCAAGGGGCGCCGGCTTTCTCGCACGCGCCGCACTGGGGGATGCGGCGGTCGCAGCGCGTCTTGCGGGTGTGGCAACGGTCGCAGGCCTGCATTGTCGCCGCCCTTCTGCAGCAATAATTTGGTTCCGGGTATGTGTGACAAGCTCGCAGATTTAGGCATTCGTCATCTAAAGCTCCAAAAAAAAAAGAAAAGGGCGAACGGGCGAACGGGGGAAGAAGGGGGAAGGGGGACGGAATTCCATTGGCGCCCGGGTTGCCGGGATCAAAGTGCGGGGGAAGACTCCACAGCGATAGAAAAAGAGGGGTTTCGGGCTGGGGGGGGTTGAGCCACAAAGCATGTGATCTGGGGTTTGCAGACCAATAGGGGCTGCCACAATTACCACGATCCGCAATAATTATGGTATACATATACATACACCCACTTCAAGCAATCTTGGAATAGCAAAGGCAAGTGTCACTCTTGCTCTAACTACTCCGTATGGTCAGAACAAGCGTTCCCTTAACTATATATTCCAAAATCTCTCCCCTCACGAGATAATTACATCATCGTAACCGACAGACAAGGATACCCCACATGATCGTCCAGTCACACCATGTCCATGCATTAGCTTATCTTTGTATTTATTTCCCCTTCCTCAAGTCAACATCATCAATCAAGGCTTAAAAACCACTTTTCTCGCCTGATACTTCTCGAAGATCTCATACCCGTGGCACGCCTTGTCCAGCGGCATTTCATGCGACACAATTGTTGCCACATGCTTCCTATTCTTATCAAGACACTCCAGCGCCTCGTCAAATAGGGAACTGATCGCTGCTCTCCCAAAGCTAACCCTGTTCCATTGCCCTTACTGTTAGCAACTTTTCCATGCAGAGAACACCCAACGCCATGCCTAGACTTACGTGACATTCTTCTGATACGCCTCATTCGCCGTAAACGGCACCTCCCCATGATGAAAGCCCAGCGACGAAATAACCCCGCACACTCTGACCAGCTCGAACGCCGACCTTAGCGCCGCCTTGTTCCCCACCACCTCGACCACCGCGTCGGCGCCCCTTCCCCCTGTCGCCTCCCTCACAACCTGTACCACATCGTCCCGGCCAAGCTTCAGCGGTATCCCGCCCATGTCACTCGCCTGCTCTAGCCGATCGTCCACCGCGTCCACGGCAAACACGGTCCCGGCCCCTTGGGTCTTGGCTGTCAGCAGAGCGCACAGGCCCACGGGCCCGCAGCCCAGGACCACGAAGACGGCCGAGGCGAGGTCCCGCGTCCCGATGGTGGTCCCCGGGAGCAGAGGCTGGCTGAGGAAGCTGGTCGCCCGCGCGGCGCCGTAGTACCCCGTCGGGAAGATGTCGCACATCATGATCAGCAGCGAGTCGTCTAGTCCGGCGGGCTTGTGGTGCAGCGTGCCGTCGGCAAAGGGGACGCGCACATACTCGGCTTGGCCGCCGTCGAGTTGCTGCGTGCCGAAGGCGAGAGAGTTGGAGCATCGGTTGCCGAGGCCGTGCTGGCAGAACCAGCATGTTTGACTGGGGGCGGGGATGCTGTTAGGGAGGGCTTGGGAAAGGGGGTTGAGGGGGGAAAAGGGAAGGGGGGACTTTACCAGACTGCAGCGAAGACGGAGACGACTTTGTCACCGGGCTTGAAGGTCTTGACTTTGGGACCGACGGATTCGACGATGCCGATGAATTCGTGGCCCTGGGGAAGGGGAGGGTGGTGAGTTGGGTGAGACAGGGGTTTAGTATGGAAGGATAGGATAAGGTGAGAATGATACCATTATATGGCCAGGCTTGGTCTCCTGGTGGCCGCGATACATGTGCAGTTCGCTGCCAGAACGACATGTCAGCCAATTGGACTTGATCCAATTTGGGGCGTGTGAAGCAATAATTACCTGCCGCATAACCCCGCCGTCTCAACTTTGACAATCGCATCCGTCTCATCTTTCAAGACTGGTTTTTGCCGCTCTTCTAGCCTGACGTCACCGGGTCCGTGGAATACTATCGCTTTCATTGCTGTAGATGGGGGTTTGGGTTAGTTCTCTTGGTTGTGGTTGTTTCTACTCGTTGAAAATGAACACCAGGGTTCGCAGAAAAATCATGGGCTTTTTCTCTACAAAATGCATTGACTTTTCTGTGGCAGGGACTCGGAAGTTTCTTTTCCTTTTGTTGGAGACTTCGGTCGTCCGGGCATCGCAGGCCGCTTTCGCTTCGGGTGCCCCACTCGCATTTCCCAAGATGCAGTCTCGTCCCCACTCACACTTCCCAAGGTGGAGTCTCGGCCCCACGCCTAAGCCTCCATCGGCCATCGCCGAAATGGGGTAAAGGGGGGTGCGGGGGCTCGGGGTTTTCGGCGCACCGGATCCACTCCCCTTCCTCCACAAGGGTCCGCAAACATCAGGGTCAGGAGCATCAATCTCATATGGGGAGACAGCGACTCAGCAGCCACAATACCACGTTGTCCGGAAACCCCTCCTTCCCCCCCCAAAAAAAAAATTTAAACTCAGTCCTGTACGAAATACTACCCTTGTCGTACATCAAAGTTCAAACCATGTCTCCAGTAGTAGCAGCCCTCTCGCCCAGCTCCTACGACAAGCTCTTCATCAACGGGGCCTACGTAGCCTCGCGCTCCGTCCAAACGCTTCAGCTGCGCAACCCCAAGGATAACTCCCTGGTCGCAGACAAGGTGCCCATCGCCAACCAGGAGGATGTCGACCTGGCTGTGTCCCATGCTGAGGCCGCGTTCGCAGGGCCTTGGAGTCGGTTCTCGGCGGCCCAGCGGTCGGCGTGCCTGACGAGGCTGGCGGATCTGATGGAGATGCATCTGGAGTCCATTTTGACGCTCGATTCGCTGACGACAGGGAATCCGGTGTCGTTGATCCCGACAAGAGAGAAGGGGTATATTCGGGCTTGTCTTTTGTATTACGGTATGACCCTGCATGGTCTTTGGAGAACTCAAACCCTGAGGGTGCCGGCTTGCTGATGGTAGGTTGTATTCTGCGTTGCAGCGGGATGGACGGATAAGCAGCGGGGGGACTACTTCCCTGATGACGACGGATTTGTGAAGCTGGTGCGGCATGAACCGTTAGGGTAAGTCGCGGAGGATATTTCACGAGTCATCAACCTGCCGTCGCTAACAAGTGTTATATTGGCCAGTGTTTGTGTGGCTATCAATCCGTACAATTCTCCGGTAGCATCATTCATGCTCAAGGCCGCGCCATGTCTTGCAACCGGAAATGTCCTCATTGTAAAACCGTCCGAGAAGTCTCCGCTTGGCTCACTGGCCGTGTCCGCACTATTTGAGGAAGCCGGATTTCCAAAGGGAGTTGTCCAAGTCCTCAGTGGTGATGGTTCCACTGGAGCTTTGCTTGCGAGGCATATGCGGGTGCGGAAGGTGGGTTTGGCATCGGGCCGTGTCCCCCCCCCCAATGCTGTGACAGAGTGGCTATAGCTAAGACCCCCGGCAGATCAGCTTCACCGGGAGTGTTGCGACAGGCAAGAAGATTCAGGAAATGGCGGCTCAGAGCAATTTAAAACGAGTCACTCTTGAACTCGGTAAGTAATCTCCTGGAGTGCGGCAGAGGTCAAACATGGAAGGAAGTTAATCGAGACCTCTCCTATCAGGAGGAAAGAGCCCCGCCGTCATTTTTGACGACGCCAATCTCGAGAATGCTCTGACATGGTAACCAATTCTCTCTCTCGCGGCCAAAACATTTGCCCGTGGACATTAATAATAGGTATTCCCGCAGGACCATCAACGGCATCCTCGCCCGCTCCGGCCAAGTCTGCGTCGCCGCCTCCCGCTTGTACGTCCAAGAAGGCATCGCCCCCTCCTTCATAGAGGCCTATAAATCCCGCATGGCCGCCGCCGCCTCTCGGCTCGGCGACCCGCAGGATCCCTCAACGACTCTGGGTCCACTCGCCGACTCCCTATCCTTCGACAGGGTGCGGCAGATGGTGTCCCGCGGCGCCGAGGAGGCCGAGCTGGTGGTCGGTGGCCGCCAGCATGGCGACAAGGGCTGCTTCATGGAGCCGACGGTGTTTGTGAACCCACGGCCTGACGCCCAAATACTGAGGGAGGAGGTCTTTGGGCCGGTTGCGGTCATCGTCACGTTCAAAACGGAGGACGAGGTGATAGGATTGGCCAATGATACTGAGTTCGGGTTGATGGCCGGGGTGTTTACGAGGGATGTGGGTAGGGCCATGAGACTGTCGGCCAAGATTGAGGCGGGGGTTGTAGGGGTGAATTGCATCAGCGTGGTAAGTGCTGAACGTTAGGCTGGTAGAAGGTCATTCTTTCCACTTACTGACTTGGTGGTACTAGATGAACATGCAAGTTCCATTCGGCGGAAAGAAGGCCTCGGGGGTTGGGAGAGAGTTTGGGGAATACGTGAGTTAATGCGTACCCTTCCCGATACCGATGGCGAGGAATTAACCGTGCTGTTATAGGCGTTACGTGCGTTCACCGAGCCAAAGACGATATTGATCAAGTAAGTCCTCTCTTTGTTACACTATGAGTTGCGAGTGCTAATGACAAGTGCAGCATGAATGGCTAGGCTTGAACACCGTCGGGGGGAATATCGTCCATGCGATGGCGGTTGGGGGTGTAAAATGTAACAAGGATAGAAATTAGATATGCTAGACTTAAACTGGAAGCTGAAAATACCTATTGTTTCCCTATCAAGCATAGACACCATCCAAGAACCATGCTCGAGATGCATTGCCGGATTCCGCTGTTCGGAGATCCTTCCCGTATGCAATGCAAGGTGGAACCCTCCTGTCAGACTAGATGATGACTTCCAAGATCTAGTCCGCATTGTGGCCTCGGCTCTTCCCGTTCGGCAATTCTTTAGTGTCGAGTTGTACCTGGTCACCACAGGTATACTGACACCCAGACGGCGAAGGCCGAGGTTGCCAGTATGCCAGAGATCCGGCTCCTTAGTACGTCCGAAACCCACCTGTATGCGCTAGTAACCTACACACACCTCCCTCCCGGGACTATCGGAATTGCGGGTCCAAGGCCGTTTGGCAAGTATGATTATCATCCTCAAGGAAATACACACATCTAGTTTAAAGACCCCGAGCCCTGGCACGCACCACCTATTTCCTTCCATCCCACAAGTACCAAACAGACAGAACACCACCCTCTCTACAGCAATGGGTTCCCACGCGGCCCCCAAGCGTCCCATTGTCATCGGCAACGTCGCCGGTGCGATGGAAGACTGCCCAACAGCGATGTACACCCCCCTTCCGAGCCCCCGCAACATACTCCCAAGCCCCCCCCGCATCCCCCCGGGTCCTCCAAAAGTATCATTTTGCCCATACACTAAACCTCCCCCTTCATCTAGGCATCGCATGGTTACCTCGGGCCACCTCGACGCCATCACCGGCGACTGGCTCTCGGAGCTGAACATCGCCTGGAACGCAATGCGCAAATACTCGGACCCCACGCAAGGCTACGAGGTCGGATTTCTGGAGCAGCTCGAGTCGAGCATCGACGTCATCGCTGCCAAGGGGATCAAGGTTGTCACCAACGCGGGGGCTCTCAATACGCCCGAATGTGCTAAGAGGGCCCGCGAGATCTGCCAGCGTAAGGGCCACGGCCACCTCAAGGTCGCCTATGTGGCAGGAGACGACATTTCCGACAACGTCAGGGACAAGGTCACGCAAGGCCAGATGCGCCATCTGGACCATGCGGATCGGACACTGGCGGACTGGGGCCATGAACCGCTATGCGGCGTGGCCTACTTTGGCGCATGGGGCATCGTCCGCGCGCTAAGGGAGGGCTGTGACATCGTCATCTGTGGGCGGGTCACGGACGCGAGTCCCATAATTGCCCTGGCGGCGTGGTGGCACGACTGGGGATATGAGGACTGGGACAGACTGGCGGGGGCATTGGTTGCCGGACGTATGTATTATTCCGTCTTCTCTCCCGCTTGCCTGGTTTTCCGATGATTTTGTAGTGGGAAACTCTTTTGCTGACGGCCGATGGTGTTGCAGACCTGGTCGAATGCGGGCCTTACGTCACGGGCGCCAACTTCACCGGTGTCCGGCCGCAACTCGAGGGCATGGTAGACCTGGGCTTCCCCATCGCCGAAATCGCGCACGACGGCACAACCATCATCACCAAGCAGCCAGGCCACGCGGGCTTCGTGGACCAGATGAACGTGCGGGCGCAGCTCCTGTACGAGATCCAGGGTAGGCAGTATATCAACTCCGACGTGCTGGCCGATATCGGCGGCGTCAAGATCGAGAACACGGGCGAGAAAGACCGTGTGCGCGTTTCCGGCGCCGTGGGCGGGCCACCGCCGCCAACAACCAAGGCTATTGTCGTGGCCATCGGCGGGTACCAGGCCGAGGCGACCTTCTACATGAACGGGCTCGACTTGGACGCCAAGGAGAGGTTCATGCGCCAGCAGATTGAGCATGTCTTCAAGGACGCGAACTTCTCGGAGCTCAGCATCGAGCGGTACGGGTCCGGTGCGGCGAACCCGAGCAGGCAGGCGCTGGGTACGGTGTCGATCCGGGTGCTGGTAAAGGGAAAGACGAAGGAGGATATTGGGGAGGATGTCTTCCGGAAGAACATATACGCCTTGAGGATGCAGTTCTATGCAGGTGAGCCTCCTATCATACAATGCTGGGGAAGACAGACGAAGAAGCGGATTGGTTTCGGCTAATAATTCTGTTTCGTGAAAGGCTACCACATGTCCCTCGATTTCCGGACCATGACCCCCAAAATGTTCATGGAGCTGTTCCCCGCGCTCATCTCCTACCAAGACCTCCCCCACCGAGTCGTCATCGACGATCAGGTAATCGACATCAAGCACCATGGAATCACCGCCCCGCCACCGGATAAGCGGCCCAGCTACGAGACAGCAAACCCCATCTCCCTGGAGTCGTTCGGCTTCACCTGTCGCGTGCCCCTGGGCGCCGTGGCGCACGCCAGGTCGGGAGATAAGGGCGACAACTGCAACGTGGGCATCTTTGTTCGCTCAACGGAGGAGTATAAGTGGCTGCAGTCGTACCTTACTACGCCAAAGATCAAGGCTCTGCTCGGCGAAGACTGGAACGAGTCGATCGCCGTTGAGAGGTGCGAGTTCCCCCAGATCCTGGCAGTCCACTTCCGCTTCTTGGATTTCCTGGGCGGCGGCGCGGCGAGTAGCGCCCGGATCGACATGTTGGGTAAGGGTGTGGCCGAGTATCTTCGGAGTAAGGTGGTGGATGTCCCAGCCAAGTTTTTGAGTAACCCCATTTCGCTTGGTTAAGGTAGGACGACAAGGGAGTCTCTTGAAGTCTCGCCGTACATAGCACCTACTTAGAAGAGAATATATTGCATCATTAGGACTGCGATCGTCTTGGCTTTCGTACTTCCTAGGATTGGTGAAAGGTGTGTTTTGTCGTCATGTTTGGTCTTGGGCAAGCTATCAGTGGCGTTCCGAGTCGAAATATCTTGCTGACAAGACGATAATAATAATCATGATGATGATGTATATCTAAGACCAATAACTCAAATGATTGTATGAATATCCTAGCTCTCGTTCTAGCACGCAGTTTATCATGACTTCATCCAAACGGAACGAAATGTGCCCACGAATACACAACACGATATGGATTCAGGCAGCGATCAACAAACGGCGGGACATTCCTCTATCATATCCCATCGATATACCATGCTACGTCCGTTCCCTCCCCTCCCACATCCGCCTCCGTAAAACCATTCCCCAAATACGCATACCTATTCGCCGCCACGTATTTCCACTCATAGTCCTGTCACCACCGCATCAATCAGCAATCTTTAGCCTCTCCCCCAACCTTCAAACCCGATCTCCCGGGCCGGGGGCGGGGGGACTTACCTCCCATCTCGGATTCAACAGCACATCAAAGAAGTGCAGCCTTGTCCCAGGCCACATCATGATGGGACCATCCGGTCCGCCTATCTTGAACCATGACCGACACGGCGCGTTCCACACTGTCCTCTTGAGGAACAACTCGCGATGCCTTCGGAATTCCGCGACAGCCTCCTCCTTCGGCACCAGCGACCGGATTCCCTCGCGCTGCAACTTGCGGATTACCACATCCAGATGCCGCGTAATCGCCTCCACGGCGGGAATGACGGAGCCGTGGCCGTAGGGTCCGAAGGGGCCGAGGATCACTTTTTACCCGCCATATTATTAGCCCTTTTTAATTCTTCCCCATCAAGAAGCTACTCTTGGAGCTGCTAGGGGTGGGCGCAAAACTCAACTGAAATAGTTCGGAAAGTTTGGCGCCATGACACTAATGTACGTCTCGGGCGACTCTCGGAATTCGTCACGCATGTCCACCCCGTTGGATCCGACGATAGGGTAGCGCGGCCGGAAGGAAACATCAAACCCCGTGGCACAGATGAGAACGTCGAGCTTGTGGAGTTCGCCGTCCTCTGTGACGACCCCGTCTTCGGTGATCTCTGTGATGCCGGAGAAGGTCACCGTACATTTGTCGGAGGAGATGCATTCTAGGTACCCGTTGCCGGGGGTGGGACGCTACGTTAAGAGGCAGTTAGCCTTTTTGAAGGTAGAAGACGAAGAATGTTTGATAGGAACGAACACGGCAGCCGACGGCAAAGTCAATGGGGATGAGCTTCTCGGCCAGTTCTGGCTTGCGTTCGAGGCGTCTGATCATGTCAGATCGGGAGAACTAGGGGGTTATACATTAGTCTGGGGATTATGGTATCCATGAAACCAGAATGTGGACAGACCTTTTCGGCCTCGAGCTGCTCAGGTGTTCCTTTGATCATCTGGATGAGAAGTTAGTAGGACTAGACCTCTCTGCTCGTTCGGAAGCTCATACCATGGCAAAGTTTTGGTTTATCTCCTTTTCGACTGCTTTCCTGTATTTCAGATACTCCTCTGGTTTCTCGGCAAATTCCTTTTTCTGTTCTTCGGTGTCTGCAGTGAACTTAGTTAGTCCTTCTGAGAGTTTCCCCACCCACCCCTTCTTTTCCCTCTTGAGGGAGATCACTTACAGTCGATGTTTGCACCATTCTCCCCTGCAAAGGTCGAGGCAAACCCTGAAGTAACCCAAGCTCTCGACCGGATGAAGCACTTGATGTCTTTGACGTCTAACAGCGATATCGTCGTTAGACATGAAGCCAACGGTCGGCGTTGAGGGACTCACCATCATAGATGGCAGGGATGACCTGGACGGCACTGCTCCCGTTGCCAATGACACCGACAGTTTTGCCAGCAAGATCGACTGACCTGTCCCAAGCGGCCGTGTGCACTCGGTTTTTGAATTTTTCGAGGCCAGGGATTGTTGGCCACTTCCAGTGGCTGTGATTATTTCGGCGTCATTAGTGACTACTGCAAGCCTCCATGTAAGAACGCGACCCACTTTAGTACACCCGTGGCGTTGATCAGAATCTCTCCGTGATCATAGAACGTGTCGTTGGGGTCGTCCCCGCGCTGTATCTTGACGGACCATTGCCCTTTGTCGTCGTTCCACCAGGCCCCGACGACTCGGTGATTTAGCTTCACAAATGAGTCAAGATTGTAGTGAGAAACTACATCATTGAGATAGCCCAGAATCTCCGAGCCGGTGGCATAACTTCTCCAGTGTCAGTGCCAGTCCGATGAAACGGACAAAAGGGGTAGGGGAGGGAGAGGTCGCTTATTTACTAGCTTGTCCAGTCTGTCTTTGGATGCCAGGAGAACTGATAGTTAACAGCAGGCTAGGAGCAGATGTGAGCCAAAGAAACAAGAGTAGAGAGGCTCTTCAGGCTCCTATTTACAATGTCACAGGCGCAACCCGGATATCTTGTCCACGGTTATTAGTCACTCGTCTTTTCTAGTAGGAACAAATGAGGCCGCCTCACATGTTCTCGAACCAAGTCCCCCCAAGCTCTGCATTCTTCTCGTAGATCTGCAAAGCGATGTTGCTGTTCTTGATTGTCTGGCCGAGCACCCGTGCAACGTTGATGCCAGAGACACCAAAGCCAATGACGAGAATTCGGATGGGTCGACGATATCCCAAGTACATGTCCGGGATGGTGTAGTCCTCGCCATTTGCCTGGCAATTCTCGCCATTCTCGGCCGGAAACTCGGTGTTGGCGTGCGGGACCATGTTTCGATCACGAGGACGGAAAAAAAAATGGTCAGTAATTACACAGAATCAGCAGTCGACTGAATTGAGTGAGAGTCTGAAGGCAGCAACGGCATGAAAATCACAAATCTCCTTGTTCGAATCCTCCAATTGAAACATTCTTACCTTTTCTACCCCATCACCCCCAACCTCGGCATCCAAATTGTGGTGTCGCCATCCCGACCCGGACGCCAAGGGGAACGCGGACCATTCCCGAGAACGAGACCCACAATCGGCATTGGCCGTCGGCGTGCGCCGAAACGGGAAAAACGAGCTAACAAAAACTTTTCCGACACATCCCGGTAGTTGTGTTTGTTCACTCACATGTTGAATAGTTTCCTGGAGAAACCCGGCCGCCCCGCAGACCGGCGCGGGGCAGAGAGCAAGACTTCAGGCGTAAACTTGAGTACGGCAAAGGGCCAAGTTGTAATTATGAGGGTCGCAAATTAACTACCAGCCTCCACCTCGTCATCCCTCTTCCAAACACTGGGTTGGGAAAGTGCAGCAGCAGATATATCTCCGGGCCCGACAATCTTAACAAGGCCCCTCGAGAGTCATTACTCCGATCATTCACCCCTTCATTCGTCCCAAGGTGAATTCCTTGGCTTGCAGGATGGCACCAAGCGCAGTTTCCCCGTCGCCAGAGCCCCCCTCTACTGTAGGGACGGCTTCCTTGGACAGCCAACCCTTTTCCAAACCCCTACATCTGGAGCGCCAAATGAAGATTATCTGCATTGGGGCTGGCGCATCCGGTCTCTGCTTCGCGTACAAACTGCAGCGGTCCTTTGAGAACTTCGACCTTGTCATATATGAGAAGAACGAGGACATCTCGGGAACGTGGTACGAGAACCGATATCCTGGGTGAGTATAGTACTTGATTGGTCACTCTTCTCATGGCAAAGCTATGCCACATCCCTAGAGAGGACCCGGCTGACTAGCTTGCCGAAGGTGCGCCTGCGATGTGGCCGCCCACAATTACACCTTTTCCTTTGCTCCCAAGCCCGACTGGTCCTCTGTGTACGCGTCCAGCGCGGAGATCTTCGGCTACTTCAGCGACTTCGCTGGCAAGCACTCCCTACGGCGATACATCCGGACCTCACACAAGGTCACACGCGCGGAATGGAATCCCTCACAGGGCCAATGGACCGTAGAAGTGACCAACGAGTTGACGGGATCAGTATCCTCAGATTCCTGCCACATCCTAATCAACGCCGGCGGCATCCTCAACGCTTGGAAATGGCCCTCCATCCCGGGTTTTGAGAAGTTCGCTGGGCCGAAGCTGCACACGGCCTCGTGGGACGATTCGGTTGATCTCAAGGGGAAGGAGGTCGGGCTCATTGGCAACGGGTGAGCTAGCACCAACCCCCTACTGCCTTCTCAGCCAACTAACCAATATCGCGCAAGATCCTCGGGCGTGCAGGTCCTCCCAGCCATTCTCCCGGATGTCAAGAAGATCACCCATTTCATCCGCAAAGGCACCTGGGTGGCCCCTCCCCTCCGCGGGCTCGTCCAGCACAAGTACACACCCGAGGAACTTGATCGATTTGCCAACGAGCCGGATCTCCTTCTCAACCACCGCAAGAAGTATCAGAGCAGCACTACGGGTGTCTTTAATCTCTTCATTCGTGGCTCCCAGACCCAGCAGGACGTTCGCGCCTCCATGGAGAAGCACATGCGCGACCGCATCAGCGATCCCGTCCTGCGGGACCGGCTGATCCCCCCGTGGAGCGTCGGCTGCCGGCGCCTCACCCCGGGGATCAAGTACCTAGAGGCACTTCAGACAGAGGAGGTGCAGGTTGTCATGGGCGGGGTGAAGGAGATGACGGCGCGCGGCGCCGTCGACGTCGAGGGCAGGGAGCATCCCTTTGATGTGCTCGTCTGCGCTACAGGGTTCGACGTCTCCTTCCGCCCGAGGTTTCCACTCCTCGGCAAGGAGGGAAAGAATCTCCAGGACGTATGGGCCGAGGAGGCTATGGGATATCTCGGTCTAGCGGCCCCAGAGATGCCGAATTACTTTATGTTTTTGGGGCCGAATTGCCCGATCGGGAACGGGCCCATCTTGGCTGCAGTTGGTAAGTTTCTCTGCCGGGTTGGAATAATAGTGGGATGAGATACTAACAGCTGGTGACAGAGGCACAAGCGGATTACATGCTCCGATGGTGCGACCGGTGGCAGACAGAGAATATCCGGTCCTTCACGCCCAAGTGGGACGCAGTCCGGGACTTCGTCGCCCACACAGACAAGTACATGCAAGGCACAGTGTGGACGGAGGACTGCAGCTCGTGGTACAAGGGCAACAGCGTGGCGGGGCGGGTATCGGCACTGTGGCCGGGCAGCACGCTGCACTACATGGAGGTACTGTCGACGCTCCGGGCGGACGACTTTGATCTCGAATATGAGGGCAACCGGTTCGAGTATCTGGGCAACGGGTTCAGCCTGACAGAGCTGGACCCCACCTCCGATTGGTCATTTTATATTCGTGAGGAGGACGATTCGCCTTTCTTGAGCAGGGGCAAGCAGAGGAGAGTGATGAATAAGAGTGGGAGTCAGACTAGCACCGAGTTCAAGGTTATATGAGTGGAGGAGATGTATGAACCATGAACACATGAAATAAATAGATGTCTACATTTTCCATTAAGACGTGCTCTCATTGTCGTCTTGCAAACATACAATGCCGAAGTTAACATACGAGGCCCTTATAATTAGCTGTTGCCTTAACGTTTATGTTAATTATGTTAGGTAAGCTGGTCGAGCGATCAACAGCTAAACAACTGCATCAGAGAAAGTACAACTAGAGACTCCAGCTTCAAGTTTATTGTCATCAAAGACCAAGTATTTTAACGGTCAATCACCACATAGTTATTCCCCTGTTCCCCCAGGCACTCGCCCTCCAAGTTGGTCAATCCACTCCACCATTGCCTCCAAATACCGAACAGATGGCTCCAGCTCTGGAAACGCGTAAAATGCATGCGGCATTCCCGGATATATCTTGAGTGTCACATCCACACTACCGTCTCCCGGTTAGTACACTCCTTCCAAAATCAAGAATGGTTCCTTCGTCGCTCACCCACTAGCTCTCAGAGATTCCGCATATGCAAGCCCCTCATCCCGAAGCGGATCCATCCCAGCTACCTGCACGACTTTTATTTCCCACGCAAGCATTAGCTTCTCTGAGACAACCACACACCCTCTTCCCTATCCCCGGGGTCTGAACTTACGCGTCGGCGGCAACCCCGCCAAAGACGCCGCCAGAAGCGGACTTGCACGCGGATCCTCCTCCTCGCCCGGGAGGTAGTTGTTCCAGAACTGCCGCATCCTCGCCGCGCTGACCATGGGCGCGTCCGCGTTCTGTGTGTAAGAGAGGTACTCGTACTTCTCCGCGGGGAAGTGCTTCGGGTGGCAAGTCACGGGGATGTTGAGGATCTGGCCGACGATGCCGGCGACGTTGTTGTCGCGGGCCAGGTGCGTGAGCACGGTGCACTGGGGTTGAGTTGTCGTGGGTTAGTTGGGGAGGAAGGAGTGGTGAGGAGGAAGGGGGTGCGCACGATATTGGCGCCGGCGCTGCCACCGCCAACGATGATTCTTTGGGGGTTGATGGCTAGGGAGTCTGCGTTCTTTTGGCACTGGATTTGGGACTCGTTAGCGGAAATTGTCTGGTGGACCGATGACAGTTGTGTCGTGTGTACCCATAAGAGCGCATCCAAGGAGTCGTTGAGGGCGTATGGGAATGGAAACTCGGGGGCCCTGATTCCGTGTTAATTAGTGGTCGTAACACATCCGGACCTCAAGCGGTCATGAACCGCTTCGTACTTTCTATAGTCGACGCTCACTACCACTGCTCTGTTCCTTGCCGCGATCAGTCGATTTTGGCACTCTTCTGTCTCCGGCGTGCCAACAGTCCAGCCTGTACGTTCACTTAACCCAACATGCTCATATTCCTGCCGGTCATGGGGATGGGGTTGATGCCGGCCTTCTTACCTCCTCCATGTACGTTGAAGAATAACAGATGTTCTTTCCCGAGAACCGCAGGCTGGTAGATGCGGATTCCAACTTTGGCGCCATCGCGTACGACTATCTCCTTTTCCCTGATGTTGATATCTGTTCCCAAGACAGGACTAGCGGCCGGGATAGGTGGCGGGCGATAAGGAATTTGGCGGAACTCTTTGATGGGAAGACTGTACAGCTCATTCATTTTCTGCTCGACTGCCTTGTACCTGGCCGCAACCTTTTCCCATTCCGGATGCACATTTGAAAGGTGGGCGAAGCGAGGCTCACCACCCTCGACTATATTTTCGGGCATAGCTTTGAACTTAGGAGAGACTACTCAACGCTGTCAATAGAGCTTGTGAACCTGTCACGGAGGCCGTTGTCGTTTTCTTGGGATAGGAGCGCTCCACGTCAACCAAGTATCGAGGTAAATTGATGTACAGTAGGTTAGTCAGGAGTGGTACCTCTTACCCCGATTCCGGAATCTCCTGGCTGGATGATTCCCGCCATGTGGGGTGTGGGAATTTAGCGCCGAGGAAGGAGGCTTAGCATTCGGTGATTGTCGGGATCCGGATTTGGCCCGATGTTCGTCCAACCATCCAACCACCATCTAAGCTCCACATTGTTCCCCTAGTCTCGGGGGCGGGGAAGCGGGTCAACCTCACCTTCGGCAATTGCCGTGTGGCACCATCCCGCTTTAGGGCCAAACACGGGAGTGCCCCATCCAGAAGCCGAGGACAGCATGCAGGAACCCCCAACCTGGAGATATACCTACCTAGAACACCATGACTTCTGAGCGGATATCATCATAGTCTTATTCGTCTGAAACTTGAATCATTCCTCGCCAAAGCAACCAACCCCTGATTCCCCACAGACACAATGTCGGTCCCCGTTTACAAGGACAATCTTACGGAGACGACGTCCCAAGTAAATTTGCAGGACCTGGTCGGCAAATCGGTCATCGTGACTGGAGGTGAATTCTCCCATCGCCAAACCCCCCCCCCCCCCCCAACCACCCCCCCCCCGCGGGACAGTCAGCTAACATACAAGAAAGGGGCGAGCGGGCTAGGGAAGGCCTACGCCAAATCCTTTGTCGAAGCTGGGTGAGCCTCCACGCCAGTTACCATTGCAAGGAGACTGGACAACCAGGCTGATACGGACAGTGCCTACGTCACAATCGCTGACTACGACGAACGAGCCGGCAAGGAGACCGAGATAGAGCTCGCAGGGTACGAAGTCTCCCAGCCCAAAGACAAATCCACTTCACCACGTTTCCCTCCTAAACTTGTGTGAAATCTACAGCAAAGCCCAATTCGTCAAATGCGACGTCCGCAAATGGGAAGATCAAGTCGCCGTCTTCGACGCCGCAGTCCAGAACTCGCCTCACAAGAGTTGCGACATCGTGATCGCCAACGCGGGCGTCGTGGGCGCCGATGATCTGTATACTCTGCAGGGTACGCTTCTCCCTCCTTCCCCCCTCCTTCCGTTCCTTCACCTCTTGAAACGCCTGCCAACGACATAAAAGATCCCTCCCAGCCGCCCGTGAAGCCCAATCTTCGGACACTAGAAGTCAACCTAATCGGCATGGCCTACACCACCAAGCTGGCTATGCATTACTTCCGCCGGCAGCCACTGGCCGCGACCCGCGATCGGTGTCTGATCCTCAAAGGCAGCATCGCCGCGTACGCGGATCAGCCCGGCTCGCCACAGTACAATGCGTCGAAATGGGGGGTGCGGGGCCTGATGAGGAATCTGCGACGGACAGCATGGAGGGAGGGGATTCGGGTGAACCTCGTGGCGCCGTGGTAAGTAAATCACCGAAATACTAATTATTATAGGATATTTTAGACTTTGATAGCTGAAGATCTTTTCTGTTGCAACAGGTATGTTCGGACGCCGATCCTTTCGGACGCGATTATCGAGTATCTTCAGGGGAAAGGGGTCAAGTTTGCGACGGTCGAGGATTGTAGCGCTACGATGTTGAGGATTGCGGCGAATAGGGATATCAATGGTAAGTCCACCCTTGAGTTTCGAGGAGAAAGTGCTTCACGACTTACGAGGACTTACAGGCAGGGCATTTGGGGTTGTGCCTCGCGAGGAATCACCGTCGGGACATATGGATCTAGTGCATGATGACTATCAGGAAGGAGATTTCTTGAGGGGGTGGGAGGACATTGTCCTGGATACTGCGCAGTCTATTGTGGACTTGGCATGAGTGGCGAGATTTGGACCATCAGATAGCAACGATATCAGACCAGGCTAGTTAGTTCGAGGGCAATGTATCAGAATTAAGCGTTAGTCATATCGTAGGGAGCGAGTTGTTTGGTTTCGTCAGAAACCGTACGCAGACAACGATTGCCGAGCACAAATTAGATTGTAGCCCGTTGTTAAGTACTCTACATGTTACACCAAACTTGGTTCGATTTAAATGTACTGTACAACAACATGATTCGGGATCTGTAATCTGGGATTCAGTAGGCAGCTCAGCTCGTAACTGACACTCGACCTCTGAAATAATTACCCTGTGGCTGGCCTGCTCTCTGATATGCCTGCGTAGAGCGGGAGGTTGCCTGATTCCCAGCCGAATCCGGTTGTCCCGGTGACCGGCATTGACCGAACTCGGCCGAGCGGAGTGGTATGACCAATGGGTCCGAAAGCGCCACCAGCGTGCCAACTTAACCGCCCAGTTCCATATCTATCATCTCACCCACCCCTTACCCTTTTTGCCGCCCAAGGCGGAATTCGTTAGCCACGGCAAAAATACTTCCAGCAAAGATGGCTGATCAAGGTTCCCCTCATGCACAAGCACCTCCCTCAGAGCCGGCGCAAACTCCGGCGACCCGGACGATCAGAAAGCGGGCGAGACGAGCGTGTATCGCGTGCCGAGCCCGCAAGGTCCGTTGTGATCTTGACCGGCAAGGCACGCCCTGCACCAACTGCAAGCTAGACGCGGCCGAATGCGTCGTGAAGCCGCGGGCGCGGAAGTGGTAACCTTTTTCTTGCCTAAAGAGAGGTAGAGGGACAAGAGCTGAAAGAGTTCCAAGGATACGAGCCCAGAAGCAAGCAGCAGCCCCCCTACTGCCATCTCCAGAGCCCGTGGTCACCTCCGCACAGACACCAACCGATCTGCTATGGTCTTCCGAGCCAAATATCAACGACACCTGCGGCGAAGTCGACGAAGTCCCGGCCTATGTGACATGTCAGGACCTGCTCGGAGGCCTCAACGAAGGTCCCAATTTAGACCTACAGGCACCCTGTCCATTCCCGACAATTGTGCACGAAGCAGACTTCAACTCTGGTCCTCCCGCATCCAGTGCGCTTAGTCTTACTTAGCCCCTATTCCCATATTCTCCCTATCCCCCTTCCCTGATTGACACCACCGTCTTAGGTTCAGCACCATCTCGACCATTCCCGGCCACCATCGGCGATGCGTCCATTCTTTCGGGCCACCCCTTCATCGAGGTCGACTGTCTGTGGAGTCTCCCAGCCGCGGACCTGGCCTTCCTAAAACTACGCGGCTCCTTCCAGCTCCCGCCCCGACCGGCCCTGGACGAATTTGTGGAGCAGTACTTTCTCCACGTCCATCCAACCCTCCCTGTCGTGAACGAGTCGGACTTCTGGGACAAGTATCTGGCCCCGGATGACTTGTCGCCGGTGGGGAGACGAATACCACTGTTTGTTTTCCAGGCTATGCTTTTCATAGCTTGCCCTGTAGGACTGCATCCTGTCATTGATTGGTGGTGCTTTTCCCGGTGGACGCTGACCTGCCCAGTTCGTTGCCCTATCGACCCTCCGCACGCTTGGGTTTTTGTCTGTTCGCGACGGGCGTTCAGAACTGTATTCACGAGCAAAGGTTCGGTCAAGCTCCTAAAAGTCAACACGGCAAAAGCAAATGGTTCTCACTCTACTCACAGGCCCTCTTCGACACGGAATGCTACGGCAGTCACGTCGCCGGTGCGCAGGGCGCGCTGATGCTGACCTACCATGTGCCCACAAGCAACGACAAGATCAACACTTACTGGCTAATAACTGCCATACACCTAGCCCAGACCGCCCGAGCCGACGAATACGACATGATGGACGACGGCTGCGAGGACAAGGGCATGCTGAAGCGGCTCTGGTGGTGCTGCATTCTCCGCGACAGGATCATGGCGCTCGGCCTCCGACGCCGGCTGCACATCCGCTCCACCGACTTCGACTTCACCCAGCCGGGTCTGGACGAAGGGGACTTCGACTCCGAGATCAGGGGCTCCAAGGTCTACGACCCCGCCAGAAAGCAGGTTCTAGCGCAGCTCGCCGTCTCTCTGTGCGACCTGGCCGTGATTCTCAGCGGAATCCTGCCAATTGTGTCCCCCGCTCGACGACGAGCTGCCAAAGCAATCGATGGGCTTGTCAATCAGGAGATGCTGGAAACGTATGCGACGAGGTTGGATCTGTGGTACTGGACCGCAGTGGGCAAGTTCCAGACGCCGGAGCATATCTTTGGCATGGACGGCTCGATCACGCTGTTTACCAACATGATCTACATCTACTACCAGTAATTATGTCTCCTTGACACGACAGCTTAGATGCGATCCAAATCTAACACACTCTATCTAGCACAGCCAAGGCGTCCCTCTGCAGCCACATCATTTTCACCTCCTTCACAGCCCCAAGCATCCGGGATAGCCAGGCCGATGACCGCCTGCAAGCTCAAGCGGAGTTAGGCAAGTCGCTCCGCGGCATTACCGACGGCCTGACGGAGCTGGCGCAGCTGGGTCTGGTACGATATCTGCCCAATACCTTGTAAGTAGCCTTCCCCCCCCTCATCGCCTCCATTCTCCATTCTTCGTGTATTGACCATCGTCCCAAGCGTGGCCTTCTCGGCCTTCGCCTTCGTCTGGCACATCCTCGACGCCCAAGGCGCCCGCCGCGACCTGGGCATCTACAAGGACGTGATGTGCCTCTTTCGGAACCTGTACGAGAGCACGGACGGCATGCTGAGCTGTATCGGGCGGCTAGTGGACCACATCCGTCTGAACGAGACAATGAACCTGACGGGCGGAACGGGAGGAGGAGGAGGACTGGTTATCACGGAGCGGCAGACGAAGACCCTGGGGAGGGACACATGGGCCGATTTGCTGGTCATGAAACCAAGGTCGTATCTACGGATCGTACTCATGGTAGACTTCTCCCTGTCCATGGGACGGATGCCTGTTGAGGCAGACTTCCCTGAGCAGTTGAGGGTGGCGTGAGGAAGAAGGTTGGAGGATGGGGAGGTGCTTGGTCGAGGTGAGGTATGCTGTTTAGCTGCAGAATACCGTTAACGAGATAATACATCACCACATCAGCATGTGATTAGTCGAGTGAGCATCACCGAAGACTGTCTCAATATCTGGAACTTAGCAATGCGTGACAGGTACGGAGGGAATCTGCTGAGGTTGGAAGCCGCATTGCACCATGGCCGCTCTCCATTACTGCTTCTTGGGCGACTCCTCCAGTTCATTTCGAACCCGTCAACCGTCCAACGCCTAGTTCCAAGTGGATCCAAGGCTCCCGTCTTTTTGCACGGGATTCGCCATGGTGGCATGCTGGTTCATTACGACAGGGACTTGCTACGACATGTTAGTGGTAAAATACGACAAAGGAGTCAAGTTATGGTCAATTATTCTTTGCAGTAGTAAATTAATTAGTAGCAATTATATCTTATCTACATATGTCTGCAGATATTCATACTAATTAAATGGACATAACCAAACTCATCTTATACGCCTTCTGCGATCGAAGTCTTTGTATCTTTCTCCTTCGTCTCCGAAGAGCGTTGGTCCAAGCGGTGACCTTGGTCGTCCACCACCTCATCACCAAAAATGGCGCCCAACTGCTCCAAGGTATAGCCTTTGGTCTGAGACTCGATTAACAATCGACAGCCACGACTATCACTCCCTGGGACAAACTTACCTCCGGGAAGAAAAAGAAGACGGCCAAAAGCATGGCAACGCTGGTGCCGATGAATACGATATAGAAACCCCACTTGATGTTGGCGAGTGCGGGTGAAGCGACGGCGGTCCAGAGGATGGAGCTCAGGAAGAGGCCTTGCATCGAGAACGCGACACCTTGTGCTCTGACTTCGGCAGGGAATATCTCAGACGTGTAGACAAAAGAAGGAGCCTCGATGCCGATGGTGTAACTAAGTTCATGGTTAGAACATTCCCCGTCTTGCCCGTGCTGGGATCTCCTTACACGGCGATGATCCAAAAGATGAAGAAGCAAGCAGCCTTATTTCCGGCGGAATCAGTGCCGGCGTAGAGCTTCGTCAGAACAGTCGCGCCAATCAGACCAATGGTCACTGCCGTGTACCCCATCACTAATTTAGGTGTATATGGTCAGTATGCTGGCTGGCACTAAGGACAAGGGGTTGTGTCTAGCATACTCATCAACCGCCTGCGACCAAACCTGTCGACAACGAGCGCTCCGACAAAATTGCCAATTCCATTGAAGGTCGTCCAAATGCCCGTCATGACGTTGGACATGAATGGGCTGAAGCCGAGGCCGGCGTATATCACCGGAGAATATGCTAAAGCCCGACGTCAGAAATTGTTAGCAGCCCGAAGGGGGGCAGAAAGGCTTACTCAAGAGGACCACCAATCCACTGCACTGAGTGCCCATCATTGCCACGAACCCCAGAAGGAATCGTTTTCTCATGGAAGGGATTTTCAGGGCTTGCCATGTGCCGATTCTATTCTCCAGTTCCATGTCGATCTGAGCCGTCATGATTTTGAATTCTTGTAGTGCAAACGAGTTGGTCGAGTCCTCCTTGTCACGGTGGAGTTTCACCATGACCTCTTTGGCCTCTTCCGGTCTTCCGTGCGCATACACTGTTGTGGGGATTAGCAGAGGGCGCGTCGAGATGGGCGAAAAGGTAGCACCTACACCACCTCGGGCTTTCCGGCATGTAGAACAATATGCAAAACAGTGCGAAGGGGAAGACAGTCTGGATGGCCAACGGGACTCTCCAGGACACCTGACCGCCGGTCTTGAAGAAAGCGCAGCCCAGCCACTGGGCCATCATATTGCCGAATCCAAGCGCCGAACCTGAGAGGAGTGAAGTATCAGCTCAGCCATCCCATCCATAGCAAATGTCAGTTTCCCAATGCCGTACGTACCATGCAATCCTACCATGAGCCCTCTCTCGTGTGGCGGTGCTACTTCGGCCTGATAGAGTGGAATGCCTGGCAGAAGTACTCCAATGCCGACGCCAATGACCACCCGGGCAACGGCAAGCATGGCAACATCCACACAACCTGCCTGCAGTGCGCCACCGACGAACACACACACGCAGCCGAAAAAAAGCGGAGGCTTCCTGCCCCATTTATTCGATATGAACGAGTATAGGACGCCGCCGATGACAGCTCCGACATAGAGAAGGCAATTCCACGCGGCGATGACGGAATTGGCGTAGCCTTTCCCTGGCCCGGTAGTGTCCAGGCCAATGTACGTGAAGAAGTCGGGCTTTCCCAGCGTCGTAGCGAGGATGGAGATGACGTAGCCATAGGTAAAGCTACCAATGCAGGCCGCAAGGACCACCTGTGAGGAAATCAGCACAACGGCAAACACCCGTCTCGATGATTCCCGTGCTCACTAAAAGGTTATACGCAGATTTCTTCTCCATGGCGAACGAGGACTGGAGAGATATATTATCCAGAAAATTGAGACAAAAAGATACTGGTTGGCAAGTTGGGTTTGAGAGGCAAACATAAACATCCTGTCTTCTTAGTAAGGGAGGGCTATCGTGCGGACTTATATCATCTCTTTCTTAAATGGGGGAGGTCGGCTTTCCAACATGCGCGGCCTTCGCCGAAAGCTGATAATGCCCTGGCGACCTCCCCCCGCGCCTTTCGTAATCGCGTAGCAGGTCGCCCGGGTTCAGGGGGGAGATTAAGGAAAAGGCTCAAAACTCAATACGTAGTTAGCCCCTGGCAGTACAGGACTCCCTCGAATATTCAGCCGCTCTCTACCAAAATTCAATCTTCCTTGTGGGATGCATTGAAGCAATCTGCCTCCATGTCCATGCAGTGTGTGCGTCTAGATTCAAGTCCGATTCGCCACACGCCTTGGCACGCTAAGAATGCGGTGTGGGGAACCAGAGACAAGGACTCGGGTGCTCTGGCTCTGGAATAGGAGAACCGATGTAACCCTGTGACTATTTCGGTGAAGGCCGAAGCCCCACCCCCGGAGCATACGGCCATGTCTCGGCTTAGACCGAGGCCTACGCAAAGGCGATTGACGAGGCCAAGGCTTCTTCCCCCACAAATCCACTTGGGGTTGAAAAGCTAGTCCGGCGACATGGGAGCCATGCCATCCAGCCCCGCGACCCCGCGTTTCTTCGGACGACTCCCGGCAAATCCCATTACGAAGTCAATCATAGGCTGGATGAGCGGAGATGGCATGCTTTCCGGTGAACACCGATACTAGATATTGCTATGGTCCAGCGCAACAAGAGGGAATTTGCACCGTCCAATCTACGTAAATTCTTCATCCTGTCTGCCTCTCTCAGTCCTCGAACCTTCCAGCCAAGACTCGCTTTTCCTCATTCGAAGCACTCGTCATTGAAGTTCGATCAGACAGGAAAGCCAAATCTCCCTTGGCTTTCTACACAGCCAGCAAAAAATGACGCTTCTCGCCGATATTGTCCAAGTGGCAACCGCCTACTGGTTGCCCCTCTTGGGCCTCCTGTTGATTTTCCACCTTGCACGCAACTACTTCAGGCCTGCCCTGATGGGCATTCCTGGGCCATTTCTAGCATCTCTGACCGATTTCTGGCGACTAGCTCACTCTTGGCAGGGAAGGGGGCATGAAGACTACCGGTTACACCGAAAATACAATTCGCCCATCCTCCGTGTTGGCCCTAATACAGTTGCTGTCGCTGATCCAGAAGCGATTCGGGTCATTTACGGGTGGAAGCCCGTTTTCCGCAAGGTTTGTTCCTCTTCCCCTCTCGACCAGCCGATGGTCAACTGAGGACAGACCCGCTGATAATACATCAGACGTTTATCTATACAACCCAGTCTCAGCTGAGCCCTTCAGGCGAATTGGTCGAGAACCTTGCTTCTATCATGGATGAGAACAAGCATACCACCTTGACGCGGCCTGTGGCAAGCGCATATGCCATGAGTACCCTGGTCGAGTTCGAGCCGCTGGTAGACTCTACCTCGCGGGCCTTCGTTAGGCAGATGGAGGAGCGCTTTATCAAACAGGGCAAAGCATGCCCGCTGGATCGGTGGCTTCAGATGTATGCTTTTGATGTCATGTAAGTCATCCTCGGCAGCATAATATTCGTCACTATCCTCCTGACAGGGCTTTCCAGTGGCGAGATCACGTTCAGCAAGAGGATCGGTTTTCTCGAGACAGGGGAAGATGTGGACCAAATGATGTATCATACCTCCCGGTTCATGGACTACACTGGCATTGTAAGTCTATCCGACGAAGCCGGCAAACACCGCGATGCTGACCTGACCCCGAGATCGGCCAAGTCCCCGCGCTCGACTGGTACTTCAGAGTCAAGAACCCGATTCTCCACCTGCTCAGGCCGACTAGCAATATTCTCAACTTCACCCTAAAGCAGATTCGCGAGCACGAGTCGTCCCCTGGAGGACATCACCGAGATTTGTTGAGCCGGTTCCTCGAAGCCCGCGACAAGTTTCCGGACATCATAGACGAGGATCTGCTCCACGATTACGCCAATACCAACGTGGCGGGCGGATCCGATACGACGGCCATCATCCTCCGAGCCATGGTCTACGAGTTTCTAATCCAACCGGAAATCTATGCCAAATTCCTAGGAGAGATCAAGACGGTCTTGAAGGCGCGCCCCGATGACAAAGATACTGACGCCCCCATTTCATGGGCCGAGGGGCTTAAGATGACCTACTACCAAGCCTGCATCAAGGAGACGTTGAGATATCACCCCGCAACTGCACAGATCCTCCCTCGGTTTGTTCCAAAAGGCGGCGTCCAGATCTGCGGCAAGTTTTTGCCGGAAGGAACCGTCGTAGGTTGCAATGCCTGGACTGTCCATCGAGACAAAGCACTCTACGGCGAGGACGCAGACATCTTCCGCCCTGAGCGTTGGCTGGAGGCCATTCCCGAGCACGCGCGCAAGATGGAGGCCCTGCTGTTTACTTTCGGCGGCGGGAAGCGGGCATGCGTGGGCAAGAACATCGCGATGCTGGAAATCACGAAATTTGTTCCGGAGCTCTTCCGACGTATTGAATTCGAGCTCGTCGACCCTTCGCGGTACAACGTCTCCTCGACTTGGCTGGCCGTTCAAGGTGGCTTGGATGTGAGAATGAAGACCCGGTCTCCCAGCTCCCTTCTCGAGGACTAGTCGGGGAAATCACAAGGACAGGAAGCTTTTCTAAATTTCAACCTGGGCGGGTAAAGGGCTTTCAAGTAAAGTGCGTTGCTTATTTAAAAGAGATGGCTTATGATGTGCCTAACGTTTGTATAGCTTTACCTACTTATTTAAACCACAGGGATTGTTGGGTATGCTGATCCGGGCTTTCATTGACGTTTTGGGCATCAGGATTACAGAATGCATTCAATCCTATCGGCGGAGAGATTGTAGCCGCGTGGCAGGATGATATCTCTGTCTTTGTGGTTCGGCCGGGCTGGAAGGAGGCGTTGTAGTTTAAGCTGAGACGAGGTTCATAGGCTCTGAACGAATCGGCTAAATGAATTCTACTGGCTTGGGACTAGACTGGGGCAAGTACTGTACAATCCTGTGCCAGCCAGAGTAACCGTCACGAGGGAGACCCAGCTTACAATCAGTAATGGTAACTCGTAATTAGGGGATCCTGAGAAGTCATCACCATGCAACTAGCTGCTGTAGGGGCATAGCATAAAGCTCCGCGGTTTGAACCATTTCTAAACTACAAAAGCACAGCCATTCCTTGTGCATTCTTGCCGACGCCCAAGGCCTGCAACTCAGCGTGCTGTACCTGCTGCTTGCTAATCACATCCAACACCGCCACCGCAGGCTGCGTCGTGCCGTCACCAGGGCTCAAAGCATAGAGAAAGTTCCCCGCAACTTTGAGGTCAATCAAGCCCGGATCGCCGTTCGCACTGAGGTCCACAGTTGCCACGACACTCGCATCTGCCAACGACATCTCCACTACACGATTCACGCCAACATCCGTGACAAACGCCGTGTTGGTCGCCAGAGAGACAGCGGCCCAACAGGTAGCTTTCTGACCGTCCAGTGCCGTCTTTCCCTTGACAGTGGCAGCGCCAGTTGCAAGATCCACAGATAGAACCGCCGCTCCGAACGACGCGTCAGTCACAAAGAGGTCGGTGGAGCCTGGAATTGTCGAAGATCCGAAGAGAACGGCAGTGCCGTCTGGCGAAGACGCTGTGCCTTGTGCGCTAACAGCAGCAGCTGCGGCACCGAAGCGTAGACCATTCGCTTTCGCCTGGACCTGGAAGGACGCGAGGAACCCAGTATTGTTCTGGGCTGGATCGCCCTTGACGGTGCTGAACAAGGTGTTCTCGTCGTTTGAGAAAAAGACTTGGGAGACTGTGTTCGTCGGTCCCACTGGTGGCGTCGTTTGTTGCAAGTCGATTACGCGAAGACCATCCATGGCGGCCATGCCTCGTGCAGAAAAGGACGTGCATGAGATACCGGCTTTTGCACCAGATGAACCAACGCAGACCAGTCTGTTCTTGTCCGACGCAGCGACGGTGTTGGGGAATTCGCCGAGTACCGCCACTGGCTGACCAACCATGCTGAGCCTGGTGGGATCTGCCGGGTTGATCGCAAACATGCTGACGGTGTTGGAACCAGCATTGACGGCAAAAAGGTTCTGGCAGGAGAGACGTTAGCAGGTTACACGACAAGGGGTAGCCTGTAGGGAATTCTTCTAGTGGGCCACGTACACTGCCTGCTATAGTCAGGGCCGACTGCGACACCAGAGCATCCGGGGCGGCAGGCTGGTTTGTCGCGCCATCGATAGAATTCGCACCTGCACCGCCCGTTGCAGTAAATGTACCGGCGGCCGATAGCAGGCCATCAGCTCCGATTGGCAAGGCAACAACCGCATTCACCGCGTCGTTGGTGATGAAGTAGATGGCCTTCCCAGTCGCAGGATTTGGTCGGACACCGGTGCGGCAGGCCGAAGCTTCCGGCACTATCAGCGCCAGGAAGAGGAGAGACGTCGTAAATACATGAGCATACATCGAGTCTGATGAACAGAAAGAACAATGGGAGACGGGGAGGAAGACAGTGCAAACGAAGCAAAAGCGATTGACAATCCAGCTGCCGAGGTGATGGGTGCGGAATAAGACCGAAAGAGCGAATGAATGCTTCAGAGAAGGGAGTCGACTGAATATGTCAACTGACAATGCTGAATATCTGAATATATATGTTGCGATAGAAATCCACAGTCGGAAACTGCCGGGTAGAGGTTCAATTCCCTCCCGAGCATTTAGGGTAGATGAAGTCGCAAACAGTTACTGTTTTACACAGTAGATAGGAAATCAGAATTTCCTTTTCTGGAAGGTAGGGGGAATGTTCCAAACAAGCAGATGAATCATCCCTACCGAAGATGAAGGTGGGGGATGGTCTGGTTCTGGTACCTGGAGTAATCAAAATTCCCTATTCCTGACTTAAAACTCGCGGTAATCAAAATCTCCTAATCTGGAAAGTGGGGCAGGGTTTCAAACTCAGGGTCTAAAGTAACCCCTGCAGACCAACAAGGATGTGCTATTGTAATACAGGCGCACACAGCACACTAACCACCGAAGAGACTCATCATCTCCGGACAGACATCGAGCCCATTGGAGAATCCGGTAAATGTAACCCCTCCTTCCTTAGGTATTTTGTACTGAAAACGGGTGAAAAGCCTGAGGCTATTTCCCCCATGCATTTGCCTAGATCAGTCCCTGTCCACATGTCATGCAACTTTAGGTGGTGCGAGTTCAAGAGGGCCAAATAAAGTGGGGCGTGGCACGGGTAAGATTGTCTGTGAAGGATGGTTTCTTTGAATTTTTGTTTGCACTTTGCATCAAATGCGCCGAATATGGCATCCCGACCCGTTTCCAAGCCAACTATGTGTTCTCCTTCGCGACCAATTACGGAGCAAAACCGGCGTTTTCCGCTGGACACTACAAAGGACATCTCATTGATATCAGACCATGAGCTCACGCGGCTGTTCTGCACAGGCCCTGTTCTTTATGAGTTCGGAAGTAGCAAGGTTGTCCGATTGTTAGAAGATCTCGTCATCAAAGGTGGTGCCTGCATGACGCGCGGGAAAGTCGAGACACAAAAGATGGCCAGTGGGAGGAAGCGATGGCGAACCCTGGCATGGGCCATTTTTCACGCACTATGGCGCCGGTCCCTTTCCGACTCTGTCAGACATGGAAGATTGGTATTACCACAAACTAGACGTCTGTCTGAACCTACGCCGTATCCCACCAGACGCCCCTCGGTTCCAGTTTGATACGTTGGCCCTAACGCACCAAGATATTGTCCGCCCCTCGGAATATAATCGTCGAAGAAAACACAGGTCGGTTGGCCTTGATCGATCGGTCAATGGGAGGAGTTTATCCTGCCGGGTTTGAGTATGCAGCGTTGTCACACCAGTGTCTTGGGGAGTGGGATAGTCAATTTCGGGAGGCTGTGCTGGCGGAACTGCCGGACGGGGATGACAAGGTGGCGAACCAGTTGAAGAAAATCGCCTATGGACTCACTACGGGTGCTTTTCTTTAGTGTCTTTCCAGTCCGATTTTGTGTTCCATTAAAACACAACCTAACTCAGCGCTTGATACCTTAGTAACCAGTGACTCAACAACAAAAAGAAAGGGAAGAAGGGCAGAAGGGACTGCACAGAGAGTGCCGCCGTCCTTGGCTACCTCGACGTTGTACAGCTGTTAGTGGAGAACGAAGCTGATGCACTCCACCTCCTCATAGGGTTAGTCCTCCCTGATCAGACGGCAGCGATTGTCAGCGTAGATGGGACCGGACGCCTTCCAGCCATGGCCTGGAATTCCTGGAACGAGTACGGCTGCAATATCAATGACGATGGCTTCCACAAGGTCGGCCAACCGTTGGTCTCGTTGGGCCTAAGCGACCTAGGCTACCGATATGTCAACATCGACGACTGCAGGAGCGACAAGCAGAACAGACGGAACCTAACCACCAAGGAGATTATACTGCCCAAACAATTCACTCGCTCGGGCTGAAACTGGGAATATACAGTGATACCTCCTTGGGATTGCCTAACTATCTCGCTCTTTGCAATACTAACTAACCGATGAGGTTCGAAGGCACCGACACCTGCGGAGGTTATGCAGGGGCACGACTGCGATTCCAAACTGATGAGAAGACCAGAATTTCCCCTTTGGTACTCGTGCCCGTCCCCACTTTATTTGGGCGATTCCCCGATTTTCGTCCACAATGACGCAACAGTTCCGGCGAAAAGGGAGGTAGCATCTGAAACTGATCTCGTCAACATTTCTGGGATTCTCAGAAAAGCCAGGGGTTAAAGAGCAATATTAAGGCGGCTTTTAAGTTCTCGGGAATTAAAGATTGGAGCCTAGGGTCTGTGCAGGCAACGTGCTACCGGGCTGGAGGACATATTTTCTGACAGGTGGCAGCACTCTTTTTTCCGCTATTAACCCTCACCATGGGGGATCGGTTTCGCAATCACAGAAGCGGGAAATTCCGATAACTCAAGTCGCACAGCATTGCCGCAAACCCAAGTCGCAGTCCCTGGAACACCAGCACCCAGCTCATCCCGGCAAAGTATGCCTCGGCTGGAGATGGAGACTCCATCATTCACTGTTGCTTAGACGGGACGGTCCCTACGCCGTCTCGGAAACAATCTCTGACAAGACGATGTTCTTTATAAAGCTGCATTTCCCAGGATCACCAGGTTTGTATAATCATAGCTTCATAATTCCGTCTGCCGCGGCCTGCCTTTCGTTCCTAGCCTCGTTTTGCAGATAATATCTTCCTCTGCGGCTACTTAGGTTCTTCCCTCTTCGACGGTCACACCGGTCCCAGCCCCATCCATTTCCAGGAAGGAGGAGGCAAACAGTTCACCAAGATGCAGTCCTTGATGTTGCTGGTGTCTGCACTGGCTGCCACCGTCCTTGCTGTCCCGATGTACCCTGAGCTCAACATGAACGCTGTCATGCCCCGGGAACTGGATGACATGACACACTATTTCAACATGCTAGCAAGCAAAGTCCAGGTAAGCGAGGACATGTCGTTCGCCCCGGTGTGTGATGCGTCGAGGATAGTCATGCCGTTATGTTGGTTCCCGTTAAAAAAAAAAAAAAGCATCCGCCTGGCGTTCACTAATGAAGAACCCAGTATCACCAACACCACTACCACCCCCCAGTCCAGGACTCACCCTCAAGCACGTCGCAGTCGGTCGGGGTACGCAAAATTACACATGTGACACGACGAACTCAACATCAGTCCCGGTCAGCATCGGAGCCAAGGCGACGCTCTTCAATGCAACTTGTGTGGCGGCCACATACCCGGGCCTGTTCAGCTTGCTACCCAAGGTGGTGTTGGGGCTCAATCTGGAACCAGGCGCAGCTCCGATAAACCCGGCCATCAGCGGCCAGCACTTCTTTCTGGCCACCGGGGTGCCCTTCTTCGATCTCAACACGCCCGCCATGCAGCTGGGCGAAGCACACTGTGCCCTGAACAAGTCGATCCCGGCGCCGCCGAATGCACCCCGAGGCCGCGTCCGCGAGCCTGCCGTCGTCTGGCTCAAGCTGCTGACCAAGAACGGCACCACGGGCAACCTTCAGGAGGTCTATCGGCTGCAGACCGCCGGGGGTTACCCCCCCGGAGACATGTCGGGGCATGCCGGCTGTATTCGAGCGTCAGTATGCAGCCGAGTAAGTTCCTTCTTCCGACCTCGCACTTGCCTGATTTGATCAGATGAGCTAATTATTAGCCTCAGATACTGGTTTTACGTGTCGTAGAACAAAAACATCAATGGAACGTGCTAGGAATGATTGGGGCTCGCACCAGTGTTTACTGTTGAAGGTATCAGGGGGTCTGGACCCACTTTTGTCATGCCCGAATCTCGGCACCGGGTCCGGCCTCGGGGCTCGGCTATTCACGGACTTTCAAGACGAGAACTCGTCCAGATCACAAACTTCCGGACTACCACCTCACAGCTGTATAATTATATGTAAATTAGGTCCGACCTCTTCCCTTAGACAGGTTTATTCATCTCTTCTTCACCGCTTCAGTACGTGACCAGAATTGCCTTGAATCCTAAGTAGATGGAATCCAGTGGTGAGATTGTTGGCAGTTCACCACCTCCAAGCCCTGGTCAAGAAGATGGCAATTGCCCAAGATCAAGCAACCTTCCGTACCGATAGGATGGCAGTGAGAGAGGTGATCGGGAATGGTCGAATGTATTTAATCTATCTCTGCTAAGCTGACCTAAATAAACCAACTTGAATGGACAAATCCGAAAACAAAGCGCGGAACAGCCAGAGTAAAAATCAGCCCAGAGCAGAAGCCATATGTCATCCTCATGATGTAGCAAATCCACGGCGACAGCCATTAGTGGCAGATGAGCAGGGTCAAAACGCCCGTCCAAGCATCAGTGTCTCGTACACCACATTCTGGAGGAACACCACCTGGACCACAGCGCCGAACCTGGAGTTATTGTTAGCCATATGCGCGATGCAATGAGGTACTCTCCCTCTACGGTATGGAAGCATACCCATGACACTTGACCGTGTCTCGCAACTTCTCCGCCAGCTTCCGCAAGGTTCGTACGTCGAGCCCACCAAAGTGCGGCTGGGACCGGACATAGCTCCATGCTTGTACCGGCGTGACCTCACCTTCCGAGCACACGCCTGGTGCAAGATTGAGCAGACGGTCGAGTAAAGCAGCCGGAGCTTCCTCGTATGAGGGGAGGACAGGTTCGTGTGATTCGGACGGGGGTGAGGGAAACGAAAACTGCAGCTGCGCCGAGGTTGTCAACGCGTGGCCGGTTGGCTCGTGAGGTTTGTTTGGATCTCCGGCGAGGTGTCCTAGACAGGGATGTTCTAGCCTTTTTCAATGGGCGTTGGTTAGTGCGGTGTATGTACAGTACAATGCAAAGTCTCCTTTCCTTTGCTTGCCACCTTGTCTTCGGGAAGGCGACGACTTACGTCAAGACAAATTCCATGCCCACCACCGCTGGATCAAGTTCGCAGAGCCGGGTGCCATCGTGACAAGGGGGCACGGACACTTTCAAATCCCCACACCATGGTTCTGCGCGTGTTGCAGGACTATCTCGGTAGTATCTCTGCACGGAATGATCTGCTCGGTCTTCAGCAGAGGCGTAGTCGCTCAGCCAGTCTGGTAAGGCAAGCTGCGGAGCCGCCTCCCGCGGAGTATTTGCGGGCCCGGGAAGGTGCTCCGGGGTTACACCTGCGGCGTTTTTGCTCCGTCCCGCGAGGCGAACCGGGTATGCTGTGTGGACAGGGGGGTTTCCAAGGGCGCTCGCAGGCTCCCGGCCTGCCTCCTCGTGCACATCGTCGTATGAGAAATTAGCTGGAAGAGGTATCCCGTGTTGGGATAGAACTCCAGTGAGCATCTGGACAGTGTCGTGGAGATGTTGAATCTGGCGCATCAGATTCGCCTCGCTGGCCCGAGTCCGTGCAATCTCTGCTTCGAGAGACTTCGTGTAGACGTCCTTACGATCTCGGTAGGATCTGTTTTGGAACGGTCAGCTATGTCAGGGAGAATGTGCGAGCACTTGCTGTTGAGCTCGCCGCAGTTGAGCCCGTCGTTTCTCAACGGGGTCCTCTTTGGGCCCTGCCCTAAAACGTTAGCGCATCGTCGGAACTGGGATGAGAGAGGCCGGGGCATCGGGACGGAGAGGCCGGCTACTGGTCGGATGCATGGCTACCCTGCAACACACCTTTTGGGTTGAAAATCCGGAAAATGTTATTACTCATCGGAGCGTAGTTGAACGAGGAAAAATCGGTTTTGCTTCGTCCAAGATTGGCGGGGAGATCCAAATTAGGAGTGAGAGGGCAACAGGCCGTATGAGAGGGCGAAGGGAGACAGGCCAACAAAGCTTTGCTCGAGAAACTAGCTTGACGGTGTTTCGATTATTATTGCAGGATGAGAGTTTTGCCAGGTGCGATTTATCATCTATCTTCCGCGACAGGAGTTGAGACCGACCGACGCCTTGGGAGAAATGTCCGTGCAATGATCAGGCTGGGGCTGATCCTTGCATTGACATTGACACATGGGCCTGTTGCCGCTAGACCCCAATGCAGGACTGGTGCCAAGATCGGCTATAATGCCCCCCCGAGAATCCTGGGTTGCACCGTTTCAAGTCTCGATGAGAAATCAGAATTTCCTATTCTGGTAAAGCCCTGGCCCACTCCAAGGGCGAGAGAAAGGCCACCACCTAGCATTGCCAGAATGAAGCCCTTTCAACTGTAACAGCAGGATAATGACCTGTCAGCTGAGCTGACATCAACAAGTATTGCAACGGAACCATGGTCAGAGAGCCGGCGATTATGTTTACTTATTTATCTCCCCCGTTCTGCCCTCTTGGCTTTCATACCTGGCCCTTTCAGTCGTCGTACCTCTTCTTATTTTTGGCCCCAAGTCTTTCACTATTCCCTTCTTCTCTTCTTCCGTTCATTTGGCGCAGTTGCGAGCCTGGAAGCTTTGCAACATGTTGTCCCTATTTTTTTCTGCCGCGCTTCTCGCATCAGCTGGCCTGACTGACGGCGCCGCTCTCGACCATTCCAGAGCCAAGCCCGACCTCGGCCCTCACCTCTTCAGACGGCAAGACCAGCAGAGCTGCTTGAAAGGAGACTTGATCCAAAGTGCCAGTGCTCTGACGGGCCAAGTGTCTGGTACCTTGGGAATCAAACCAGGTCAGGCTGCGTCTGCAACGTAGGTACCCAAAAACGACAGCTTGGAATACTTATGTCTTTGTTGGCTCACATACTCTAGCGATGGCAACAACTTCATCAACTTCTGCGACGGCAAGGAAATTACCAACGGCAAACAAATCACTACTGGGTCGTGCAACGGCATCCCCATGGGCAATATCCCCGCCGTCGGTAACATGATCTCGGCGATAATCACCAACCCTCAACCAGGCGACAAGCTTACCTCCGATACCACGTTCAATGTCTCAGTCCAGACGGTTCATCTCAAGGCCGGCAACTTTGTCAACCCGACGACCAACTACTACACGGCGCCCCAAGACCTTGACAATAACGGAGACATCATTGGCCACTGCCACGTCACCATCCAGGACATCGGCGCGCTGGACTCGAGCACCCCACCCGACCCAAGCAAATTTGCCTTCTTCAAGGGCATCGATGATGCCGGCAATGGCCAAGGTCTTTTGCAGGCAGTGGTCGACGGCGGACTTCCACCCGGCACATACCGCGTCTGCACCATGATTGCAGCCCAGAACCACCAGCCGGTCACCATGCCCGTCGCCCAGCGCGGAGCTCAGGACGACTGTACCAAGTTTGAAGTCCTCGCTGCGACAGGGTCCGGGCCTTCTTCCTCGAAGAACCAGAAGAATGGCGACATGACGAAAAATCAGGACCAAGAAGGGTTTGTGGAGGCTGGAGATGGTGTGAACGACAACCAGGGCCAGCAGGGCCAGGGCCAGGGACAGAAGGGTCAAGGCCAGGGACAGCAAGGCCAGTGTCAGGGACAGCAAGGTCAAGGTCAAGGACAGCAAGGTCAAGGCCAAGGACAGAAGGGTCAAGGTCAGGGGCAGAGACAGCCAGCACAACAAGGAGGACAAGGAAGAAAAGAGCGTCAGAGATAATGAGCGAAATAGGCAGCAGGTGGAATGGTACAGGAGACTCAGCACATGTTTAGGATAGTTGGGGAGCATCAACAGCTCCTGGATGTTACATTGGTTTCTTTGGTACTAGTGGCCTTATGAGCTAGCTTATGGCGATGTGGAGGCGCATCAATCGTTTATTCTTATTTATTTTGACCAGAAACTGGCCAGAATCTATTCCGCAGTGTCAGGATCGTGTTTTATGGGTTTCCCAATCTCCGAGTTAGATGATCCCCTTACGGCCCCGCCCCTCTCCTTCCGGCCTGATTTAGACCGTGGCCCAGATCATTTGAATCCCAGGCAGACGACTGCCCTTGACAGTGTGAGTCCTTCCACATGCACCTCAACCTATCATGAAAACCAGAGATGTGAACAATGCCACCAAAAATTCGGGATGGGCATTAATTGAGGCGGGCAATGTTCTCGTGGCGGCGTTGGTGGCTGCCGGTGACGCCCCGCCAGTGTCAGTTGGCGATGATCCGCCTGTTCCGGCTCCGGTTCCGGTTCCGGCTCCGGTCCCATGTCCATCCTCATCAAACAGCTCTGGGAACCTCCGCATCGAGTTGGCATCCTTCACGATCCAGTGCTTGATGACCGCAGTGCCGTTCTCGATTGCTGCGATTTGGTCGTCTGTGCAGGTCCCCAGGTCGTAGACATAGCAGAACATGATCTCGGGCTCGGGCAACTCGTTGCGGAAGGCCAGCGTGTCGGGTGGCCCCTCGGTCGCGTAGCTAGCGTTGGCGGCCGTGTCGACTTTGCCAGTGGCAATATCGCGGTTGAACAGCGCGCGCGTGAAGATGGCGTACGCCGTCTCGGGCTGGTACGCGGGAACCTCGTGGCCGGCGTCGTAGACGCGGCTGAAGGACAGGTTGCCGTACTGCCGCACCTGCCCACCCACGTAGCTCTCGTTGGCCCGGATGGGCGCGTACCCTGCCCCGGCAAAGTCGTCCCCGCCTTCCCAGTCGATGGCCAGGCTGACGGCCTCCCCACCGAACCAGTTGCACGCATAGTCGCGGTCGCCGTACACCAGCGCCACCTTGATGCCCCGCTCCAGGAGGTAGGCCAGGTCCTCGAGCCAGCCCGGCCGCGGGTAGTCACCGATGCCCCGGAACGCCGAGGAGACGGCGCCGTTGGACTGGGTGAAGTTGAGGGGTACGCCCAGCGCTGCCTGCACGTGCGGCTGGTTCAGCCAGCCGACGTAGAAGGGGAAAGTGAAGGGGTCTGGGTCCTTCTGCCCGATATCGTAGTAGTTGCGCCCGGAGTAGTTCAGGTACCCGTCGCGGATGTTGGCCGAACACCAGCTCTCGGCAGTGGCGCAGACGTGGTTCACTCTTTCGTTGATCCCCGTGTTGTCGGGGTCGTATTCAATCGCCAGAGCCCGGCATTCATCAATCTGGTCACGGCACCCTCCCGGTCGAGTAAAGGCATCGGTCATGTCCTCAAAGACGGATTGGTTGATCGTCTTCAGGCCATAGGTGTTGTTGTACGCCTGCTGTGGATAGGATGGCCACTGGACCTTGCGATCGATGCAGCCATTGATGATCAAGAGGGTATCCAGGTTAAGGATATGCTGCGTGCCCTCGGTGCCGTTCCAGGTCCCATTGATGATTTTCTCGTTCTGTTCCTGGATGAACGAGGCAAAGCTGGGCCCATACCGGCCCCCGTAAGACTCGGTCGCGATGCTGATGCGCGAGTCTTTGGGATGGTACCCCGGAAATTCCTGGAACCATACCTGGGCAAAGTGCCACATGGCGATGGCGGCATTGCGTGTGCCCCGGGCCGTGGAGTTGCGGTCTTGGCTAGGATACGTTCCGACGCGAAACGTCGCGTTCTGCTCCCCAACCTCGGCGTTTTGATGCAGAATTTCGATCTCGCCCGTGACAAAATTGTTCGTATAGTTTGCCAGTACATCATACGAGAAGCCGACCTGGGTAGGCTGGTCGAGGAACAGCATATTCACTGGGCTACGTTAGTCCTGTGACGGTGGCGTGGGACATATTAATTCCTAGCCGGGGTTGATCACTGACCCTCGTTGTTCCAAGCCCAGGGGTTCAACTTTGTTGAGTTTGAGTCCGGGTTGACATGGCAAGGGCCGTTCTCATCGAGGAGCCCTAGCATCGAACTGGACCCTGGCCCGCCATTTAGCCTACACTTGGAGGTCAGCTCGCGATCCGAATAGGTACAGTACATGAGTCTCAGTAGTCCACTCACCAGATACTGAGGGGGGCATTTGCGGGGTCTTTCCGTGATTCAAAGAACCAGAAGAAGGTGTTGATGGGGTAGTCATTCTTCGACCCCAGATCCTCAAGGGCACCAGGAGGCAGATGGATATAGCCCGAGTACGACTTCACGCCGGGTGTCGTTTCGCAGATGCCAGGCTGAACACAGGTGTAAGACCGAGTCCAACTTGATTGCCTTGTCAGGCAAGAACTTACCTCCTTGTAGCTGATAGTGACCCGGTCGTCGAACTTTGACTTCAACAAAGTCACCCCCTCTGGGGTAGGGGGAAACTGGGCCGTGGCGCTGCCGGCCAAGCAGCCGAAGAGGATGGCAAGCCTAAGAGAGAATTGCATTCTAGAACCTTGCTAAACCTGTAGTAACTGGGGGTCTTGGGAATTTCCAAGCGACTACTGGAACAGTGGTCGTCGCTTCGCTTCAGCGTTCTCCTTGAAGAATTCGTGACATCGCGAGTGGCCGCCGAGCCGGCTGGTCGGTCTTTTAAAGAGGAAGCGGGCACCCCTGCCGGATGCTTGGATCTCGCCATCTCGCAGCAGGATGGCCAAGTGTTTGTTTTGTGTCGATCCTCGATCCTAGTTCTGTTCATCGTCTCGGCAGCTTCCCGAATCCGCTAATCCAACCAACAATTGCCCCGCACTGTTGATACAGCACACCATTCAGGAAGGTGAATCCCCTCGCCGCAGAATTACCCCGCATCTACTTCAACACCAGTGCTGCACCTGGCCTGGGGTCCCATTGATAACAGCGACAACTTCCCTTCCCGGAACCGACGTCGCAGTGCCAAGCGATCGGCCAAAGGTTGGTGGAGCTTGTTTGTGTTGCCTCACCGAACCGCTGCTTCTTTCGGCTACGGCTTTCCGAGAAACCTGCATCGTGGTAAGTAGCTCCAATCTGGTCGGTAAGGGCGGTGCCGTACAGGCAAGAAGCGCGAGAAACAACTTTAGGTGCTTCTAAACCGGTTGGATACTCCGTGTCTCGTCTCCTTCTTCTCGCTGTCTTGAGTGTTTGTTTCGGTCCCCTATGCTTTCACACTCCCCCAAACTCTGGGTTCTTTTTCGATAGACCAAAGGTCGAATGTCAGTTGTTATATCGATCGAAGCGGGGGCGCTGCTGGTAACCTGCCATATGCCACCCGTCAGGGAACTAGCCATGACGTGAGTCTTTTGTTAAGAAGAGCAACTTTATACAGTAGTTTTTTAAACTAAAACTAAGGAGCGAACTAATTAGAGGCAGAAAAAGGGAAAAGGAGAGAAGAAAAATGGCAAGAGGGGAGAGGCAATAGTTGGGGAAGTAGAGAGAAGCGTGATATTGCTACCTATGCTAACGCCTTAGACCCCTATATTCAAGTATGCAACAGTTAGACTGCCTTGGAGTGAAACATGTCCGAGACCTTTCGGCTAGTCTTCTGAGAAGTGAGAAGAAGCCACATTAGAAACGTAAACACCGTCAGCCCCCCAGCCACGCCCAGAAAGACCCAAAAGTATCCAGAGATTACGTGTTGTCCGTCCCGGGCGTTCCAGTTTAACACGTTCATGGAGAAGATGGTCTCCAAGAGGAGGTCAGTCAGTAAAGCTCATAGCCAATGCGTCAAAAGTATGGATATCGCATACCGCGACTGAGGTGACAGGCAGGAAGAACATGGTTAGAAAGGCGATCGTTCTCATTTGATAACTATCTCGCGTATCCCCCAGAGCGATGGTTATGTTGAGCTGCGTCAATACCTGCACCTCCATATTAGAACGCTGTGCTCGATATCCTGTGCAACCGTGTGTAACTCACAGTCTGTATTGTGTGAGACATCTCCTTCATGTAGCTTTCGCATTCTTCGATTTTTCCTTGGTACTCGGCGGAGATCTCTTGGAGACGCAGCTGTATCCGTTTTCCGATGGCACAAAGGTCATGTTCCCTGGTCAGTTCGGTCTTATTGAAGAGTTCCCCGCCCATGCTAGCAGCGCCTAGCTCGGCTTGAAGTGCAGGAAAGCTAGGGAGCTCTTCGGCGAGGTTGATGATCTTCTTGAGCTGTCGTTGAACTTCCTTAAAGACTCTCGCAAGATGGTTGGAATTGGCATAATTCTCAAGCGAGTGAGGGACCTTGCCGTTGCCGCTAATGATTTCTCGTAACTCTCGCCCTCCTTCGGGGAGCCCAACGGACTCATCTACGAAATTGTCAACAACAGTGTTCACAGCTTGAACAAGTCTGGATCTCTCAAGTTCGCAAAATATTCCGACCGCAAATAGTGGATGCAGAAATGCGTCCTCTGAGTTGCGTAGCCTAATTATGATCTCGTTTCTTTGTTCGGGGCTGCATCCGTAAAAGACCCCGAGGGTTAACCCAAGTCCCGGGAGGAACGTGGCCGACAAGGCCAAATCGTCAGGCCAAGCGGAATTCATTCTAGCCGTGAAGACTGCCCGGGGTGCTCAGTTTATCATGTTACAGCATTAGAACGACAGACTCCCCGTACAAATTGCTGGTTCGTTCTCAGAGTTCTCCCTGCCGCTGCTTACGTGGCAGAAGGAGGATTCTCTCCTCTTTATTGCCCGCGTGACCGTTCGGTGGATGTGAAAACCGTCCATGATTTTTTTGGAAGGTGTCGCGCGAGAATGGTACAACTTCGACGGGCGCGTTTCGGCCCTCGACACAGGCACGGCTGCAGAGTCTGCATCAACCTGTATTAGACTAATTTGTGGCGCTATGGTATACATTGTGGATCTGGATAAATACTAACATGAGGCACAATCCTCTGGCTTGGCTAGATCTATGCTTTTGACTCGGGAGTTCCTGTCCTGGTTAGCATTAAGACCCTGGAATAGGTCAAGGGTTTGCTGAACATTCTCGAGCCAGTCTGTCCACTCTGACTCGGTCGAAAGCTCCCAGGAGCTCAGGTTCTGCTCCACCGGTCAGAAGAGGAACACCTCTGTGGCTATGTTTTCATGTTTTCTGGTGTGACGCACAGCATCGGTAGAAACCCTCCTCACTATTGTAGTCGGCCGGGTCAAATACTCAAATTTGTCAAAGTCTCCCTTGGAGAACTGCGGTTGTTTGGAAGGCCACTCCATAATATAATGACGTCGGGGACGCTTCAAGTGTGTAAGATAAAAGCAATCCCTGGGTTTCTGTGCCCCCCAATTCTCTCGAAACATTCTCCATGAGCATGGTGGTGCTGTTATCAAAGATTATGTTGCGCAGAGATGATCCTTATGGCAGGTTAGGCGACAAGGCTTGAGATTAGGCAGATAACCTGGCGCTCAATCAGGAGTCTTGATATGTTCGCGCTCCTGTTCTTGGGCATACATGCAGGTGGGCAGTGTATCTTGTGAAGGGGGGTTGTACGGAGTACATAAACGATACCAGTAATATTGTTTGGTGTGGCAGTATTCGTCCTGTGGTGGCCGTGGACGTTGACGCACCGCTTTTATGGCAGGTAACACCAAAGGATGTTCGGGCTGTGCTTGCCATCTCACTGAGACGATGAAAATTTTACACAGCATGGCCACTTGAAGGACGTTTTGGGGGGGCGGGGGGGGGTTGGAATGTTCGGTACCGTAGACCGTATGTGATATAAGAAGAGCCTTTCGTTGCGGGGAAAATCGCCACAGGGAGGCTTGTTTTGTCATGCCAACTACCCAGAGACTCCCCTCTAATTCTTCGTTCACGTCCTCGCAGTGCCGGATAAAAAAAAATGACGAAGAAAAACCAAGTCGTCAAGAATGTGCTACAAATAAAGTACACCGATGAGCGTCTTCTCCGCGTTGAACTGGATGCTAGCTTCGGGCCCTGCCAGTATACCTTGAGAGTAATAATTCCGTCTCTCCTTTTCGCCATGGTTCTGACTAGCTCTTGCAATCAGATTAGGCGCGACAGGTATATCCTCGAACTTCCGAGGAAACTCTCGCAGGTAAGCTGAGATGAATCGGCCGACAAGGACACCTTCAACTTACCCAATTTAGGAAGAAAACAAGGAGTTGATGGCTCGAATTTGGGACCGCTACATTGGACAGGGAGACTCGTGACTGGCGATGAATGGATTCGTGGGCTGATAATTGGCCTGGGTTGAACAGGAAGATTAGAATGAAGCTGCTGATAATTACACTCTCGTTTTGAAGGTCTCAATTGTGACACCATTGCCCGAATGAATGGTCTGTCTTTGCATCAACCACGCCAAAATAAGACCTGTAGGCTTGATATAAGGTGTTTCTAGGCTCATACCGAGTGTTTCGAACAGAGTTCCCGTAGGTGATCTGCAAGCTGTCTCGCGGTAAACCGTGCGTGTTGGTCGACTACCAGCATGCGGGTTTCAATCACGAGTAGCAAGTCGCGCAGAAAGCCAGCCGACCTGTCGTCTGCCTTCAACCTCTGTATCCAATCCGCAACAGAAGGCTTCACAAAAGCCTCCGAGTGATCATGATTAACCCGGAAAAAGGTATCCGAGAAAAAGTATCCCATCATGACATTGGGGTTGTCCTCTTCTTCACGGGCCTCGGGAAAAGTGAATTCCACGTCTTCAAATCCCCTCAGATACCAGATAACAAACTCCAGAAAGGTCGCACCAAGGCACCAGATGTCGAATTTTCGATTGATCCGCCCTCCCTTCACGTCACACTCGGGCGGGCGGTAGGTTCGCGATGTCATGATGTCCCATGGTCTGACCACAGAACGTGACTGTTGTCGATGATATCGGCCCAGGCCGAAATCGTTAAGGACCAAGATGCCTCCAGTTCGCGCGCAGTCGGGTTGGCCCGGAAACCACAGTATGTTTTCGGGCTTCAAGTCCCCATGTCGTCCGTAGGTTGGCTCGTTACCCCGAATGGCCGGCTGCGATTCGCTGTCATCATGTATGAGCGCAAGAGCCGAGGCGAGGCCACTAAGCTGTTGCGCTATCCAAGCCGTGTGGCAAGTGTCGGGGCGGCGATGTTTCCAGAACGAATACAAATCCGACTCGGCCCACGGGAAAACCAAGTGAAACAGTCCTCCGTTATGATTTGCTTCGAAGGTTACCAGTAGCTTGTTTAGATGGGCATTTCTTATGTGGTTGGTGCGCTTGAGGAAGTCGACTTCCCTCTTGAAAACTTCTCGATCGTTGGAGCTCAGGCTTTTCATGGCAAACAGGTGGTTGGGACCTGTCGAAGTGACGAACTAGGTATTTTTCTCAGCATTTTGGCGCAAGGTTTGGTTTGGGGCCTGTCTCGACTTACCCCGTAATCTCCAAAGTCGTAGTGGCATTCATGCAGTTGAATTTGCTTGACACCGTGGGTCACAGGGGTGTCCGGTTGCGGGTTCTCGTCGCCCGGTTCTCGTATCCACTTGGATTCTTCTAGGATGGGAAGAACGTCTTCCTCGCTGAGGATGTAGTGGAGCAGCCTCCCGTCTGCCGGGCGGACAAAGTATGGGGAAATGAAAGCAAACTGAACCTCGCCGAATTCCTTCACGGTTCTCTTGTCCCAGTCCTGGAGGAAGTCCACATCGACATCGGTACCGGCCTTGGTGTACATCAAACCCGTTCGGTCTGGCTTGAGACGAAGGGGAAGCTTTGAATCGTTCAGGCCATTTTTTATGAACACCAAGATGTCCTCCGCCCTTCCGAGGTGCACAAGGATTCCGAGCATTCTGCGATAGGAAGCTTTGGTTGTCAGTTTATCATCTGTGGAGAAGCAGATGTTGGAAGTTAGGCTGATATCCTCGTTCCATCTCTGCAGGGCTGTTTGAACTGAGGGCACAGAAATGACTTCCAGCAGCCGGTCCCACGGTATGAAGAACTTGGACCTTCGGCTGTCAAGTGGGTAGTAAACTTCGAACTTGTCAAAGCACTTGTTATTCAGGATATCAACTGCAGGGAGAGTAGACTGGGGCACATCTATGGGGGGTCGGTAGTCGCGAAATTGGTCACCACGGTCGAGGATTTCTGTTGCCGATGAATGTTCCATGGCGGATGCAGACGGCTGGTGCGGACAATATATCGATGGCAGTACGAAGTGACTAAATCGGAATGAAAGTCTATACAAGTCCACTTAGTATCATGTTTTTCGAGGACCGGGACTGACAGTCCGAACTTACATCCACAGCAAGGTCCAAGGCATGTGCGTACTGAGTGGCGGTGACGACCACTGTCACGGTGCCTCGATTTCGTACTAGTGCAGATCAGGAGAGCATGTAATCGGCCAACGGAACCGGTTGGCGGGCTGATCGTAGGATTGTAATGAGTCTACAAAGTACTGAACAAGAGGAAGCCGGAGGGAATATCCCCCCATTCAAACATCGTAAGCTTGAAGGCATGGAGGATTCGGGATCTTTTCAACCCTCCATCCATTTCCGCCTCGCGGCCCCTCTTAAACATCAAAATTTCTACCAGGTACACAGACCTGAATTGTCTGCTTGAAGCAGAGCCTCATTCTTTTCTCTACAGTGCTCCGGAGTGGCCCCGGGGGGAGGGGGGGATATGGCAGCAATCAAGCCACCATCCAGGCAGTGACTGGGTCGCTGCCTCAAGGTCAGCCTTGCAAGGCGCGGTTGCCTGACCAACTCGGTCAAATTTAGACGAGGCGAACATATTCAAAGAGTCGGGTCTGCGGTCGGGCAGCAGCAATATCACGGTTTCTGCATTGTCAGGGTTGCTAGCCAGAAAACTAGCAATAATCCGAGTCACCGAGCGGTCCATTGAATCTTTACCCAGGCGGATTGGCTGTGGAACGTTTATTGGGGCTCAGGGGGAGGGGGTAGAGGTCTAGGGGAGGAGGACAAGGCTTGGCCTCCCTGGAAACCGGTGAGTGAAGTTTTGACACCTTGTGGCCACGGTACAACACTGGTTTCGAGGACAAAGCTTTTGATGGAGGCCCGTCGGTACGGCCACAGAACTGTGGTGGGTGTGCTTGATCTCCCAATGTCTCGATCGATATTGGTTACCCTCGCCTGAGAACTGGTAGCATGGCGGTGCTGGTGCTGGCAGTTGGGCTGACTCTACTTCGGATTGCCTTATTGACCTTGGAATCGGTACCTCGATCGAGCCCGTCATATCTCCCAAGTTGGTTTTGCTTTCCTTATTTTCGGGGGGTTTTTTTTTCTTTCATTTTTTCATTCTTTCTTGGTCAGCTTCAGATATCACCCATGAAGGGAACATGCAGCCCCCTAGGCTATCCCGGTTGCGGGGTGTTTGGGAATGGAGACTAAAGGCTATGACCTGAGAATCATATCTCACGTTCCTCTTGCGTCACTTTCCAAGGAAATTCCCATAATTCTACATTTCTGACTGCGACACAAGATATGTTGCCCTGTCCCAAATGTAGGTAGTTAATGATTCGTCCGCTCGAAAAGAGGGTGTAGGGAGTGGTGGTGTGGTGTCCATGGCGCCACGTGTATGCAGACAAAACATGGGTTGCTTCAGGTGTGGATGGTCTTGGCCACGGTCTCACGTTCCTTGAACCAACATTTAGGGCGACAGAGCCTCAATTTGCGCTTCGTATCCTAGCCCGCCTTCGATTTGTGATGAATCATGATGGAATGTCCCCCATCCACGGAGGGTAAATCCTGCGTACATCAAACAGGGATCAACGAGACAGGGCGGCTGGCATTCTGCACGCACTGGCATTCAGGTTAGCGAGGCGCCGAGACATACCTATGATGTGGCAGCCATTCGATTGACGACACGAAATGGTCAGGTTAGCCACCTCTGGCAGTCAAGAAATACCTTCCAGCTCTGCGACTGGCTGGGGAAACGATACGCTACAATCGTTAGCCTGGTAGCAATTGCTTTGCTGTTATTGGTGTTATTGGGTTTGGTGAACGGAGTGACAACCATCGGCAGCCTGGTGCGACAGGAGCTTCCAATGTGTAAAAACTCCGGCTCCCAGTGTAACCTCTCGGGTGGAATGCCCTGCGCCTTTCCATTCAGCCAAATTCCGAGCCCTCGGACGCAAATGAGGAGGTATAATTCTCCGTCTTGAAAAGTCCACCCCCGACCCCCCTTGCTCAGGCATCCATCTCCATCGACCACAGTGCCACCGAGATAGAAGAAAGCCAGAAAGTAAAGCAGGCATGTCAAACTACCAAACGAGGCGGGAGTCGAATGCTTTTGCACAGAGACCAAACGGGAAAACTCACCCTCATGCCTCGCAGCGAATGCACCTTCGGAGTCAACTGGTATCCGGCCAATTCATCGACACGGCAAAACTCTTCAGGGTTCTAGACGACAAGTTCCAGGATGGCTACGTCATCACGGTGAGCTGGCGAAGCCCCTTGATTGTCCTTCTGAGCAGCATCGTGCGAGATCATACTAACGGCGCCTCTCACAGTTGAGGCACGACAACTACATCATCCGGGCAGATCGCCCACTGACCGATGTAAGGGTTGATATAACCCTTGAGCCTACCTGCGATGCTGACAAACGGAAGGTTGAGATCAAGAGCTGCTATATTTCTAGCTGAGGCAGGGGGTTGGGGTTCGCGGCGGCGACATCAAAGACTGCGTGAACTAGAATGATTTTCTTTTTGTTCCTAGCTGGACAGACTTTGGATCCGGGGGTGGATCCCTAGACCTCCATACTGGATAAAATTTGTCTAGGTAATGTAGTCCAGATTTGGTTAATGGACAGCGTTTGGGAGAGCAGGATTTTTCAATTCAAATACTTGTTTTATTGGCTGTCTTTCAGTCCTCTTTCAGCGACTTGGTAAGGAGTTTCTACATTGGGCTGGCACAACAGCTGCTGATCAGCGTGGCCCCCCGGGCCTTTAATATCACAGGGTGCATCCCACCTAGTCTTCCTCCCCGGCCTAACCTGTAAAATGGGTCTTGGTCTGAGCCTAAAACCCTGTCACTTATTTCTTTTGTTGCTGGCCCGATTTGTGTTGACCAATACTGTAACCGGTGAGCGCACCTGGGTCATGCGTGACTAAAGGCTCTGGTTGCGATTGGGCCCTGGACAGGGCCAGCATAGCCTCTACGGGATATTTGCACCCCCTGCTCTTCGTTGGTGTGACAGGTAGAGTATCGTTGCAGCGTGGGTCACAAGTGGGTGCCGCCATTTCCGAGACCAGCAGTAGATAACAGCTGTACCACAAATGAGGCTGAGCTCACCCTCCCTTTGCCACGGCGTTATCTTTTTATTTTGATGAGCCATTTACCTGCAGGCTATGCCACTTTTGGAGGGGTGTCATGGTGTCACAGTGGACGGAGGATGGGGATTCACAAAATGGGGTGGACCAGACGGACCACACTTAATTACCAAGCACTACAGTGTCTGGCCAATCTCCTTTGCAGGAAGTATTCCGCTACATATGTTTTAACCCGACGGCGTATCACGACTGATTGGTAGCATCACGGCTGCCGGCGCCCCCATCCTGGAAGCATCATGGTTTCACCCATTGACGACCTGACACGGCCCTGGCCCTTCTGATAATATGGCGGAAGTAGTCGACGATGTTTTGGAATATGGCCGAGAAACAGCTTCAGCAGACAAACAAGCATGCCTTCAGTGCACTTCCAGAGCTCATCCGTAAATATAAGTCCACTCCAGCTGGGTTGCTCGATTTAACACTTTTTTGGAAGACCAAGACCACAGCCCCTTCAGGAGTGAGCCGAGGCATCGGAAGTACGTACTTCCACTTCCCAGCTACCTAATCCCGCGGGTCATATACGTTGGATTTCAGGTAAGACTCACGTGATGCCCCTGACATCAAGTAGCCGTGGTTGATGTCTGCCGGCAGCAGGAAGAAATGCCAAGACAATACGACGAGACCGGAAAGGACCGTGACAAATGAACAAGGACTAATCAGATACTCTCCCGTGAGTTCTGGGGAGGCTAGCTACATGGAGGTGGTTTGAGCAAAAGTCTAGTCCAATGCAACGGGGAGAAGGGGGCGGTGGGAGTGCGCCGTTGAGCCCTGTTGGGTCTATTGTAACGTCCGGGCAGGAAAATGAAGCTAGGCTAATAAGTATCTCGTGTACTGCAACAATATTAAAGCACTTCCAAATCTGCTATCTGCGACAAGGGTTTTTACAGCTGCATATGTCTGCTAATATGGTTCGCGGTTAACAGCCAGAGAGAATGTAATTCGCATTCGTTGCTTATAGCAGCTTCTCATCCGCACTTGTCGTATCCGCAGTCCCTTCGGCGTCCCCTCTCTTCCTCGTATCAATCCACCCAGAAAAGAAACTCGAGACAAACAACAGTCCACCACTCGCCACAGCGAGGTAAAACACGCGATTCACGCTCGTGCAATATGCCTGCAGCACGCCCGGCAGCAGCTCCTCCGGGATGCCTATGTCCCGCACAGCCGACGCGCCCGCCTTAACCACCATTTCAGGATCCACGCCTGGCGCTTCCTTGGCTAGCTGGGAGCGCAGACTGGTGCTAAAAATGACGTTGGACAGTGACAAAAATACGGACCCACCCATGTACTGGCTAAAGATCATCGTGGACATGGCCACGGGGACGAGATCAGGAACGGTGGCTTGGGGAATGGCGATGAAGCTCGTTTGCTGGGCGAGGCCGCGCCCCACGCTGAGCAGGAAGAGGTAGCCGACCCAGTGGCTGGTAGACGAGTTGGGATGTAGCGTGGATAGGAGTCCGGCGCCAACGGTGCTGATCGCGGCGCCGACGACGGCAAAGGGGAGATAGAACCCTACTTTGCCGACTGTTGATGTGTCAGTCCTGTTTGCATATAATGGATCGTTTGAAGTTTTTCGGCACTCGACAACGGAAGAATAAAGAGGACTGTGGCGGTTTGTGAAGATCACTTACTCAAGAAGCCCGTCAACACTCCAAAAACGAGACTGGGCAAGATGTTGGGCAGCATGTCCACCCCACTCACAAGCGGATTCTTCCCCTTGACCGTCTGGAAGTATACTGGCATCCAGTACGAACACAAGAACGTCGACCCCATAACCGTTGTGGCCACACAGCATGACGCAATAACGATACGATTTCTTGCCACCACGGTCGGAATCAACCCATCCTGCCCTTTGTGCCAATTCCACGCCACGAACACCAAAAATGTCACCCCAGAGCCGCAGAAGAGGCCGATGATAGTCGCGCTGTCCCACGCGTACTTTGCTCCGCCCCATTGAAGGGCGAGAAGCAGCATGACAGCCGCGGGGGAGAGCAGGCAGAAGCCGACGAGGTCGAGTTTCTTGTGGAGGACCGGGAGGACCTGTCGGAAGGGCAGGAGGGGGATTTGGTCGGTGATGGTGACAAAGAGGGTTCCGGCAAGGACGACGGCACCGAGAGGGAGATTGATGTAGAAGCCTGTGCTTGTTGAGCCAGCCAGATCTTATGGGAGAATTGATTAACGTTGGGTTGACTTACACCAGCGCCATGACACCTTCTGTGTGAATGCGCCGCCGATTAGAGGTCCGATGACAACGCCGAGTTGGGAGCCTTGGTTTCAGTCAGTGCCCAGGTTTGTTTTGAATTTTTCCCACTGCATTACTATGGACATCAAGTCCATGTTCCGTCACTTACATCCAATGACAAGACTGGTCAAGACTTTTGAGATGATTAGTCAGTAGTTAATTAGCACCTGAGTAGACAAAACACGGTGGATCAACTCACAAGCCCTCTTCTCTGGTCTCAGAGCCGTTCCGATAATGGTCATGGAGCCCGCAAAGACGCCAGCTGCTCCGATGCCCCCGACAGCTCTGCCCACGATGAGCATGGTTGACGAGGTTGCAATGCCGCAGAGGAGGGAGCCCAGCTCGAAGAAGAAGAAGAAGCCGAGAAATACCCATTTTAGGCTGAACTGGGTGTATAACTTGCCGACTAGGGGTTGGATTGCCGCACTTTTGAGGGGGCCAAGTCAGTGTATCTTCTGAAATGGAGCGACAAAAGGGTTGTCCCACCTGGAGAGCTGGAAGGCGGATCCGTACCAGCTAATATCCTGCAACGAGTGAAACTCAGATGTGATTTTGGGAACCGCCTGTCGGATGGGGGCCACGACGGTTAGTTGGGCACAGTCGCGATAACAGTATAACAGTTCTAGGGCCAAAAGAGAATCTGTACCGTCGCAATAATAGTGGTGTCTAGCAAGACGAGGAAGGTAGCTGTGACGATTGAGCCCATCACGATGGGGATCTGAATGCCCTCAATGTATTTCCTGTCATCGTTCGCGGGCATGCTGGCCGTTGCGAGCTCTGGGCCGGAATGGCTTGCAAACGGTGGTCTTTCATGCTCCTGAGCTGGATTGGCGATGGACGAGAGTGTGCTCCCCGACCCTGTTGTGGCCAAGTTGGATGGCGTCGTTTCTGTGCCCATGGTGCTTCGAGGGCTGCTGATGTCGATCAACACTCGGGGTGAATTCAAGCCTGTGGGTTTTATTACCAAACGTTGTGCTCGCAAACAGTCTGCTACAGGGTCCGTGAAAGCATCAAGGAAATAGTCCCGGTGCAGTCGAAGGATGGGGTCGACCGGCTTGACTCTTGAGAATCTCACGCACACAACAAGGTGGGCTCGATTGTGACGTTGCTTCTGTGCAACACGACAGGAGACCGGGATTTCGGCCTTCTCAGAAATCCGCCGCCTGCTTATTGGCTCGAGAATCGATGTGTATATCATTCATTGGTGTGTTTGCGAAAGGTGTCTGAGTTTGGCTTTGCCCGGGATATCCGTGTCTTGGGGATTTATGTAATTCGGTCAGATTATGAATAGAGATCGGCAGGAATACAGAGAAAGATCGGCAGCTGAAGTGAACCATCGGCAGAAGCCGCGCATCGCAACCTCCACACGCACATTGGCCCTCTTAACATGCGCGCCATCTCTCTCACATAATTACAGGACATCGTATGTGATTGGCCACTTCTCTTTTCGTACGGAGCACCCTCCTCTGCCATGTCCAAAGGCACGCCTCTCTGTCCCTCCCAATACACCAGAAACCGAACGACCACAATTTTCTTTTTTTACTCTCCTCGGCTTGTCAGATGATGACGGTAATTACGGACGATCTTTCGGCCACTTTTGTGCCGCAAAGGCATTATTGCATGGTGCATGCCCCACATCAACGGAGCCCGCTCCATTCGGCGGCCGTCTTGATAGCAACCAAGAATTTGGTCTCTCTGTAAGTCGTGTAAGTTATTACTTAATTGGGCTAATTAGGAAGGTTATGAGATAAGGAAAGAATAATTCTGCCGTGACAGGGACGGCGACGGCGACGGCGGCGGTGACAAGAGATATTTCCACGTGCTAAAAATCCCCCCACCCGTCAATGCCTGTGGTCGTCAGCAATCCTATATGGAAATCAGTGCTTCAATCTTAGATCGTAAAAAGTCCCGCTTTTATGCTCAATCCCGGTCCACTGCCGGCCGCTTCGTGATAGTTTTTTTTTCAGATGCCTCGGCGCGGACGAGTCGAAATGTGGGGCCGGCTAGCGCTCGCTTTCGTCCGCTTGCCTTCCGAGATTCCCCACTGTATGCTGCAAATTATGACGTATTCCTCCTTGTTCGCTAATCTGTGTTGCGCCCACAATGACGCCGTACTTGGGTTGTCAAGCGGTGCAAAGAATAACCAGTGCATGTGTTACCCACGTATGCACCAGTTTTTCTTTCCACCACCTGGTTGTGTGTCAGCACCCGCAGCACGATTAGTTTCGCTGACCGGAGATAGACCTCTAACGCCGTTTAAGAGCAGTAAAGTCCACGTAGTTGCTGAGTAGATGGCATCGTCGCTCACTCAGCATGGGGCATGGGCTGCCTTTGTTAATCAATAGGTACTTAAACAAGCCTGCCCCGCCTCGTTTCACACAGTTGGCCTTGTGTCGTCGCCCAAGTCGATCATCTATTACCCTATTTTGTATACCTACCCACAATGACCAAGGTCTGGTTTGTCACCGGCTCCTCTCGTGGCCTCGGCCGGGCCGTGGTCGAGGCTGCCTTGGATTCTGGCGCGTCAGTCATTGCAACTGCTCGAAACCCGGAGACGCTCAGCGCATTCACCGAAAAGTTCGGCACTGGAAGATTCCTCGCCCTAGCCGTGGACGTGGCCAAGGAGAACGAGGTCGCCAACGCTGTCAAGGCCGGCCAGCAGAAGTTCGGACGGATCGACGTCGTCGTAAACAACGCCGGATACGCCAATGCGGCTGCCGTTGAGGATATAGAGATCCAGGACTTCCACGAGCAGATGGCTACCAATTTCATGGGCGTCGTATACGTTACCAAGGCGGTGCTTCCCATCCTACGCCAACAGGGCAGCGGCCACATATTCCAAGTATCGTCGGTCGGCGGGAGAGTCGGTAGCCCCGGCCTGTGCGCCTATCAGAGTGCGAAATGGGCCGTTGGTGGATTCTCAACTGTCCTTGCCCGGGAAGTCGCTCCTCTTGGGATCAAAGTGACAGTTCTCGAGCCAGGCGGAATCAGGACGGACTGGGCCGGTTCATCCATGCGGGTCCCACCGATAAGCGAACCATACGAGGGGACAGTTGGCGCATTTAACGAGATGCGCCGGCAGTTCTCTGGCAAAGAACCATCTCTCCCGGCCAAGATCGCGCGCATCATCGTCAACCTTTCCGAAGCTGAGGACGTCCCACTCCGGCTCCTGCTCGGCCCCGATGCAGTCGACTACGCTGGCAGAGCCGCCCAGACCCTGGCTGTGTCTGATCAGAAATGGCACGACATTAGTATCTCCTCTGCGTAGAAGATCCTGAGAGGAAATGTTCTTTCGTCTCAGTCATCTAGCGCGTGGACGGGAACCAGTAATTGGCGGATCTAATCACGGCACCCTGTCGCTGGACAGCATCTCCTGCACACTTAAATGGATACTGCGGAAATGGGGAATAAATTTGTCATTTGGGTAAGCTTGTTTTCAATATATGCTGTCTAATGAAAGAGTTGTACGTGGCTACATAATTACCCTTCACAGGACTGCCACCTCACAGCAATCATATTGCAAATTCATGCCCGACTATTACATCTAAAATACTCAGCAAGTGACAGAATAGTATTTTTTGAAAGCAGCTACTAACATAGCATGTTGAATGCAATTGCACTATTCTAGTCCAAGACAATCATACTCGCCTGCACGAGCTTGCCTTCGCACCTGCAACCGACTAAAACGCGTTGGTATCCACGAGGTGGTTATGGACATGCAGTGTATCAAAGTACACCTTGACCTCCTCCCATTTCCCTTTGTCATTGGCCTTGAGCAGCATGACCGACTCATGGAACCATGGCTTCCCTGTTGTCCCTGGGTTAGTAGAGAAACACTGATGCACATCCAACAGAGTCAGAAGACGGGAAGACATACCTGACTTGGAAGTTCCCTTTGCAATCATGTCTACAGCGCACCACTGACCGGGGCCGCCGCCAATGACGCGGAGAATCTGACGCTCCATTGGCTTGGTGGTGTCGAGGGCACCGACAAGTCCGGCCACAATGCCTCTCTTGATCAGGGCATTGGTCTGATCGATGCCCACAGCGTCACCTGCGAATTCGAACTCCTGGCCGGTGATGCGGAATTTGACGTTTTCGGCGGCGTTTGTCCCGAAGTTGGCGAGGAAGTCTTCGACGCCCCCACCGCCTTTTCCCCAGAGGTCGCCAGGCCTGCACCAGAACGCTGCAAGCTCGGGGGACAGTTCGGACTTTTCCATGGTTGGAGAGTGTGCAGCTATTAAATAAGCAGATAAGCTCTTGGTTTGGATGGGTGCTTGGAGGCAAGATTGTCAATGTTGGTGGGAGAAGATGAACATGAACAGAGGGGGAGACGCTGGATAATTAAATAGATGCCGAATAACCTCAGTATGACAAAGATCCCTCGGGCTTTTGACCAACCAATGGGAAACTAATCAACACATAAGCTTCCCTGAGCCTTTTCAACTGCATGCACGTTTCGATTGCCGAGAGCAATCCCCAAGAGGCGGCCATTTCGGAGCCATCGACCCCGAGTCGCCCAGGACACCAGCCGAGCGCCTAGAAGGATCTACACGGACGAGTTGAAGGTGGTGCCACGAGACCGAAAAAAAGTTGCCGAATACATGCTGTAGAACTGCAGCCGTATGAGGCAATGCTCGGGATCTACTAGTTACACGTGACTAGTGCCGTTCAACCCAAAAATATTGCCAGATGTTGGACCTACTTGACGTGTAGCGTCCTATCCCACAAACAAAGCGCTTCATCACGAGAATAGTAAGCAGCTGGAAGTGTACGCCGAAACACACCTGATGGGTCGGCTCGTTCCACCTACAGTTTAAAATAAGTAAATTCCACAAGTATCTACTGTCATGTGTACTGAGTGAAGTTTGAGCCACAAGTATCACATGAGTTGAGATATAACATGCTATTGGCTTACAGTAACTGGGGCTAGCAGTGAGAAAAGTAGCCGAGAGTATTAACTGAGACACACCTACGGGTTGACCCGTTCCAATTACGGCCCAACAAAAGAACGATTATGAATATCTTCGGCCGTGTGCATAAGCCCGTTGAGCCGATTGTCACAAGGCAGCGTAACTATGGCGCTTCGGTCGTGCAGGCGGTGTAGCTGTCTTCTGACACCTCGGGCGGAAAAACGAACCGAAGAATGTCGAATGACCAGACTTTAGCACTCTCTATAGCGACATGGCTGACGACTTGGTCTTAAATACAGGAAATTCTGCAAGGTGCGTGGCCTTCTGAAATTTTTGGCCCGTAAGACACCAACAAGTCTCCATCAGATATCGTTAAGCTACCTTCCTGTGAGCCTAATTTCAACATGGCAAATCAAAGCGTCAACCGCGAGCCCATTGCTCTGGTGGGGCGCAGTCTTCGATTCCCCGGTGCAAGTTCCCCCTCGGAGCTCTTTGACCTTCTCTCCAAGCCCCGAGACCTCCTAAGGGACTTTCCTCCTCTCCGGATGAACATTGACGGATATTATGACCAAGATGGAAACAAGGACGGAACCACCAATGTGCGGAAGTCATATTTCATCGAGCAGGACCATCGGCTGTTTGACGCCCCCTTCTTCAACATCAGCACCGTCGAGGCCGAGGCCATGGATCCGCAACAGAGGATCTTGCTCGAACTGGTCTACGAGGCATTGGAATCGGCCGGGCTTACCGTTGACGGGCTCCAGGGATCACGGACGTCAGTCTTCGCCGGACTGATGTCGTCGGACTATTCATCGATCCAGCACAATGACAGCGACACGATTCCGAAATACGCCCTGACAGGGACGGCGAACAGCATCCTCTCGAATCGGATTTCCTACTTCTTTGACTGGAAGGGCCCTTCCATGACCATAGATACGGCCTGCTCATCGAGCTTGGTTGCTCTGCATCAAGCTGTCCAGAGCCTCCGCAGCGGCGAGTCGGATGTGGCCGTCGTCGCGGGGGCCAATCTGATTCTGAACCCCCAGCCCTTTATCGCCGAGTCTCAAGTTCGCATGCTTTCCCCAACCTCTAGATGCAGGATGTGGGATAGCCGTGCCGATGGCTACGTCCGAGGGGACGGATTTGCTGTTGTGATCCTCAAGAGGCTGGAGGACGCGGCCACAGACAAGGACCACATCTTCAGCGTTATCCGCGAGACCACAGTCAACATGGACGGGCGCACCGCGAGCATCACGATGCCAAACTCAGCATCCCAGGTAGCCCTGATTCGGGAGACATACGAGCAGGTCGGTCTTGACTGCCGCCGCAGCACCGACCGGTGTCAATACTTTGAGGCCCATGGAACGGGGACTCCAACCGGCGATCCCATCGAGGCTGAGGCAGTCAGAACCGCCTTCTTCCAGGACAGGGATGACATAGGCGATGATGAGCGCAACGACTGTCTCTACGTCGGTTCTATCAAATCCATCATCGGGCACCTAGAGGGTACGGCGGGTCTGGCCGGCCTGCTGAAAGCTTCCCTGGCAGTCGAAAACGGCGTCATCTTTCCGAACATGCATTTCGACCAGCTCAACCCTGATGTCTCGCCTTTCTACCGCAATATGAAAATCCCCACGGTGGCACAGGCTTGGCCCGAGATCCCCGTGGGAACGCCAAGGCGTGCGAGTGTCAACAGCTTCGGCTTTGGAGGAACAAAGTGAGTCACCCCAATTAGCTTGAGGTTGACTATGATGACGACATTGCTCTAACTGTCTTAATTAGTGCCCATGCCATTGTGGAGAGTTACACACAGTCTGCTGAAAAGGGCACCCATCCCCTGAATGGCACACAAGATTCGCGAAACGGCGACTCATCAAGCTTCATTAGCACCGGGGGTCCGTTTGTCTTTTCAGGCAACTCCAACTCTTCTCTCCTGTCAACGCTTGAACACTTTGCCGACTTCCTAAGATGTAACGGGACTATCGACCTTCAAAGCCTGGCATGGACGTTGCAGTCGCGGCGCACTATTCTCCCAGTCAGGGCCGCATTTTCCTGCGTGACACGAGAACGGCTCTTGGAATCCTTGGAAGGGCATGTGAAAAATGCGAAAGACGCAGATGCCGTCACGGCAAGCTCACGTCGTCGCAGCCCAGGCGCTCGCCCGAGGATACTCGGGATATTCACCGGTCAGGGGGCGCAGTGGCCTCAGATGGGACGGGAGCTGCTCCTCTCCTCCAAGCTCTTCGGCCAAGTTATGGACAAGCTCCAGGACTCGCTTGATTCCCTACCGGATCCGCCACCATGGTCTCTCAGAAAGGAATTAATGGCAGACCCGGCTTCCTCGCGAGTCCTCGAGGCAGCAGTCGGACAGCCCCTGTGTACTGCCGTGCAGATTGCGCTGGTGGACCTCGTCAAACGCGCGGGTATTTCGTTCGGTGCTGTTGTCGGGCATTCTTCTGGAGAGATTGCTGCTGCCTATGCCGCGGGATATCTGTCGGCAGCCGACGCCATCCGAGTGGCTTACTACCGGGGGTACCATGTCCGGTCTGCCGGCGGCGGTCCCGGAGGCCAAGTCGGAGCCATGATGGCCGTGGACATATCGTTCAGCGACGCCCTCGAATTCTGCCAATCGAGCCAGTTTGCCGGTCGCTTGGTCGTCGCCGCCAGCAATGCCTCAAACAGCGTCACCCTGTCTGGAGATGCCGACGCAGCCCACGAGGCAAAGGCCCTGCTCGACAAAAACCATTCGGTCAAGCTGCTCCGGGTCGACAAGGCGTACCATTCACACCACATGAACCCGGCATCTGAGCCATACATTCAATCGCTCCGCGCATGCAATGTCAAAGCCCTCCCAGGCGAGCCCGACTGCGTCTGGATATCCAGTGTCACAGTAGATCCTGTCACGACCAAGACGCAAATCGGCGACCGTTACTGGGCCGATAACATGGTACATCCCGTGCTCTTTTCCCATGCTGTTGATCGTGTCGTCCGAGACGCCGGTCCCTTTGACCTCGTCATCGAAGTCGGGCCACACCCGACATTAAGAGTTGCCGCAACCCAGTCAGCAAGCGAGGCCGGGGATACGCCGGTGCCGTACTGCTCTCTGATGAAGCGCGGCAGTCATGACGTTGAGTCCTTTAGCGGTGCCTTGGGCTACATATGGGCTACCCTAGGAGGTCAGGCAAGGATAAATTTTGACGCTTACAATGCCGCCTTTACGGGTCTCGACCATGTTTCCCATACCAAATTGCTGCAGGACCTGCCGCCCTACCCTTGGGACCATCAACAAACATACTGGAAAGAGTCACGAGCTTCCAGGAATACGCGCTTCCGAAGTGAACCCATTCATCAACTTCTGGGACGGCGACGGCCGGACGATTCCGCGCACGAAGTTCGCTGGAGGAAAATCATGCGCCTGGAGGAGCTTCCATGGCTCCGCGGTCATTGCTTCCAGGGCCAAGCCATCTTCCCTGCCGCAGGCTATGTGAGCATGGCACTGGAGGCGGCAAAATCCCTGGTGGAAGACCACTTGGCTCAACACGTCGTGGCCGAAGTTCGGGATCTGACCCTCTCGCGAGCGCTGATCCTGAGCGACGGCCCTATCGGAACCGAAGTGAGTTTTAGCCTCAGATGCCTGGAAAGAGGCCATAAGACAGCCACGGCAGAGTTCATATGCTCTTCATGTCCCAGCAAGGCGGATGCCGAGCTACAAGTCAACGCCACAGGCCAGGTGCAAATCACGTTGGAAGACTCGCCGGAGACAATACTTGCGCCAGAGAGTCCTGTGGCCAGATCCATGCTGGACATTGATGTCGATGGCTTCTACGGCACCCTTTCTGAACTCGGGCTTGATTACACTGGACTGTTCCGCGGCCTAAAGGAGGTGCGGCGTGCAACACGAATGGCTACCGCCTCAGCCTCGTGGCCAGCGTCCGGCATAGATTCGTCTCTCCTAGTCCACCCCGCCGTCCTGGATGTCGGTTTTCAAGCCGTGTTCGCCAGTGCAGGATCTGTTTCTGCTATTCAAGTTCCCTACCTCCCCACGCGGATACAGAGGATACGAGTCAGCGCATCGCTTCCACAGCGCGAGGCGGATGTGGATATCACCATCAACGCATACACCACAGACATTTCTCGTGCGTCCAAGACTGCTCGCCCCATGATTCACGCCGATCTGGACATAGTACGTGGGGATTCCTGGGGTCTCCAAGTCGAGGGTCTATCCGTGACTCCAATCGCGGACTCAGACCCATCCAATGACCGACGCCTATTCTGGACGACAGTGTGGGAGATGGACGTGTCCAGTGGCATTTCTCCCACCGACGAGGGACCGAAGGAATCGCTGGATGACACGGATCTTCCAGAGCTCGTGGAGCGTTTGGCCCACATGTATTTCCGGCGCCTCTACAAACAATATCCAAGGGCCAAGGTTGCCAAACTGGAGTGGTATCAGCAACGCCTCTTTGAGTACATGGAGGATATATTTTCCTCTATTGACAGCGGGCGACACCCCATCATCAAGAAGGAGTGGGTGAACGACACTCGCGAGGAACTATTTGCGCAACTTGCTGGATACCCCATGGTCATCGATGTGGAGGCGACCAACGCTGTTGCCGAGAACTTCCCTGCTGTACTAGCGGGCGAGAAGTCGATGATCGAAGTGCTCACGACGAACGACATGCTGACGCGGATATACGCCGAGGGGCTCGTACTCTCCCGGGGCTACAGCCATATTGCGAGCATGGCAAAACAAATCTGCCACCGGTATCCGGGGGCCAAGGTGCTCGAAATAGGGGCAGGGACGGGTTCGACAACGGCCCCGGTCCTCGAGAGCATCGAAGGCGCATTCTCGTCCTATGTGTACACGGACATCTCCAACGGCTTCTTCGGCCAGGCTAAGGAGCGGTTCAAGGACCACGCCGCCCGGATGGAATTCAAGGCTCTGAACATCGAAAACGACCCGGCCGAGCAAGGGTTCCCAACCCATGCCTACGATGTTGTCGTGGCTTCTAGTTGCCTCCACGCGACTCGATGCTTGAGGGAGACGATGGAGAATACGAGGAAACTGTTGAAACCCGGCGGTTATCTCCTCCTGTTAGAGCTGACCGGCGTGTCTTTGCGGACGACCTATTTGATGTGCGGCCTGCCAGGCTGGTGGCTCGGTGGCGAAGACGGCCGACCACTGCACCCGGGACTCTCAGAGACTCAGTGGGATGCTCTGCTGAAGGAGACTGGCTTCTCCGGGATTGATGCACTCTTGCACGACAGCGATATACCGTCCAAGCACGTCTACTCGGCCATCCTCAGCCAGGCAACAGACGATCGAGTCACCATGCTGCGGGACCCCGTGCGCTGCCTAGAGTATATCCCCGGGGTTCAACAACTAATCATTGTGGGCGGCGTCCATAAACTTGTCGAGGAAATCTGTCAGCTTCTTCGACCATGGAAGCACCGTGTTCTCAAGATTGACGACCTCGAGGCTCTCGACGCTGCTAGAGGCGGCATTGCACCCGGGGCGACGGTACTATGCCTCGCCGAACTCGACAAGCCCGTCTTCGAATCCATGACCAAGGAAGCACTGAGGGGTTTACAGCTGCTCTTGAACAAGGCCAAAAACGTCCTCTGGGTGACAAGAGGTTGCCGCGTCGAGAACCCTGCGAGGAACATGATGGTAGGCGTCGCCCGTGCTCTGATGAACGAGACGCCGCATCTCAACCTTCAAATGCTCGACATCAGTGGCGCAAGTCCAAGCGCAGGGGCTCTGACGGAAGCCCTCATACGTCTCACACTCAGGGATACTCTCGACTCCGACGTACTCTGGTCAACAGAACCCGAGCTGGCGTTGGAAATGGAGAAGCTGCTGATCCCGCGACTTCGCGCAGACCAGGCCCTCAACAACAGATTAAACTCGAACTGGCGAAGTATCCAGGCAGATATTCCGGCCGAATCGTTCCCCGCCGAGGTACACCATGCCAACGGGTCCCAATGGCTGCGACTGAGGACATCTCCCCTAGAGAGGCTTCCAGTTGGTCATGTCGCGGTCAGGCCACGATTAACCTCGCTCCACCCAATCGAGATCACTCCCGAGATATGTGCGTACATATGCCTGGGATCCGAGGTTGAAACTGGAAGGAGTGTGGTTGCTCTCGCGCTGTCGAATGCCTCCGTCGTCCAGACCAGGCAGGACTGGATACAGGAGTACCGCGGAGTCTCCACAGGCGAGGAAGAAGGCCTCCTCCGTTCAATTGTGGACAGTATCTTGGCATGGAATATTCTTTCCGGTATTCCGAGTGGCGGCGTGCTCCTGCTGCATGAGTCGGACGAACCTCTAGCCAGCAGAGTTGCTCGCTTCGCAGTCGAGGCTGGTGTCCAAGTGGTGTGTACAACCACACAGCCGACTACCCCTCAGGGGTGGATTCATATTCGCCCTTATGCAACACTGCGCCAGATCAAGTCTCGTCTCCCGGCCGGCATTGTGAAGCTCGTGGATTTCGACACGGGACCGCATGGGGATAGCCTGCGACGCAGCCTCAGAGCATGCATGTCGCCTTTCTCCTCGGAGTTGGACATGACAACCCTTTTCCGGGATCAAGTACGAGCTGACCATGGTGCTGACGTCACAGCCCTTCGTCAAACCCTCCAGAAAGCAGTGCAGAACTACTCCAGGTCCGGGGCTGATGCCGCAAAACCATTTCACAAAGTCATGGCCAGCGACCTGAATGACGCGTGTTCCAGGTTCAGCATCATCGACTGGCGACAAGACACATACAGGGTAGATATAGGGCCGCTGAATCCTCGGGAGCTATTCCGCGGCGACAGAACCTACCTTTTCACTGGCCTAACGGGCGATCTGGGACAGTCCATTGGCCGCTGGATGGTGCTCAACGGGGCCCGTCACATTGTCTTGACGAGCAGACGCGGATCTTTGCCTCCCGTGTGGCTAGAGGAGATGCGAGACGCTGGAGCAGACGTCCAGGTCTTCCCACTGGACGTCACCGACCGGGAAGCGCTATCGTCGGCCCACTCCAGGATTTGCAAGACCATGCCTCCGATCGCAGGTGTCGTGAACGGCGCAATGGTGCTTTCCGACATGCCCTTTGCGGACATGACGCTCGAGTCTCTCACCAACGTCTTGAAGCCCAAGGTCGACGGATCCAAGAATCTCGACGCCCTATTTCGCAAGCCAGGGGAACTAGACTTCTTCATCATGCTCACCTCCCTCTCTGGCGTGGCGGGCTTCCCTGGACAAGCCAACTACTCGGCTGCCAATATGTTCATGACAAGCCTGGCGGCACAACGGAGGCGCGACGGCCTTGCCGGGTCGGTGCTTGCCATCGGGATGCTGACCGAGATTGGCTACGTCTCTCGCGCAGGGAGGGCGCTGCAGGACCATTTGCGCACAAAGTTCCCCTGCCTTCCCATCGCCGAGCCCGAGTTCCACCAAATGTTTGCCGAGGCCATAGCTGCAGGCCGTGCCGACTCTGAGCATCCGTCTGAGGTAGTCACCGGGCTCGCAGGCATGAAGAGCACCATGGCAATGGATCCCGACCGACCGCCATGGTTCGACAATCCACGCTTCGCGCACTGCCGTGTGGACGACGCTTTCACCGACAAGACGCAGAATGAGTCAGCTGCAGCAGCAGTTCCCATCAGCCAAAGACTCGCCGATACTACAACCGCCGAGGAAGCAACTCAAACTCTTCTGGAAGAATTTGTAGCCAGACTGGCAGCCATGTTGCAGATTAACCAGGGCAGCGTCAACAACGAGGCGCCGCTCGTTGACCTCGGTGTTGATTCACTAATTGCCATTGAGATCAGATCGTGGTTTATCAAGGAACTTGGCGTCGACTTGCCGGCATTGAAGACGCTCAGCGGCTGCAGCGCTGCAGAACTGTGCCAGGATGTTGTTGAAAAGCTCTCCCTCAGGGACAAGGAAACACTGGGTAGAGTCCACAGCTCCAGTTGTCGGATACAGGACATGCTTGCTAACGTCCTCCCCAGATACTAGCAGTACTACTAATGGATTGGACATGGTTAAGACATCCACAAAGTCTCAAGTCTCTTCTCATAAAACAGCTTCAAAACCGAATGGCACGGCTAACGGACTCGAAAATGGTATCAACGGGAACTCGGGAATGGAGTCGAATGGCCTGGTTGGTTACCTGTCTATAGACCTATTTCAAGTGAAATCGCTGACTTGAGGAACAACAGAATGGAGTCGACCATGACGCAACACTGCAGCAGCCAACGGCAGCCACTCGTATAGCGCCCATGTCCTTCGCACAATCAAGGCTTTGGTTCCTCCTAACATACGCCGATGATCCCTCCCACCTCAACGTTGTCCTCAGCTATAATATCAAGGGACAGTTGGACATTGCACGGTTCCAAAATGCTTTCCGGGCCGTCATCTCCCGCCACCAGACATTCCGCACATGTTTCTTCAGTGACCCTGGGACTGGAAAGGGAATGCAAGGCATTCTTGAGGCATCTCCTGTAACTTTGGAGGAGAAACAGGTAATAAACGACGCCGAGGTCCAGGAGGAAATTGACCGCATCCAACGCCACCGATTCGAGCTGGATCAGGGCAAGGCCTTCCTCGCAACCCTGTTGCGCCGGACTGACTCGTGGAACACGTTGGTGTTTGGGTACAATCATATCGTCATGGACGGAAGCAGCGTTTTCATCTTCCTGCAGGACCTAAACGAGGCATACCGGCAGCAAAGGTCTCTGGAGCCAGCCATCAACGAATACATCGACTTCACTGTGAGCCAGAGGCTGCTTGTTGAAGATGGGGGCCTTGAAAAAGAGCTCCAGTTTTGGAGACGGGAGCTCTCCCCGTTACCGGAGGCCTTGCCGCTGATGGGCATCTCTCGCTCGCGCTCACGGTCCAACCAGAGCGCCTACGGAACACACACAGTTCAGGCAACGGTTCCTCCCAGACATGCGATTGGGCTGAAGAGGATGGCCCAGAGACTACGAGCAACACCCTTCCATTTCCACCTCGCTGCCGTGCAGTGGCTGCTATTCAAGTTCCTTTCCTCGACCGACGACATCTGCATCGGCATTGCGGATGCGAATCGCCTGGATCAGAGGTTCCTGCGCACCATGGGTATCTTTCTCAACCTCCTTCCGCTGCGTTTCCGCCGGCACGCCCATGACACGTTCGCCAATGTCCTGACAGGCACTTCTCGCAAGGTGCTTTCCGCGCTGGAGCATTCCAGGCTGCCATTCGAGGTGATGCTGGAGGAGCTCAACGTCGAGAGATCGCTGACTCACACGCCACTCTTCCAAGTGTTTGTCAACTACAGGATGGGCGCGTTCCAGCACGGCTCCCTAGGGGACTGCGAGGTGCACCACCGCTCGGTCAGCGATGCCGTGTTTGCGTACGACACCTTCATTACCATCACGGAGCCCACCAAGGAGAGCTGCGTCATCTCGTTTACAGTGCGTGACGACATCTACACCGAGGATGACTGCAACCTGCTTGTCAAGGCATACGTCCACCTGCTCGGCCAACTGTGCGATGACCCAGACCAACTCCTAGATGGCTGCAGTCTCTTTGGCGATGCAGATGCCCGACTGGGGATGGGCTTGGGCCGAGCTCCTAAGAGGGAGTGCCGTTTGGAGCCCACAACTCTGCCCCTCCATGTCGAGGCTGTCAGCCAAAGGACCCCACACGGCGTGGCAGTGAAAGACGGGTACGGAAATGCCATCGAGTATCATCAGCTCGCCGAGCAGAGCCGTGTTATTGCCGGTGCATTGTCGGCCGTCGGCGTCGTCAAGGGATCGTACGTGGCTGTTCTCATGCACCCGTGCAGCTACACAATCGCGTCTCTGCTGGCAATCCTGAGACTGGGTGCCATATATGTACCGCTTGACGTCAATAACCCCCCCGATCGCCTGCGAGCAATAACTGCCGACTGCCGCCCGGCCGCCATCATCTGCCAGGCAAACACGATCCGCCTAGCAGAATCCTCTGTGCGCACCGATGATGATGATGATGATGATGATGATGATGATGATGCCACCGCAGTGGTAGACCTGACATTCCTTCCGACCGGCCATGTTCCCACAGAAGACGTCTCTCGAGGGGAACTCCCGGCCTTTGCTCTCTACACCAGCGGATCCACGGGCATTCCCAAGGGTGTGCTGCTCAGTCAGGCCAACATCCTCCAGAGCGTTGATGGAACATATCATCTTGACGGCATCAACCAAGGGGAGGTTGTGCTTCAGCAAAGCTCGCTGGGCTTTGATCTATCCCTCTATCAGATCATGCGCGCCATCGTCAGCGGCGGCACGCTCATCATTGTGCCTCAGGCGCTGAGGCGGAATCCCCAGGAGCTGTCGAAGCTGGTGCTTGTTGAAGGAGTAACGCTCACCATCGCAACCCCATCGGAATACTCCCTCTTGCTATCATACGGGAACCGCCATCTCAAGAAATGCACGTCCTGGAGAATTGCCGCCTCTGCTGGGGAGAACATGAGCCTGCAGGTGGCCCAGCTGTTCCGCCAGCTAGACCTACCAGACCTCGGTATATTCAACTGGTTTGGTCCTACAGAGACAGGCGTTTACTCGACCGGTATTATGGACATGCCAGAAGAAGACGTGTATCCCTGTGTCGGGCGCCCGATACCCAACACATCTGTCTATGTCGTCGATGAGAACCTCGAGCCCGTGCCGACGGGTTTCCCAGGGGAACTGTGCATCAACGGACCCAATGTCGCTCTTGGATACGTCGATGGGGCATTATCGAAGGGGAAGTTCATCTTGCGAGACTTCGGATCATCCGGACAAGAAGAGCGCGTCTACCGAAGTGGCGATAAGGGTAGGATCCTCCCCGACGGAACCATTGTCTTCCTCGGCCGCATGGATAGCGACTCGCAGGTCAAGCGCTCGGGATTCCGTATCGACCTAGACGACATTGCAAACAATATTATCCGTGCAGCTGGCAAATCCTTAGCCGATGCTGCAGTCTTGCTCAAGGGGGGTGATCCCGGGTTCCTCGTCGCATTTGCCGTCTTCTTGCCAGACCGCATCCCTGCCGACCCGACCCGGTTCCTGGCGGATTTATGCGCCAAAGTTCCGCTGCCGGATTACATGCGCCCATCCATGATAATCCAAGTTCCCCGTCTCCCAGTCACCTCCAATGGGAAACGAGACCGCGCTGCACTGGACGCAATTCCCCTCTCGCTCCCCGAGCCTGTTGACTCCGGGGAGGAGGTGCCGTTGAGTGACGTGGAGATACAGCTGAGAGATATTTGGATGCGGACAGTTTCATCTGCAATATCTCAGTCCCAAGTTGGCAGGGACACTGGCTTCTTCCACGCGGGAGGCAGTTCCATCCTTCTGATGAAGCTCCAGTCGCTCATTCACGAGACCTTTGGCGTGAAATTGTCCATGGAGAGCTTGTTTCAGTTCAGCAAGCTGGGACAGATGGCCGCCAGGATCGAGGCGACGCGCCGGCAAACAAACAGCGACAAGTCTGAGGATGAGGCCAGTCAACCCCTGACCAACCCGCTTTCCACCGCCGCCGCGCTAGGCGAGATCGATTGGGAAGCCGAGACGGCTGTTTCCGAAGACATGGTGATTCCACAGAAAGACGTAGAGCCACGAAAGTCATCATCTTCGTCCTCAGGCAAGATCATCCTCTTGACCGGCTCGACGGAGCTCATGGGACGACGTATCCTCCAGCAGTTGGTGGACGACAGCCAAGTTGCAAAGGTACACTGCGTTGCCGTCCCCACGCCTGGTGCACTCGAGGAGCACCCCAAGGTCGAGGCCCATATCGGCAAGCTGTCCATGCCAAACCTCAATCTCGACGAAGCAGAGATGGAGAGACTCGCCGACGAGGTCGATGTGATCTTGCACGCCGGCGTCGAGGGCTCGTTCCTCAACACGTATCGAGTCATCAGCACGACGTCGCTCCAGCCCATACGGCATCTCACGCGCATCGCCTCAAAGAGGCGGGTCCCGATTCACTTTATCTCCAGCAGCCGCGTGATCCTCTTCTCCGGCGCTTCGACCCTCCGCGAGATATCCGTCGCGCCATTCTTCCCGCCTCCGGACGGCAGCGAGGGTCTGGCGGCAGCGCGATGGGCGTGTGAGCGATATCTGCAGAACGCGGCCCGCAAGCTAGGCGTTCCCGTCTGCATCCACCGGTGCTGCGCCTTCACAAGCGACAAGGAGCCGGGGTTTGAATCTGACGTGCTGGATGCCATTTGGTGGTACAGCCGGCAGCTGAAGGCCTCGCCGATCCTGGAGATGGTCGACGGATATATCGACTGCATGCCCTTGGAAACCCTCGTCGACGAGTTCCTGGGCGCATTCAAGGCAAATTCTCAGCAGCCGTGGGGAGAAATCAAGTTTGTGCACCACACGAGCGGGAAGAGGATTCCCCCAAAACATCTATCAAAGTACTTTGCAGACAAAGGAACTGGCCCAATCAGGGAAATAGAGCTGGTCGAGTGGGTACGACGGGCACGAGAGATCGGGCTCTCCGGCTTCGCTGCTGCCTTTTTGGACGCAGTGCGGCGCCGTGAGACGGCTGTTTTCTTCCCACTATTGTTAAAGACGGAGCAATGAGAGTTGGTAGATGGAGTCTGTTGGCGCATTATTTAGTTTCGAATGTAAGACAGCCACATCACCAATCTACGTTACTTACCACCATATCGTAATATAACTTCAACGCCGCGGAGAGACCAGTGCATCCTCCTGGCGACGCTTCCGTGGCGGATTATCAACCGACACTCCCTGAACACAAAAGAGCAGCTCGGCGCTTTAGTGGCAATGAGCATGGGTGTCTCGTAAGGCATCCATTCCATGGCTTCCCAATTCTGTAGGCGAGAAATGAACCCGGTCGGTCCCTGGTTGTCACAGGTTCTAGCCATGTAAGTCTCAACAAATGCCATGGATTGCTTACCGCAATAATGGTTAGATTCGGATTCATCCCGGATCGGAATGGACGAGCAGTTACTGAAGCAGGGTAGGCTGGAAATCACCCGAATGGGTGGTTTCATGGTTTCATTGGGTTCAGAGACATGGCATCACAATACTTTGGATTGGCCTTGGGACGAAATCCTGCGTTCTAATCTATCTATTTTACAATACAATGCATCAGTTGCTGTTGACAGGAAACCAAATCAGATGTTCCAGCAAACAAAAGGGCCACCAAGCGGGGACATTGCATTTCTTCCTCTTCACTCCTCTCTCCTCTCCCTGTTTCGACAAAGCAATCATACATCATCATATGGCGCACATGCCTACACCCCCGAGCTAGGTATCGTCCCAAGTTTAGCTAGCTTTTCGGATGTTGCATGCCTTGTAGTTTGCGGCGTCACCGCGGCCCTCTCCGGGCTCGGTTGCCGGCTCGTCGCTGGGGTTGTAGCCCGGCTAGCGTTCCGCCTCGCTGCATCGTGCGCTGCCATGTACGAGCTCCTCCGCGAGCCGGGCCCGATCCGTGCCACCGGCTGGTGGGGAATGCTGAGCCTCCGTTTGTGGTGTTCCGTGTCGACACCCTCGGCTAGGCTCTGCGCGAAGGGAGACCGCTTGCGCAGGTAGGGACCGTTCCAGTAGACGCCGTAGACGGCGCCCACGAGAATGCAGGAAATGGCGAACAAGATCCAGGTCGCATTAGAGAGGTTCTTGTGGTTTGATCTGCCGATGTTGGAATAAAAGGGCGTGGCGGGTACGGTGAGAACGCCGGCCAGGAAGTCACGAGCCCAGCCGTTGCCGCCAGTGGCGGAGGCTGAGTACGGACCATAGGCGCAGATCATGTAGTCGATGGTGGCCATGTAGATGGAATAGTTGGCAATCCCGATGATGGCGCTGCCGAACATGCTTCCGACCCAGTGGACCGGGGGACCGTTGCAGGTCAGGGCAAAGATGAGTAGGCCGATCGGTAGGCATGGGGCGAGGAGCAGCAGCAGATCCATCCGGGATTCGTATTGCTTGCGCTCGTCCTCGGGGTGCAGCGCACGCTGCCTCTTGTTGCGCTTGATGGCGGGGATGAAGAGAGCCCAAGCAATGAGGTAGCCGATGCCAAAGGGGACGAAGGCCAGACCGGTCTGGTAGCTGTTGAAGTTCCACTGCGCATAGACGAGGGAGAAGGACTGGAGCTGCATGAAGATGAGGGCGTCGGAGAAACCCGACAGCAGCGACAGGGCCAGGACGATGGGCTCAGTCAGGAACATTCGGAAGGGGCGCATCCAGGTGTGCACAATGTCTTTGAACGTGAAGCGTTCCCGGAAGGACTCGATTTCGTTGGGGCCCCAAACATCCTCGCCGAGCTTTCTGCGCTTCTTCGCGATGCGGTCCAGCACGATGTTGGTCCGCGTCTCGGGCACGGTAAGCAGGTGGAGAGCCTGCACAAAAGCGCCGACGATGAGCTGTATCCAGATGGTCCACTGCCATGCCAAATACTGCTCGACGAAGCCGCCGACAATGGGACCCAGAACAGAGCCACCGACAGACGAGAACACGATGTAGGCGACGGCATATTGTTGGTGCTCCGAGTCGAACATGTCGGCAATCATGCCCAGAGTGACGCTGCCGCCGGCCGAGGACAGGCCGCCCAGGGCACGGCCGACCAGTACGCTGCCGAAGTTGGGCGCGAGGGCGACGGGCAGGCACCAGATGTTGACGAGGAACAGCGAGAGCTGCAGGACCGGTTTGCGTCCGAACTCCTCGGACCAGGGTGCCCACAGTTCGCAGCCAAAAGCGTAGAAGATGAGAAAGATGGCGGCGCCCACACGGGCGGCCTGCTCGCTGACATTGAACTTGTCAGAGATTCCGCCGAGGCCTGGTGGAGCACCACGGCGTCAGCATTGAAGATGGGGCCGGAAGGAGGGAGGGGGACAGTTGTGAAACAGGGTAGGTGTTCGCTTACCATTGGAGTACAGCGATGTGTTGAAGTTCATGGACATCTGGACCAAGAAGATGACGGTCAGGATCCACCACTTGTACAGCTTCGAGAAGGCGAAGGGAAGCTGGTCTTCGACCTCCTCGGCCTGCAGCTCCCGTTTCTCGGCATTCTTCTCGTCCAAAGGCGGCGGTGATGGCGCGATATCTCCACGCTCCCCGTCCAATGTCTCCTTGGACGAACCAACGAGCACGCCGCCGTTCTGGCCTTGGGGTGCCGGCGAAGTCATCACCGCTTTACTGGCGCTTTACTGGGGAGGATTATTTGTCTCAAGCTCTCGACTGAGGACGCGCAAGACGTAATTAATTCCAGTCTAGAGGGAACGGGTCCACCAGAAATCGGGGCTCGGGCACTTCTTATCTGCGCGACTCGTGCTTCGAGACCACGGGATCGTTTCAACAACGGGCCTATTATGACGAATTAGAATTGGCCGCATTCCTCGATTTTGGAAAACTCAAATCCCACGGAGAGATATATATCTCCACACGGCATCGCCACTACATCCGGGGAATGCGAGACAAAACATGTCCCAGACATTCAGGCACACTTGTGACTCGGAAAGTTGCGAGATTCTTTTCTGCTTTCGGTGACATCTATTTCGTCCAGGCACGAGCCTTGGCACCAGAGTATCAAGCCGGCAAGCGCTGCTTATCGCTGGAATGTGCGTGGCGTGGGATTGCCACGAAAGTGGATCGCTGTTAGGATTACTGGTGACATCATGAAGAAAATCTTAACAGAGACCGGCGCGCAGCTTATTTTTTTTTTTAGCTCTATTGCCGGGATCGAGAATTCGGATACTTGGTGGAGATAAAATAACCAAGCAAACACTCGAGTCTCGTGCACTTATTGGGCCCTCGTGAAGTGCACATTTAGCCCTTCTTGCGGTGTGAACCACAGGTTATGGAACCTGTATCCTTTCCCACCGTCTGCCAACTCCATGTCAAACGCCAGAAATAGCTGCGCAACCACCTTCTGTATTTCCATCGTGCTGATCCACCTCCCGCTGCAGGTGTGGGCCCCGTGCCCGAACGGGATCCACGCCTGGTTCATTAACCGGAGCTGCTCCTCCGTCGTGTTCTCCGCCAGCCACCGATCCGGGTTGAACCGGGCAGGCTCCTCGTACACCTCTGCATCTCGCTGCACCACCCACGGGTTTATCCCGACCTCGACCCCTGCCGGGACGTATTGTCCGCACAGCGTCGCCCCCCCTTCCGGGACGATTCGCGCTAGCATCATGCCCACTGACGGGTGCAGCCGTATCCCCTCCTTGATCACCGCGGCCAAGTACGGCAGCTTGTTGGTCGCGGCGAACGAGACGGGCCGGGTTGCATCCAGGTTATTCCTCAGCTCCGCCTTGAGCTTCTCGTGTGCGCCCGGCGTCATGAGCGTGTTGAAGATGATGGACCGCAGCGCGATGGCCGTCGTGTCGCTCCCGGCCGCCATATTGTTGAACACGTGCGTCGAGAGCTCGCGGTCTGTGAGGCCCTTGGGATTCTGTCGCTGGTTGGCAAGCAGGCGCTGCAGGAAAGTGGTAACCGTGCCCTGGTCGGCATCGGCCCCTTTCCCAGCATTCGTCTCGTCCGTTGCGAAGTGCATCAGCTTCTGCATGCTCTCTAGGCCAGGTACGAAAGCTGCGACCCAGGAATTGCGAAGAAGGAACCTGTGGCACCATGCAACCTGGCCGAACTAGTGGGTTCGAGAAGACGGTTAGAAAACGAAAGCGATCTGCTTCGAGGCAAGCGGGGGGCTCTCTCACAATAGCCATGTAGTCATTGGCCACCTTGATAGCCTTGAAAAAACCCTCATGGTCTCCTTTGTCCATGTGATTGCAGTCCTTCCCAAAGGTTAACGCAAACACCGCGTCCATCGCATAGGCCTGCATCAACGGCGCAAGGTCGACCACCCGGGCGTCGTCCGCTTCCGCGTCGGCGTAGCCGCCCAGTTTCCGCACTAGCCGCTCTGTAACTGCATCAACGCACGGCTCCATCTGCACCACGTTGTTGAGTGAGTACGCGTTGGCGGCGCTGCGCTTCATCCTCGCGTGGATGGCGCGGTCCGTCAGCACGAAGGGGTCCGGCAACATCCCATCCGAGTCGTAGGCTTCGGCCAGCGAGTAGAAAGGCGACTTGGAGAACTTGGTCCCCACGCCGTAGAGGGTGCTGATCTCCTTCGGGTCGCTGATGGACAGCGTGTTCGGGGCTAGTCGGACCATCTTGCCGTACGTGTTGTGCAGCGCGATGTCGTCGTCGTGACTGAAGCCATTGTACACAGATAGGATCCGTGGGAGGGACGAGATGCGCCGGAGGAAGGGACCCGGAATATGGTGAAGGCTGCGACGGAAGTAGTTGCATACAACCCAGCAGCATCCAATGGCGATTGTCACAACTGCCCAGTTGTCTGCGACCAGTCTGACGAGACTGTGGGTTGCGAGCATTTTACTGGATTACGAGTGTTTTGTTTAATAATATGAGCTGCTCAGGGAGAACATCAGGTCTGGACCTGTTTAATAGATATTAGAACTCAATTATAGTTGCAATACATGATAGAAACCGAGATGCCCACTTATCTGCGAGATTACCCCAGACTCCCGGCAATCGGGGTCGCGCCTTACGTGAACATCGCCGGGAGTCACCGAGCTAGGTCAAATCGAAACCGGGAAAACTCCACCAATGGAAGAGCCCTTCGCTCTGTTTGACTAACCCGGGAACGAACCATGCACTCTTTACACCCCTGGAGGCATAGTTGACGGGAAAATCTTCGATTGAACCAAGTCTCTCTGAATTGATGCATCAGTAGCTTGCAGCTAAAATTATCTCCATGTCGTTCTTCTACGTCTGTTCAAAGGTCCCTATGGATAATTACTGAATGTAACACGGGGAGTTTCGTTGAACTCTCCAACTCCCAGCTTCAGCTTCCGTTGCTCGACTCTCAGATACCATTGGGGATGCCGTTTGTCAGCACCTTCTTCTTCACATCTACGACCTTTTGTTGCCGCAACATGACCTGGCGCGCCGCCTGCATGCCAATCTGGACAGCGCCGTCAATCCAGCCACGCCAACCATCCGACCAGTCTGCGCTGGCGAACAAGATATTTCCGTGGGGTCGCTGGAGGGCAGAGAGATATTTTGTCGTGAAATTCGGTGGCAGGTAGCACCAAGTACCCTTGGAAAACTCGTCGTTGTTCCAATCATGGGAAACCTAGGCAACGTGATCAGTAATGAAATATTAGACAAAGACAGAGGGCGTTGGGCCCCGGGTTAGCTTACAATGCGGTTAACAATGACTTCGTTCTGCTTCTCCTTGGGCAAGAGGTGGATAATCGCAGACTTGACAGCTTGGACATCATCTAGAGAGATGCCCAGTGGGGTTTTCGGGTCGGGCCCAAAGCACACCAGATGGGAGTTATCCGCAGGGGTTAGCCGATCTCCGAAGGCCGAGACCATGCCTTTTCCGGGGATGCCCAAAGAGCCCCACGAGAGGTAGTCCGGGCCATTGATGTCCATATGGACTTTGTTGCACTTGTTGACGGAACCCTGCTGCGCAGCCTCGAGCTTGTCTGCGGGAAGCGGCGGGCTGAACTCGACCGACGACAAGACGTTGAGCGGGACAGTGCAGATAACAGACCTCGCCTTCCACGTCTGCCCATCCCTAGTGGTTACAGTGACAACGTTGCCCGCGTCCTCAATTCTCTGGACGGGAGTCTTGAAGCTGTAAGAGAGGTTGCCAGTGGAGAGGGCGTGCTCGAAGATTCGCCGATGCAGCTCGCTGTTACCACTCCGCAATCTCGTGTGAAGGGCAATGTCGTTCAACCCCGTCGGTGTGTGTGACCCCAGAGACCACCAACGAAGGGTGTCTAGAAGCCCCATCTTGTCCAGGGAGTTGCCACCCATCTGTACCAGCTGGGCCTCGAGGACGCTCAGCTCTTCTGCCGATAGTTGGTCGCGGATCTGGTCCAGCCGGTCCTTGCACGAGAGTTTGTCCCACTCGGCCATGAGCTCTGGCGATTGATCGGTGCGGAAGGCGTACTTCCACGAGTGTCTAAGATCGTCTCCGTCGATGTTGCAGAAGGCACGAAAGACCCGTCCGCATATGTCAACCTGCCAGAAGAGCCAGAATGAGTTTACCATGCCAGCTTTGAAGAAACGTGAATCTCTGGAACCTTACCTCCTCATCGTGTGACATATTGCGCTGTTCGCTTCCTGTCGTGGCAGTGAAGTAGTCTTCTTTACCGCCCGGGTTCTGAGTAACAACCCAGTCGTTGTGCAGCCCGTACAGCGACACCTCGCGATAGATGTGGGGCATGTGCCAATGGATCCAAGTCCCGCCCATCTCGTAGTTGAACCCATTGATAGTGGCATGCCAAGTTCGGCCTCCGAGCCTGTCGCGGGCCTCGAGCAGTAGCGTCTTCTTGCCTGTGGGCGTACCAAATTAGTGATCGTGTCAGCTCAAAGAGGCCAGCGCGCCCAAAGCTTATTACCTTGTGTAGCCAGATCTCGAGAGGCTACTAGCCCCGCATATCCAGCCCCGATGACAATCACATCCTGGATGTCGTCCTGTGGCTGAGCGGAGTGTGTCGGAGGCACGACAACGCCAATCGTGGGAAGACCTTCACGGCGGCCTGCGGAGGGTGTCCAGGTGAAGCCATCCGTGGAGTAAACCATGTTGTCGACGGTAGTTTAAGGCGTATGATAATATCCTTCGGTTGTTCGAGATTGTCGGGAAGATGCCCCAAACACATTTCGTTACGGACCTTGAGTGCGTAGTCGCTCCCAGTCTTATGTCTCGATTTCTCTAGTCCCTGGTAAAGGAGAGTGGGCCCGGGCAAGGGGGGTCCTGGTGGCTGAATCTACCAGCCTGTCAGCCCACTATGGGGCCACAATAGCATCCGCCAGGCGTGGAGAGGGCAGTCGCCTGCCTGCTCGAGGTGCCAATATCCCGTCCACCTTCTTGAACTTGCGGGTCCAGGGGCTGAACCGGAATGGGTGGAGCTGTCTTGGTGGAGCGGGCTTTAGTGGGACAGGCGAGAGCTAAGAACGGAAAAATAGGGCCAATCAGAGCTGGCCTATGCACGCCCTGATAGGATAAGTGTAACCGGAAGGATTATGCACAAACCGAGTCCATCCATTCACTCGGATATAGCGATCTAATAGGAGAGTGGGGTTTCATGAGGGGTTGAAGGTGGCAGTTTACCTCCGTCCACCTCCGTCCTGTCGGCCAGGGCGCAATAATCCAGTGTTGAACTCGACGGGATTCCATGGGTTGGCTCGATATGTCTCACGCCAATATCTCTGCTATACACGGCCCATACAGGAGGAAAGTTACTCTGGCTTGTGATTCCTGCCGTAAACGAAGGGTAAGTTGGCAATGCGGGGGTAAGCTTGGTTATAATACCAGGCAAACTGGTGTGCTGACGCATGCCAAAACTCAAGGTTAAATGCAGTGGAACTCAACCCTGCGTGCTGTGCTCCGAGTACGGGAGGCAATGCGAGTTCGATAGTAGAAACCAAGGGCGTCGCGGCCCCAGGCCACGACAATCTACCAGCCAGGCCCCAAGAGTCACCCATCAGCTGGCACCTCGACGTCTCTCTGCTGAACCAGCGCGTATTTCGCCCCCTAGGCCTGGAGTGGGGGAAGTGTGGCAGCATCAAGATCCCGCGGTCGTAGAAGAAGTCCAGCGGTGCGATGTCGACGACGCTGACCCCCTGGCCGTGGATGAGGATGAGGATGACATGCCTGATCCGTCAGTGTGGAGGCCTGGCTTGGAGAACCTGTTCTATGGCAACAACTCCATCTCAAACACGTATGGTAACATGCACAACAGCGGGCTTCATCTTACACTGTTTGCTGACCCAAAGTCTCGCAGCCTGCCCGCGTTAGACATGAACCTCATGTGCCATCTCATCGAAATCTTTTGCACAAGAGAGAACACGCAACTTAAAGCCTTACTTCCTACGGCGCAAATACAACAGCAGCTGTCCCAGGGCACCATGTCTCGGGGCTTAATACTGGCGGTATGTGCTTCAAGCATGAGGTTTTCTGTGCACAAAGTTGCAAAAGGGCATCACGCTCGCGGCTTTGCTCAGTCACTAGCACGCGAAGCGCGGAAGTGCATTCACGGTTGCAGTGCTATTGCCTGGCAACAAGTTGACAGCATCAAGACCATCTGTGTCCTTGTCGACTACGAGGCCAGCAGAGCTCATGGGCGGCAAGCGTGGATAGATATTGGTTAGCATACGATAACCCCTATCCTAGATCGGACTGCATGTCAGTGGTAACTGATAATTCGAAGCAATGGGCCGAAGCCTGGTGCAGCTAGCGAAGTTGGGACGCGACCTCGACGCGGAACAGAGGCAAATGCTGAGCATTGCCGATCACTATCTTGCCATCACACAAGTTTCCCACTGCCTCGGCCATCGCGACCTCCAACCGTCAAGTAACCGATCAGCCAAGAGACAGAAATTGGAGCCCCAGTGTTTACCATGCCCCGAAGGTTGCCCACACTTACTGGAGTTACTCGAGGTCCTTGCTAGCATCCACCAACTCTGCTTGACGCCCTTACAAGAGCAGAGACCCCTCCCTTGGAGTGCCAGTTCGGAGTTTCGGGAGCTGCAGGATGAGCTGGAAGAGTATCTCCTCCGTCACCCCAACACGTTCCGCTTCGGTCCGAACTCCCCATCAAGCCACTCGAGACAAGGGGATCTGGATGCTTCCGTCTCGTCACTCATCTGGCACTGTTGTGTCATTGTTCTCAACCGGACGTTTCTTCCGATACCACAGAGGTCCAAGACAACGAGTGACGGCCAAGAGCCCTCGATTCGGTGTGTCGAGTTCCCTGGCGCGCCGTCGCTCTTCTTAAAGGAGAGGATTCACCGATGCGAGTCTAGCGCGGATGCGATATGCGACATCACACAGGAGGTCATAAAAAACGGGGGGTTCTACACTGTAATATGGCCAACGCCTCTCGATCAACTATGGATATCTGCTGATTTGGTTTTTTCCCACAGCATGCTCTGCTTGTCGGATTTGCTTGCACGCAAAGTGCGTTGGTATCTATCAACCGTCTCCACCGGTCCTCAAAGCCATACGATAATCGCATTGTTGAGAATCTAAAGGTTGCATTCATCGTGCTGGGTGCTGTCAAAACCTTTTATGCCCCAGCAAGGGTCTGGGTAAGTTTATGCCCCCCAGAACGCCTTCCGACTTTGCGAGCTTCCTGACAAATCGCAACCTGGTGTTGCGGTGACTTCAGTTAGACGTTCTTTTCCAGGCCCACGACATCAATACTCGACTCTGCCATGTATCGGAGACAACAGATATGGCATTTAACAGCTACTTCAGCCGATTTCTCGATATTGAGGAGCCGCCCTTCATGCCGCTGGATCCAAAGGAGGGCGATACACTCCGGGATGAGGCGGGGGCTGGCGAGTCCAATAGCACGGCAGAGAAACGAAATGAAGCGCTCGTTAACGGTCAAGGCTGTGACCAGACCGCTCCCACGGAGAAGCCCCCAGCATGGCTTCAAGCTTACGCAGGCCATCTCTCGGGAGATATCGACACGGATGAAGACTTGGACGGTGTTGACCAAGGGTCACCTACCACAGCAGTGCAAACGGAGCCAGTACAAACAGGTGCCATGGACCGTGCGATCCCGATTCCCGCCATAGTCCAAAGGCAGAACCAGGAGACCATGGACATGGATCCTGGGGGTCCAGAGTCATCTGTGCACGTGGCTGGGGCGATCCTTACTTCCATGTCGGGCAGAACACCGAACCCACCTTCACAACCAGGAGACTCAGTGTCTGGGGATTTACGAGGCTCTTTCACAGGAGATGCTAACGATCCATTCTCAGGACTCTTCTGCCAGTTGCCTGCATTTGCCGACTTTGCAGGACTGGATTCGGAGACGCAGATATTTCCTGCGCTGGGCTCAATCATTGGGGATTCGGAAATGTGGTCTGATGTATTTACTCACAGTATGCTGAAGTGATTTCCGTCATTGTAACGGATGTTGGATGGATTCTTTTTGTTAAAAGAAGAATAGAGAAGGAAAGAAGAAGGAAAGGAGAAGGAAAAGAGCAGGGGAAAAACACACACCCCCCCCCCCAAAAAAAAAAAAAAAACCCCAAAAAACCACCAGGCTGGTGCTCTGTAATCACTCCGCATCGCGCTACCATTTCAATCCCGACCTTTGCCCCGCCCCGCACCTTGATATATGCATAGACAGGGTTCCCCTCACGATTAGTGTATAACCTCGGTACCCCTGTATGTTTGCAGGACGACAAGGTCACATCATCCCACCACCACCCCTTTTCTCGTATCCCCCGCCCACATCCTTCTCGCTGGTGTCTACGACGTAACCCACCTGTGTAGACATTCTCCTTTTGACAACTATCGCGGACGAAGAGAAGATTAGCTACTACCCGGACATCACACCGGCACTCAGCAATTAATACCATCAATCGCAATTGTGAGCGGTATTAATTAGTTTATTTCCATGGAGCGGAATCTGCCCCGAGCGGAGCGACAGAACGTCGAGGGAGTATGTTGGACGTGCCTAGATAATAACTGGCAATGTGACGGGTGCCTGCCTCGTACGTGTTCGTTAGATCCTGGTTGATCCGACATGAAGCTGATCATCCGACTCTTCATCTTAGGCTGCAATGCCTGCACACAAAGAGAAGTGAGGTGCCGCGGATATGGTGTGCGTCTGCAGTGGCCAACAGGGGTTGCAGGCCAGAAGACAAGGCTGTGGAGACGGCAAGGCAGAAGATCCTCGGACGCAAACTCTCCGGCAGACACGGACCGCGATGTCGCACTTCCGGGGGCCATATCGGCTCTCGGTCTCCCAGCAGAGGAGAGCTTCTTCATGCAACATTATCTCCGTATGTCGTCATTGATCGCGTCGTCTACGCCGTGTGCGTCATAAAACTTCTCACTTACACTTGCCAATCAGAGAATATTGCCAGGATAGCTCTCGCCATCGACTACGACGGGAACGGATACCGTTCTCTGCTGCCTATGGCCGTGCAAGAACCTGCACTATTGAATGCTGCTCTCGCAGTTGCCGCTTCCCACCACAGCCGTTGGCAACACACGGCTGATAAGACGTCTCGCAAGTACCTCCGCGCCGCCGCGAAAGCTCTTCGGGACAGGTTTTCGACCCCGGATCTCGTCCATAGCCAAGTTACCCTGGCCTCGATGTTGCTCTTGGTGTCTTTCGAGGTACGTCGCTGATCATTAACTAATCTTGGTACCAAACGGTCACTGAAACCACACCCACCGTCAGGTGTTTTCAGGCTCGAACCGGTGGCAGGGACACTATGATGCAATACGTGGCTGGATCCGATCTCGTGGCGATTGTTCTGACCTCGACCCGTTTCTCAAAACCTGGGTCTGCTTGCTTGACACCCAGAGCGCCTTGAATCTCGGCCAGCCGGCGATGCAAGAGCTGGAGTCCTGGCTGGACATTACGACGGATGTGGCTGGCCAAGAGCAATGCGTAGATGCTCTATTTGGCTGTTCGTCCAGGCTACCGAAGCTGATGGTGAGTCTATTAATACCCGTGATCTTTGGAATGGGCATGCTGACCTAGATCCAAGTGGGCGGCGTCTCGGTTATACGCATCCTCCAAGGATAACCAGATAACCTTGGATGAACTACGGAACCAAGCGGAAGCCCTGCAGAATGAGATTCGATCAACGGTCATCATCCTCGATTCCCAACCCCTGGTCGGCATCTCCTGTCACAGCACCGCACAGCCATTCGCCACCGTGGGCATGGGTCAGGAGGAGCTGCGACAGCGAATGGTGGCCACTGCAGAGATCTTCCGCCACGCCTCGCACATCTACGTGTACCGAATTATGCACGGCCCGGAGGAGGCCCTGACGGAGGAAATGCAAGCATCTCTCAACACCGCCCAGGATCTGCTTACCATGGTGCCCGACGCGCTGGGCCCGGGCGCGAATCTCGGTTGGTGTTTGGTGGTGCTCGGGGCCGAGCTGGACGGCACACACGAGCGGGACTACATCCGGTCGAGACTGGATGGGCTGCATCTCCTGGGTATCCATAACACGAAGAATGGCCAGAAGATCCTGGAGGAGGTCTGGACCCATCGAGACCTCGTCACCCAGGGGCAGGCCCTGCCAGAACGGTGGCAGGACACCATGCAACGTATAGGTCAATCGCAAATATTGGTCTAGCAAGCAAGCTCACGTAACCCCACTGAGCTGCGTATTAACTTGCTAACTACTACTACTACCGAGAGAAGCCCGGACACAACTTCAGGCTTAGCTGTTGGCCGACCGACGAATTAACGGACACACGCAGCTCATTTCCCCTTCCACGCCATCTCCATCAGCCCCTCGATCCGCATCGGCGCCGCAGTCTTGCCGGCGAAATGCTCGACCAAATCCAGATGGTCGGGCAGCCTCGAGAAGTCGTATGCGCCCAGAGCCACGGACGCCTCCAGGTCCGCTGTCAGAGCCCTGAGCTGCTCCAACCCTCCAGGGAAGTGCTCGGCAATGGGGACGTTCCTCGGTAGGACCGCGTTCTTGTGGTCCAGCAGGTCAGCAATCGGCTGGTACGTCACCGCGAGCTTGCGACCCAGATTCTTCTCGGCCAGGATCACCAGCTCGTTTGGCGCGGCGGTGCTCGACGCCGTCGTCATGACCCGCGGCCACTTGTCCAGCTCGAGGGCAAGGGCTGTGTACCGCGCGACGTCCTTGGTGTAGGACATGGCCATCCGGGCCTCGCCGTCTCCCGGCAAGGCCGCGACTCCGTTTGTGGGGTCGGTGAAGACGCACAGCTCCCGCAGGTGCGTCGAGATGTTGGGCATGCCGAAATAGTCCATGAACATGCCCGGGTATATATACGTGAACTCGAGGCTCGTCCGCTCCAGCTCGCGCCGCGCAACAGTGTGGAATCGCTTGTCGGGATATGGCAGCACGTCGTCGCCTTGGTCGTAGTCGATGTTGAATTCGGAGGGGATGAATCGCTTGACGCAAGCTGCCTGCTCGGCGGCTCGGATGAGAGTCAACTGCGAGTTGCTGGCGGCTTGGAAGTCGAGCGCGAAGGTGCAGATGACGGTGTGGACTTTGTGTTGCGTCAGGAGCTCGGCCACGGCCGCCTCCGAGCTGTAGTCTGTCTGGATAATGGGGAGATATGTCTTGTTTGTCAATGGGGAGACACGGGTCGGGTAGTCCTCGGGGACCTATGATATCACACTGTTAGGATTGGCGAGGAGGATAGACAGAACGAGATTGGCATCATGAAAGGAAACCTACTTTGCGTGACATGACGTAGACCTCATATTTGCCGGTCTCGTGAAGGGCATCGGTGATGAGCCTTCCCATGTCGCCGAGACCACCGGCGACTACGACGACAGACATATTTGCGGTAATTAGTCAAAGTCCGAGGAGATACTGGTATAACCTGGCTATTCCACATTGATGCAGCAAGCTTGAGGATGCACACAAGCTCTGCAAAAGAGCTGGGAAGATTGCTGATAAGGGATGACTGGCCGAGTGGCACTCGGCCCTAAATTAGACTAGCCTCCATGCCACCCGACGATGGCCAAACTCGGGAAATATCAGGGGATTATCTTCCCATTGGTGGTGAAATGGACCCATTCGAGGATCAAACCTGGGACACTGCAAGGTCTATCTATGCAATCCGCCAAGGACCACTTGTTTAAATCCAGTACTGACTGCCAGAACCTGCTTTGAGAGCACCCTTTGTCCCAGACATAATATCATGAAACTTTAGATCCTACTCTGACCCTTAATTACCATCTATTATCACCCTCCCAGCACAAACGGTGACAACTCGATTTGAAGAAGAGACCAAAAACACACCAAAAATGTCGCCCCGACCCATCCACCGCATCACCCTATTCAAGATCCCCTCTGAAGAGGACCAGGCCCGCCTCATCGACATTTACCGCACGTTGCCGGCCCGCGCCCTCAAGGACGGCAAGCCGTACATCCTATCGGCGACAGTGGGGCCATCATACGACGATGTGCGCAACCAGGGCTATACGCTAGCAGCCCTCTCTGTGTTTCACTCGGTCGAGGACATGAAGTACTACGACGATGAGTGTGCGGCACACGCGGAGCTGAAGAAGGTCGCTAAGACGCTGCATCACGGGGCTATGATGGTGTATTTTCAGAATGCGCTTTAATATGCAAGCGGTAGCCAACTGGGAGAGCTGGTAGAGGAGAATAGATCGTGGGTTGGGGTTTGTGTTCTTCCTGGGGACTCCACTAGGTTGTCATGGTTTTCTCCTCAATGACACCAAATTTACATGTACCTATGGTGATCAGTCAGGCTGGCTACTTCAATATCACCGCTCTACCAATGGTCTCAACGGTCACCGTTTTGGAGATTGTGCTGTACACCAAGCTAAAACTAACCCTCTATGAGAACGGGATCGCCTCAAGAATCTGACCCGAACACTCCCCAAATCCAACGAGCCCCCCTTCCTCCGTGCCACAGAGGCCAGAGATGGTAACGGTATCCCCATCACACAAAAACATCCTCTCCTCACCACCATCAAGCTTGATTTTCTGCTTCCCGCCGAGATTCTGCTCCAACAAACTGCCGCGTGACCGCTCGTCCGTCCCGCTAATGGTACCGCTGCCAAGCAGATCGCCCGGCCGCATGGGGCAGCCTCCGACGGTGTGGTGCGCTACCATCTGAGCAAACGACCAGATCAGGTTCTTCCCACTTGTCCGCGTGACGGTTGTGGTCGCTCCCTGAGCCGTGGTTAGATCAACCTGTAGCTGGATGTCGTACTGATTCTGCTTCCGCGTCTCCCGCAGGTACGGCAGGAGCTCGGCATCGTTCTCAATCCCCCCAACTGCGAACGGCTTAAGCGCATCCGGCAGCACAACCCACGGGCTGATAGTGGTGGCAAAATTCTTGGCGTTGAAAGGGCCCAGGGGCACGTATTCCCACGTTTGCAGGTCCCGCGCCGACCAGTCGTTCATCAACACGTACCCGAAAATACTCTGCTCGGCCTCCTCGATAGGCACCGGCTGGCCCAGCGGATTGGCCTTGCATATGAACGCACCGAGCTCTAGTTCAATGTCCAGTCGCCGACAGGGTGAGAAGATGGGCACCTTTGGGTCTGCAGCCGGGTTGACCAAGATCTGGCCCCAGGGGCGGTGGACCGGCGTGCCGGAGACGACGACGGATGAGGCACGGCTGTGGTACGCGACTGGGAGGTGCTTGTAGTTCGGTTGCAACGCATTCTGTGGCCCACGGAAGAGAGAGCCGACGGTGAAGGCATGGTTGATGCCGGCGAAGAAGTCCGTGTAGTCGCCAATCTCCATGGGGAGGTGCATGGTGACGCTCCCCACTGCCACTATGGCGTCTGCCCTGAGCCCTTCGTTGTCACGGAGAACTTGGGGGTGCGGGGTGTCCTCGGCGAAGACGCTCTGGAGATACATCCGGACTTTAGAGTGGATGGGCCTACCCAGAGCCGCAAAGGGGTTCAGCGTCTGCGCCGAGAAGACATGGGTGTGAGGCTTGATTTCGTCCAATCCTGCAAAACCGTTCCGCTCGGCGAACACCTTGAGATCCAGCACATGGGCACCGAGGATCGTTGCAGGTCGGGGGATCAACGCCCCTGGTGTGGAGATGATACCGAAGGGGATGTTTGCAAGGGAGAACGGCGAGGATGGCGCAACAGGGAGCCAGGGTTTGGGACTCATGGTGTCGTCTGGGGCCCGAGAGTATGGTGAGTCTTGATTACTCCTCGTGGTCAGTGTCAAATTTAGAAACTAAAGATCTGTTAAAGGGCACCGTGCTCTCGATCGTATGAGATTAGAGCTGGTCGTCTAACATCCCGTGGCTTATTTCTGCAAACACACAAGAGACCAAGGGTTGAGTGCCTTGTCGCTCCCCGATCTCGGCAATGCGAAGTTGGATGAATGACATCTCGCTTGTCCTCCAAACCCATGTCCATCACTTGATTAAGCCTTGTGCACCGGAGCTTGGCAAGGATTAACTCAGGGAACTTCTTCCCATCTACGCGTACGATCGTTCGTTGATGCTGTGGGGACTAATGATGCCGGGGCTACAAGTGTGGGGTGCCTTCCTTAGCTCAGGAGAGTAGAGGGCTATGACGCGCCTGTCCAATGACATATTGATCCAGCCCTCATACGCGGAACTATCGTTGGTACCAAATGACGATCGATAACATTGTTGCATCTTTTTCCGGAATGCGCTTACCTTCCTTGTCTTGGCAAAGGAAGGATTCCCAATGGAAAGGGGGATGTATGGTCCGCGGACAATTGCGTTGACTAATACCAACCAAGGCTAGCGATCCAGACCTCATGGTGGTTAGATATGTGTGTCATCTATTTTTGTGCCTGCTTTGGGATTTGATTGCCGTGTGTCTTACGGTGGCCTGATTTTGCTGACACTGGATAATCGGAGTATCAGTGGCATGAAGAATCGATCGAGGAAGATCAATACAGCACCGTCACCAATACTGCCTACAAGAGCCCCTCAGATAGCTGCAATTTCTTCTCTATCTTATCAGATCATCGTGATACAATAGCACCGCTACCGCCGTGACGAGCGCATCTACCACTCCCCAGGGCATCTGACACCACTGTGCTGATCATGCCGGTCACTAACTTCTCAACGCCGGAGAAGTACCGGTACCTCAATGGTTTTCAGTCTTACCACGAGTTACGTTACGTTCCCTTTTCGAACACGCCATTGCTTCAGGCCTGAAGTTGCAAATACTGACTGTCCGTTTGAAACAGGAGTGAAGCCATTCCCAGCACTCTCCCCATTGGCGCGAACTCACCCCAGAGACCCAACCACGGCCTCTACGCCGAGAAACTATCGGGCACTTCGTTTGTCGCACCACGCAGCGAGAATCTCCAGACCTGGCTCTACCGCATTCTCCCATCTGCCGCCCACCTCCCTTTTGAACAATACCAAGAATATGAGGTCCCAACAAACATCCACCAGATCCCGGTGCAGCTGCGATGGGACCCTTTCGACCTTGATGATAAAGCCGACTGGGTGCATTCCTTGAAACAGCTCGGCGGTGTTGGGAGCCCTGCGACCAAGTCGGGCCTTGGGATCTTCATCTTTGCGGCTGGCACCTCCATGCCACAGCGACATGCTTTCTATTCAGCCGACGGAGACTTTCTCATTGTTCCCCAGCAGGGCGTCCTCGATATCCAGACCGAATTCGGCCGCATCCTAGCACGCCCTAACGAGATTGTCGTCATCCCAAGAGGGATCAAGTACCGGGTTGACCTCCCTGCTGGCCAAGTGCGAGGGTATATCTTGGAGATCTATGACGGTCACTTCAAGCTCCCCGAGCTCGGCCCCATCGGCTCCAATGGCCTGGCGAATGCGCGGGACTTCCAAGCGCCGGTCGCCGCCTTTGATGACACCGAAGATGGCTCCTCGAGCTGGACCATATTCACGAAGTACAACAATGCCATGTTCACAGCGGCACAAGACCACACACCCTTCGACGTCGTCGGCTGGCATGGCCTCTATTACCCCTACAAGTACGATCTGGGCCGCTTCAACGCCATCGGTAGCACCAGCTTTGACCACCCCGACCCGAGCATCTACACGGTGCTGTGTGCACCCACCGCCGACTTTGTCATATTTCCGCCTCGCTGGCTTGTCCAGGAGGACACCTTCCGGCCCCCCTGGTACCACCGCAACACCATGTCCGAGTTCATGGGCCTCATCATGGGCGAGTACGATGCCAAGTCCGGTGGAGGGTTCCAGGCCGCTGGGGCCAGCCTCCACAACGTCATGAGCGCCCATGGACCCGACGCCGAGACGCACGCCATGGCCAGCGCGGCGGACTTGAAGCCTGTCAAAGTTGGTGAGGGGAGCATGGCGTTCATGTTTGAGAGCCCGCTCATGATTGGCGTGACGGACTGGGGCCTGGAAAAGTGTCGGAAGGTACAGCGGCAGTACAATGCCGATTCTTGGGTTCCCCTGAAGAGGCACTTCAAACGGCCGACAGATGCTACTGGGGAAAAATAAATAAGACGACTTCTTTGTGTATTTCTTGTGTGGCTCAATACCATTCATTAATTATTACCTCACCCCATGAAGACGATGTAATTCGATAAATAATGCTCAAATAATTAATGACAAGATAGAACCTCTCCTGAGCCATCTTCCCAGATTATCATGGTCGCTACTTGCTTTCACGTACAATCAGATAAGATAATCTTTTTCAACATCGCCCACGAGAGCCCAGATCCATTCTAATAGTAATTAGGTAGTTAATACTTAATACGTCTTCTACTAGTCTGCGCATCTCAGTACAGCACCTATCTATATCAAGCCCACTCGCCTTGTGAAATAGTACTCTTGTCCACTCCGCTATTGTCACTTTCTACCAACCCCGTGTCATGATTAACGGCAAATTCAACAGGACCGTGGTAGTGCCTCCGGCCGTAGAAGATCCAGAATAGTGACGCCAACACAAAGACAGCGCCAATGATTGTTGATGCGTAGTTCCTGTTGATGTGGTCAGAAAGTAGAAACTCCAAGAAATGAGGATGCATGATACTCACATGTTACTGGCGTTGACGGGGCTGTTGACGGGGAACGACATGAAAATGACCATGAAGCAACCGAACAAGAAGGCCACAATATGTACAGGCGTGGAAAACCGTCCCATGTTGAAAGGGCCTTTCACAAGGTTCTTCTTCCACCACAGCGTATAGAAGATGTTGATACCGAGAGGCAGCACATACGAGAGCTGGAAGGCAACCAGAACGCCTGCCATTATGCCGTAAAAGGCCGTCGTGTTCCAGATGTAGATCATGAAGACGACAATGGACGGGACTATCAGCACGATGTTGGCGAGAATGGGCACGTTCCAGCGCGGGTGCAGCTTAGCCAGGGGACGGGGCAGGGCATTGTCTCTTGCCATGGACCAGATGGCGCGGGCCGCGGCGCCCCAGAGGTCGAAGCCCGCCGTCATGGCCACGGCTGAGCTGATGCAGTTGAGGAAACAGGACAGGCCGACGTTGGAAGTGCTATTGATCAGGATTTGCGTGAAGGGACTCATGAGACCGATGGGCGAGTTGAGAACTGCATCGACGTCTCCAATACAGAACAGAACGGTAATGACAAATGGGAGAGTCATCAGCGCGGTGCCGCCCGCCTGCAAGATCACTGTTTTCACGCAGGATTTCTGTCAGACATTGCATCTTCTCCCACATTATTTTTTGCGGGAAATGAAATGAGCATTGTGACTTACTTGCTCTCGGAACAAGGACGCTTGCGTTGGGAATCTCCTCGCTGAAGTGGGTTGCAGTATCCAGCGAGAAATATGCATATAGAGCAGCGAGAAGGCCGATGCTCCAGGACACGAAGTCGCTGTCCCAGCCAGTACTATTCTGAAAGTTGGTAAAGACATACTTGGCGTCGTGCTTGTCCTTGGTAAAGCCGGCCAGGATGCCGATGACGAGGAAGTAGCCGACAACGTGAATCACGAGAACTAGGCGAGATCCGGATTAGCTACTGGCCTTGTAGAGGAGAAGGCTGGAAATAATGTCAAAGCTCACCAGCTGAATTCATATAGTGTAGGGCATTCACAGCGAAGATATTGAGGATTATCCAGCAAACCATGCAGGCAAGGCAGATCTATATTTCAGCCGTGTCAGCAAATACGCAATGCCTGAGGAAAGGCGGATTCAGACTTACCAGAAATGCGTGCCAGGTCAGAGGATTGTAGTCTCGCGTGACCATGACATACGACTGGATCTGAACGGCCACACCCATCCCACAGGACAAGGCCCCGAGCCAAAGGCCGGCCAGTCCAAACCAGGCAGTGAACCAACTCTTGGAAGCAATAGGTCAGCATGGTTCTAATGCCAGGACGAGGCCCGGTCCGTCACCTACCAGCATCGGGGCGTACTTGGCTGGGGCGAGATTGGCAGTCCAGACATACTGCCCTCCGGCTGAGGGCCACATGCTAATTACAGGCGATGTATCTGTCAGCAGCTACAGGAAACACGCAGCAAAAGGATGAGCCCAGACTGCAACATACCTCACGAACTCGGCCAGGGAACAAGCCATGCAAGTGATGCCGACAGAAACAAACACCCAGCCCCATATGAGGCCGACGGATCCGCCGCCGGCAATGCCTTGGGCAATGGACGCGGTCCAGCCCTCCCACTATTCGTGATACGTCAGTAGGAGATCTGGGTAGAGGGCTGGATGTGAGTTGGCGCATACCGCTCCGGATGTGCACACGGCGATGCCAAAAGCCGTCCAGAAGTTGAACCGCTTCGCTACCTTGGCCCCCTGGCTGGGGTTGACGGCCGAGGGTACCTCGGCAAGGGGGCTGTCCCGTCCCTTTTCGGGCTTTGACATGGCGGAAAGGATTGATGCTGGTTACTATGCAATTGATTAAGGGTGGAAACAATCACAGGTGTTTGTCTGAGCTGAATGGCCGGGTGCTTTGGAAGAAGGGAGAAGGGCTGTCGAGCACCATATATAATCCGCATGTCAGGGCATCCGGCTTGGTCGGGGTCTGATACAGCGCGGTCGCAGAGGCACGTACTGAATCTCAACCCAGCGCCTGTATCCAGTGGATGTGCAATAGCCTTTCCGTTGCTGGGGCTTATCAGTAAGGAACGAAGATAGAGGGTACCTCGAGTGGTTATCACACGCTATGATCCAGACCCATACCCAAATGTGGAGCTGATTGCCTGGGGGAGCTAATCTGCACTCTCTGAAGTGGGTGGGGATGGGCAAGGCAGGGGCGAGTCAGGGGTTCGGATCATCCACTGACAGGCTGAACGCTCGCTACTAGCCTATGGAGGCAACGCTATTGGGTGGGATGCTGGTGTAATAACATGTATTCAAGTCCTTAGCGTGGTCGCTCTCTTTGAACCTCCCCCGGATTCCCGGCTCCCCCTAGTGACACACGCCCAGCTACTCGGGCCTGCGCTCATCAACTGAGGAGTTAATCCACAATCCTTGGGGCAAGGGAGGACACTAGCAGGGTGAGCTATCGCCCAAGCCTAGATTTAAGCGAAGTGCGGGGAAGTGGATCAACTATTTGCTAATGGATGCCACATGTTTGGATAACAATTAGGTTCTCCTACTGCGCTCAATGCCCCAGCCCCAGTAGACGCATACCTAGTGTGCAGATGATACTCGTACCCCGAATTAGAAAGTAAACTGTCCATGCGTATAAATCAGAACAGCGTTCAAGCAAGCCTTGATCATGTAGTAATTGGGATAATTATGTCGCCGTCCTGGACAAGGAGCACATGGCATAGAAGCGCAGATATGGGGATGTTTGATGACTTGTAATTAAATGGCTCTGGATTGGATCCTGAGAACGAGGGAATAGCACCAGCTCACATACGTTTGTTACACTGAAGAAGACAAGGTTATCCATATTTAACTTCGAGCCTCGAAGAATGACTGATTTTGACACCTAGATAATTACATTTTATCTAATTGCCACCTTGGCTTGCCCGACTTTTCTACTCTCAAGGAGGTAGTCGCCGCCCGCAGGAAGAGCCAATTCTTCGATGCTGCCCTGTTTGTAGCTCTTCACGTCCGCGGCCAAGTGATCAAAGTGCTTCTCTGCCTCGCTCTCAATGTCGTACTCAATCACCCACTCCGGGCGCGGGAGATTAAGAATCTGGGGGTTCTTCTTGATCTCCTCACCGTCCCAGTCGACATTGTGGTACCCGTCTCTGGTTGTGATGGAAGCCATATGCGTGACGTGCGACCGGTTGAAGCGGATCCTCTCAAACACCCGCAGACCAAGGGGCACGTCGCCGTTTGCCCGCTTCAGCGCGATGGCTAGCGCGACGCCATCCTCCATGGCCTGCGAACCGCCTTGCGCAGAGGTGGGAAGATGACAATGCGCCGCGTCTCCTATCAGCACGATCCGCGCCGAGGGACTGAGCCACGTCTTCAGCGGGTCCCGCCACACGAGCTTGTAGTCGACCAGGTGTTCCTCTGGAGTGGCCTTGACGACCTCGACGAGTTTCTGCTCGAAGCCGCCCTCGGCAAGGCACGCGAAGACGTCTTCTTTCTTGCCTGGAAACGACCAGGACTCGCCGATATCTGCCGTGTCCTGGAGACAGAAATGATTAGCGCGCTTGATGTGGAAATTACTAGGCGTAGCTAATATGCCATACCTTGTGTGTTAGAACCCAGCCAAGATCCCTCCCCTTGTTCCAAGTGTAGATGATCATATGCAGGTCCTTGGTAACCCACAACTTGGTCGTGTCGACTGTCGGGTCGCAAAAGTCTTTCAGGTGTGGATTTTGTCTGTGCTCCTCGGTCAAGGAGAAGTAGGCGCGGAAGATAGCATAGCCACTGTTGACCTTTGTGTCCAGTAGGCCGAGGACCTGCTGGCGAGCAGTAGAACGGGGACCGTCAGCAGCCACCACGACGTCCGCAACGTATGTTTTGCCGCTGGCCGTGACGACGCTCGGCTTGTCGCCATCATCAAGGTACTGCACAACGCGGTCGCCAAACTCGAACTTCACGCCGACTTCCTCCGCGTAGTCGAGGATGACCTTGTGCATCTGCCCGCGGTGGCCGGCATATTGCTTCCAGAAGTGATGAGGCTCCAGGATCCAGTCCTCCTCCCAGATCACAGTGCCGTTGGCCCTGCAGTACTGGAACCGGTCGCCCTGGTTTATACAGATCTGCATGAGATCCCGACCGACCCGGCCGTTCTCCCAGCTTTCGATGATCCGGCCGCCATTCGGGAAGAAGTCTATGATGTCCCCGTAGGCCAAGCTCGTGGGGTATATCTCAAGGATGGTTACGTCCATGCCTCGTTGCCGGCATTCAATGGCAGCCGTAAGCCCGCCGAAGCCGGCACCGACGATTACGACACGGAGTTTGTCGCTGGTCATGATTGGAGGCCTGAGAGCTGCCGTTGCAAGGCGGTATTGGGGTATCGGAAGGAGTAGGGGGTCTGACAACGAAGATTCAAAATATGGATGGTGCTGTGTGGTCGACCACTGTCGTGGGCATCAAGGGCCGAGCAGCGCAATGATAATGGGTAAAATCTGGAACTGAAAATCACCCCTTTCATCAAGCGATTGCACGCGCCAGGCTATCCGGAAAAGCGTGACATCAGCTCACATGGACACGACAAAATGCGCCGGAGGTGTGATCGGTCGGGGCGATAGGTATCCCGGCCCATCCATGCAGGGACTGGAATTGGTTGAGGGGTCAATGGAGATTCGCTTCAACCCGGATAATGGAATAATTAGTTCATGGACATCCTTCCGCGGGGACGGGAGTATAGGTCGCCCCCTTAATTAACTATCTCCGGGCTCGTCCAATAAGGGCTAATCCCACGATCGATCCTGGAATAATTCCTGATTGGCCCTAATGATCCCTGAAAGACCACTTCGGGCAACTACCAAAGTACCGATAATCAACCTCGGCATTAGAACTTCTTCTTGCCCCCGACTCCCACGCTCATTATGCGCACCGCCACAAAACTGCTCAGAGCCACGGCGTATGCCAAGCCAGCAAATACTATCAGCCCAAGGTAGTCCCCGTCAGCAGCCTGCAGAATCTGACCACCCACTGGGACACCTATCAAGGACCTGCCTGCCTGTCAGTCTCGAAAGTGGGAAGAAGCGAGCAAAGAGAAAATGAGCTCACCCAAAGCTGCCAATACTGTAGACGGCCGTGAAGGTCTTTCCATAGTCTTCGGTTTTGCAAAGTTGTCCAATGCACACTGGAACCAAGCTGATACCACTGCCGCTGCCGAGACCAAATAAGATGACAAACCCCGTTAAACCCGTTACCGTCTGCCCCGCCGGCAGCCATATCCCCAGTATGGACACAAGGCAGAGGGCCAGAGCAACGATCTGGGCGTTGAACCGGCCCAACTTGTCACCTAGCCACCCGGGAAGCCACCGACCCAGCAACGACCCCACGTTTAACAGTGTCACCATCCGGTATGCCGCCTGGGTCGAGATACCGTGCGACGTGGCATATGATGTGATGTAGGTCAGCGGTATGAATAAACCCAGTTCCACAAACAGAGCTCCGACTGCTAGGATAGCCATCCTTGCAGACATCAAGATCCGCAGATCCGGGATGAAGCCCATGCTGGACCTGTTGCAAGGAAGTAGGCGGCCGCGCATGAGGATGACGCCGACGGCCACGAATGGTAGCATCACCAGGGCCATGACCCTCATTGTCCAGGCGAAACCAATTTTTGGCAACAGAGCACCTAGAATGAGAGGCGATGCGATACCGCCCACGCTGCCCCCCGATATGGCCATCCCAGTGGCCAGACCGCGGCGCTCCAGAAACCAGTGCTGTACGGTTCCGATGGCAGATGTGAAGAGAAGGCAAGTGGCCAAGCTGCCCAACACCCCAAAGCAGAGGAAGAAATGCCAGTATTCCGTACAGTTCCCCAAAGCAAGATATGTTGCGATCAACAGGATCGCGCCGCAGAGCGAGAGGACCCGCGGCCCCTTGACGTCGAATATGGGGCCCAGAGGCAGCCCCGCAAAGAAGCTGAAGAAGTTGTAGAACCCGAAGATCCAGCCGATGCTGCCGGAGCTGCTGTCCTTCAGCTGCTCCTGCGAGATCCAGTTCTGGTACACGCCGACCGAGTTCATCATGGAGAGGGCAGCGAAGAAGGAGCAAAAACAGCCAAAGAGACACAACCACGCCCTTGTTCCGCCGTCGGGGTATTCGTCATCAGTGGGAGTAGGCAAGAAAGGTACGTCTGACGTGTTTCGAGTTGGTTCTGCATTTACGACATCTGTTTGCTTTGTTTTGTTGTAGTTCGTGGGCTCCATTTTGTCCGTGGTGCTGTCCGACCAAATTGTGGTCGATTTTCTCACGAGAGTTGGACCATCCTCGTAAAGCCAGCCAAAATCCAATATCAACGCAATATTGCTCGTTCCTGTGCTTTGCTTTTTTTCTTACTGCCCGTCACGGCACACCCAATTTGCCGCCCACATTCTAACGTGGAGCTTACGAAGCGGACTTAGGTTCAGTCTAGGATCAATAGCCTATTGGCCGCACTCTCAAGAAATTATGTGTGGAACTGATCGATTATCAAAGAAGCAACTTATAATGCCGGCCACCTCAGATCTTCTCTGATATTTGAAGAGGGTATGAAATTTCAAGACTTCACCTCACTTCAATCCAAAATTCAAAGTACCCCAATTTAATTACACATCACTTCCCATCCATGGTTTTCGAGTGGCAAGACGAGGGCAAGCTTCACCGCGTCCCTAAGCTGGAGCCGGGCCCACCCAATGTCTACTTTGGTGAGTATCTCGACCTCCTAACCCTTATAAAACTCGTTCAAACGTCTAGCCGTTGCTTACAGTGGTGCGTATTTTGCAGGCGATGTTTTCTCCACTCCGTCCAAGGACACCCCAAACCCCCTGACCGGGTCATTCTTCCTCCTCGAGCAGATCGACAATCTTGAGCCAGCCCCAAAGTACGACTATGACGAGAGTGGGGTTGTGCTAAAAGGTCAGTGAAGTTCGGAGTGTATGCATACCACCAGTAATTAGATGTTGACGATCTACTTTTTGTCTCTCAGGCGAGCTGCACATCGCGGACGAGAAGGGCAATGAGGCCAAGCTGTTGCCTGGGGACACTTTTTTCATCCACCGTGGAAGCACAATCACGTTCTCGACACCTCGCTTCGCTGTAGCTTACAAAGTTGCGGCTCGACACCGGATGCACTAAGGCTGGGTTGGGCGAGAGTCGTGGAGAGAGGGGGGGGTATGGCATAGGGTCAGATAGTTAGGTCCCATTGATAGGCCAATGGGAAACGCATACAGTTCATAGTTTCAATCATTTGTCTATAGAATTCATGAACTGTGGCTTGGGAGGTGTCACATCATGAATCCGTATAGCCAACGAATCGAATGGAATATCAGCCTTCCAAAAGACGGGAGCCCCCGTCGGCCATCGTACTTTGTGTTTCTTGACTAGGTTCAACAATCTTGCAGATCTCAGTGCTGCTGTTGGCATTCTAAATCTTGTTGTAGGCATACCTGGCACGGTTAGAACTTCATGAACGCGCAAAGAGATGGTCATCAAGAAATACATAACTTGGAGATGAAGTCAGGCACCCCCTGGCAGTGAGGTCATTGAGATATTAGAGATTCCTTCATAGCTCTAACGAAACGATGTACGGAAATAAATCTCGGGTCAAGCAGTAGCTAGTCTCCATACGCGGCGCAGTGAGAATCTAGTTATACTCATGTTCGCATTTGTCTAAGCTTGCCTACTCCTTGAAAGCTGCAGGCAGAGTATTGTACTTGACCGTCTTTGTCGTCAGCCATCCATCAAGTGCTTCCTCCCCCATATCACGGCCGAAGCCAGACTGCTTAACCCCTCCAAACGGAGTGTTCGCATGCAATAGCCCCCAGCAGTTGATCGTGACCTGTCCACTTTCCAGCGCCGCCGAGACACGTTGTGCTCGGTTAACGTCGTTGGTGAAGACGGCGGCGCTGAGGCCGTATTCACTTGCATTAGCCTTTGAAATGGCTTCAGCTTCTGTATCGAACTTGGCAATTGACTAATTTGATTGCAGTTAATAACTAGTGTTAATGTACCCAGTTTAGAAGCCTGTGTCGTAATACTTACCGCGACAGGCCCGAATATCTCCTCTTGCATGATTTGAGCATCATCAGGGACATCGGCAAAGGCAGTGTTGGCAATGAAATTTCCGCTGCCCGGCATCGATTCTCCTCCAGCTATAAGGCGGATACCGGATTCTTTCGCATGTCGAATATACTCGATGATCTTCTCTCTCTGCTTCAGGCTGATGACCGGACCTTTCGTTGTCTCGCTGAGCAGCGGGTCGCCATGAGAGGTTTGGGCCAATTTTTCTGCGAAGGCAAGGAGGAATGTGTCATAGACGCTGGCGTGGACATAGATACGAGACCCAGCAGCGCAGACCTGTCCGTTGTTGGCGGTGATGCCAATCGCCGTCCAAAACAAGGCGTTGTCCAAATCAGCATCGGCAAACACGATAGAAGGTCCTTTACCACCCAGTTCCAGCGTCACCTTCTTGAGGTTCGAATCGGCCGCAGCTCGCAATATCTGTCGACCAACCGGAGCACTCCCAGTGAATGCAATCTTCTTGACGCCTCCGTGCCTCGCCAGCGCTTGGCCGGCAACAGAACCGTGGCCACAGATGATGTTGATCACACCTGGAGGGAAGCCTGCCTCTTCAACGAGACTGGCCAGCTTTTGGCCGTACAGAGGTGCCAGCTCCGGCGTTTTGATGATCAGCACGTTGCCAGCCGCAATGGCGGGAGCCAGCTTCCAGATGGTGATCATCCTATTCTCAGTTCAGCACCCAAAGACTCGCGATGTCGAATAGCCGGGGGTTTCTAACAGTGGTGCATTCCATGGGACAATGGCAGCGCACACTCCAAGTGGCTCTCGCCGCGTAAATGCATAGCCTTGTGGGATGTTCAAGAGCTGGCCAGCGATCTTGTCCGCCCAGCCAGCAAAGTACCTGAGCGTCTCAACCGCCTGGGAAATGTGGAGTCCCTTCGACTCCCCAAATAATACTCCCGCATCCAGAGCCTCAAGGCTGGCCAGGTCATCTGAATCTCGCTCGATTAGGTCGGCGAGCTTGTTGAGGAGTTGGCCCCTCCGAGCGGGAAGAATGGTCCTCCATTGTCCCTGGAATGCCGCTTGGGCTGATTCGACCGCGGCATCAACGTCCTCTCCCTGGGCCGCTGAAACGGAGGCGAGGTGGCCCCTAGTCGTAGGGTTCTCGACATCAAGCTGAGATGATCCAGCTGCTGGCTGAAACTTATTGTTGATGAAGAGGCCGGTGTTGACTATTGTGGATCTGTTATTAGCGTCTGGTGTTGAACTCAGGGCTCGTTATGGTGTGCGTGCATACCGCGGATGGGCTTCCCTCCAATGCCAGTTAGCTCAATTTGGCTCATCCTAGTAAAATATGCGATCAGCGAGTTTAAGGGAAGAATAAAAGTCAACTAAGAGGAATGGAATTCTCACTTCAGATAATACCGTACAACTCCATTGGGGAGTTATAGAACTAGTTAGTTTAATACCTGCAAAAGTGTTGACCCACTCCCCCTGTCATTGGAGCCAGTCACGTAAAGTTCCACTATCACACGGAATATTACCAGAAACATCAGACTGGTTCACTTGACCTATCACAGCTCCGATCCCAAAGTCTATGGCGTTTATCCTTGACAGCCTGAAGCGTCCTAGCTAGCACCAAAATCACCCTGTCCCCTAGTAAGACAAGAAATTCAACAAGCCTGGCTACCAGTAATAATTTTAGAGGACAGGAAGAACACCATCCTCAGAGCTGGCATTCTCAATGAGCAGGAAACGACAGGTCGGTTCCAAGGCATGTTTGTCAGAACCAGCCGAACTTAGCTGCCACGAGTGTCTCGATCTGGCCTTGATCAATCATTCATTCTCATTGTAAAAGGAGTAATATTCCTTGTGAGTCGTGCTAGTATCTCTCTGCATTGGTCCTATCTTGTTTCCTCTCTAGATTCCGTATTTTTACGGTGTTGTATCTCTGCATTGTTCACCGCGTCCATCGGTCGACGGTCGAGGGTCGAGGACTTTGCAGCTCCTCGTCCACAGCATAACCTACAGTAAATCCACGTGGACGGGCTTTGGCTACTCCGACATGTACGATTGGCCCTCTTACGCCATGGCTATGCATCTTTGGTGAGCCGAAGAGGACCTTCAGAACTCAGAAGTAGGGTTAGTGGAGCGATGAGTGCAGGAAACTTGCGTCGAAGTCGGTTGGTTTGATGGGATCTATCGAGAAGAGTAATGATGATGTTTTAGACGACGCTGCATGAGTTAGGATCGGCAGTGTGCAAGCACAGTACATGCTTGGTAGCTTCCCCCCTCCCTCCCTTTTTTTCGACTCAGGATCAGGCTCGCTCGCTGGAGCACGTGATATCTCACGTTTCGGCATCATCAAAACACCACATGATCTTGCTCAGCGCCAAGTCTCACGTCAGATATTGATAAGGATTCCGGATAAGTTAATTTTGGTATACAAAGGATCGGGATCTGCAGAAAATCGAGTCGCTAAGGGAGCGCCCGTTTTGCCAAAGGCGCAGTCACCAACGGCCGCAGATCCCCGCCCGTCAGCACTAGAGCAGGCTGCCAATGTGAAGGCCCCCGGATTTAAAAGCCGAGTGAATCCCAGTCGTTCTCCCGATGTTTCGTTTCAACCGCTCCCGTCTTCACCCCGCGCTCAACGGATCAAAACAAACCTCCAAGCAAAAATGGCGCAGACAAACTCCCTGGCGCTCAAGCTCGCTCTCATCACCTTGATGGTCGACTCCATCCTCGAACTCTCCTTCGTCGCCGCTACCGTCGGTTGGCTGCACAACACCGCGAGCGGCACCTTCGCCGTCCGCTTCGGCGGCTCCACCTTCGAACTCCGCGGCGAGCCCGCCAACTTGCTGACCGACCAGGGCCACACCAGCAACGGCGCCGCCGGCACCGCATTCGTGCTCGTCGGGCTGGGCGGTATCATCGCGCTTTGGCTACGCGGGGGCCGGTACCGTGCGAGCCGGTTAGGGGTCTTCATGTATTATTTCTGGGTGACCATTAATATACTCGCCGTGCTCCTCACATTGGCGGCGCTGGCGTACGTGTTTGCAGTGACCCGAGCACATGACGGGCAAGACATCGACGTTTCCTTGGCTTCGACGCTCCATGGGAGGAAATACCCCCTGGGTACGTGGACGCCGCAAAACTGGTTTGCTGCCGTGCTGAGGCTCGATGTGGCGAATGGCGGCGTGCTCCGTGACATCAGGAGCCATTACAGGATCATGCTGGGGTGGCAGTACAATCTTATCCCCATGTTTGTCATCCAGCTTGCCACAACTGTGCTTGCTGTCGTGGATTGCCTAAGATGGCGGGAAGAGACGAGGTATGGCTGCGTGGTGCAGGCGGTCGAGGTTAAAGCTTGAGCCAGTTTGTGCTTTCTTTGAGGGTTCGGTTGCTTAATTTTCAATGCTGTAAGTTGAACATGTTGGTTTATGGCGGAGATAATGTTGCTAACAATGATGCTCAGTGATTTGGAGTATCGGCAGTCTTCAAAGGTATTACATTGGACTAGGACAGTTCAGTAATTAACAGAGTCATGATATTGTACAGCTATTTGAGCAATGTTTACCTTGGTGCATGGAGATGACGATGGTTGACTACAGCAAGACCCCTGCATGTGAAGCGCATAAGATGCTGTGTTCAAGAACCTAGAATCATTAAACCGCACACGGGGATTAGTTGAGTAATTCTCCATCTCCAACCTCTTCATGGTCCGTAAGAGTATCTTTCAGCTGCGCATAGTCTCCCTCCTCCCATTCCGGAAACCGATGGAGAATAACCTCAGTCATATCCACCAGCGCCAACAAGACACTAAATTCCATCCGACGGAACTTGAAGCCGGCCTCGACGGGCTATCTTGGCAACGCCGACTTTAGAATACGGCTCTTCTACCCGGGCCCTGACAACGTGCTGCGCCACTCCTAATTCAGGAGCGCGAATGACGCCTGGGCGCTCTTTGGAGGGCAGGAATCAATCAGCAAGACTCCTTCAAGAACCTTGGCTTGGTAGCCGAAGATGTTGAAAGAGAGGGTGCTAGTCGACGCCTACAGTCTCGAGCTAGAGTTAACCGTCGATGCTAGATACATATAGGCTAAGGCATGGCGACCTATATCCGCCATCCAACCGCGGGTTCTCCTTGGCGACATAGGGGCGTAGCAGGCAGCCGTTTCATCTTGATTTCCCCGCACTTCTGCCTACCAGTGTTGCACAAAACGTGACCAGACGGTACAGTACATAAAATACGCCATCAGTCAGTCAGTCAGAAGCCTCATTTCGACCTTCTTGCCAAGTTATATTGGAGTTTGTCGCCAAATAAAAATGCCCGTCACGGTACGAGTAGCGCGGCACGACGCCGGGCCCTGGCCGGCGGGTTGGCAGCCGCCGACGGCCACAGCATCGTCGTCGTCGTCGTCGCCGCCGCCGACATCGCAATCGGTGCTGACTACGCTCAACCACAAGAAACAGGACGAGATCGGCGCCGTCCTCCAGACGGCCCTGGGCCCGCAGACATCGCTCCCCGACGCCCGGCTCCAGGACATGCGCCTCCGCGTGCAGGACCACGGGCTCGTGCGCGCCGCCCTCGAGGCCTACAACTACCACCACCACCTAGTGCTGCGGCCGGAGGACGTGTGGTTCGCAGTTCTGACGCAGTTCAGCTTCTTCGTCAACGCGCACGCCGAGGAGCTGCGCAGCGTGTTCGTCGCGCACGAGGGAAAGAACCCCTGGTCCTAAGCGACCCGGATCAGCCGGATATGGGCCTGATGTGCCGCAACATGACGAAACTGATCGACGCCAACGTCGTGGACCCCGAGCTGCGCGCGTGGATTATGCCGGCCTTCTCGACCACGACCATGCACGACGAGGTTGTCGCGTCTGTCATCATGATGGGCACCTTGCAGAAGTACTTCGACTACGCCTTCGACTGCTCTTGCTGCGGCATTCCGACCGTCACACTGCTCGGCGAGCGCAGCGACTGGGAGGACATCCAGCGGCGCATCGAGAAGTTGTCCGACAGCGAGTCTCGTTTAAAGCCCACCATAGAGCAGAGCAAAAACCTTGAAAAGGCATCAGCACCCTCCAACAAATCCACCTCCGACGGAAAAGGCACCTCAAACAACCAGATTCTAGACACCTTACGACCCGTGACAGGCTGGTGGATATACAAGGTCAAAGACAGCAAAAACTCAGGCACAAGTCGCGATGAATTCTACACGACGAAGATGGCAGGCGATTGGAATGGCCAAACTAGCACAGGTTACGTCAATCACAAGCCCAGCACGGTGGAGCTGTCCGTTGAAGACGCAGATGGCCAAGTCGGAATTGATGGAGAAGAAGGCAGAGCTCACTCTTCCCGCTGTTGAACGAAGTCAGGGGCGTAATTATCGCAAGTCCGGTCACTAATTATTATGAAACCTCGGACAAGCTCTGGCGGGGCTGCTAGGCAGCACCAGTCTTGTGATTGGCAAACACTTTCGATGTAAGCAAATCAGACTTTGTAGCTAGCTTGAAAAGGCTTGATTGATAACTCAACTTTGACGCGCCAATCGGAACCGGCTTGTGCATTACATGGTTGCAGCACGCTATTTTTCGTCTTGCTTACGAAGCGAGTTGGTATTGGTCGTATTAGATAGATGTCTCTGACACGTATCTCGGTCGGGAGGTTCCAGCTTGATTGGTGAAAACAAGGGTTGGTAGGTAATATCACGAGATGCGGCACAAGATGCCTCGGAGGGAGGTTGCAGAATCAGCCTAAGACCGAGGCTGCACTCGGAACACCGAGATCTCCTGCATCGGAGCAATCGGAGCCCGAGGGGATCTGTGTTCCTTACAAAGATAGAGCCCATCACTGCTTGCTCGTCTTGGTCCTTCACTTGTAACCTACCCTGTATCATCGTCGAACTCCCGTCCTCGGTAGCTCTAGTTCTGTCGCAGACCATGGAGACCGTCCTTGTCGTCGGAGCTTCAGGCAACATTGGTGTCTCTGTCATCATTGCCGCTTTGCGAAGCGGGCGACAGGTCCTTGCTGTCGTCCGAAACAAGGCTGCTGAAGACAGGCTTTTCCAGCATGTTGGGACAAAGGAGGGCATTACTACTGTCGAAGCTGACGTAACGACCGAAGATGGTGTTCAGACGGTTGTTGAGCAAGTCAAAGGTGGTAAATTGCCCGCTTTCCAACATGTCTATTCCGCTGGTACGTGCTTATTATCGCTTGACTGTCTCTTACCTTGGGTAGCTATTTATGTTTTTGCCTACTGACTTGCTGAATAGTTGGAGTGTTGAAATGGACGAGCCCAATCCAAAACCTTGATATACCTGCTTTCCGTGAGGTCATGCATGTCAACTTGGAAGCCAACTTCTGTAAGAGTTCATTGTCTGATAGTGACAACAGGATTGTTAACATCGATTTGGCAGTCGCCTACCGTGCAACGGTTCCCTATCTCATCGAACAAGGCAACCCCAATGCCACCTGGACTCTGATCACAGGCGGAGCAGGTGACTTTGGTATTGCTGGGGTGACCGCCGTCTCGCAGGGAGCCTTGTACTCCTTGGCAAGCGTGGCTTGCCTCGAAAACGCAAAGACAAACATCCGGTTTAACGAGGTCTACCTCTGCTATCGCGTCGACTATGACTCGGTGAGCGAGGAAAAAGGCAATGCCGACTGCATCAAGGCATCGGACTTTGCTCGCGTTTATGAGGGAATTCTGGCCAATAAGGATATCACAGCCTCCCGAGTTAGTGTTTTTGGCCCTCAGGATGTTGACGACCTAAAACACAAGAAGAAGCTTCCCAAGTCTAAATGGACTGAATCTTAACATTGGTCAAGAGGCTGCACCCCTTCTTTTTTTTCCCCCCATGTCTTGTGTTCCGATGGGCATCCTTGACATATATGAAAAACGGTCGCTTGTTCCTCCTTCATTTTCTCTTCAAGCGTCTCATGGTGACGGATGGTGTCTTCGCCAGGGCTCTCCACTGGGGGCGGAGCTGTCACTTCGCTGAGATGGAAGTAGTGTTCGGGCATGTCGTAGTTGGGATCCTCTTTGCGGATTTCATGAAGGTGTCTCGTCCTGTTTGGAGTGCTTCGACTTTTCATGGCTTCGGACATTTCGGTATCCGCTAATTACTTGGAGGCTTTGCCATTCTTGGAATGAACTTAGGGTTTGAGAGGTGATTCTAGATTTCTGACGGCCATATTTGAAGCACTTCTTAGCTCCCATCTCCAAACGAAGCATATTAAATGCAAACAGCACCATGACGGGCGAGACGGAACAGAGTCATTACGGAAGAGCCGTGCCGATTCATCCAACCAATCATCAACCGGATAGACTCGAATTCCAGATTAAACGCAGCTCCCCAACCGGCCCAGCTTCCAGGGTGTCATGTTTTTATCCACGTCCTCGAAGTGGTGCCATGGGTTGATACCCTGCCTCATCCAATAACATAATTACCTCCGCTGCGTGGGGAAGAGAGGACGGGGTACGGACGGTCTGGCCTGGCCGACGAGCTGTATAGAATATACCATACCTGTCGTAATCTAGTCGCGTAATTGTCCCTACATGATTAATTACTATGTTCATTATCGAGCCAGCCTGGTATGGTTGAATAATAAACTAAAGTCCACTCCCACCCCCTAAAATTGTAATGATATTGAAGCCTCAGAAATGCAACATAATCATTCTGTGGTCTCGTTCAAGGCAAAGGTGTCGCCCATCTCAATCAAGTACTCCAACACCGCCTGGCAGAGCTTATGATCGGCAAGGCTCATATGCTCTAGAGCCGGCGAGAGCAGCTCGGGCTGAAAGATTGTTGCAAGACTTCCTGATCTCAACCGAGTGTCGCCAGAGTTTGAGGAGAAGAAGGCTAGGAGATCCAGTAGATAGATGAGCAAATGATGGTTCTCCGGGGGCAGATCGCTGACCAGCTTTCGGTATGCTGCGACCGTCTCCTTATCGCGGAAGGCAGTCCCATCGGACGCTTCCTGCTGATACCGCCAGATTGGTTCCAGAAAGGCCTCGTAAAATGAGAGTGGTACCACGGGCTCGGGTAGTTGCCCAAGATATCGGCGTAATACATCGGCAGCATCATAAACCGTGTATGGTGTCCAGTCCAAGTCTTGGCCATAGTTGTTTGGCAAATCGAACTTGTCCTGGAGCTCGCGAATCCTTACAGACGAGCCGCTGACTCGAAAAATACCCTCAGCATGGCTACCTGCTCAAGAAATCAGTGGTTTTCTTCACTGAAGTAGCCTCACTTCCCACCCTTTTCTCTTAGGTATGTGCCACATGTTGCAACAATGATGGGTACCTGCAGAGGCACCTCCATATTATCGCGGTGAAGCACTGCCGTCATGCCGGCGTACTTCATGACCGTTGCTAGACGAATACCGAAGACTCGGTGCTCGTCGCCTCAAGCTGCAATGTCAGCGACTTCGACTTATCGAGGCTTACAGAACCCATCTTACCTCCGCTGCTGCTTGATCTCCTCTTGAGCAATGCAAATGATTTGAAAGGCATCGCTTTGTGTATCGGTTTTTCATAGAATTCAGCTAATACTATGGATGATGGCTCGGAATATTTCTTTGTGCACTCATAGCGAGATGTCATCATGATCGTATGCATGGGGAATAATAGAAGTGATGTCATGCGGAAAACGGCTGAAGGACATCCGTCTCGTCCGTTTGTTCCGGGCACCCAATTGCAATCTGCATGCTAAGGGGATAGCACATCCCCACAAATAATTGTTAAGATCAATTGCGTGTAATGCGGATGGACGCTCAGTGACAGACACAATGGTGGAACACTTCAAGACACGCAGTCCCTTGAACACCTACGACTACCTATATCAATTAGGAGCTAGAAAGGTAAGAGACCAGAAATCCTTGTCCTGGCACAATAACATAAGAGACTGGCATTTCCTTTTCAGATCAGATGGGTCAAGAGGAGTACCCGTCCCCTCCAGTTGTTGTTGTTTCCGCACAGAGAGCTTTACGCGCCATTGGTCGTTGCCTGGTCACCATTCGTACCGTTTCCTTCCGAGTCTCTGTTAGGGTCAAAGACGTCCCCTTCTGCGTCCCTCAGACCCGACTCTATCTCTCTCAATTCCCGTTCGCGCTCCTCACGTTGCTCTACCTTAGAAGCCGAGACAAAGGTTTTACCAGCCTTCCACCAGTAGACAGGGTAGCGTCGACGCCCAAGGTTATTAATTAGAATGGCCCAGCCAAGCATGATGAGGGAGGACGCGAGGACGACGGGCAAGTAGCGCCAAGACAGTTTGACGATGTTACTCTGCACCGCGGCGTTGAGGCCTGTTGCTCCGGCTCTGTCATGCGAAATGTGTCAATGCCCCCTGCTTGGCCCGATAGTTGCATGAGGGAGGAACCGGTTACGCTTACGGTGGGTGCACAGACTTTATCAAGAACTGGGCTAGAGCTGATGTTGCCATGGAAATCCCGCCGTTGACGAAAGTGTTTGCGTGGAATCCCCCTTCGTCTAGAGACAGGCGGTAATGTGGATTCAGGACGAAGAGGCGGGTTATGCAGGTTCCGACGAGCGCGGAAACAAAATGCCCAAGGACAAAATTACGGGGTTGCGCGAGAGGAGATTCGATGGCGCAGAAGAGCAGCACGGCTGATGCACCAAATGATGTGACGGTAATGGGTGACTTGTACACTGAATTGATAGCGCCGTTGGTCGTGATGGCCTCGATGAGAAGAATGCCGCCGAACGAACCAATCCAGGTGAAGATGCAGACCTCGAGGTCCATCGGGATGTGTCGCAGCAACGAGAATGGGGGAAAGGGTAGGGGGTCATACGGCAGTTCAGTTCCCGGGAGTTTGTAGCCGGTGAAGCGAGAAATATTCCCTGGAAGGCGGGCGCGGTAGTCTTCGCGGAACTTGAAACGCTCCATGCGGCTCTGAAGCCTAGACCGTTTGGTTTGTTTCTCCATGGGGGTGTGGTGGAAAGCAAGTTATGAAATTGAAGCCCAGCTCTGGATGAATTGCAGGCAGACTGGACCTTCATTCAATACAAAGGCCGACATATTTTTGTGCCTGAACTATATCATAAATATATCCCATGCGGATAAATCGGTTCTACACTAGGTGTACGACGTTTGTATTACGGCAAGAAAGGTTGATAGCGATCAATGACATACCAAGGTTGCAAATCCACAATGCAGCGCTCTAACTCCAAGTCCCGGTTGATCCGATTTTGTTCCGGTAATATGATGTCCATCACCCGGGGGTAGGTTGACCACTTCCCTGTGGACCAACAGTTATTTATGTCACTCCCTCATTGCTGAAACCCTAATGTCTTTATCTGCAGGCTGAGTCGTCCGAGGCATAGGTATAAACAGCTCAACGACGCTCACCTTATTTCAGCCGCCTGATCAGCCGGCTCCTCTGGCTCCCTTGCTTGTGTTTTTGTTATTTCACCTCGTATGCAAAATATAGTACTTTAGACCCCTTTAAATACTCTCGAGCAACTGCACAATGGCTCGTAATTAAAGGGCATCCTTCAGACTTCGAAGGACACAGACACACTGGGGCCTGGAACACTTGTAAAGTTGCATGGCTGTTCAAAGAGTAAGCTATTCAGTTACAGCTAATTACCGTTACTCCTGCTTAGGTGCAAGGCCGAGTTAACAAAAGTTACAAAGTTAAGGATCGTGTTCCACAAAACAGAGACTAGACTCATCCTATCCCACAGCCGCATTACCTGTCAATTTTGATGGTAAAATTCGCCATCACCTTGCCACTGCCTCAGGACCTTAAAAGTCGTGCACCAGCACCAGCAACAGCACCAGTACAGTGTCTTATACATTGCGATCGCCTCTTGGGATAGCACCCAACGGCAGCCGTATAAACGTCGTCTCCTCAAGCATCAACCCCGAGCTGCCTGCATAGAAGGCACAGAAAGCGCAGATGACCGCAAATGCCCCCCCGGTCTTGTTGACGTTGATGCTGATCTTGGGATGGGACGTCTCGATGAACTGAGCGATCGACAAGAAAAGGAAGGCCAGGGTGAGGAAGAAGAAGACCGATATGATGCTCCAGTTGGTGCGCAAAGCCGCCATGAGGAAGATTAAGGTTAGGAATGCCCACAGGATGAGGTAGATGCCGATGGCGAACGTGTAGGCGTGCACATCGCCCTTGTAGGCGTCCTCGATGCCCAGGCCTGGGATCAGGAACATGGCGAAGCTAAACCAGAAGGCGCCGTAGGAGCAGTGCACCGTCGTACCGAAGGTGTTGCCCACGCGGAACTCCATGATGCCGGCTACAAACTGCGCGAGGCCGCCCATGAAGAGGGCGAGGCCAAAGACAGCCTGGAATGGGCCGACAGTGCCTTCGGGGTTCTCGTCGGGAAGTCTGCGCATTACCCACGGCTTGCAGTCAGCCCCTGAACCTATAATTATATCATCCCACTACCACCATCTCCATCCCCCGAATGGAAAGTCAAGAGCTGCACACGCAGGTAAAGGTACTCACCCGACGCCGCACTGATACAGTCCTAGCACGAATGTGGTCAAGGCGAAACCAATCAAGCCCAGCGGACCTGGGTTGGCCAGTTTCATGAACTGCGGCTGAGGCACCTGCGAGACGGTGACGACTCGTGGATCATGGCGGCTAGCAGGGATTCTAGCTACATCCTCGTTGTGCTGAAACCCGTTCGTTCCAGCTGCATTGCCATTGCCATTGCCATTGACATTGCCGTCCAGCCCAGGGCTCGAGGTCCGATATTTTTCCCCAGCCATCTTGTACGTGTTGGTAATATTCGGGTTCTTCCACGAGAAATATTATGGGGTAATTAGCTGGAGAATAAGGGATCTCGAGACGGAGGGCAAACATCAACCGGGCCCTCCACCTTTATTTGAGGTGGCCTGGCCCGGGAGGGTTAGCTAGTAGGTCGTCATGATATCATCTCCCTCGGGCCGCATCGTGTCCCTCCTATAAGGTAATTTTCATATCGCGTGGTGCTGTCATGGGCCGAGCTTTCGACTGGCTTGCGTCGAGCGGGGTAAACGCCGCCTACCCGTCGAGCTACCGGCAGATCGTTAGCTTTTATGGCTCAAGTGTTGTGAATGGCGTGGTAGTTGATGGTGGGAAGAGGTGGCGTTGTCGCCGATCACGCCTGGCCCGGGCGAGTGGCCCCGTGCGGGAGTGGCGGAGATGCTAGGATCGACACAATTAGTCGTGTGACGGGGCATCCGGATCCCGCGGAAATGATGCGCACCTACGTGTGCGTGATAATGGTGCTGTCAATTTCCTGCTAATTGGGAGAAGTGAAGCATTTTGTATTGATATTGGTTGGAAACTGTTAGTCTCTCCGCAATTTGTCCATGGGACATGGGGAACTACACTAGAGCAATGCCGCCCTTTCAAGGCACTCGACTTGATTAACTAATTAGCCTAGTGAAAATACCTTGGCACTACTCCTTTAACACGCAGCCACGCAGCTTCCATAGCCTCAACCACATCTTCGGGTAGCGGCCCCTTTTCCAGATCCAAAAGATTTTGCTCCAACTGTTTCGCGCTGCTGGCGCCAATGATGATCTTGTCACCCATCTCCTTGCTCATCAAGCTGTGATGCGATAGCCAGCGGAAAGCACACTCCGCCTCACTCAACCCATGCTTCGCAATCACGGGCCTGATGATATCCAAAGCGTCGAAATACATGTCATTCATGTACCTCCCATGATGAAGCCTGCCCTGCCAGCGCTTGGGGTCGAAGCGCGAGCCAGGTTCATACTCGTCCTCGCCCATGCCGCGACGGTAGCGCGAGGTCAGGAAGCCGCCGGCCAACGGCTGGAAAGCGTACAGCGCGATCCCGTAGTGGCGCAGGCAAGGCATCAACTCCGGCTCAATGGCGCGGTGCAGCGCGTTGTAGATACCCTGGTAGACAGCGGGTTTGACCCAGCCATTGCGCTCGCAGATCTCGCACATGGCAGCGACCTCCCAGGACATGAAGTTGCTTATGCCAAAGCGGGCGAAGTAGCCTTCCCTGTGGAGGCTGTTAACCTCACGTAGCGTGGTTTCGAGCGGCGTGTTGCGGTCCGGTCCATGGAGATACCACATGTCGATCTTGTCGGCCTTGAGGGCCTTGAGGCTGTCCATGAGTCCTCGGCGGAGATCCTCTGGACGGTGCGAGTAGATGTTGTGACTCAGACTGCCCATGTCTTTGCCCTCGTTGGGATACAGCTTGGTGTCCATGACGAGACCCCGTCCTTGCCAGTCGACGGCGCCCATGTATTCTTCTGATGAGCCACTACCGTAGATGCGTGCTGTGTCGATTTCGACGTGGCCATGTGACTGGAAGACACTCAGAATCTCCTTGACGTCGGATATGTCTGTCATGCGCACGGCTTCAATCCCAGGCTTGCCAATGGTCATAACGCCAAAGACTACAGGGAACGCGCTCGTCGGTGCGGCAGCCATGATGTAGCGCTCAATGTAGCTATCGGGTAGAAGGATGAAAGTACTTTATGTGATTGGTCACCAGAGTTTGTTGGAAGGGTTGCCTCAACACACGCTCCCCAAGATATATCACTTTTAGTTATTTATTAATGAAGATGGATCTACGGACAGTATCTCCGAGGACATTAGGTATTTGAATTGATAGACGGAGATAGTAGTGCTCTAAACTCCATTATCAGATAATTAACTGCGAACCGGGTGGAACTCTTAACGCGACCCACGCCCGGCACGTAACCTAGAATTGACTACCTACCAAGCTAGGTCAGGCTTAGGGCCTCAACTAGTTTGCGTAGGGCCCCCTAGTCACTGCGCTGCGTCATGCAAGGGAGCTTCGACTCAGTTGAGAACGGAAATAATGGTCTCCTTCAACGGACATGTCTTAGCCCCACACTCAGAAAAGCTCCGCATCTACCCCCAAGCTGGACAGGAATGGGCTGATCAGCCAGCCAAGTTGGGTATAAACGTGGCAGATCTTACCAATTAGTGGCCCTATCAAGAATCTCGTGGATGCAACCAACAAACGAGACCTTTCCCCAAATCGCGGTCCTTGAAGTCATCTAGGTGGCACGAGCGTGGTTCCAGATGCATGGAATCCCGCTGGTGATTGTACCAGAGTGGCGAGGACAGCGGAGAGAAGGAAATGCCAGAACGGGATTAGCCAAGAAGATGTCATGGTAGTAGCTTAACTAGTTCTCGCAACGTCGATATGGGCAAGACAGGCAAAGATGGGCTTCCCTGCTCAACCTTCCAGAAACAGGACCCCATCTTCTCAGTCACCCCACGGCATCAGTTGCATGCTCTCTGTCAAGTATAAGATGAAATGAGAATCGGAGAAAAAAAGACATAGATTATCTCAGCGACTATCTAATTAACACTTATCGGCAACAAACTGACAACGACAAACAGATCTAGATCCAGAGACCATCCCTCTATGTCAGAAGCGGCCTAAGAATCTCAATGATGTCCTTCTCGGTCTTCCCCTTCACACCAAGCAGCTCATTATCCGTCTTTTGGAAGTTGCCGCCGTATCCTGGATCGAATATGGAACGGTAGAGGTACGGCACAAATGTCTCCGGGCCGAGAAGACCCTTGGCCAGCCTGGCATCCGCCGCTGCAGTCAAGTCGTCCAGTTTTACGTAGGTTGGCGCCCAAGGCTTATTCGGAGCCAGCGTCTTGGCGAGGGCGAGGAGCTGATTCTGAGTAACCACGGCGTCGCTGATGAAGACAGCCCGGTTCTTTGTCTCGTCTGGATGGCTCAAGATGCCGACGACAGCGTCGGCGATGCTCGAGATGGTGGTGGTGCTGAACAAGAGGTCACCGCCGTCGACGATGGTGGGCTTGTAATCGGAGGTCTTGAGGATGAAGCCTTGCTCGAGGCCCCAGTCCAGGAAGGCCGAGTTGTACACGACGGTGTAAGTCAAGTCTCCGCCCTTGGACTTCTCGATCAGGTAGTCTTGTAGCTTGACCTTGGGGCCAAAAACGGGGAGCTGCCGTGTCTTTGGGTTGTTGAGGTTGGACCCAAACTCGGACGGGATGAAGCGACTCACGCCAGCGGCAATGGCAGCGTCGACCAAGAGGCGCTGGGTATCGATTGCCATGCTTGCGAGGGTGGAGATGACGGCATCTTGGCCTTGCAAGGCGGCCTTCAACGACTCAAGAGAGGAGAAGTCGACGTCGACGACATCAGTGCCTTGTGGGAAGGCGGAGGTGGAGCCCAGTCGACGGAGGACTTTCACGTGGAACTTTCCCGAGGCAACAAGCTTGTTGAAAACGACAGAACCGAGGTTGCCGGCCGCACCAACAAGGGCAACGTTCTTGATTGTAGACATGGTGTTTGGATGGCTGGGTGATCAAAAGTGCGAATCACAGCGTCGGGTTTTTTGAGTTGCAATGATCAGTTTGTTCTGGTGCAGTTGGCTGCTAATTATTGACGGGACGAGTTTGGAATTGGGCCAGACCAATGCCCCCTTATATATTCCTTCCGTCTTTCGAAAGCTTTCCATGACAGCTGTTCTTCCAATACCCAGCGACAAACAATAACACGGCGTGATTATCAAGATCCAATTCGCATGGAGACAAAGTCATGCCGAGTGGGTCGCCGGAGTGGGATACCGAGGGCCCGGGCTTGCGCCAAGGCGGGAGATAATTGGCGCCATTGCGTGAACAACGTGTCCCGTCATGTTTGTCAGCACATTATCCCACCCAGTTGCCGACCGCCTTCGCCAAAAACGTTGCATCCCACCCCACTCATCCCACATGTCGCCGAACTCTACACCCGTATTCCGTGTCGCGGGATTACGAACCGCTCAATGTCGCAATATCGTCCAAGCTTTCAAATACCATGACTTATCCCGCTTCTCATCCCACTCAGTCCGCCGAGTTGTAATTAAGCCCTGTCGCACCGTTGGTCCTGATTGCAAACCTCGCCGGGTCACGTCATCAGCCAGGCCTGGCCCTGGGATGCTTGTCCGATGGAGACGAATCCGAGCAACCCGAGTAGGTAGAAGGCGTGCGAGATTCGAGATCTCGCATCAACGCCATCGGCCACGCCAGCATAATTTTGTGGCTAACCCATGAGTGGCACTCGCAGCCAATACAGGCGCACCCAGCACAGGCACAGACACCCGCACCGGCACCGGCACCGGGACTGATGCTGCCGACGCTAGGATCCATGCCGACGTAAATCGGAACTCCACTGCCCGGCATACATGCCATTGTGGCAGGGGATTTATCCGAAAAGAGCATCTGCGGCGGCACCAAGCCACCCATGGAGAGAGGTCGCATGTCTGCCACGTCTGCCAACGCGCCTTTACTCGAAAGTGAGCCGCAACCCCTAAGTTGAACCCAAACCCTGGCAAGAACACGACCTGACCCATTTTGTGCAGTGACCTTCTCCGACGTCACCTTACTTACCACGAATCCGTGGGATCCTCGGAGAATCTAAAGAGACGCGCCTGCGATGCGTGTCGCCTCAATAAGACGAAATGCGATGGCGGCGTTCAGTGCTCGTTGTGTGCAAAACGATCCATCAGCTGCACTTTTGAATTGGCTACAGCAGCTCGCCCGCTATTATTCGCCACCGGCGCAGCTGTAAGGGGGGACAAGGACACAGGCGTCTCCTCCCGGCCTCCTAGCCAATTCCGCCGTTCAGTTCTGGCTCCGGAAAGCACCGCTCAAGATGCTCCCCCCAACAACCCACGACCCTTACTGGACATGTCTATGGAGGTCCTGCCTCAAGATGCCGCCGGCGCACAACCTGCGCAGCTCGGCATCTCAATGATACTCGACGGGATCTCTGCGTCCCCCACAAAATCGTCACTAGCAGAGCTCAAAGCACCGGACGCGGTCCAAATCTGGTTCACAACCTGTTGCCGTTCATATCTTGAGCACTTCCATCACCGTTGGGCGGTCCTTCATGCGCCCACCATTGATATGGAGCGTGACCCCATCGCCATCTCGGCAACTGTGGTCATGATCGGGTGTTGGCTTCAGGGGTCCCAAAATTTGAGAAAACCTGTCCTGGCAGTACACGACATTTTAGTCGATAGGATTTTCGAAGAGATGGTCAGTGACACCACCCGGCGGGCCAAGTTCTAACTGACAATGGGCAGTCGAAGATAGGGGGTTCGAACCGCGACAAACCTTGGACGCTGGAAACCTATGGGGTGATTCTCCTGAATATCATCTTTGGTTTTTGCTGTGGAGTTTGGCTCCCCTCGTTCCATTTCGCTCCCCGAAAGGGACGACATCTAATTAACTGACAACTGGGTAGATCGATCGCATCCAAACGAGGGCAGTCCTTCTCCTCAGTCTTCTTGTTTCAACGCTGCGAGAAGTTGGCATGTTTAGCTCCGAGGCTTTGGCATACCAAGAACGTACCCATTTCCCAGGCACGTTCCTGCCGTACAGACTAGCAATACGCGAGAGACGGAAGAGGTTTGTAACTCTATCCACACACCTTGACCCAATTTTCACTTGCACTGCTGACCTCAAAGACTGGTTGCCTATTTATTTATAATGGATAACTACATGGCAATGCTTCGCAACCAGGCTCCTCATCTCCAACGCGAAGAACTCGACGTTGAGCTGCTTTCAACCTTCGCCATGTGGAACGCTCATGGGTTAAACGTATTCGATAAACGCCTGCCGGAGGAGCCTACAGATCGTGCGCGATACAGCATGTCCGAGGCAATTGGCAATCCACAGCCGCCCATGGCATCCTCATGGCTCGTTGAAGACATCCAGCTCGGCCTGTGCGGAATGTTTTCGAGCATCTGGAGGCATGCTCAGCTACGTCGCAGCGGCACCGCACCTGATGCCGCCTCCCAGGAGTCGCTGTCGCACCAACTCGGCGCTTGGAAACGTCCCTTGGACAGAATTTCAGGTTTGTGTAATACACAAAATTGTCATGCACAAACTACAGTCTCCCATACATTGAAAGCCTACCTGGGCGATGAAGACCAGAGCGTCTCTGGGTGGGAAGCGTCATCCCTGGCCCGCATGACGTCGCTTGTACTCGATGCCACCATGCTCTATCACCTTCTTGGCATACACCTCCACGCCGACGTGTCCACGATAAATCTCCTCGCCATGGACTTGGGGATGTCTAACCAGACATGGACACCACCACCTCGCTGGAACGAAGAGAAAGTGGCCAGAACTCGTGCATGGGCCCTGTCGAACGAGGCTAGGGAGGCTGTTTCGCATGCCATTGCGGTATTGAACGCCTACGAAATGGCTACGGGACAGAGTGAGACTCGAGAGGGATGTCTGGAACCCGTTGCATCGATGGCTCTGTCGACCAGTGCTGCTGTTGTCTGGGCCTGGACTACGAATACGGAAGGTTGTAGTTGTGTGCCGGGACTTGATTCTACAACTGGCCTGGAACCCGCCGGGCGGTCAGCAGAGACGGATGTTGAAAAGTGGATCAACGGTGGCGGCTCAATAGTGCTTGACGGTGTCGCGTTTTGCAAGTGTACGTCGGATGTGTGGGTGCGACGATTTGAGGATGCCCAGTTGCAGGGAGGGCTGGTGTGTGAAGATGGGTAGCACGACAGGCACAGATGCCCATAGCTGTCTGTAGCTGTATGACATGGGGTATGACATGGGGGTCCTTCTAAGGTAGCAGCAGGTTAAAGGAATTATTTACCGCACTTATTCGGTCGATGACGGGCTGGCCATTGGTATCACAACAAGCTTACAAGTTGTCCTTGCGGAACTTCCGCTTGAGTCACCTCCCAATTTAGCCGATGCAGCGAGCCAATAAGCCCCCTTTTTCTCAGCCATCATTTTGGCTCGTGTGGGATGGCAAATTTATCATCCCAAAGCTGAATAGTTTCTTACCCGTCTCGTAAGCAAGTAGTATCGGCTCTCAATCGGGAAGACATGCCATGTTATTTAATGCTTCGCTCTTCCTCCATTCACTACCTGGGTACAGAGTAATCAACACTCAACTCGAGAGACAGACAGACAGATAGACAGGCACACACACACACACATACATTCTTCGCTTTACAATCTGCAATACAATGCCCACTATAACCTTCTACCGCGCCAACCGCGCCTGCCCCTCGCCCCACACGTTCTCCTAACCCATCTCTCAATACCATTCACCCCCGTCCTCATGAAATTCAGCCCAGACGGCGTCGAATCCGCCGACGGCAGCATCACTCGCGCCGCATACCTGTCGATCCACCCGTCAGGGTTCGTCCCGGCCCTGGACGTCGACGGCGAGATCATCACCGAGCTGCCCGCCGTGCTGAACTACATCGTATCCCTCGCGCCGCCTTCAGCAGCCGCAGGGACCCTTCTCGGCGCCGACGACCTGGGCCGCGCGAGAGTCGCCGAGTGGCTGGCGTGGCTGTCCGGGTCGCTGCACGGCCAGGGCTTTGGCATGCTCTGGCGAGCCGGGCGCTTTACTGACGATGAGGGGGCGCACGAGGGCGTCAGGACCAAGGGGCGGGAGTTTATCGATGGTTGCTTCCGGAGGATCGAGGAGAGGCTGCGCGGGAGGGAGTTCGCTGTCGGGGAGGGGTTGACGGTTGTGGATTTCAACCTTTACGTGTTTTGGACCTGGGGGATTGAGATTGGGGTCCAGATGGCAGAGTTGTATCCGTCGTATGCCGATCTGATGCGGCGGGTCGAGTCGATTGAGGCAGTGAGGACAGTGGTCAAGACAGAGGGTCTGAAGTTGACTGCCACGGCTTAAAGGATTTGCTGTCAAGTCTAACATCTTCCCCCAATGGCATCATTTTGATAAATACTGTGTGTCTAAAGTCAATACTGTTCTGTTCCATACATCTCTCCATATCGATAGAGTGAACCTGCAAGCTGTCTAATATCTGACAACTCTCTTCCGCCACCAGACAGGTTTCTTGTTAACAATTTGATCCTAATCTTCAAGTTGATACCTCTCGACAAAGAATCGAGCGACCTCCCGAGCTCTCATCTGTTCTGTTATGAGGGCTAACTTATGCTACTCTGCATCCTGACATCCCATGGGCCAATCGTCTGTCTGCTTCTCAATAACATTTCTAATAACCTTTAGACGACCTAGCAGATACTGGCCAAGGTTCACACAGAGGTCGAAAGAGTGGGAGGTATATACGGGTCTTTCGTGACTCGCGCCCTAGCTATGCTCCACTATGCAATCAACTACCTGACTTATTCTCCCGTAGAAAACTAAGTACTTGAAACAAGCTCCTTTTCTCCCAGAAATGCAATGCAACCCCAAGCCAAACGCTGGCAACCCAGCCCAGCCCAAGCCCAGCTCCTTCCGCCCCCTCAATCAGCTCCCTCAGGCCGTCTGGATAGCATACACAGTCTTGCACCCGATATTGTTGCACACGTTCGCCTGGTTGCACGGGAAGCTGACCGACGCCGTCGCGACATTGCAGCCGCCGGACTTCGTCAGCACGGAGGTGGTGGTGCAGCCGGCGACGAGGCAGGTGCCGCAGACGGTGCCGGTGGAGGTGACGGTCGGGCAGTTGGCCGGGGGGTCGCAGGGCTTCGTCGTCGTCTGCGTAGTGGTGTAGGTGGTGGTCTGGACGACGGTGGAGGTCGAGGTGACCGTCGCAGTGGTCGTCTGGGTGGTCGTCTGGGTGGTCGTCGCGGTGGTGGTCTGGACGGAGACGAAGGTGGCGGTCTCGGTCGCCGTCTTAGTCTTGGTCTCGGTCTCGGTGACGGGGCAGGTGGTGCATGTGGCGCCCTTGCAGATTGTTGTAGGGGTCAGGGTGACCTGGGCTGCTACGCCGCTGTACGGTGGGTTAGTGAAATGGTTCGCTGGATAAGGGGGTAATGACATCACCTACGCCGCCAGGGCAGAGATAATGATCGGAAGGATGGAACGCATTGTCTCGGGATTTTCCTGACCAATTGCTAATTGGAGAGTGTGTTCGGTTCGGGTCTTTTCCGTGCTGTTGAGGTTCTGGTAGGAAGCGTTAATGGGTCGGGTGTCGGTGTCGTGCTGGGGAGGGATGCCAGTTTATATGGCTTTGTCCCGGCGACCCTGGAGGTCAAAGCATGCGCATGGCTCCCACCACCACCATATTGAATATATTTTCAATATATCGCAAAGTCTTCAATTGGAGGGCAATGCTTGGCACAATACTCAATATCCGGGGCTGGTTCCAAGCCCCTTTCAACATCCCGGGTTCGTGGATACCTCGCGGCCGCCGAAATATTCACCTACTCCAGGTTCGGAAGCAAAGGCGGCTAATGACAGCCAAGATGCCAGAAACCAATATATCTCTGCCCGCTGGCATCGTAACCTAGAAGTGCGCGCTCTTTATTTGCGTAGGATTGTTTGGTGGCCAATATGTCGCGGCTGAATGCGTGTCAGCCCGCAACCTTCAAACGCAATTAAGATATGGCTAAAAATAGTCGCTTGACAACGGACCAGGAACCAATTTGGATGATCCGGAATCATCCAAAAGGGTCATGTCGGATTTTCAGGCTTGGCAGACCCATGCACATGAAAATAGTGCCATCTCGTTCTAAGAACATCGTGCGATCAAAGCACTGGAAGGGAAGCATCGATCCAGGCAATATTATCGACTTCCTGAGTTGAACCGCGCTTCCACCTGAGGTGGCAATCGCGTAAATTGTGATCACGACTCGAAGTGTAATTACCATGCAACGCTAGCGAGGCTACCTCGCTTGCGAACCGGGTATTGTTTACGGAGACGTTGAGAGAAGTAGCTCATACTGATTCTTACCGCCTGGCGGGGGCAACAAAACCAAGTTCGGCTCGAGGGACCACCGTTAAGAAGTGGGAATAGCAAACGTCGGTGAGGCGAAAAGAGGTAGAGAAACGGGACAGGAGAGATAATACAATTTGTGGGTAATAGGTATTTCGATACATGGTCGGTTATTCTAGGTCTGATCTTGTCGCATGGCTAGACACGCCTCAGCATCGAAGAAAGTCTGCTATAGTTGATGAGAAGTATGTCTTGAGTCTCCTTCCTTGAGAGAAAACATGCATAATTTTCAGTCTTTCGGGCGTCGCTACAAATGTGATGCTGCTAATTATAGCATAAAATGCGGGAACACATGCCGTGGTACGCAGGCGAACCGGGAAACGAAGCAGCTCGAGGTTTGTAGATTGCATCAGCGGCAGGAGCCGGGGCCAGATGTGCTAGCTAAGATTCAGCCGTGAAATGAATGACGGCAGCATAACGTTTATAAACCCGCCGATGTTGATACTCTTTCTATATCGCCTGGCTTGAGACATGATTACCAGCACGCGCGAGACCAAGGTCTGCGGTATCTTGGACAAGTCGGAAGTCGAGAAACGGGAGGAGATTTTTATCTTTGGTGCTTCGCTGCGGGACCGCTGAGGAAATCGTCTTCATTGATGGGGATCCATGGGCCTCCAATCGGGTCTCGAAGAATGCATTGCTCAGCCAACCACGTGTGGCACGACGTTGAAAAGACGAGGAATATCCTATTGACCAAATTGTGCACAATTTTGAATACCGAGGGTCTGGCTCAAAGACACACGGAACAGTACAATAGATACTGACCAAAGTGTGTGCTGGATGGGGTAGATGGAGACCTCGTCGAAGAGCCAAACAGAGCACTGCTTCGAATTGCAGGGTAGCTTTAATTACATCAAGGGGAACCCAAACTCACATAGCCGCCTTCATCCGAGCCCTCCACCCCTCCATCAATGTCCCCACCCGCGCCAGCCTCTCACGGGCGTACTCCCCGACCAACGCCTCCCTGCTGGCATAGTACGCCTCGAACTGCGGCTTCCCGTCGTCGATGGCGACGAACGTCCTGCGGCTGCGCGTGAAGATGTGCACATCCGGATCGATCTCCCACGAGCGGTCGAGCGTGCCCACGCGCACGTACGCGATATGCGGACCCCCGTCGGCGTAATGGTTCCACACCGCCGTGTGGCATGTCGGGCAGCGGGCTACGGTCTGGCCGAAGCCGGACTCGGTGGGCACGCAGATGAGCTCGGGATTCGTATTGGCCGGTCGCGGTGCGGAGGTGGCGGTGACGGCGGCGGCGTTGGTGCCGCGGGCGAAGGCCGGCATCAGGGAGGCCGGGAGCGGGGCCGGTTTGGCGCGGGAGGCCGGGACGATGGGCGCTGCGGCGGGCAGCGGGAGTAGGGCCGTGGTCTCGATTGCGGCGTTCATGGCGAAGGCGGAACCCGTCTGGCGCTGGCAGGAGGTGCAGTGGCAGCAGTGGACGATGAGGGGCGGCTCGACGAGCTGGAAGCGAATGAGGCCACAGGTGCAGCCGCCGGGCATGGGGAAGAGGTCTTTCTTCTCGGAGTAGTGAGCCATGATCTATGGAGAAGGCGGGTACTGGTGAGGATCAGGTGGAAATTGCCGTGCGATTGATTAAAAGGGGAGTCTGAACGTGTCAAGTGCAGGGCGCTGTCGAAGGGGAGGGGATCGGGCTAATAAGGATATAAGCGTGCAGTAGGCTTACGAGGACTGGCCAGTGAGGGATCGGGAGGTAGCTTAATCAGGAAGGATGCCCAGCCGCTGCGGGGTTTGATGCCCTAACATGATCCACACAGAGGCACCAGGAGAGGGGCTTTGTTTGTCACGCGATGAGGGGTGTTTAGCTGATTAGGTCAGTTGAAATGAATGGGAGCGGTATCCTATTGTTTGTTGGGCAGTTTCAGGGAGGGGATTTGTCAGGTAGCCAGCAGGATACATGCTGGGTCCCGCCGGAGTCGAACGTCTCCCTACTTTCCCATCTTTTGTCCATCCCAAAACCTCAAGGAAGGAGTACCAGCAGTCTAATACACCATAGCCACGCCTCCTAGCCGCCAAATCATCTCGATGTTCGTTTTATGATCTCCGAGGCCCGTTCCGACACGGCGTATACATAGGTCCGTTGCCCTGCGTCGGGAGCATAGAAGCATCCACAACTCGCACATCAGCCGTCCCATACACCCTCAGCTCCGGGTCCACCACTCCACCAAGCTCCTTGAACATCATAGTAGCTGTGCCAAGCACACGGGTGTTCGCATTGACTGCAATAGGGCAAATTGGTTAGCTCCATATCTAGGCAACTGCCTAGCTAGTTAGGGAGGGAGTGAGGAATGAGAATGTAACATACGAGTTTCTCGCACATACGACTCCCATTGAGCATCAGTTGCATTGTTGGGCAAAATGCCAGGGCCAGGAAGAAGCGGCTCAGTGACAGAAGCATTCACTAGTTCTGAGAGCCAGAACCCTTGGGCCAGCTTCCCTATCGCCATTGTTGCAACCAGATCAAAATCGGAGAGAAAATACCGTGGTGCCCATTCTAGAAGTCGGGCTCGTGTTGACGCTTCAACCGCAGCAACATTACTGCCAAAGAGGTCTGTAGTTTGTGACGAAGGTATGGTATGCGTTTCCTCCTGGGTCCAGATCGCCTGAAAATCCGATTATGTGGTTTGTTTGGTCTACAAGGTTCTCTCCCATGCTAGGGAGGTTAAGCTTGGTCTGTAATTATTCCAAGAGACTCGAGTATCCTATTCAAAATCACCCCACAAGTTAAACTCAGCGTCAACTAATTAGTGCTCTCTTGATCCTTGAAATTAAAACAGACGAATCCGTTACCGTGGCAACGATCAAGGTTTTGAGCGGGACACCATCCTCATCCTAATTTCCTCCTCTTGATTGTGTTATTTTCCCTCTCTCCTCTCCCCACGATGTGGCTGCCCACCCACCTAGGCATGCAAATCCCCGTTCCCCGACTCCGGCTAAGCGGCGGCCCTGCAGAGCCGCCCGCTGCCGTCGGCAACCCACGCTTCGCTCCCGACTGCCGTGGCGGCGTAGAACACGCCATCGGGGTCGTGCTCGGCCTTGACGCGCAGCAGCCTCGGGTAGTTCGCCCCGTAGAACTGCGCCTGCCAGCCCACCTGCGCGAAGTTCGCCTCGTTCAAGTACGTGCCCGACCCCGGGGTGGCAGCCTCCAGGGCCGGCGTGATCTTCCCAACCAGCACGGCCTCCCGTTCCGCCATGACGGACCGCGGCACCGTCCAGTCCCACGCCGCGATGATGAGGCAGTGCGAGGCGGCGTCTCGCCACGCAGGCAGGACGGCGTTGTGCGCTACGGGGCGCGTGCGGACCCCCCGAGCCTGCGCCTGCGTGCTGTTGTCGACGTCCAGCGACTGGCACAGGACATAGTTGTCGCCGCTGGCCGTCGCGTTGCGTAGGATCTGCGTCACGGCGTCGTTCCTTGCGGGGTCGAGCACCACGCTGCGTGGGATAAGGCGGCTTGTCACGAGCTGCGAGACAGTGAAGGTGCCGTAGGGGAGTGGTCCGAAGTCGCGCGCGAAGTGGGTCAGGTAGGTCGGCGACGTGTGCGTCGAGAACGTGTAGGGCATGCCGCGTTGGTCGAGGTCGGCGAGGAAGGAGGAGAAAACATCGGCGACTTCGCCCTCGCTGCTGCTGGGTGCCGTGACACTGTAGGTGGTGAAGGAATGGTACGTCATCCCGTACGAGATCGTGGTACCGCCGGCGAGAATAGGGGGCAGGGCTGCGTGGAAAGCACTGACGGCATCCCAGAACGCGGCATTCCCCACGGATGTGTCATTGAAGGCTAGGACGGCACCCCCCACCTCCCCATCGGCGTATAGTCTGGTGGTCATGCTCAAGACGACGCCGAAGCTACCGCCGCCACCGCCGCTAAGCGCCCAGTAGAGGTCGGCGTTCTTCTTTGGCGTGGCGACGAGGTGGTCTCCGTTCGCCGTCACCACTTCCCACTCCAACACGTTGTCGGCCGACAGGCCGTAGATGCCGCTGAGAGGCGAGTGACCCCCTCCTTGGGAATAACCGCCGGAGATGCCCACAGTAGGGCAGCTACCCCCAACGAGACGGTATCCTGCGCTGTCGGCTACAACGTACGCCTCCTCGGCCATGGTGCCGGCACCGAGCTTGATTGCTGGCCCTTTGTAATACGAGCTGCTATAAGACGGGATAATCTCGGTCGACTTCATGTTGAATGTCCAAAGAGATAGACCTCCTTTGCCAGTCGATTTCCCAAGGACGCTACATGTCCATATTAGCACATCAGCTTGGACGCGTTGTTTGCCTTGTCTTGGGGTGTGGGGGGGGGGGGGGGGGTCAAACGGCAGGACTGACTCATGGCCTGTGTTTTTGATGACCAGCCGGATGTTTTTCTTTTTCGAAAAGCTGATGCCGGCAACAACATCGTCGACGCCGGTGACGTTGATGGCATAGCTGACATAGTTCCCAAGTTCGCACAGCTTCAACGCAGGCGTGAAAGGATCGCATGAGCCATTTTGGAACCAGCCAGACCCGAATTCAGCAGGCGGAGCGAAACTGCGCAACTGTTAGACTGAGGGATGGAAAATATCAAGTCAACGGGCAATCGGGCTTACTGGGCCTGTGGAAAGTCCCACAGCGGCTTGAGAGCGGCGCATGCGGTCGCGTTGTGGTTGTGGTATGGCTCAGTATGACAAACGCTGGCCTCGGGGATCGTAGCAATCAACCGCCCGCCGACAGTGTGGTTGAGGTTGTCCCAATCAGCCACCGTTGGCCAGCCCGCGTCGCCGGGAAGGCTTCTGCATATCGGGCAACTGCCTACAGCACCCACCACCAGTGTCCCGGTGATCACGATCAACAAGCTCAACATGACATACCTATACATAAATTAAGGTGTCGGGACTGGGTGCGACTTCTTGGAAAACGGCCCCACCCAATACCCGGTGGGCTTCCCAGAGGTATTTACTCTACAATGTGGGTTCTGGGTCAAGCGAAGCGGGACCTCATTGGCGCAAGAATTAGGCAGGGTACTAATTATTACTGGCGGAAGCCTTGCCGCTCCTGGTAAATGCCCCGACCGGATGCACGCCGGGGCATTGCCAGCCTCCTGTCTGCCTGCCTGCCTGCCTGCCTGCCTGCCTGCCTGCCTGCCTGCCTGCCTGCACAGAATGCATGATATTATTACCCCGCCTCTCCCTTTTCCTGCGGATGACAAGGTCGTCTCCTGTCCCATTGGATGCTCACTGCGTTCGATTTTCCAGTTCGAATAATCGTCGCATATCCAAGGTATTAATGGATAATTACCCTGAATCCCACAACGATAACGAAAGCTGTCGGCCCTCTTCCGGCATGCATCCTAGCCTGTCGTCGCAGCTGGCTTTTGCCCATAAACAACCGTTCTACGGCACGAACCAGGTTAGTTGGACATGAACGCCCTAGATACCAAAGGGGACAATGTCACTTACGTCATGTAGAAGGGGTAATTCGACTTTTTTCTCGACTCCTGCCGCATCTTGGCTATGAAGACGGTAGCCTCGGTCCTCCCCCAACCCAGGATCTGCGTCAAGAGAAACGTCCCAAAGCCATCAAGGCTCTGGTCGAGCGCCAGTTGCGCCAGGTAGCCGGCGTGCTGGAGCCTCTGGTCCTTTGGCCAACCGTGGAGCGGCACCTTGACCTTCTTCTCGACGATGCCTACAAACCCCGCTTCTTCCATGAGTTCTTTCATTTTGTGGCCATGGCTGATGGTGAATGTGCGACCCATCTTCTCGCCTCCCTGGTAGAAGAGGTCGGCCCATTGGTTAAAGATATGGTCCTCAGGGATGTCGACATGGTCCGACTCGATTTTCACGTCCATTTCCAGGCTCTGTAACCAGCCACCCGGTGCGATATGCCGGAACGCCTTTTTGTAGAGGGCGCCATAGTCGGGGATGCTGCCGTACATGGCGCGGATGTGCACAAAATTGAAGTAGTTCTCCGGCCATGTCCACTCGAGGAGGCAATCGTCGATGGAAAATTTGACGTTTGGCGGCACCCAGGTGGGCTGGATGGGGCTGATGTCGGTACCAATGACCTCGGCGTTCGGAAACTGGTCCCCAAAGTCGATGGCCCATATCCCCGTGCCGGTTCCGAGGTCCAAGACCCTATGTACGTTGTCGCCAATTGGCGCAAGGAATAGCTTGTTATCTAGCACCATCAACAGCACGTTGTGGATGATGTCGAGGCCTTCGTTTTGTTGGTCGTCGTTTGGCGCCCAGTAGTCATTTCCCGCCTTGGACTGCTGGTATGTGCGCCCATTCAATCTGCGGTAGTCGAAAATGCTGTCGGTCAGTGATGTGGTCGACGACGCGATGCTTCCCGAGTCGACCGCCGAGTCGGCATCGTCATCTTCTCTGATATCCGGGCTGGCCTCGGGCGACGACCGGTGTTGCGGCGGCTCTCTAGGTGAGCTGCCAGTGGGAGAAGACATGTGGTGGGACTTGTGCGTCGGCGTGCGGTCAGGTGGGAACGGGGTGTGGGAAACGGGACTGACTGCCAAGTCGGGTGCCAAGCTATGGCGCCGGGCGTTGCGGGATTTTCTAGTGGAACCGTTCCGTGGTTGCCCACGTGAGGTGAGGGGTTCCAGATTCCAGATCAGATTTAGCGTCAGGGTGGCGACAAACGTCATGCATGTCATATAAATCGATACGTCTTATTATGAAACCCAAGGATACCAAAATCCATTCCCGTTTCCATGTTTGCTCCGGGCTATCGAAGACCACCGGGATTGCAACTTTGACTATCCGGGTACAATGCCACGATTATTTTTCTGCTGCCCCTCAAACTGGGAACCAATGAATTGGAGATCCCTGTCAGCCTCTTGCTGATTTGCGATGTGAAAGACACCCCATCCTTGCGAGCGGTGGTTTGTGGTAGACGATGATTGACCTCCCCGCCCCGCTGAGCCTATGTTCGACCCAGAGGTCGCTGCGCCCGTAGCCACACTGGCAGAAAAACTGCAAACCCTCCAGGTCAGATTCGGGATGCAACGTGTCCAATGCACAAAATTACCTTGGGTGCGTCCGGGCTTCGTGCAGACCCGGCACTCGGGCTGAGTTGTTGGAGCCGCTGTTCATGGTGTTTCTCGATGCGCTGAATTATATGATTCTGAGACGAGATGTTGGTACTATTACACTGCCTCACTTATGTGTGGAAAACCGAGTCTATTTAATAATACGCAAGTCGTATGGATCTCTCGACAGCGCGCATAGGGTAGAAGAGTAAGTGTCTAGTTAAAGTCCTGTTACCTCCTCCCAGGTTGTGCACGTACGGGCGCCATTGGTATCGTGGTCCAGAACCACCAGCTTGGAGTCTGCCAGTCTCGCCCTCACCGCGCCCAAGTGCGCACACGTGAGGCACAGGTTTGGTTCACTGAACGGCTAGGTAGGCCAGAATACAAGTCACTCTCGAGTCACTGGCATGCATAATTGGTTTCGAAGATGCATGCAGCTACTCAGCCTGATCTTGTATGATATTCCAGGACGAGTCTAGCGTGCACGTGTGTGCTCACACACATCGCGTAGCCAGTCGAGACCCGGCCAACTGCGCCCTCCTTGGATGTTCGGCCTCATGAACGTGGCTTGCCCCTCTCTCTTCGTCCTTTTTCCTCTTTCCGAGATAACTATTATTCTTTCTTGGCACCGAAATCTTTCTGCTGCTGCGATACCTTATGACTACTGTTTGACGTCCCCCATCAAGACCCTGATTGAGACTTGAGTACTTCCCGCCACTCTTCGTCTCGAGCACCACAAGCGAATTGGATCTCTCCGCCTCCCGGACGGTTCACCATGACGAGCACGTCTTCAAATATTCAGCCATCCGAGGCTGACGCTTCCTCACATGACATGCTACCCCCAGCAGTCAAAAACCTAATAGAGCCATCTGCCAATCGTCGTATCTTCTCACTTGAAGAATGGAACCGTATGCCTATGGCGCTTGAAGAATTTTTAACCCTTTACGCAGCGCCTGAAGAATTTTTACCCCGTTTGGCCCCGGAGCCCAAGTCTATCGAATGGTCGACCTCGAGTATCAACTCGACCCAGAGCAACTCGACCCAAAGTATCGATTCTGGCTATTGCTCTTTGCCGTCCCCTCTCCCACTCGAAGCCAACTTTCAGACCCTGGATGACTCGTGGCGCCTTCCACCTTGCAGCCCACTCACGTCACATTTGTCAAGCACATGCCAGGCGCCTCTTTCTTGCCCGCGCGAGGGTTGCAAGTATTTCAGCAGCAGCCAGACTTACGAGATAGCTCGACCATTCGAAAAAGAGATGGGAGTGTTTGCAAGCATATCCGACTACAACAAGCACATGCGAGAAGCCCACAGCTCGCCACCTTTTCCATGTAAATCTGTGGGATGCGATAGGGTCGGAACAAGAGGCTACCTCAGAGGCCGCGACCTCGCCAGGCACCAAAGATTGAAGCATCCAAATCCAGACATGAAAGAATTATCCTCTAAGAAAAGAAGATTGGACGCTAGCTTTTGGGACCCTCTCTTTGCGTACCCATCACAACTTCAAGAACCGGAAATCGTTTTCACCATGGAAGCACCTGGCGAAAATCTCGAAGCGACTGAGGGGGAAATGGCGGGATGGTGCGAAAAGCATGTTGGGAACGCTCCCGTTCCGACTCGGAAGGAGAGTTCAAAGCCCGGGACCACATCTGAGGCTCCCAAGTCTGGCGGACTCCGGGGCATCAGCGTACAACAAGACAGCGGAGAGGGCTGCGGCTCAGCGAGTCATATTCTCGAGACACGTCGAGATACCGCCTCTATTGACAATAATACACCTACGTCAACCCTCACGGCTCAGCCTTCAAGTAGTGATACTGAGAGAGGGGACACTCCAGATACAAACAGCGACACCACGTTAGGCACCCCCTCGACACAATCATCTCGAAGCCCTTCGCCGTGGCAAAACACGGTCAACTCTCTTCCTGGCGAGGAGAGAAGAATCAACAATCACCTTTCCCGCTCCTTAGCATGGCTGTTAGAGAGTGCTCGAAGTCCCGAGAACGATGATGAAGGCTTACCGCAACTTGATGCCGCCGCATCCGTTGAAAGTCACTCTCCAGATAGCTCCAGTATCAATTCGCTACGGAGCAGGTTCAACTCTAGGGGGGACTCAGAAGAGATCTCTTCCAACACTGGCTCGACTAACCGAGGCCCGCCCCAGTGCCCACCGTCGAGAACTCAAGGAACGACGTCAGGTTCAAGCCTAGAGCAATTGCGAAGATCTCGGGACTCCTTAGAAGGGGAGGGAGGCGACGGCAGCGGCTCTCCCCCGCCCTTCAAGCAACCAAAAACGATGTATCACGCGCCATTTAAACTTCTGAAGCGCTTTCGTTACGCTTGTCCCTATAACAAATGGGACCCCCGTGGGTGCCCCCTCTGCTGCATGCCGAGCAACAAGAATCCGGACGGAGGTGCAGAGACTTTCTCAAGGGTCAAGTAAGTTCGGCCGCTTAGTTACTGTCCAACGATCAAGAGCTTACGAAATATACCTCTGTCCACAGATCACACGTCTTCCGAAACCACGACCCAACTGTACGATGTCAAAGGTGCTGGGGAACATTCCCCAGCAAGACGGAGACATTGGCCGAGCACTGCGGGAGAAACAACTGCATGGTCAAGGCCTCGCCGACCAAGTACTGGATGACTGAAGAGCAGCGACATCAGGTGCGCGGTCAACGATTTGTAGGTTCCGGCGAAGAAAACTGGTACCATTTGTTCCGCCTTCTCCTGCCAGATGCAATGCTCCAGGACCAGCTTGGAAACTACACCGTGTCCCCATGTAAGTTCTGAGTGGGACTGGAACTTGAGCCAGAAAATGGAGGCATGACTGACGAGATACTACAGATTACGTTCCGCTCGATGAATGCCTCACCCCATCGAATTCTTCAGGGCCAACATCACAGGAGACGGGGAGAGACACCCAAGAGCTACTCGTGCCTACACAAAATTTTCAGGTCTTACACAGCTCCTTGTATGTCCAACCCACATGCTTCGCTAGCATTGCAAGTGTTTGCATTGAGTTCTTGGAGCTAACAGTGACCCATCCTAGAAGCGACACTCCGCCTTTGAATCCGCCGTCCTCTGAGCTGCTGATGGCCTCGCTGGATCTCTGGCCTGCCAATACGCCCTCTTTCGTGTCGGACCCGCAAATCGACCTCACAGAGCAGGCGAACTCGACGCTGGGTAACTCCAACGGTATCGCGACACACCCTTCGGCATCTCAGCAGAGTGAGTCTTACCAGATCCATCAGGGATCCCAAGTAGGCCTATGGCAGGAAGGTACAGGAAGTGTAAACACCTCTCACGACGGCGAGAACTTGGATGACAACGAAAACCACTCGACGATGCAAGGCGCTGCGGGGCCCCAGCCTTCCTTCGCCAGGTCTTCAAGCTTAGAAAACGAGCGCCTGCGGCGGAGTATCCGGCATTTAAGAGAGCAGAACACACAGCTGTCCCAGGAGAGAGACGCAGCACGAAGACAGTTGGATGCGGTAAGGACCCGCATCAACTCTCTGGATCAGCTGCTCGAGGACGTCATGTATCGTGAGGGGATTGCGCCTGAGGTGTTTTGTGATCTTTTAAGTTCTAGCATGGCACTGGCAAACCTGAGGGGTGAACTGATGTAGGTTGCTAGGAGGATTATTAAGCCGAGTTGAGTTCAGACTTGGAACTCGGGAGGTTCATCATCACTCAACTTTGTTATTTACCGTTCTAGCCCAAGTTATTGGGAGATCGCCTGCCTCTAGGGGGTTGTCGCCGCGCATTGTACCGTACCTGCAATTCTCCTGCGATTACTTCTACAGGGCTATATAGGCAATGCCGAATCTACTGTGTGTTAAAATATACTAGGACGTCGTTTGATCTCGCATGCTTAGTAGTCAATGCACCTCCAACCCGGGTTTTAAATGTGAGCATGACAGATTAAAACACAACTTGGAAAGGAGTGGCCGTATGGCCCTACCAGGTACCATTTAAAACCCCACGGTAGAAGAGAAATGACCAAGAATATCCGTCAATAAAATGGCTCATATGCATATGAATGCGAAGGATCGCGACAAAAAAACACCAGCATTTTGGCACTCTCTGCAGACTAAGACAATAGCGTGCCCATCGCAAACACCACATGAGTAGGATCCTGGGACAGCACATACCGTGCAGCGCGTGCAAACATGACACCAGGGATCACTCGGGTCGAATTCGGTCGGGTTGCTCTCCAAGACAAGGTCGTGTGTTGGGATTCTTATGCCATGTTGCACGACATATTCGAGCAGGATGAGGACAAGCTCTCTTTTCCCGCTCTTGGACGCCCACCAAACCAAGCTTATGGCCGAACCAGTCCTTGTGTTGCAGGCAAGATGGGTCAGCGAAAAGCAAAGTCTCCACGACCTGCGTATGTCCGTTCCTCGCTGCTGCAAAGATAGGCAAAGCCCCAAAGCAGTCTTGGACGTTCCCGGTAAGGTTGCCAAAGAGAGGCCCAACAAATGGCTCCTCTTCCTCAACTTCACTGGCCCTCCGAGTGTCGCGAGAAAGAAGTGCTGACACGACAAGGTCATGTCCGCGCATGGCGGCATGAAAAAGTGCTGTCCGGCCATTGTTATCCTCCAGATCAATGTCGAAGCCAGGGTAGTTGAGAAACAACCGGAGCAAGTCGAGGCGACCGTTTTGTGCCGCTATATACCGTTGTTCCGGCATCGTCCACAACCATGGGGTTAGCCCCATTACCGACGAGCGCTTTGACAATTTCTTCATGTCCGCATTCGACCAGCGTATCCCAGCCGCCGTGTCCATCCGGCCGGGTCATCCCGGTTGGTGTCGGCAGCACCATACTGGAGCAGGAGCCTAACCACCTCAACATGGCCGGCTTCTATGGCGCACTCCTGTACTAGCTGTGAAGCACCGCTCTGGGGTCTTTGCTCTAGTAGCATCTTCACGACCTCAACGTGCCCGTTGCACGAGCTCGCTCCAGTGGCCTCCATTTCCTGCAAGAGTCATCCGGATATGCGGCCCCCTTCTCCAGGAGCATCCTGACCACCGCGACGCATCCCTTATCCGCCGCCATGGCCAGTGGCATCTAACCATGTACTGTCGCGGCTATGTCGCCTCCATGTTCAAGAAGCAACTCTAGGACCTCCTCGTGCCTGGAATCTGCAGCGCAATGCACCGGTGCCCATTGGTCGGGATTCACGGCTGTGTGGCTCGCCCCATGCTCGAGAAGGAGCTTTACCACATTGAAAAATCCCTCACTTGCCGCCCTGCACAACGGCGACCACCCGTCTTCATCTTGAGACTTGACATTAGCCCCGTCCGTAGCAAGCAGTAAGCCAACGAGAACCGCATGGCCATGCGTTACAGCCATCGAAAGCAAGCGTGGATCATCGTGAATGTCGGCTCCCACGTCTATCGCTCGCTGAACTGTCTCCACCCGTCCATGTCTTCCAGAGGGCCGAATTGTCGGACTGATTTCGATTGTGACGATAGAGATGCGCGATGAGAAGACGATAAAGTCGATGGTTCACGCTGAGGAATGCGCCAATGTCCCTTTCCGACTCCAGATTCCCGGCTATCTCCTCGAGTATTTCGTTGGTAGGCTTAACAGTGGCATCTCGGAGGTGTCTGTTCCACTTGTTTTCGAAAGAAGCGGTGGGGGAATTTGAAAGTGGCGCCGGAGGCTAATTAAGTGAACGAAATGGATGCATCCCGTCAGGGGTAGCACGGATAAAATATCGACCGCACCACCCGGACGGCCAATTACCTTCACCTGATAAATAGGTCTCTTGTTTGGAGATGCCACGGAGAGCGAATACTACGAAGAAGACTGCAGGTTGTTGTTCTAAACTAACTCGAGAACGAATATTTCTGTCAGGTATCTCTCCCAAAGTCGGCGTTTCCCAGTTCCCCCCCTTAAAACACCATACCTTTGACTTGGGGAATCTTGGTGAGGTCGATGTTCCTAATCAAGAGGATCCAAATGATCGACAGAGCCATGATACCGGTTCCAGCAGCCAGCATTCTCTCCTGCGCATAACCGTACGCCTGTTGAATTGCCAGTCTCTCGGGGCTTCCAACAGCATAGGTCAGCTGCGTGTCCAGACTGTTGTAAATGTCTTGTATGTCGGGCAGGGCCGACGCCGGGAGATACCGCTCAAGGGCTTTCTCGAAGGTGTTTGTCCAGATTGCACCAGAGATGCTATTCCCCACAGCACCGCCGATGTTGCCCATGACATACAGCAAGGCAAGTACGGCAGCGACATGCTGATGGTCGACGGCGGCCAAAATGGCGATCTGCTCGCAGATGATGAAGATGCTTCCGCCGACGGAGATGAAGACCTGGCACATGACAATGTAGCCGATGTATCCGTTGGGGCGGCGGAAGTGGATCATCAAGCCTTGTGCGAGGATGTAGAGCGGAACGGCAAAGTACAAGAGCCACTTGAATCGGCCGGTCTTGCGGATCAAGAAGCCGACAAACAACAGAATCACACCAGAGACCACGTCAAATGTGCTGCCGACGTATCCAGCCTGAGCCAGGGTCAAGTTGTTGACCACTTGTAAGAAGGACGTGAAGTAGCTGTTCCAGCAGTAATACGAGACCTGGTACGTTACGTCCAGTAGGCATGCGCCGATGACGGTCCGATTTGCCAGGAGCTGAATGTTGAGGAAAGGCGCTCGGGCTAGGTATGTCTCGTGGAGGCCAAAGATGACGAGCAAGACGAACCCGACCACAATCATGGCAATGATGTAACCCGACGCCCAGCCATTTGGGGCGGTATCAGCGAGGGTAAACGGTAGCAAAAACACCGTGAGGCCGGCGGCGAACAAGACGACTCCAAGTGCTATTCAAAGATGAATGAATTAGTAATTTTTTCCCAATGTCTGGTTCTTGGGAAACCTGTGTTCATTACTCACCGTCGAACTCCAGGGTGTAATGCCAGATATTCTGCAATAATGACCGGCCGCTCCTTTCCCTGAACACGAGGCCTTGTTTCTCGGCCTTTCGAAGGTTGACTTTCAACAGCACAAATAAGGGGGCAGCCACGAAAGGCAAGATGATGGCAAAACAGCCAAAACCCCATCGCCAGCTGATGTGGTAGTAGAAAGCCTCCGAAGCTTTGGAACCAGCGAATGCCGTGATCATGTATGGAGATGATGTGAAGGCATACGCCAAACCTCGGTTCTTCAACTTGGACACATCGGCCGTGATCACATCCACGCTGTATGTCATGCCTCCGAATCCGATTGAGTAAAACACCTAGTACCCCGGCTGTTAGCACTTTTTCAGAATCCTCCCACGGCTTGTTTCCGCCGCCACGGCATGATCGTCTGTCATACCTGTGCGACACAGAAGGTGGAAAGACCATTGCATGTGGCCATAAGAATCAAGCCCAGATTAGCGAAGGCAACCATGACGAGGAAGCCTTCAGCTCGACCCCAGAGGTCCATCATCTTCGCTAACGGGATGTACACTGCAGCCGACATGGCATTTGAGACAATGTAAATGACGGTCAATAGCGAGTGAGATTCGAAGTCGCTGGTGGCAAAAGGGACCAAGTTGTAGAGAATCGAGGCCTGGAATGCGTTGACGAAATAAAGCAGGAACATACTGTCGAGGAAACGTAGTGTTAGCTGGATACACGTACAGGTCAGTTGGCATCGAGGGGGTTAAAACAGAACATACAGGATGAAGACGGCGATCAGCGAGTTCTTCGACCAGGTCAGAGTCACGGCCTCAACATTCTGAACACCTCGTTGCGCATCTTGGCTAGGAAGTTCTAGTGGTGGCTTCTCGTTGCTCTGGTCTGCAGCGGCATCGTCGGGACTGCCGATGGCAGGATCCTTCTTGTCTCCCTCTACCGTAGTCATGGCGACCGGCGTGACTTCGTCGTGGGTCGTCGTTCGACCGAAGCCAAATCGGGGCTTGGAAAATGCTGCCATTGTTGTTGTTGAACTCAAAAGGAGAAAACGAAAGGTGCAAAGGAGCTCGCAAGTATAGGGAGCGAGAGGGGGATCCTTGTCCTTATGAGCAAGAACCCATGTCCTGCTAGCTCCTGCAGCCCACCACTAGCACCTGCATATTCACACATGGGAAGGGAAGGCTTGAAAGTAGGCTGATTCCAAGTAAAGCTAGACCCATCGAAGGACAGAAAAACTTCACGATAGACCCGGATATGGTTGATTCAACACAGAAAATGTGGGTTGGTTAGCAGATTTAGTTTTTCGTCAAGACGACCATGTGGAGAAAGGGAGAGAGCGAAGTGGATTGAAAAAAATGATATGTATGATGACCAGGCGCATCTGATAAGATTAGATAACGCACACCATGCCACTATCGCCCGAGATCGGCTGCCTCTCTCCTGCCTGTTGCGGAACCCGCGGCACGCCTTTAACGTAGTAGTAGGAAGTGCCAAGTTGTGGAACCAGGGGCTTGGCGAGACCTCACACTTTGATTTGCTGATGAACGGACAATAGACGTGAAGTTTTTTAAGGTCTAACCTGATTGATAAGATACGATCAATCCACATCGGCTAGTGTACATGATTAGCTCCCTCATGCCAAGGTACGCATGTAGACCCTCGGATGTTACCCGACAGGCTTAATCCGAGGCCGAGGAAGAAGCCGCGTTAGCCATCCGTATTCCGTACGTGGGAAGAGGTTGATGGTCTGGATGATAAATAATCCCGGCCGTCATGGTATTGTACTGTACCAAAGCCATGCCTCTGAAACCGTGAACACTGACGAAGATGCAGACGTACTGCATCATTAGTATATTTCGGTGCCACTTTCCTGGAATTTGAAAACTCCGATGATGAGGCTCCTAAGATCCGAGGCACCGCAGGAGACGAGAGCTCCTAAGGTTGGGTGGGTTCCTATGTCTTTGGGCCCCGAAGATGTTTGAGACTGGTACCTTGAGGTTATGTCAGGGGGTTCTATTGTGCTTAGCTGCCCTGCATGTGAGGCCACCATCTTGACTCAATCGCCACATGGGCGTGCAACAAAGACAAGGCCATATCCACTTGGCCTTGCAAGGTTGAAAATAGCTAAAAATTGGCTGTCATGGGGGCTGACGGGCGCGAATGCCGGACGTCTGTCGAGAATTTTACGGCACGCGCTTGCAGCAACAACCGGCAAGATGCACAGATGAAATCAATATTCTTGGCTTCAAGCACCGTTGCAACTTGCCGGGCCGGGCCGGGCCGTTGAAATTTCGCAACAGAAACTCGACATCTTCGAGACCCAACGGATGCCCAGATAATCTGTAATTCCTGCGGACATAGTATTGTGTGTATTGTATTGTACATACATAAACACATAAACACGATCCTGGTCCAGGTCTGGTGGGTCGCCCAGTCTTGACGATCCGCTATTTCTTGGCAATGTGTTATCCGATCATCTGATAATGGGAGGATCGACAGTGATATTGAAGTTTTAGGGAATCATACCCGAGAGACCCTGGGAATAACGCGAGACTTTCGATTGGATTCGCCCCCTACAGGTTCCACCCTCAAGTTGGGGGTCATGCCTCGCCCCTTGGCACCAAGATTTGTGTTCAAACACGGCAGCATGAAGTTTTTACAGCCTGCCGGTACCGGGGGTTTTGTTCTCTTGTTCCTCGGCGGCTTCTCTTCTCGCACCTCAGCCGTCATATAATATATGACCGTGTCGCCTACCGTGTCGCCTGAAACTGGTTCCTGGACACCAACGGTCAGCCATCTATCCGCATCACCATGTCCAACATCAATGCCATGGCGCTGGAGCCTACGGCTGAGGTCCCGGCTACCGAGACATATGACATGGAGAAGCACCCCTCGGGTATCCAGGATGATGCCCGTGAGATCACCAGCGACACCAAGGTCGACGAGTCCGACGCAAACTCGGCACACAAGCAAGATGGTGTCAAGCGGGTCGAGGCCATCACCACAGTTTGGTCCAAGGACATGCTCATCGCCATGTTTGTCCTGTAAGCCGCCCGCAGCACGCACTCAACTCACTACCCTCGTGCCCTCTTCCCCCATCGTGGAATCCCAACGCTGGTAATAATGCGATATCATTGTAGACTCTACCTCGTCACCTTCGTCGACCAGATGCTCCAGTCGGTTCAAGGCACGCTCGCACCGTACATCACCTCGGCATTCAACGAGCACGGCCTGTTGGCCACGACCAGCATCGTCGCAAACATTCTCGGCGGCGTGTCCGGACTCACCATTGCCAAGATGATCGACATCTGGGGCCGCTGCGAGGGTTTCCTGTTCATGGTGCTGCTCATCGCCATCGGCATCATCATGAAGGCGGCCTGCAAGTCCGTTGAGATGTACGCCGCGGCGCATACCCTCTACTGGGTCGGCCATCTGGGCGTGCAATATGTCATCACCATTATCCTCGCCGATATAACCACGCTCAAGAACCGGATAATCCTGTTCGGCCTCAACGCGACTCCTCTGATTGCCACCACCTTTGCCGGCCCCAGGATTGCCGAGCTCTTCTTCGACAATGTCAACTTCCGCTGGGCCTTTGGAGCGTTCTTGATCATCCTCGTCGCCTTCTGCATCCCCGTGGCCGTTGTTTTCATCCTCAGCAAGCGCAAGGCTGTCAAGCAGGGCATCTACCCCGCCAGGGTCAAGACTCGGAATGCTTGGGAGTCTGTCAAGTATTACTTTGTTCAGTTTGATGGTTAGTCTGCGAATCTCGGTTCATACTACTGTAGTACTTATGCGCTAATCCATCTTCGATCCCAACAGTCATCGGCATGTGCCTCACCACCTTCGGATGGTCCTTACTGCTTCTACCATTTAGCTTGGTATTTTACGCCCCCAACGGGTGGAAGACGGGATACATCATCGCCATGATTGTACTTGGCGTCGTGTTCCTGGCTGCCTTTGCAGTTTGGGAGAAATACTACTCACCCTTCCCGTACATCCCCTTCAAGTTTCTCAAGGACCGGACTATCTTGGGGGCCTGTCTGATTTATGGCATTATGTTTATGTCCATCTTGTGAGTGTGCTTGCTGTGCGCCTCCGACTTGCGCGTGCCCATGACATAATTACTGATTAAGGTTTAATCTTGCAGCTGCTGGGATACGTACTACTCGTCTTATCTCCAGGTCGTGCACGAGGAGAGCATCACCACCTCTGGTTACATTCTGAACTCTTTCTCCCTCATGTCAGCCTTCATCGGCCCCTTCGTTGGCCTGTAAGTCCCCCGCCACCACCTGCTGCACTGCTTCTCGACTTCTCAGCTGACCCCCATGGTGCCAGCGCCACCCGTTATCTCGGCACGTTCAAGTGGCCCTCGATCGCCGTCATCCCGTTCGCCGTCCTCGGCACGGCTCTGCTGATCCACTTCCGAACTCCCGATTCCCACGTCGGCTACCTCGTCATGTGTCAGCTCTTCAACGGCATCTACAGTGGTGTCTGGTCTCTCACCGCGCAACTCGCCATCATGGCTTCGGTCACTCACCAGGAGATCGCCGTCGCCCTCGCACTTTTCGGCCTCTTCGGCTCCATCGGTGCCGCCATCGGCATGGCCGTTGCGGGCGCCCTGTGGACAAATATCTTCCCCGTCCAGCTGTACAACAGGCTGCCCGAGGATAGCAAGAATCTCACGGCGCTGATCTACGGAGACATCGAGATGCAGAAAGGATACCCAATGGGAAGTCCCATTCGCGACGCCATTATTGGGGCGTACGCTGACGTGCAGCGGAAGATGGTCATTACCGGCGTGGCCTTCATCCCTCTTTGCGTGGTTTGTTTGTTCATGTGGAGGAACATCAACGTCAAGAAGCTGGAGGAGACGAAGGGAAGGCAGACCAAGGGCAACGTGTTCTAGATGTCATTTTCGAGTAACGCTTCTGGCCATACGAGGCCCTGGATGGTTGCATAGACGTATTAAATTCCATTACACCATCGATGTCTTGGACCCTGTGACTGTTATCTCCACCAGTTGAGCTCCCAAGTAGTCCCATCACAGCAACAGAGGGCTCTCTGTTGGCACTGGGGATTGATTGAGTGGAGAGACGTGGATCCTGATATTGTCTTGGCGCCGATATCCGCAGTTGTAAGTCGTCCAGATTCACCCCTCATGATATATAGTTACCTCCATCGATCCATTCTTCTCCACATTGGTCACTGCACTATCTAATTTAATCCCCGCCCTGGATGTTGATCACACTTTCAGCACTACACGTCCTCGCTGTTGGCTCCGAAACCCCCGCGACCAAGTTGACGCCTCACTAGAAACGTGACGGTGAATGAATGGATGAATGCAATTGGCAAGCCGTGAGGCCTCGAGTTTCTGGAGATAGGTAGGAAGTGTTCCAATCTACGGGTATCAACAAAAGATATATCTATCCTCAGGGCTTCTGCATCCTGCGTCTGCGGGAAGGGCGTTGTAGGTCGGCTGGCTGATCGGGATCAAAGCCGACCAAGCAGTTGACCGTCTCGGCACCCTCTCCGGCGTCATTAATCTCACTCCCAGTCGGGTCTCTCCACTGCCCTATCAACTTGATGTAACCGTCCAGTGCGTCGGTCATGGTGCGCCCCATTTGCAGTGCCTCGGCTGCCCGCGAGTGCGAGTAATAGGTCAGGAACTTCTGGGCCGCCTCCCGCTCGGAACGCTCAATCAGCAACTGGGCGCTCTTCTCGACCCACTCCCCGACTTGGGTGCGCGAGTGGTTCTCGAAGCCCGTGAGTATATCAGTGACAATGGGAAGATATGTGTCGGGGGCGGAGCACATATAGTACAGGACCCGTTTGAAGATGCGGCCGGCAAAGATAGACGCTTCCTGGTATTGATAGTCAGGGCTCAGAAAGCTGCTCGATGCCCCCGTTGTCAGGTAGCGGCGCTCTCCGAACTCGGGCGGAACGGACTGGACACCAAGCCACCACGGCACAAACGGCGCGGCAACCGAGCCGGTCGGGGCGATCCAGATGCGGAGCATGTCGCGGTCGACTCCCGGACGGAGACTGACCACCTGGCCATAGCCGGCCTCGTCATCGGCGATTCGGTGGTCGCGAACCCGCTCCATCAGATCCTCCTCCGTGACGGGTACCATGGCGAGGGTGGCGTTCTCCAGCGCAGCCTGCGACATGTACTTGTATCCGCCGTCGCGGGCCTTGTATCTCGGATCCTGGGGCCCGTACACATTGAAGATGTTGAAGGCCTTGCCGCAGTCGGGGCTCCACCATCCTTGGTTGACGGCGAACGACACGATGTTATCCGAACCCATGAAGTCTGGATTGCCGGTGAAGTTGACGGGGAAGGTCTCGATGTAGCCCGGATATAAGACCTTCACCTCGTTCGGCCCCAGCCGTTGCGCAGCCCACAAGCCTGCGCCACCGGCCATCTCCCATACCATCCAGCCCTCGTCCTTGTCGGCGATGAGGTGGGAGTTGCCGCCGTATGTCGACTCGCCGTACTTGGCGATCATATCCCCAATGATCTCGACACCCTCCCGCGCCGTGCTCGCCCTCTCCAGCACCACTCGTGCCAGGTCGCTGTACTGCAGGCCGTGTTGTGGATTCGGCGTCATGTCGATCAACTCCTGGCGGTTATCGGCCCAGACGTCGCGGACGGCCACGCCCTTCTCGTTCAGGCCGCCGTTGGTCAGCGGGGCGGGGAAGCCCTCGTAGTCGGAATACTCCATGCTGAGGTAGCGGAAGGTGTGGTTGACCTGCGGGATCTGCATCAGCTCCCCGGGCATGTCTGCGTCCTCGGTGACGCCGACGGTGATGGTGGCGTTGGCGGCATGGTCGCGGGCCGGGAAGAGCTGCAGCCAGTGGCTGGATACCTCCTCTCCAGTGCCGCCGACCATGACGCTGCCGTCGGCTGTAAGGTTCTTGCCCACGTAGAAGGCGTAGCTTGCAGTTGCGGGTGCGGCAAGCAGAAGCGTTGCCGCGAGAGCAGCCATAGGACTGTGAATCATGATTGCGTGGGTCAGATACTCAGTCTGGGAATGGGGCTCGGGCGGGAAAGAGCAATTAATCAATTAAGCTCGCAGTCCCATTTTGAACACTGGACATGTTAATTATTACTTATACTTTGCGATTCGTCGAGGACTTTGTGAGCTAGCCGTCGCTCGCAATTTCCGTCTGTTCCACAACATCGCATCCCACGGGTAGGAAACCACGCCTTGGTAATCACCTCTTCTTAGTGGCAGGTTGGTGGATCTATTATTCCTAGAGTCAAGGGCAGCAGGTAGGTGCAGCACCGACAATTACGTAGCCATCCCAAAACACCTATCAGAACGTTAACTACTGCCTCCCCTACGCTCCACATCACGTCAATACAAACGATGCCTGTCCCCAACTTTCGGCCAATTCCCCGAACATCTATGCCGGCGTAATAGAGGAGTTTGGACTGTCTGGTTAGCTCGGTAGAATATGAAGCCGCTCGTGGAATATTTTCGACCTTCCGTTACGGGATACCATCGCCACTGAGGAAAAGCGCGTTTTTGTAAGAATGAAGGGAACGCGGGATGTGATTTCTATGAAGAGAACGCGGGATGTGATTTCTATGAAGAGAACGCGGGATGTGATTTCTAGATGGCTGGATGACGATCGAACCTAGCCGGATTATAATGGAAGCTTGGTTCACCATACTCATGCTGTGGGACTCATATAGGGGGTGCCAAAAGGGCATAAACATTAAACGTCAATACTCCAAACCCTCCATCTCCACGGTTAGCACGGAAGAAAGACTTCCGGATTCTTAGGTCTTGATCAGCCTGGTGGTGTGCTCTAAGAATAACCTTGCCAGTCGGCCCCCCGTATTCCATGTTTTCGACCATCTCCGCGAACAGGCACTTAAGTCAGGCATCAAAATCCATCAGTATGTACAGAACCTCCGATACGGGTGACAATATAATATTGAGACTGTCGAAAAAGATATACATATAGCCCTCAGTTCCTGCAATTATCTTAGACCCCCTAATGGCAAGGGCGTCGATCATATCGGCGCCGGCGGCAAGAATGGTAGTGGTGGACGCGAGTTCTTCGCCGAGGGCAAGTCTCTGGCCGTACCCGGAGACTACGTTGTAATTAGAGCACCGAGTAAATTTGCTTAATAGGTGCGAGACCAAAGAAGAGCATCATTGTGGGCCAAATAATAACAGCACGTGGATCTCACCGATAGTCTCCGCCCTGGGTCCCCTAGCCGGTACATCTCTCTGATCCGTGTGCACGGCGCTTTCCAACGCTAGGCGAAGATATTGATGTAGCCCTCCTGAGTCGACACGGTACGGTGTCGGGATAGGTTGAGAGAGAACCACGAAAGATTTCCAGACTCCCACCCACTGCGTGAAGAACGAGTTCTCAGTGGGTGGCTAACTTGGCCACCGCGAGCGTCGTAGGGCAGACGGTCCCACGGCAGGCCGAAAGAGGTGCGGTTGCCTCCAGTGAGAAGGTTGTCGGTGTTCTGAGTAGGTTGACAACCTAGCTCGGAGAAACTACCAAACGTCTCAATAATCGACAACTCGACAACCCACGGCCCAGAAACGGCGAGCTTCTCACGGTGGCTCTGTTTCTTTGACAGCAGGCAACGGTCGTCCCTACAGCAACGCCGATAGAAACCACCGCAGCATTGGCCCTGGAAATCAGCTTGCCAGAATGGTCTTCCTCACTTAGTCCAAAGGTGGCTGCTGCCTATCGATCTCCGGGTCACCCGGTGGCACGACCCTGGGGAGCGCGGACCACGTCGACGCCGTCGCTTCGATCGCGGCTAGGAACGAGACGACCTTTTCAGATTCATCACTCTGTACTGTTGGGATGGTGATAGAAGAGAACGAGGATCGTCACTCTTCGATGAACTTGGACATGGTGGTTCTCCTTTTGCTAAAAACGAGCTGCCCCTGATCTACAAGCTAGTCGAAGGTTCCCCTGACGCCAAGAAGTTCCCCTAATGCCAAGAACAGGCTTGCGAGGTGCCCCTGGTTCAAAGTGGGCCTGTGCATGGTGATCACGTGAGCCCCCTTCTTTTTCTTTTTTTTTTTTTTTTTTTTTTTCGCTGCCTGGACAGAGCAACAGATCATTAGCAAATAGCACCACGCCAGGCTGATCAGTCGGCCAATGTGGCCACTTGCTTTGTTCACGTTGCTGCGTTGCTAGTATTGTCTGTTTCAACATCTAGCATTGGGAGCTTCAGAGTAGCGAAACTATGAGAATGCACTTATGGATGTTCGTGATGGTGCTGGTGGCCACTGCAAATGGGCAATACATGCCGCCCCATCATGCTGGAGATTTTAAACCTGCTGGATTGCCAGACGTAAGAACCAGATGATCCCAGGCATCAAGAAGGAGGACATGAGCGAGAGTGAGACAGCGGTCACTGCATCTTCTTTATCAGGGTTAGGGTTACAGTAACGTTTCTCCCTCATCTCTGGCCATGCCGCTATGGGTCGGTATGCCAACGCAGCATTAGGGGGCTCGAGCTATTCTCAGCGAATATCCAGGGCGCGTTGGGCTGGGATTAAAATTTTGATGAGATTGTTCGGCACGAATTACGTTAATAAAATACAGTTATGTCCAATAGAGAATGAAAAGAGTCAGGATCCCGGTGGGGCCGAGATAATTCATGTCCACGGTCTTGCTTGGCCGCCTCTTGGCCTTCTTGGCTGGGTTGTTTTTTTTGCTCGAATTTCAAGCCACCCACGCCGTGGGGATTGCTGTATAAAGGCCAGGTAGTTTCATATTTTTCTCTGCCTCCCTCGTACAGGCCATCACGGAATTCAGACTCCTTCGTCGCCATCCCCTTATGCGACTCATTGCTGCCATTGAGGTCATCAACTCTATGGAATTCAGATCCAGTCATCTCACGATTCCTCGCCAAGCAACTCTCCCTCCAGAAATAGGGAACCACGACTCCCGCTGAAGGACAAAAGAAGCTCAGGCACACCGAGCTAAGAAACAATGCACGTGTATATAGAAGGGGCGTGCCCCTGGTTGGACGAGCACATCAAGTCGTTTATTCGAAACCACGTTTCAGAGGCCAACTTCATCGACGACTTTGACAAGTTCCCGACGGACGCACCGACCATTTTCCAGTTCTGCAACGGCTGGGAACTGAATCGCAATTTTGCCGTCCTCAATGGCGCAGACACGGCACTCATCAACGCCTACCCCAACAGCGATGCCCTGGCCCGGAAGGACTATCTCGCCAGGGTCGTGGAATTGTGGACGGCGAAAAGGCCGGACAGCATCCTAAAGAGACACTCCCCGCTCACGGTGCGGCTGTCTCTCGACTACGCCGAGTATGTTGATGACGCCCTGATGGCTGCAGATGATCTCACGCTGTTATACTCACTGGAGGAGAACGCGGAAAAGGCAGCGTCTGAACGTGAGTGGTGGATCCTCAAACCTGCGCTGGTTGATTGTGGCGCCGGCATTCGAATTTTCAGCACCATGGAAGAGCTTGCCAGCCATCTCGAGCTTGTTGAGTATGACGTCGATGACGAGGATGAGGAGGAGCTCTCCGAGGAAGGGCAGGGATGGGACGGAAAACCCGGTGATACGAACGGGTTCTCTCCGACCTTGTCGCTCCCTGGTCTGGACTCTCTAGATGGACTGATTGGTGCCACTGGGGCCATGACACTCAATGGGAGTTTCGGGAAGAAAGCCAAGAAGCCGCAGTACGTGTTCAAGGAGAACGGACGCATACCTTCAGCTCAGATGCGCGAATTCGTCGCGCAGAGGTACATTGTCTCTATTCCGCTGCTGGAGAAGAGAAAGTGGCACGTCCGGGCCTATGTCCTTTCTGTCGGGCGTCTCAAGGTCCACGTCTTCCGGGAGATGCTCGCGCTCCTGGCCGTGGAGGATTACGAGCCGCCCTGGGATAACCCTAGCCTCAGGTCATCCCTGACCAACACGGCACTACAGGACGAAGACGAGTTCGTGAGCAAGGAATCGATGCGAGACTTTTGGGCGACCCCTGACGATTTGCTACCCGGAGACTGGAAGAATCGCATTTTCGATCAGATCTGCGGCATCTCGGCCGAGCTGTTCCGCGCAGCTGCCCATACAATGGCCGACAAATTCACGACCATGGACAAATGCTTCGAGTTGTTTGCTTTGGATTTCCTCATCGACACAAATGGGTCGGCGTGGCTCTTGGAAGTGAACGAGACACCGGCTTTCTACGAGCACGGGGTAGCAGGTCCGGTAGCGCTGCGCCTTATGGAATCGGTCATTTGTGTTGCTATGGAGCACATGGGCAAAGCTCAGGTCGGTGATGCTCGGAATGCAGTTGCCAGACGCAGAATGGTGGAAGTGCTGGACGAGACCGAGAAACTCGCGAAGAGCAACATCACGGAGATCTTGCCCGAAAGCTAGGCGTTGTGAATAGCTTAGGTAGATGTTAATTACCCCGCAAGGCCACGTACACTGCAGGTTTCTGGGTGACTGCGGTGGCCGCTCTAGGCAGCCGCCTTCTTAAAAACAGAGCTCCGGTAGCCGTTCTCTCGAGTTTCATGTTCCGAAGCCAGCTCGGTCAAATCCCTCCATGCCCCTTGACAGCCTGCCGAAGCGAGGGATTGGAAGGAATGAGACATCACTTTGATCGAAACATGGAGCTAACAATATGCTTTGCCTCTTCCATACTGCTCCTTCTCTCCTTGTCCTCTGTCACCTCCGCCTTGCAGCTCCCCTTCTCCCTCTACATTCTCAACCCATGGCGAGCCCGCGTCCCTGTCTTCATCACTGACACCAAGCACCCCTGGATCCGTGACAATCGGGGCCCGCCTCGAGCACCATCCGAACCCCCACGACCTGTTCTGCAGCATCACCGACACGCCAGCCTACCCGCCGGACCTCTTCCACAAGCTAAATATCGACAACCAAAAAGCCAGCATCAGCCGACGGGGGTGGGCCAACGCCGTCGCGAGGTTAAAGGAAATCTGTGCCTGCCCTGCCGCGCTTGCCGGGGCCGAGGAGCTCGACGTAGATATATTCGTGTATTGTGACAGAACTTACGACAATCCTGAGCCCGCTGCACCGCCGACCAAACTCCCCAGGCTCTTCGCCGATGTCCTAGGCAGCATGCCGAAGCTGAAAAGGCTCACATGGGGGATATCACGAGGCGAAACCCTCGCGTTCAAGCCTGTCTTCCTGGAGCGTAACCTCACTTTACCGGAATTACGGTACCTCAAGGTCGATAGATATAGCGAGTACCTGGTTGACCTGGCATTGGGGCTGGAGCAACTCGTCTCGGCCGGGCGTACTTGGATTAAGATGCGCGATTCGGAAGCGCAACCTGACGCCAGGTTGCTATTTATTGAGGCCGCCGGACGGACAAAGAATCTGACAGGGCTGGTGCTGGACGCCGAGGTAGACGGTGAGCTTGCTCAGGGTAATTAATCAATTCTTACGCGCCGCCACCACTACTTCGATATCAGTAATTACCCTTCAATTGCTGACACTCGGTTCACAGCCATTCGCGCCAACGTTCCCAACATCTCCAGCCTCAGCCTCCCAGGTGAGATCTCCCAAAGGTGGCGGACCAGAGACAGATTTCCTCCTCCACTTCAATCCGGCGAGGCGCTCAGGGAGCTGATCAACATACTCACCGCCCTTCCCAATCTCCGCAAGCTTTCCCTCCCCAGTGCCCTCCACCTAGACCTCGGCATGAACGGCGGCTACTCCGGCAGCGCCTTGGGAAGACCTCTAGGGCGGGAGGACATAGTGGAAGACGCCGAGGCAACGGCCCTAGCGGGGGAGATTGTAATAGGGTTGCTGCCGCAGCTGACTATTGGCGTGCAATCTGCAAATATTACAAGGGATAACAACGACGGTAGTGGTGCTGCCTCCTTGACGTGGCCGTGGACGGGGAGCATGGATGATTATGCTAATATGAATACGGAGGAGGAGTGTTCGGATCCCTGGGAGACTGGGTACCTTCCAGATATGCACTGGGTGAATTAAGATGGGATGGCGAAATGGGCAGTGGCGGGAGTTCTGCAGCGATAATTGCTTCTTTTGTGTGGGACCGAAGCCAATCACGCCATGACTCGGCCACCCTTCCCACCCTCGGTTGGCTGCATCTATCTCCATGTATCACAGTCTTTCTGTACTAATATCACTTCCACCCAGGCAGCTGCCCCGCACCTCAGCCTTACTTGAGCATATGAACATCTCGCCTCCCCCAGCCGGATCATCACGACTTCGCGCTTGCCTAAGCACAATGCACAATGGCTGAGCTACTCCTAGCCTCAGTTGCTGCCCCTGTCACAGTGTATCAGATAGGGCAAACACTCCTCCAAGTCTCTGATCTGGTTCGCGAGATACGCCATGCCCCAAGCGCGATACAGTACTTCCAACTCGAGACCGCGGCTTTGAGCAAGCTCCTGAATTTCTTCCACGATGTTGCCAAGAACTCGATCCAGCATCTCGAGGAGAGCCGCCAGAAGGAACGACAGGGCCTCATCGACTTGATCGTCAAGCAATTCAATGTCGCGACCATGCAAACAAAAAGTGTAATGCAACAAATAGTGGGAGCTCGCAATTCAGATTCAGACGACATTGGGCGTGAGCTACTCACACGGGTGAGGTGGTTGATCCACAAAAACAAGGTGACAGCTATCCGGATGATGCTCGAGAGCCTGAAATCACAGGCACAGTTGTGTTTGTCGACACTCATGTGCGAAGATCTCAACCGAAGGATCTCCGAACTTAAGAGAGCACATGAGACAGTCCCGGACGACTTGGGAGCGAGACTGTACGTATAACGTTCCAACCTTCGGAAATTGGGCCCGAAAACTTACTTGACTAGGGACTACTTGGTCAGGCTTATCAAGATCGAAAAGGACGAGGCAAGAGAGGCAATCCGAAAAGTAAAAGGCTTCGAGCACCGACATCAAAACGCACAGATTTACGATCAAGTAAAGAAACTGGAACGAATAATGAAGTACGTTGAAAAAGCAGCCGCCAATGCGGTTCCAAGATACGCCCGGCCCAAGCGAAGAAGGAATAAGCCGCGCCGTCAGAGCAGCCACCAGTCTTCTCGTCTCAGAGATACTCGTTCAGATCCTACTCCACCACTTCATCAACTTGATGAGCATCAAGAGCAGACTTCTCGCAGAGCCGGGACCCGTCGCTCTCAAAACTCGCGTCCAAGCACTGCGCCCGATAACACTGGAGTCGCGCCGCATCCTCGTCCGCCGCCCCGACCGAAGAGACAAGACTCTCCGGAAGGAACGGCAATATCCAGAGTGACCGGGCCAAGGATCAGAGACGATGGTCACACGGTACGCGTAGAAGTGGGAGAGTGGCCTCTTTCAGCTCATGAAAATCTGGGGTCTGAACAGGCGGCATCGTCGAGACGGAATGATGGCTCTAGGCGGGGTGACGATGGGAATGTACGGTCACCAACACAGGATCTAGACGAGCTGCCGCCATCAACGGAGCACGGCAATGATCGTGATGATCGTGAGGCTAGCCCTGGTGTGGGAACCCGGGATGAACATGAAGCTGGGCCATCTGGACCAGGAGTAGCCCGGGGTGAGCAATCACAGAACAATGGATGGAGACCCGTGCCGCCGCTTGAAGGAGAGGACCGGAGACCACGCCAGTGGCGGCCACGGTCATCCAGGGAGGATAAGAAGCCGGACCCATAATGCTCGAGGTCGTGCGCTGAGAGAAGAAGGGAGATGCAGCAGGAAGAAGTCAGAAGAACAGTAACCGCTAATACGCAACCTATTTTTATATGATGATGTTGAGAGCTTGGAGAAGTTGATTCCGCCAAAGTGGCCACCAGTTTATGTGAAAACTCGACAAAGCTAATGTCTAAAAACAAGGACGGCACAAGGTGTCCCCTTTGATCTCGCAGCAGCGATTTGCTCTCCCCCCCCCCCCACACCCCCTAACCAAATTAGCCAATCAAGTTGATGGAGGCTTCTGCCCATAAACAACACGCCTGTACTTTAGTGTTAGCTGATTAGATATTCCGCGAACGGAGCAGCGGGATGAAACCCACAGATAGATGTACGAGTGAACATCGGGGTTGCGGAGCTCTTTGCGCACTTCGGCCAAGAATTGCTGCGCGTCGTCGTACCGCCACTATAAAACAGGTACCGTTAGTGAAATCTGGTCTGTCCCGAGGTAGTTGAACAGCCCTCTTACTCTCAATACGTCAGTTAACCCCTTCAGAGCAAACCCTTCAAGCCCTTCGAGGAGGTAGGCGCGGTTCCACCTGCCCCACAGCCTATGGTTCTCGTCCTTGGCCCAGGGGCCGATGGGGGTTTTGTAGCTGTGTTCCTTGACGTTGACGTAGCCGGCGGCCTCGATAGATTCATGCGCCACCTCGGAGGCATCGAACGCCTTGCCCACCTTCTCGCCTACCTCGCGGAACACCTCCCACCATCTCTTGAACACTGAATCTTCCTTCAACGTACCATCGTCCGAGGTGGCGATTCCCGATAATTCAACCTGCTCGACCCAGCCGCCGGGCTTGACATAGCTAGATTGCAGAGGGGAGATTAAAGGGAGTGTCGTATCACAAGGGGAGGGGAGGTGGCAGCTCACCGGAAGGCGTTCTTGTGGAAAGCAGCCCAGTCCGAGACGCAGCCGGTCATGTGGCGGAGATGAACAAAGTCAAACTGATTCTCCGGGAAGGTCCAGTCCTCGTTGATGTCGTCAACCTGGAATTCGCAGTTGGGCGGTACGAAGGCTGGCTGGATGGGAGAAATATCAACCCCGATGACCTTGGCTGACGGGTTCGCATCCGCGAAGTCACTAGTGAAAGAATTAGCGCATCAGAAAAATAGGTCGCGTCGCCAAAAGACCACGACGAAGACTCACATGGCCCAAATGCCTGTGCCGCAACCAACATCGAGAACGTTCTGCGTCCCAAATTAGTGTCGCGGCTTATCGACACAACGGTTGGGCCTAACCAATCACCTGAACATTTTCCGGTATCGGAGCAAGGTAGAGCTTGCCACCCAGGATGGTTCTGTACATCTCGTGCCTGGTGATCACATTAGGCGCTGGGCCGAGGAGATATGGGAGACAGGCACCCGGTTTGGTGCGGCGACGTACCCGAGGTCCTCAGCATTCTGCTGCTTGTCGTCGTTTGGGCCCCTGTAATAATAACCCGGGGTATGTCAGCGGGCGTTGTGAATTCTCCCTTCTCCTGTAAAGGGCAGGGCAATTGATTACCAGTACTCCACATCGTGGAACCCGTGGTATCGTCGTCCGTGCTTGTAGGTGTAGTCCGCAATGGAGGACCTCAGAGACTCGGTGGTCTCGGTTGTCCTAGCCCTTTGTCAACAAGGAGCTAACTGCAGGCATACTGAAAAGCCTCAGTCTCACGATTCGGCGTAGGCAGAGTAAATCTCTGCGTGGTCACCCTCATGCAACCATGGTAAGCTCAAAACGCAAGTATGCAAGGTGGGATAATGACATACAGCTTCGATCTCACTTGCGACTGGCCCGTACTCGTCTGCCGGAGCAGGAACTGGCGAGGAAGGGTCCATGATTAATAGGCAACAGGACTCAGTTTCTGGGCCAAATGCGCAAACACGAGTTGAATGGGTAGCGAGAGAGACCGAGAAAAGAGGAGAGGGAGGATTCCATTCTGCCCATATAGTAGAGAGGTGAGGGGGGAACAGATAACATACCCAAGCTCGCCAAGTTCCAACAACCAAACCAACGTAGTGGGGGCTCCGGGATTCAACCCCCCTGCCGCCGGATGCGATGAGCGCATATCCGGGTAACGGGCAACACCCGCTCAAGTGACCTGTCAGTTGCAACGGCCAGCGGGAGCAGCCATTAGAGGTAGACGAACCGACAAATAATTAAATAATTAAATAATTAACCCCTGACTCAGCATGCAAAGCCAACTGCATCGCGAGCTTATGTGCCTACAGTCAGTGCACAATACGTAACTATTTCGTACAGTCCGAAAGTATCCTTATTAGTGGCGTCAACACACCACGTGCTCCTGCAAGACAGGTTGAAACAGCGGCGCAATGGCCCACGCAAGACAATGGAAATGGCTGATACTACCACAGTAAATGTTAATGTTCGGGCAGCATCGGATTTTTGGTGTGTAATCATCACGTCATTTCCATATGTAAGCTGCTCCAAACTCCAGGCTTAATAAGCTGCGGTTATACTATCGGCCGGCCCTCACTAGGTAGGTACCTTTGATGGCGGGGCATTTAATGGAACCGATGATACTCGGGTGACAACGTCTCGAGTATTTATAAGGCGAGATACTGCCCACTTCATCTAGCCGGCAAGTTAAATCAACACATTCGAACCTTTTGCGAGTTCCGTAGTCATTACCAAAAATTGCAACTCTTTCCAAAACTCTCGCAGAAACACCCTCGTTTCACCGCTGCAGCAATGAAGGCTCTCGTTCTAACTCCATCGACGAGGGAAGTCTCCCTCCGCGAGCTCTCCACTCCAGAGCCCGGACCAGGCGAAGTTCTTATTCGCGTCCACGCCGTGGCGCTCAACCCTGTCGACGAGTTATACGTAGCCAAGCCCCTCGCTGTGCAGGACCAGCGAGTTATAGGTACCGACTTCGCGGGCGTTGTCGTTGACGTCAGCGCCGACTTGGATTCCTCCTCTGATCCTCGGACCAAGGTTGGCGCACGCGTCGCCGGATTTCATCAAGGCGGTATGTGATTATTCGAGCTTGTCTGCCTGTTTCCTGCCACGTCCATCTTCATTGTTGAATGATAAATGCTGAAGAACTTTGCCAGCCTGCTCTGTCAACGATCGTCCTGGCGCTTTCGCCGAGTATGTCACCGCACCATACGACCTTCTATGGAAAGTGCCAGCCAATTTGTCACTTGAGGCCGCCTCAACCATAAGCATGTGCGGCCTAACAGCCGCGCAGGTCATATTTGCTCGTCTCGGGCTCCCTAGTCCCTTTGCTTCCACTTCTGGCTTCCTCCCGTCGCAGGACCGGGATGCTGGCGAATCCATCAACGTGCTGATCAACGGCGCTTCATCGTCCGTCGGCCTCTATGCCGCGCAGCTCGTGCACCTCGCATCTCAGGCAAGCGGCCGGAAATTCCGCCTGATCGGCACGGCAAGCCGCTCGAAGCACGAACTCCTGCGTGGGCCGCCTTACAGCTACGACGTTCTCATCGATTACCGCGACCAGGACTGGCCGGCCAAGGTGAGGGAAGCCACGGGCGGAAACGGCGTGGACTATGCGTTGGACTGCATCTCGGAGGGCGAGACCGTGTACAACACCCACAGCACGCTCGGCCCCGAAGCAAAGTTTGCAGTAATCCGCGGTACAGCCGGTGGGGGTTACGATCCCTCGAAGCTCCGGGTGAAGCCCATCTACGGCGCCGCATGGGAGGGCCTGGGTGTTGAGATCGGATATAACGGTTGGTTATTGCGTCTAAACTTTGTCGATCCAAGTTCGCTAACATGGAACATCAGACATTACTGTACCCGCGGACCCCGAGGCACGTGCTTTTACGACCCAGTTCTACAGCTTCCTGGGCTCCGAGGCCGCGGCGGGCAAAGTCAAGCTCGAGCCAAACCCAGTACGGAACATGCCCGGTGGACTGGAACGGATCGTGCCTGACGGACTGGCTCTTCTAAGTGGCTTCGTGTCAAAGCGAACTGAAGTAGGTCGGACCGAGCAGTATATGCGGCCGATCAGTGCAGAGAAGCTGGTGTACACTATTTGATAATTAGTCCCCCGTAACTACTCCTAAATTGATTATATGTCGTTGTTGAAATAAGGGGTTTGCAGTGAAGTCCTTTCAAGTTATCCCTTGGCCTGTCAAAGCTGACCTCCTAGACATCTATAGTACCTCTTGCACACTTTTACTTTGCAAGAAAATTACTAAATAATTTTTTTTATTTCCTACTTTTGTCAGGCCAAGTTTTTGGGCAGTGGGTAAACTAAAGCACGCTATTCTTTGGCGACTCCAAACCTAAACTATATAGGTCAAAGTACCGCCCCCCTATTCCACAAATCAACTGGTCGAATGGTCTAGATGGTTATGACACCGCTTTAACACAGCGGAGGTCCACGGTTCGATCCCGTGTTCGATCACATATTCTCTTCTTTTTTTTTGCCTTTTTTTCCCTTCTTCTTTCTTTCGGTTTAGCTGTCGAGGGTGAAATCAATCTTCTTTTTTCAATTCCGCTTGCTAAACGTGTGTTCAATACAGACATATTATCAAACGCAGCGCTACAGTAAAGAATCCTGTGTGCAAGTCTTGGTTGGGCGTGGCGTATAGGAAATTTCGGTTCTGTGTATCCGGCACATGCACGTTGAAGTGATCATGGCTCTTTGATATTCGACCCTAGTTGTCGAGTACTATGAGTGGTGGGAAATGGATGTTGCTGTACCGATGGATTCCATCTCTGTAATTGCCTCGCGAATCTTCGACGCCAGCATGCCGTTCTGCATCCCGCCCTCATGGAGAACGTTGAGCCTTGTTGCCCAGCTCTTCCAAGTGTCCAAGTTCCAGCCCTCTTCATCAGTTTTGACCATGTCGTCGTAGATGCAGCGACCGGCGTGTAGAATCCATTGCACAGAGACCATGAGAAAGCACTCATGTGCCACTGGATCCGACACGTCATCTTTAAGTCCTGCTGGGATGTCGCGAGCAGCCCACCTGAGGCTGTGATGGAGTTGCGATCTCCTTGTCTATCTGGGCGCTCCAGCTCTCAAAACTGACGTACCGATGAATTTAGCAGGAGAAATAATAAGGAGGTTGATGAATCGGAAAGGTAGAAGACGACTGGTAAAGAGACGGCGCTTAATTAATTGAAGATGAAACAAGCACCAACCAGTGTCAACTACATAACCTAGCCCCAAGCGCTTAGAGCAATGGTTTCGAGTTAAAAAACGGTAGCCTATCGTTCGCCGGACGACAAAGCGGCAGTGCTTCAGGTTTGCCTCATCCGAACCCTCGGGTCAGGCAGGGGCTTTACAGCAGAGGGGAGGCAAACAAACATGGCAATTCACCGCAGAGCAAATGATTGTCTACAATACGAAGCGATTTCTCATTTCCAATAGTATAGTTATTTTAGCTGGCCCTCTTAGTTTGTTTTACGATAGCCTGACTGAGCCAGATGACCGAGCAATCCTAAAACATTTTCTAGGGTAGTAGAAGAACCATTCAGCCGAAAGTTGTAGTATCAATCGAGGTGACATAATAATAGATTACTTGAGCCGCTGTTGGTCAGACAAATTAATTGTCTTCTGTTATTGTCTGTAATTGTCTGCTTATAATTAAGTCCTTTGATCAGGATACTCTCTTTGATAGCCTTTGTTGACCAGACAATTCCATTGTCTTGGCTATTTCTTTGATTTTGAGCCTGTGTTGATCCGTCATCTGTCTTGTTTCCATTGTCTCTGATGTCCATTGCGTCTGGATCCCACCCTCCTTCCAGTTGAAGGATTATAGGTGCTTCGATTTGGATACTCTCTTTGACCTCCATTGTTGATCAGACAATTATATTGTCTTGTCTGGTTATGTGGAATTTTCGGCTTACAGGTCCTTTTGAGGAGGATCCTCTCTTTGACCCCCTTTGTTGACCAGACAATGCCATTGTCTTGGCTGTTTCTTTGCCGTTGTCCGCCCATAGGTACTTCGCATATGATGGTCTTTTTGACTCTCTATGTCAAGGAATTTACGCGTATGCATAAGCAAACAAAACACCAACTCTATCACGGTTTGAATCTTGCTTGTTTGGGCACCGTAGGGAAAGAGGCAAGTCTATAAAAGCTCCCCATTTCTCCAAAATGATGGAATTCCTTCTGTACCATCATCAGCACCTCTACAGAAGCACCTTGGTAAGGTCGCACTCCCCAGCCCACCATCAACCTCCCAGAAAATTATCACTTCCAGAAAACTCCCTCGGACAAGCGTCAAGATGACCAAGAAGGCCACCGTTGAGCAGAAGGGCCCTGTCCCTGACAAGGCGGCTGAGACCCCCCGCCCCAAGAACTACTCCGGCAATGGGTGGACTTGCTGCCAGTGCAAGCGGATCACCTCCTGCTTCAAGGAGAAGTGCTTTGGTTGCCATCACAAGATCTGCCACCAGTGCAAAATCAACCACTGAAGTATTCCATAGACACTCAGGGCATGCTTATGAGAGCCATCAAAACTAGTTTAGACACTCTGGTAGTGTTCTAGTGCTGTTTTGTGAGCTTCTCATGAACAATGTCAACTTTTTTGCGAGGACTTGACCAGGGAATACATTTGGCCCACCTGTTTATCGGTTCTTAGAAACTAGTAGGTAGCCATAATACCCATTACATACCCGCAAAAGCTCGTATTTCTTGTCCTGCTGAATTTGTGACATTTCTAGGCTCTCTTTATGTGTTCTAACTATAAGACTAGGCCGTAATCACCTAACCTTCTCAAGCCATGGAGATCGATCGGCTTCCATTACTTCAAAACTCTCTGATAGCGAACTACTAAGTATAGTTGAATGGCAGTGACAGGCATTAACATTAATCCGGTTCTCCAAGCTTTTAAATTACACAAATCACAGATATAAATGACTCTAACCCAGCTTTAATTTGAAGAAGGGCTTTTTCATCGTCAGGAGAGACTTAAAAGGCTTAGAGCTCATAGCCTTCGTCAACCACGAGTGAATCGACTGAAGGTATTAAGTATTACTCTTTCCAACCTTGGGCAAACGACCATTTCAACAATGCCTAGCAACTGCTATCCTAGGTATAAAACGCAGATAGCACGTCACTAGGCAGAATAGAGTCCACGATCCTGACCAAAGTCTTCCTTTTCCGTCTTGAGAATAGTCAAACTCCTGTCCAAACGTGAGATACGGCCGCACAAAGACGCCTCGCTCCGACTGGTCTTCCGGATTCCTCTTGCTGAGACGCCTGAAGATGACCTTCATGCCATCCTCCGTCTTGGTCTTCTTCCACGTCTTGGCCACCTCGTCACGCCCCCTCGAGCTCCTGGTGTGCCTTCAGACAGTACAGCACGATGGCGGCCAGACCGGAAGCATAGGCCGTAGCGTACGAGCTACCCCGGACGATTTCCCCAGATGAACTCAACAGGTTCTCGCCGGGGAGGAGAAAATCTAGCCTTGCGTGCAGGTTCTTGCGCGAGTTCTCCCCGTAGATGGTGGCGGCGCCGATCTTGATGACCTCGTCGATGCCCACGGGGGCAAACTGGTCCGTCTCTACCGTCACGCTCTTGTCCGGGAGAGAGCCGAAGATGGTGATCTCCCTGGAGTTGACGGCACATTTGATAAGGTTGACGAATTTTCCCTCGTCCGGGTCGTCGGCGCTGCCTCCACGTCATCTCTTGAACGTCCAGCTCATGGAGACGATGTCCACCCCCATGCGCAGAGCCCATTGGAAAGTCTCACACGCAATCTAAGCCACTTGCCCCGGCTCTCAGCCATAGGTGATTATGGGGGAGGATTCTTACCTGGTGACAGGAAGCAATGGTGAACTTCTGATTCTCGACAAGCCTCGAATCGTCCAGGCGGGCGATGTATAGCCTAGCCATTGGACAGACCTCTCGGATGCAGTGCGCCATGGCCGTACCGTGCTCGCAAGGCCCAACAAAGTATTCCTCCCTATCCGCGCGAAATGACCGGCCATATTGCTAGCCATGGAGATTGGTTAACTTGGCACTATCATCCAGCAGTGCGATCTTGATGGACGGCTTGTTGGTGAGACCGAGGTTTGTCGCGAACTCCTTGAACTTGCGGAGCTGCTCTATCCATCATTGGGACAGAGCCCGGGAAAAACCTTGAAGCCGGGCAGCAGTCTCTGGTGCACTGCTTCAGGCGCTCCTTGGCTACCTTTGCATTCAATCCTGATATCGTTCTGGCGGGACCGCCTCCTATTACCGCTGTAGCGGCCATGCTGGAGGTGGGCCAACGAGAGGACGGATTGTGCGAAGTCAAGATTCAGGCTTTGGCGAGGGGAGTGAAAGTCGGCCATCCAGTGGGGCAGCGAATATTCAGATCAAACCGAGATGCCAAGAAACAATCCCTCCATGGCCTTTATCAGTCCATTCTCTTTTCCACCTTCATATGCTGCACGAATCTGATCCCTCTCGTCTTTCCAGACGCTACCAAGACATTCTCGACGACGCCATACGAGCCGTTCATCGACGAGCCGTATTTTTGGCTTCCTGAGCTCCATAAGGACCTTCAAAAGCTCATCGTCGGGTCCGCAACGAACAGAGTCTGCCTTTGTTTCTTGATTGATGGCCTGGACGAGTTCGAGAATGACGTTGCGGGGCGCCATAGCTACGCCGATCTTGCCGAAGAACTTACCTTGTGGGCTCAAAACGACAACGTCAAACTCCTCGTCAGCTCGCGTCCGGAGCCGGAGTTCGCATCAATCGTGCCGGAGAGGCTGCGGATCCATCTCCACGATCTCACCAAACCTGATATTATGAAGGCCGGCCGGAGCCTGTTCGAGAAGCATCAAGATTTTGAGCAGATGAGATCTTACTACCTGAGACTGGTTGACCAAATTGTGGTCGAATCACGGGGGGTCTTCCTTTGGGCTTTTTTTCATGAATGTCGAGCTTTGCAACTTGGCGGCAGATGGGGAAGATGCCCAGAGCTTTCGGAAGCGTTTGGTCGAAAGCCCAAGTCTGGATCGTCTCTACCACGAGCTCCTGGCCTCGATCAGTCCGGTTCATCGCGATATGGTGTACAAGATGCTCTTCCTCGTCATGCGTCTTGACTGGAGCTGTTCGGATTTCGTCACGACATGGGTCCCGACCACGAGCACAATCAAGACGTACACGGAAGCGGAGTGCGACAAACGCCGCGAATTGGCCAAGTCTCGGGTCGCTCGGACGAAAGGCCTTCTGGAGATTACGGACTTATCTTACCACGGTTGGACAAATATTACCCGCGTCAATCTCTTTCACCGTACCGCCTACGAATTCTTCCAAGATAGCCAGCAAATGCGCGACCTGTCTGCCAGATTCCCAGATATGAGGCGTGCTTCACTGGAGGTCAAGGTCTACCTTGCGCAACTCTGGGTCCTGGACAACTCGAAATATCCTCCGACGCAAGCCTCTCCGAAAATACTAGGTAAAATCTTGAGTTCCTCCAAAGAATGGAAATATTTCACTGAAGAGAGGCACCGCTGGCTCGACTGTCTTCGAAAAGTCGCCCTCTACCACAATACGAAGGGACCACCTATATTCTGTGGGGTGTTGCTCACGTCTTTTTTGCTCGGAGAGATGGGGTTGTCAGAAATTGGCTATTCTCATCTACACTACATCGTCAACTTGATTGGCGACCTCGAATACGTACGGCGGGAACTAGATGGCATGCCGGGAACAATGCATGCAAATGGCGAGTTATCCCTCCTTCTCTCGGCTAGCACGGGTTGGTATGCAACTCCTTTGGTCGAATATCTCCTGGAGAGGGGGGTTTCTCCAAATGAGCAGGTCAAATTTCACGACACAAATCATACGGCATCAGTATGGCTTATATTCTGCACACTCTTCGCAATCCTCACGGTTCCCATATTAGGAGGACGGGGCTTACAAACAGATCTCCTCGGGTCGTATTGTCTCGTAATGGAGAAATTCCTCGCGACACATGCAGTCGACCTAAATGTGCTCGTCATCCTTGGAGAACGAGGATTATATGACGATTTCTCGGAAAGCGACGGCACTCATGCCATATCTCTGAAGGATTTGTTACAGCAAGTTGACCCTGATGAGCACGAGACCTGGGCTAAACTCATTGGCGAGTGTGAGAAGAGAAGAGACAGCAATGAAGGGCGAGTGTGGTCTTTCGCAGCTGCCGGAGCTATGATTGGAAGACTGGGCCAGACGATCAGCTATTTGTTGACCGAAAGAATATGGGGAAGCATGTGGGATAGAATCGCTTCCTTGTTGACACGAGGATTATGGACGAGCGTACATGACGCGTGGATCTGCTGGACAATATGGAAGTCGGAGCCGGTGAAGTCGTCTCATTCGGAAGCGTACATACCTTTCCGGATTGGTATGAAACCTTCATCATCACCAAGACCGGCCGACCGGCGACCAGAACACTAGGGATTCTATGTTCACTCTGTGGTACTTGGGGAGTTGAGAATCTTGGCATCTGACATTTGTGTGAGGCAATATTAAGGCGATCAACCCGCTATAAGGATATGACGAGAAGGCAGACATTTACTGGGAGCTAGGTTCTTGGTCTTCCATGCAAAAAATCCCTACTGTCCTGATATTCTCTTTGAAGAAGGCAAAGATGGCCTGTGTCATGTGAGAGCGTCGCCTGCAACCAAGCAGGACAACGAGGAGGTAAACTATGTCTGACCTTGGTTGAAACCAGTCTTACCATCGGGGCATGGGGCCTTATCTCCTAGTTCGTATAGAAACCGAGGCTTCCAACAAGCAAAGTACTTTTCAAGACGTTGCAGTCCGGAGGTTAGTTTGGCAATGGTCGGCCATTCCATCGAGCGAAGTGGCCCCTGAGGCCATTGGAAGCGGCCGGATCGTCAAAGGGAGAAAACCTGGACAGGCCAACACAGCATGCAAGACGCGCCTGACAAATCGAGCAATGCTGCAGTCGGCCAGATATGCTTCGAGGCCAGCTAGACAAGATGGTGTCGGAGTCTGTTTGTATCCACGAAGATTCAGCAGGTTGATCGGACCTCTGCTTTCATGCCGAAACAGAGTGGTTGCGTATATCGATTCCAGCCGTTCGGGGACGACTAGATCTCCCTCCGCGTCGAAGTCATGGACGTCAAGCGTAGGTCACGTTTCTAGTATCGTCAAATACCGGTCTAGCTGTAGTCGCTCGACTTGATCATTGAGCTCTGCGGGGATCAGAAGCGGCAAGAGCGGTGTAGCTTCCGCCAAAATTGGTCTCGCCTCCCGGACGAACAGACAACAAAATGATCAGTGGCTCCATTCCACTCTCCTGCCAGGTACTGGGCAGCAGTAATTGGCTTGCCCGGCGTACAGCGTCCAAGGATTTCTCCGTACTTTGTAATTTGGGACTGGAGTCGGGTCTTGGATGCCGGATTATCGACCTTTGACAACATCGAACAGGGCGGTACTCCAGCAAGTTCATATTTCGAAAGTCGTACCCTACCATCGGCCACGATGGTGGCGCCGTAAAGTTGAAGGTGAATTTTGGGGAGACGGACTTTGTCTGGGCCGATGCGAAGAAACTTGATGTCAAGGACCAAAGCCTTGGACGTCCAAAGCTACAGAGGACACAGACGGGGCGAACGAGGGCGGGAGCCGCGGAGGAAAGTAGCACGGAAACGAGACGATTAATAAATAATTAATAGACATCGCGCAAATGATCTGACGCAAAGAAAGGGGGTAGATGCCAATTATTCTTCTCTCATTGTTGGCGAATTGAATGATTAAGCGGTGCATCTCAAGCCCCGCCCTCGCTTTCTTGTGGGGAAATACGAAATCAGGCCTTCCCCCCCCCCCCCCCCCCCCCAACAACGTTGCTGTTTGTGAGATACTTCCCACTATGGGTTTTGATTTTACGTCGTACCTCTCATCGCTGTATCCCGGCGAGGAATACGAGATCCAGGTCCTACTCGGCGGTCTCGTGAACCACACCGTCCGGGCTCGGCGCACCGACACCGCCGACACCCCCGCCAAAAGCGGATCCGCAGATGGTCCGAAGACTGCCATCCTGAAATATGCGCCTCCGTATGTCGCATCCATCGGCGAGGACGCCCCCTTCTCGCAAGACCGGCAGGTGAGAATCCTCTTTCCCCTCCCCCCTCTTCTTAGCCAAGACCATTAACTCCACCACCCCAGTTGACCGAAGCATCAGCCCTGAGAATCCTCGGCGACGGATACCTCACATCCCGAGTGAAAGGCATCAAGATCCCCCGGGTGTTATCCCACGACCCAGTCCACTCAATCCTCATAATCGAAGACCTCGGCCCGCTCATCACCCTCTGGGACTTCCTCGAGTCCGCCACCAACCCCCGCACAGCAGCCACCGCCGCCCTCCTCGGCCACCGTGTCGGCGCCTTCTTCGCCGAACTACACCGCCCCTCGACTCTCGCACACATCCACCTCCACAGCCCGCCCTCCGACCTCGCCATCCTCGACCGCGCCCCCATAACCGCGCCCTTAGTCCGCTCCGCCGCCGTCGAGCCCATCCGCTTCCGGCTCCGCTCCCCCGGCGGCCTAACCGACGCCGCCGAGGCAGACGCCCTGTACGCGCGCGTCGTCGGCGACTTCGAGCGCGCCAACGCGCCCGCCGGCGAGTCGTGCCTCTCCATCGGCGACTGCCATCCGGGGGCGATCCTGGTGGATCCGGTTTTGTTGTTGTTGTCGGGCGGCGACGACGAGGGGGAGGTCCCGGACATGGGCGTCATCGACTGGGAGTTCTCGACGGCGCGGCGCGGGCGTGGCGCCAATGGCGACGCGGCGCAGTTCCTGGCGTCGGTGCACGCGCTGTGGTTGTCGCTTGCGCCTGGGTCGCCTGCCTGGAAGGCGACTGGGGCGTTTGGGCGGGCGATGTGCGAGGGGTATGCGGAGGGGGCAGGGTATGCGGGGAGGGATGTCCGGATGGATCCGGCGGTTGTGGGGATTTCTAGGTCGGCGCTGATATTGCATGGGAGGGAGCTGATTAACCAGGCTGTGGAGCGGCCGTGGGGGTCTCGGGGTAGGTCGGTTGCGGAGATGGTGAGAGAGGGGATTTGGTACCTGGAGCGGGCGGGGGATGGCGTGGATGAGATGCTGGAGCAGGGGAACTGGGATTTGCTGATGGGAGAGGAGTCCGGCTTCATGCTGCGGTTGTTTGGCTTGTATCGGGAGTCGAGGAGCTAAGTAGACAAGGGGAGCTACCCGCTGCCTGGCTGCGTCTCCAAGGCAGCGCCGGGCGGTACGAAGTATCACTGCCATCGTTCATGTAAAGAGTATATCCCATGGGGGTATATTGAAACATCCGGATCTACTACCCTCTCGAGTGAATAGCACATCGCACATCCATCTTCGAAATCGCGTCTCCACAGCTCGGTATCCCTTTCAGTCAAAACGAGGCCCCTGCGCTGTGTTAGAAGCGCACCCCAAGCTCAACTCGGCTTAGGTTGAAGCATACACAACTCTGGGCCTTGAGAAGTAGAGGAAATTGCTGAGGGTAAGAACTTGACCCGTAGGCACCCTGCCATACCGGTCATGACCTCGTTCAGCGGTCTTACAGACATGAGAACTGACCACGAAAGCCAAGGCTGGTCTGCGAGTCCACAGGAATTGTGGGGAGTTGGACTTTGCCCAGGCGCTGGCAGAAGATGGACTCGGCTTCGTGCTCAAGCTGATCAGCTCATCGCATCTGTTCATAAAAAAACTTGGCAGTTAGACCACGATTATGATCGGTTTTGGTGTACTTTTTTTTAACAGCCAACAGGAGAGGGGTATTAATCAGTTGCTGGTGTTTCGATTGCGAAGTTGAAACGATGTGAGTGATCACAATGCATGACAATCTGTCAAATCAGTTGCGTAGGCCAGGGCAAGTTGATCTGTCAATAGCATCCCAGTTGTAAAGAGTCAGAAATGGGCCTCGTTCGAGATTAAACTTGCTGCTTTTTGCATGCCGGGCTCCCCCTCACCAACTAGCCCCTGACCCCATACCAATTTGGGTCTAGGGACTTAAACACCAATTTACCCGCCGGAACTTCCTCGCTCTTGGGACAACATAGCCTATGGTAGACACACTAGTGTGAGGAGAAGTCTAAGCGGGGAAAGGAGCAAATATAAACACGGCGCGGTAGCAAATTCAAAACGACCACCAGAAGGTTGCTTTCCACGATCCGAGCCTCACTACCCAACCCAACCGCCGTCATGTCGCCCAACAAGATCCCGCCCAGACCTCCATTCGACTCACTGCCGCTGGACAAAGATGGGCCAGGGGGCAATGCCTGGGGACTCTACGGGCCAGACGACGAGCTCGGCGCCCTGAACATGCTGACGCCAGAGGTGGTGGCCTCAGCGGCATCCGAGATCAAGACGGGCGAGCGAGTGTCCCTGGACTGGCAACTGAACAAGCCCTCAAGGCCGAACTTTGGTCGAAAAAACTTTGAATGGGAGATGCGGAACATGAGCGGAGTCTCCGTGAATGATGATTTGCTGCACTTCAACACCCAGTCCAGCACGCAGTGGGATGGGTTCCGGCATTTCGGTGAGTCGCCATGGAATTGAACTTCAAGATGGGCTGCGATTACTGACAGCTCGGTAATTAAGGATACCAGGGCGCCAAGCGGTATTACGGTGGTCGCAGCCAGGAGGATCTTGAAAAGACGGGAGTCTTGGGCATTGACGGTAGGTGATGAAAACTAGACTGATTAGGCATTCCCGTTCCCGAGCTAACCCGTGCCCCTTAACCTCTCAGCGTGGGTTGAGAAAGGAGGCATTGTCGGCCGTGGGGTGCTCTTGGATTACGTCTCGTTCTGCCAGCGCCACTCGATCACCGTCGATCCCCTCACCAGCGCGCCAATCACCCTGGACCAAATCAAGCAACTCGTCCAGGAGCAGGCCGTCACCTTCAGGCCCGGCGACATCCTCTTCATACGCGGTGGCTTCACCCAAGCATATAATGCTCTTGACGAAGCCGGACAGGTCACCCTTGGACAACGCCCCACGTCAGAGTATCTTGGGGTAGAGTCGACGCCAGCGATGCTGCGATGGATATGGGACAACGGATTCGCTGCTGTTGCCGGCGATATGGTAACTTTCGAACAAGCACCAGTGGGGATATCATGGAGTGGCAAAGATGTGGACGAGGCTAAGAAAGACGGAGGGCTTCTGCACCAGGTCTTGCTGAGTGGGTGGGGAGTCCCTATCGGTGAGATGTTTGATCTGGATGCATTGAGCGAGACGTGTAGGCGACTTAACCGGTGGACTTTCTTCGTCTCCAGTGTGCCCTTAAAGGTCCCTGGCGGTGTTGCAAGTCCCCCAAATGCCGTGGCAATATTCTAAATATTTGAATAACAAAATACTGGACGGATGATACGGATTAGCTTTTGAAGAATTATTTACCCTGAAACTTGAAGAACTAAGCCCCTGAGTCCACGCATCTCCTGTCTTTACCAGCAGTACCTGCCCTTAACTCAGGATAGGGTCCGAAATATTGAGTTCAAAATTATATACAGTGTTCAAAGTCATTAAAAAGGTAATTAAATCGCATCGACTCGAAGCACACAGTCAAGGCCCCAACCCCCCCCCCTTCAACAGCTGCGCTATCTCGACATGCGGAAATGGACAGAAATGGCGAAGTGCCCAAGGACCCCAAGATCCCAACCTAGACACTTTGCTGGTTGTGGAAGATATCAAACGGGTCCACAGCCGCTTTAATCCTCCTCAACCTCTGCAAATTGGGCCCCCAGTAATCCATCCGCGCCCTGTCATTGTCCTCCCTCGGATCAACGTAGCCGGCATATTCTCCATAGACGGCGGTCGGCTTGCCGCTGGTGGCGACATTGTTGAGGCCGGCGAGGAAGTTCACCGTTGTCTGCGACACGGGGCCCCTGGTTTTTGCGTACGAGAGCATCCACCAGAGCTTGTCGCGGTGGGGAAACGCCGTGGCGCCGACTGCGACATCATTGATCGCGCCGGCTCCGACCTCAAAGTTGACGGCCCAGAGATCGGTGCCGTTCTCTGCTGTGGCCAGGTATTGGAACATCCTGTCGGCAGTCGCGTCGGCTATCAGCGTTTGCGGCGTGAAACCGAGTGATTTGGCGTAAAAGTACGACGGCGACGCGATACCGGAATCCTGAATTTGCTGGCCCCACGACTCAGACACCTGCAGCCAGTTTGTGGATACGGTCGCCTGGGAGACCTGCGGAGGTGGGAAAGAACCGATGAACCCGAGAGCATTGAAGGCCTTCTGTGGCCCAAAATATGCGCCAGCAATGATGATGGCGGAGGGGCTGACAGTCATGGTTGACGAGAACTCTCGCGGGAGGTTCGAACGGGCGATGAACTTCTGCCAGGACTTGAACACCTGCGCCCTTGTTTTCACGTCGCGTGCAGTCCACTCGTAGACATAGTTGACAAGTTCGGCCGGTGCAGGCTCCGTGCGGAAGACAAACTCGGTCACGATGCCGAAACTGGCCCCGGCGCCTCTCATGGCGAAGAAGAGGTCCGAATTTTTGGAACTGGACGCCCTCACAATGGTCCCGTTTGCGAGAACCACCTCCATCTCCTCGACGTGGTCGATAGTCAGCCCGTGGAGACGCGCAGACGGCCCCGCTCCGCCCACGGTTCCGTGCCCGCCGAGACCCACGCTCGGACATGTTCCGTGAGCAATGCTTCGCTTGCCGGAGTTGAACAGTTGCTCGGTGACTTGGCCGAGCTGCAGGCCGGGACCCATAGTGGCTCGATAGGTTTTGCTATCGATGGAAAAGTGCCCCATGTTTGAGAGGTTGATCGACACCTCGCCAGTGGATGATCCTAAAGGGAGGAGAAGCATATTGATCAGCAAGGACTGTTCTCTCGTCTCACTGGACGGGAGATTCCACACCATAGTTGCCGTAGCTGTGACCACCGCTCTTTGCCTGCACCCTATAACCGTGTCGCGCCGCGCATTGGACAACCCCGGCAACTTGCGCTGATGTCTGAGGAAATGTTACCACTGCAGGGAGAACTTGGTGATCCAAATTGTAGGGTTGCACAATATTCGGGTAGTAACCGGGTTGTGTGGGAAGGGCCAGGAGGCTGGGGTTTCCGCCCAGGGCGGATAAAAGACACTGCACGCTCGCCGCGTTACCCATCCTCCTTGGCAAGAGTTATATCGCAGCGTTGACGAAGAAACACTGACTTGAACCTCTGTCTCTCTATCTGCAGATCGTTATGCCTAGGCTGCCAAGAGAAGGGAGATGTCGGCTCCCTTTTGTATGAATGCGTGTAAACAAAACAATAACTCCGCAGTCCGAAGACTGGTAGTCTGGAAGTTGCTCATAAACAAAAAAAACTCCGGTCTGTTTACTTTTTTTTTTTTTTTTTTTTTTCACAATATTGGAATATTTGGAGCCACAATATGCAAGCATCCAAGCCTCGGCAAGCCTCATCGCCGAACTGCTGCGCCTTACGAGCTGAGATCGGCTCCGGAAAGACAACAATCCGAATCCGGGGTGATGATTCTGGTCGGTCCCATTTCCTCCATTCCAAAATTTCTCCTCGGCCTACGGCAACGAAGGCGTGATCGGCACCGTGTGGTTCTATTCTAAGGAACAGGAACCTAAATCTAGCCAGTGACTCTCTGGAATGTCGCCGTAAACTCTCCGGTCCACTTTGCCGCGCAAGTATGGGGGAGAAGCTCGTAGATCACCGAGGGATCTATCTTACTGCCCGGGTTCAGCAATTAACGAGCGATGAGTCGTCATTCTTGCTTGGCACTTCAGGGGCCAGGGGACGGGGGGATACGACTTAATAAAGCTCCATCCCTTCACAGTGGAATGGTGACACCGCTGATCCCATCAAGGTCATCAACTTCCCACGGCAAAGCAACCCTGACAATGACTCTCCTGACCGCTGCGATTCTCTCCCTTGCTTACGGAGCCTCGGCCTTTTCTGGGGCCGACATCAAGCTTTTGTTTGGACCGGGGCTGTCTCACGGTGCTCAGATATGGCTGCCATCTGACGCCAACTACACGGAAGAAGTCAAGCAGCGATGGGCGGTATATCAAGAGCCTTCATATCTCGGGGCTATCAAGCCAGCAACTGAGAGAGATGTCCAGACTATCGTGAGTAGAGCCCAGACCTAACCGCTCCAGGACGAAAGCTGAAAGCTGTCCACTAGATCCGTATTGCATCTGAGCATCAGATTCCCTTTATTCCCACCGGAGGCGGCCACGGAACCTCGGGTACTCTTGGTGGACTTCACGGCGGCATAGAGATTGACCTGAGTTTCTTCAATTCCGTCGATCTCGACGCAGAGAGAAACCGTCTCACCATCGGCGGCGCGGTTGTCTTTGGGCAAATCATTGACAAGCTATACGAGGCCGGGAAAGAGCTTCGTACGTGAGACAAGTCCTACTACTACCACTCCTAAACCCCGATTGAACCCCTAACTAACATGGAAGACCTGGTTCTCCCAATTAGCCACTGCTTCGGCCTCATGCGTTGGGGTCTTGGGCGCCACACTGGGCGCAGGACTGAGCACCCTCCAGGGCCTCCACGGCCCCTTGGTTGACTCTCTGGAATCTGTGCGGATCGTCACGGCATCGGGGGCGATCTTGACGGCTTCGGAGAGTGAGAACGCTGAGCTGTTCTGGGCTCTTCGCGGGGCCGGCCACAACTTCGGCATCGTCACATCCGCAACCTACAGGGTCTACGACGCCACCAATGGCGGCCAGGTGGTGAATGCGGATTTCCTGTTCCCGGCAAGCGCCAACCGGTCGGTGTGGGAGGTGCTTCGGTCCTACGATACCACCCTTCCGCCCCAGCTTGCAGTCACCATTGTTGTTGGTGCCAATGGAACGAGTAGAGAGGTGAGTCTGATCCCGCAACGAGAGGAATACATCCTGGCCAGTAAGTTTTCCCGTACTCATACAGGGTTTGCTGCAGGCTTTGGTGGTAGTGAATGCTGTTTTCTACGGGCCTATGGAACAGGCCCTCCTCCATCTCCAACCCATCATCGATATCGGCCCTGCTGTCCAGAACATCTCCATGGTTCCTTGGAACCGTGAGCTGGATGCTGCCTTCTTCAATGTCCAAAACGGTGCCTGCATCCGGCAGAGTCGTGTCAACATATACAGCCTCGGGATCAGGGAGACAGACGTGGCTACTTGGGAGTCTCACTTCAACGACCTAGCTGGATTCTACGTCCGTTATCCGGAATACCAGGGACGTCTCCTGGTGCAGCGTTACTCAAATCAGGCCGCTTTGGCAGTTCCGGACGACAGGACGGCATATGCATATCGCGACGCCACGATACAAATGTAGGTGATCAATTTCTTTTTCTCTGTTAATTCCCATCCTAACACTCTCTCTAGTAATCTGGAAGGGTGGTACACCGACCCCAGCCTTGACGCCGCAGTGAATCCCTTCCTGCAGTCCGCGCGGGACAAGTTCCAAGAGACAAGTGGCTATGCGGATCTCGCAGTCTACACGAATTATGCCCATGGCGACGAGGGACCAGAGGCGTGGTACTCCCGGAGGAAGCTTGGCCGGCTGGTGCTGTTGAAAAAGCTGTGGGACCCTCTGCAGATCTTCAGTTGGTACAACCCTATCTAGGCTCATTGAACTGTCAATACACTTGTCAACAGATTATGCCCAGCAGCTCGGGCTACATAGTATTGAGTAGAGCAAGGATGCATCCTGGAATAATACGGTCAAATAATGAAAACAGGATCAAGAAGAAATTACTTCCCACCGTCTCAAATTCTTGCCGTGATTACGGAGTTACTTGTCTAAAAAAAGAAAGAAAGTGATGTTTCCGCTTCCAAGAGAGGCATGCGTTGTCCCCTTCCGTTTCACGGGAAAAAGCATATGTCGGTGGCATCGATGTTACCAGGATCTAGGAGACTGGACGATCGGGACACTGACCGTGCTGCTGGGTTGCTGTGCATCGTAGGGCGGGCCAGAGACGGCTGAGGGACGGCTGCAGGGCGGCGGCAGGACGGAGTTCGGACAAACTTTGCATGAACGCATTCAGCGAATGAGATGCTATTGTCGGGCTCAGTTAGTGGTGTCTCGGGCCTGGTTCGGAGATGTGCTGATTTCCTGTTGACGACATCCCCCCCTGTTATACTGTACACCGAATCTCGACATCTCATTGCAGAAACTCCGGCATTGGTCCCTCCAAGACTTGATAATCCTCAGTTCGGCCCTTTGAAACCCCGGCAAATTGCATTGCGTCATCGGTCGAGGGATTGCTGCGCTGGGAACGGCTTTTGTCCTTTCTCAGGGGAGCTGTGTAGTCCGTAGTGGCCGGGGCGGAGTAAACACGTTTACCCTCGCAATAATAATTGCTTTTGCGATGATGCACCCCCCCCCCCCCCCCCCTCTCTCCCCACCCCGCCTTAAAGGATGCAAACGGAAAGCCGGATGCTTGGTGCATGAGGTACCATTGCGACGCGCTCTCGTCTTAAATCCCAAGCTGCCACTCTTATTCAGCTCTCTCGTCTTACCGACGATAAGCCCGACAGTGAAGCTGTGTCTCGACAACCGACAACATGGCCCAATCACTTCTTATCAGGGCTCTCCTCGTCTGTGCCTCCCTTCTGCCACACGCCACGGCGGCTCCCACCGTGGTTGACGGCAACGTCTCGTATGTGGGCACGCTGAGCGGCGGTGTCGAGTCCTTCCTCGGGATCAGGTATGGTCAGGACACTGGCGGCAGAAACCGCTTCACGCTGCCCAAACCGTACAACTACCCGCCCGGGACCGTTGTGAACGCCACAACCCCCGGCGCTGCCTGCCCCCAACAGACAGGCAACCCAACACCCAGTCTTATCGGCCTCTTCAGCAATGTTACCAACATCTCCGAGGACTGCCTCACAGTCAGGATTGAACGTCCGCTAAATATCAGCCCGCTCAAAAAGCTGCCCGTTGTCGTCTTCTTGTACGGCGGGGGCTACGCCATTGGCCAGACCTACGATGGAGCCTACTACCCTTCCGGTTTTGTCCGGGAGACGGCGCGGAAGGACCTGCCGACCATATATGTCGCCATAAAGTAAGTTGTCAACCGCGCAAAGCTGGCCACTGCTGGTGCCTCGATTGACCAATTGGCCAGTTACCGTGTTGGCATATTTGGTTTCGCCGACTCATCCGCTCTTCGGCACGAGGGAAACCTGAACCTCGGACTGGAGGACCAGTTCTTGGGTCTTCAGTGGGTGCAAGACCATATCTCCGCGTTCGGCGGCGACAGGGACGATGTCACTCTCTTTGGCGAGGATGTTGGGGCAGCATCGGCCGTCTTTCAGCTGACCGCCTTTGGGGGTAACGCGAAGCGCACCTTCAAGAGGGTAATCCTGGGTTCCGGACCAACCCCAGCGGGCGACCAAATTACCCGCGGCCTCACCTTGAACCACACTGCTGAAGTTACCAAGAGACTCGACTGTGCTTCCCCCGATGGTGACTCGGCTGCCGAGCTGAACTGCTTGCGTGGCTTGTCCTTGACAACTCTCGTGGATGCTGCAGTTAAGTTCTCGTTCGAATACGAAGCCATTGCCGGCCTGGGGACCTTCAGGCCCACGGCGCCTTCGACCTTCATCCCGGATGTGCCTTCGAAGCTGCTCCGGGAGGGTTGCTTCCTCAAAAACATCGATGTCCTGATTGGTTGGACAGAGGACGACGGAACCCAGTTTGTGACCCCGGAGATCAGCAGCGACACCCTGTTCAATAGCTGGGCTGCCGAGCAGTGGCCCAGCCTGACGGAAGCCAACCTCAACAAGCTCATATCCCTCTACCCATCCAGCGAATTTTCAGATCTCACCGCCGAGGGCATCGAGAAGAACTATTTTCGTGCCGCGCGTGTCTCGCGCGACGCCCACTTCGCGTGCCCATCCCTCCTCATCCTCGAGGCATTCCAGGTGCTATCCCCGGGCTCCATCGTCTACGCCTACGTCCTGAACCAGACCGTCTTCCGCGTAGGCCACGCGGCTGCCAACAGGAGCTTCGTCGGCAACGACCACTTCAGCGACATCAGCTACGTCTTCGACTACGTCGACCAACCGCCGTACTCGTCGATCGCCGACCAGAGCGACTACGATCTCGCCAGCTTGATGAGCGGCAGTTGGGCGTCCTTTGCGCACTTTAGCCGGCCGATCATCCCCGGCGTGACATTGGAAGATAGCATCGCCAGGAACCTGACAGTTGCGCCGTGGGATGCGGTACATAGCCACGGTATCGGGGATGTGGTTGTTCGCGTCATCGGGGGGCCGGGGGACGAGCTGGCCGTGATACCGAAGAGCGGGCACGGCCCGGCGGGCGGACTGCCGCCGTATGACGAGGACTTGGCCACGCGATGCGCGTTTTGGAACAGCCGGGATGTTCTGGAGCAGACTTTCAATTGAAGATTTGCGGAATCGGGTTCTTTTGACATATTTGAGGATTGTTTGAGCCTCTTGGTTTGGAATAAACTGTTTCCAAAACCTGAGGGTAGATAGAAAACAACCCAGCACCGAGGCCAGAGACATGCTATTAGACCCTAATTTCTAAACTCTAATTAGACAATTATACACCAATTGATAATAGTATCATGCTCAATGCAAGCATTGCCTCTAATGACGTTTTACTACAAGGTCTTAACATCTAATACGTAGGCATTAATATCATGGTGGTTGGTCCTCTGTACATGTATGATTGGAGTGACTCCCATTACGCCCGCAAGACTTGACAAGAAAGACACACTTGCCCACGTCTCTAAAGCTTTCACCAAATCTACAGCTGAACTACTTACCAGGCAGAAACTCCACCGTCGTCAAGTACAACATTCTCCTCGTGAATTTGCGATATCAGCTGTTCATCAGCTGGGAATTTTTGTCCCAAAAGATGTCGTGACTTTGTGCGCGTACCCCAAGAGGACACAGAGAACTTGGCATCAAACTGCGAATAGCGTCTCCCAAAGAGTAGCACTTCGTTCGAATGGATAGAGAATATATTCCAGCACATTATAGACAGTTAGGGATGATTGAAATCAGGTAGTCCAATCAACTGGTCATAAGCGAGGTGGTGTAATTAGAACACAGATAAACCAAAGCCGGGCACTACACGAGAACTCCCGTTTCCTTCGCAACAGCCAATATCTGCTCCACAACCGGCAACACATCCTTCGTCTTAATCGGCAGCCTATGTTCGCCATCCCACTCCACCAACCTCGCGCTCCCCCTCTCACAGCACAGCCGCAGCAACTCCACATGCATCTCCAGCCCCGGATCCCTCATCCCATGCACATGAATCGTCGGCACCCGCAACAACGGAGTCGCCGCCCCGCCACCATCACCGCCGCCGCCGCCATCTTTCCACTCCTCCCCGCTGCCAGGCGGCCACGCCACAACCCCGGGCTCCAGGGCGATCAGCGGCGCCCGCCCGGCCATCAGCACCCCGAACCGGAACGACTCCCCCTTGGCAGCCCGCCGCTGCAGCATCAACAACAAACTGGCAGCGAGCTTCGCGCCCTGGCTAAACCCCAGCAGCGCAACCCACTCCCCCGTGCCCCCCACCGCATCATCCCCCTCCATCGCCGCCACCAGCGCGCGTCCCACGGCCTCCTGCGCGTCGGCGTCTGCGTCGCTGGACCCTGGGACGCGGACCCACTGGCGGAAGGGGCCCCAGTCACGGTAGACGGAGAGGACGTCCGGGCCGGGGCGGGACGGGAAGGGGGCCTCTGCGAAGACGAGGCGGAAGTGGTGCGGCCGCAGGTGGGCGGACAGGGCGCGGCACTGGGTGCGGAAGATGCGGGCATTGGTGCCGCCGCCGTGGAGGCAGAGGATGCGGGGGTGGTGGAGGGTTGGGTCTGGCGATGGGGTGGGGGGGAGGGTTCGCGGTTGGGGGTCCATGTTGGGGGGGGGGGGTGGGAAGAAGAAAGAAGGATGTCTTGGGCTGGGGGTGGGAGATCGGTTGCTGCCGCTGGGTGATCTGGCCGAAAGGCGGTTTGCGGTTGTGTTGATGCCTGGTCGATGATCACTACGGTGTGCAGGGATGGAGAAAACCTGTCATTGGCAGTGTTTGAGTGCCAATTGTAGGTCAGACTGGATTGAGGAGTCGGTGATGAGTGATGACAGTGATGACGGTGATGACCAGGCAACGAGGCGAGCGGGTGATTGGGCCAAAGGTAGCAATGCTGTAGGAAGGAGGGATTGTCGTAGAGTAAGACAGCGACGGGGCGCTAGCTTTTTCCTAGTGTGCTGTCCAGTATGCGCTAGTTCGATCGACATGGGTCGAGCAGTCCAGTCACCTTTCCCCAGTGCCAGCCTAAAAGAAAACGGGGCTTTTAAATGTGTGCCTCGGTGGCCTCAAGTGGTGTTATCAGACGGCTCCCCCATTCGTCGGGTAATGGTCCAAATGGTCGGAAGGTTTCGGAAAAGTCGACAATCCTGATACCTGGTCTTTGCGGAATACGCGAACCGTGGGGGTTGCATTGGGGCGGAATGCAGCTCCGAGGAAGGCCCATGCCTGAGGTGGTGGTGGTCAGCATCCACTAACCATACACGCAATCCCATTGGCGAAATCAAAATGTAAGCCTAATATGGGATTGAGGCAAGCCATCGGATGGCTTTCAGCTGGGACTGGCCTTACTGAGGCGCTCGTGCTGTGAAACCCACAAAGCAGAGGTAAGAATGTCCACATACGCATATTGGATGGTATACGTCGTGCTCTTCCCTGTCCTCGGTAAATGGTGGCCGAGTGGCGCCTGTATGGACCGACCTGGTGCAACTCGGGAGGCGCATACGGGATGCACTCTCTCTAACCCAGTAGGAGGTGCCACGGTCTCACTCCTCTCACTCTCCCGTCGACTTGCTGTCTCACCACCCATCTCTCTAGGGCTCTCCCATCCCTCTGTTTATGGAGCGTGGGTTTCCCATACCAAGACCAATACGGCGATTGCTGCACATCGCTCTGGTAATGAGTATTGATCGATCGATCCGTCGCCAAGCCTTGTTCAAATCTTAATTATGTCGTCGCTGGTCGATCTGTCTTAACATGGATGGCCCCGAATCCACCTCTCTGCTCTATCCGGGAACATGGGCCTGGTTATTTGATCCCCTCCCGGGCGATCCATCCATGTTTCTTCTTTCCTCCCGAAGCTTAATTCGACCGTCTCGGGCAGGGGTAACCGTGCCAAGAACTAAGATCGACTCAGGGGTTGGACCCTGCACCCTCTAAACCCCTTTAGAGCTAGGCCTCGGGTTGGGCAGCCGTTGATAAGGCTTAGCCTCAGAACCAGATCAGTCCTCGAATGCGCTATCAGCGGAGGGTACCGGACCCGCGGGCATATCATGCCGGAAGGGGAACCATGCTTGCATGACTATCGTTCCACTCCCTTCGATCCGTGCCGCCGTGGCTTGGGGTTAAACCCATTTGAGAGTGGGCGGCATCATCATTGCTATACGTGTAGGACCGAGAGTAGACAGCAGTGAGGCTAGTGCGAGTGCAATGCAGATCGGACAGGGTACACATGTCATGAATTCCGCAGGCACACCGCATCGCATCGCATGGCATCGGCGGGGGAGAGACACATCGAAACCCAAGAGAGAGTATCGAGGGCTCGCCAAGTGTAATGTGTTATTTGTCTATAGCAAAAAAATAAAATAAAAGAAAGCCAAGCATGCATTAATTAATTACCACCTCACGACAGCGGAGACATCTCCGCAAATGCGCCTGACTCCAAAATATGCAAGTGGTAACTGGCAAGACTGTTGAGGCTCTGCATGTTCCGCAGAACCTCAAGCAAGCCCTCAATCGCAGCATCAGTCGACCCGCCCTGGGGCCAATTGGGGCCGGTATTGTGAGTGTTGCGGTGTGCGATAAGGCGCTCCAGGCCGAGGAATATGGCAACTGGGAGGAAGATATGGGCCTTTTTTCGGCGGTTAGTGGGGGAAAGAAAAAAAATAGAACGGAAAAAAAAAAAAAAGGCCCAAACAGGGGATCACCCGAAGCTAGTGTCGGACGGACGGACGGGAGAGATGGATCGGCATACCTTGAAATACCCGACCCCTTCGTAGTCCCGTACCAGGCGGGCAATCTCGCGGCCGGCCCAGATGGCCCGTTCCTGGTAGTTGATGACTGCATCACGGTACTCGTCGGTTTCCCAGGCCAGGGACTCGAGAATCTTGCAGAGGTAGATCACCGTCGCCTGCGAGACCATGAGGGTGAAGAGCAGCATGGGATCGCCGCCGCCCGATGCGGCGCTATACCTGAGCGACAGGCTTTCGGTCCTTTTGGTCAGCGTGGCGTCAAGCCACTCATGTCGCTGCCAGAAGTCCAGTGGCTCGTTTCCGTAGATGCGCTCGATCGTCGACACTTGGCTGTGAGACAGCGCACGCCCGCAGATTGTCACCAGGATGACGCACTCTGCAAGGGGCGAGAACTGCTCCGTGTTGTCCGACGTGATGGCTTCCGACAGGAAGCACACCTGCGTCGGCTGACCCCTCTGGAAATCGGCCTCTGCCGATGGTAGGCGCGTACAGATCTGGTTGAACAGCTGTGTTAGACTCGGCACCGTATTTTTATTTGTAATGTGTGATTTTTTTTTTTTGCTCTGTGGCAAATTGGAGTCCCCTCCAAAACTCACCACCTCCTCGTGCAGTGTCAGCGGCCACTCATTCCGTACGCTGATGAAGCGGTCGAGGCAATAAGCAACCCAGAAGATCCTCCTCTTGACCTCGAGCGTGATCCAGTCCTGGCCCGAGATTGCCGCCCCTCCGTTGGGGCTGTCGATGTCGTGCAGTCTCAGCAGCTGTATGAGGCGGAATGTCCGGCCGGCGCTGATCCAGCCGCGGCGGTAGTTTGTCCGCAGGAACTCGTAGAAGGTGATGAGCAGCCAGGCCTGGGCCTGCTCGACGTAAGCGATGCCCATGCCCTGCTCGCGCAGGTCCTGGGCTTCGAGCATGTGCCTCGTCTCCGTGTAGAGCATCTCCCTCATGTGCTCGAACTGCGTCGACATGGCCATGGCCAGCGTCCACATGGCGTATTGCAGGCACGTGTAGTGCTCTTCCGTGCTTGGCTGCCTGCACCATGCAAAGTACCGCCCCTGGTGGAGGATCGGGAGGATTGGCTGCACGCGGTCGAAGTAGAGTTGGTCACTGTTGGCCAAAATAAATCATCAGCTAAAGGCACCCATGGTAGCAGCTCGGGCGGATCATCCCGCAGCAACCGGGGCCCCTCCCCCCTCCCCGGGATACCACTTACAGGTCAGCGCGCATCAGCTCCGGGATGAAGTTCACGGTGCTTGTCGGGCTTATTTCCGGCTTCGGTGTCGGCTCTTCGGAAAACTGAGAGAAATCGGGAAGCCCGCAGTCGTAGGCTGACGGAGGTTCGTTGAGCATGGAGAAGGACAGCTCCTCGTCCGAGACTGAATTCCCGCGGGTTGGCCCATCTTCGGAGAGGTCGACGGTGGACGTATCTCCGCTGCTGGGCAGGGGACTTTGCTGGTCCATCAGACAGCGCTCAAGTGCAACTGCAAGACGCACGTCAGCTCCCGGTGAGCACAGAACACAGCGTATGTATGCATCGACCATCATGCTGGATGGTCACGCCAATTCTTTTGGGATGCGGGCAGGGGAGGAGGAGGAGGGGTGCTTATCTACCAATCCGGCTCCGGAGAGCTTTGAGGTCTCCCTTCTTGGGACCCCGTGGTTGGCGATGAGGGTTGACCTCGCAGGTGATTCCGGCCTCGACACACGTCGCACACCGCGGCACCTGCCTGTCGCACCGTAGCTTCCTCTTGCGGCACTCCTCGCAGGCAGATCCGGGCTGCTGTCGCGACCGGCCGGACATGGTTGGGAGCGTTGGGCCCTTTCTTTTTCTCCTCTTGACTGTGCCACTGCTGTCGTCAACGATCTGGTATTCAGGACTCAGCCAAGACAGCATCGAGTCACTAGTATTACAGTAGTTAGTCCTGCCAAGGACACTTTGAGACGTATATATATCGAACACCACAGGTCTGTGACTTGTGCTTGCGTGCTTGTGTGACGATGAACAACGTACCTGGTCTACAATCAAGCCTCAGCCAGGCAAAAAACAAGGTTTTAGCAACCCGGTAATACGTCCTCGCCAAGAGCTCGGCGGCCTTTCAGATCGACAGGGCAGTGGAGGTATGGGAAGGGAGAATGACGGACTACTGATTATGCACCTTATCAGAAGCAAACAACCTTGCAGCAGGTGGAAATGGCTCTGTGAAACTGTCTCGGGAGGACAAGGCTTGGACACGGGAGGCGCAGAGAGAGGGTGGGATGGGACGGGTGAGATATGGATCCCATGTTCTGCAACCGTACGATCGACTGCATACGCAGCAGTAGTTTGCTACACAAGATTTACCGCGTCCTGCATTCGAGCCTCAGCTGTCATCTTGAGACGGCACCTTGGAAATCTTGCCCTATCTAGGCGTGCTAGGCACGCTGATGAGACTGGGATTCACATGTACCGCCCCGGTACTTTATTTCGCCCTGGTGGCAGCAACCGATTAAAGGGCCTTGTAGCCGTGTTCCATACTTGAGCTGCACAGATCTACCTAGTTCATTTCCCAGCCCATGTGTCTCAGCTCTGTTGAACCTCACTAACCTCTGCTCGTAATTATATCCCGTCTAATTATCTAATTAGCACTGCTTACACTGTCCCCTCACCGAGGTGGCTGCTCTTAGACGTGACCAGAGTGGCAAGAGCCGTGAGGGACTCGCTCTGCACGATATCGAAGATGGAGATCTCCGCCCCAGCTCTCAGTGCCAGCATGTTGCGCAGCTCGACGGCGACCAGCGAATCGACGCCGAAATCAGCGGGCGACTTGGATGGCACGACCTCGTCCTCGGCGATCATGAAGATATCCATCAGCTTCTTGGATATCCCCTGGAGCACCACGTCCACCGCCTCTTCCAGCGTCGCCGCCGCGGCGATCTTGGCCCCAAGATCGGCCGAGCTAGACTTACCCGCGCTAGCTCCCGCCCCCGCACCGCTGCCCTGCGCAGCCTGACGGTACCTCAGGCTCGCGAAGCGCAGATCCCGCGCCATCGGGGAGTCCTCCCAGTGTGGGCCGGGGCCCGTGTTGAGGCCGAACAGCAGCTGCGTCGAGCGAGGCGACGCGATGGCCTGCTCGATGGCCGCCAGCACATCGTCCTCGCTGAGCGCCATGTGGCCCTGCTTTTTCATGCGCTCTGCCGCCCCGTCGTTCTGCGACACGTAGCCCACCGACTTGACCATTCCGAGGTCGATCGCCACCGCGGGCAGGCCCTGCGTCGTGCGGTACCTGGCGAGGGCGTCCTGGAAGGTGCCGCCCGCCGAGTAGTTGCTTTGGCTGGTGTATCCGACGATTCCGGCAAGCGAGGAGAGCATGACGAAGAAGTCGAGATCTTGGGGACCCTGGCCTAGCTGGCGGTGGAGGTTCCAGCTGCCATACACCTTGGGCCCGATCGCCGTGAGGTAGTCGTCAAGGGTCATTTGCTCTAGGATGGAGTCCTGCACGACACAGTTAGCGATGGTATCCTTTACCGCTTAATGAAGTTGGCTCTTGTAGTCTTGTACACATACCTGGAGTACCATTGCAGCCTGGATGACGCCCCTAATGGGCGGCATGTCACCCGCGCAGGCCGCAAGCGAGTCGTGGAGGTTGGACTCGTCAGCAATGTTGCAGCCAATCGCCCGGACCTTGCATCCGAGCCTGTCCATCTCGGCGAAGAATGACCCGGCGGTCTCCCGTGCCGCCGACGCGCTTCGGGACAGGACGATCAGGTTCTTCGCCCCGTGGTCGGCCATCCAGTAGCACACGGATCGCCCGATGCCGCCGAGACCGCCCACGATGAGGTAGGACGCGTCGGGGCGGAGTCTTGCTGAGAGATTGCGTGGCAGTGTCTGTTAATTATCTCGGAATTAGTGACCAGTGTAAATCAATCAATTCATGTGGCACCGCAGTGTGGGTGGCCAAAGCGGTAGAAACTTACCGGCACTTGATCCTCGGGCTTGACCGAGATGACAATCTTGCCCATGTGTTTGCCGGCCTGCATGAGCCGGAAGCCCTTCTCAATGTCCGACAGAGGGTAAACAGTAACCGGCTCGACGGGGCTAATGGCCTTCTCCCCGACGAGGCGCATGGTGTCTTTCAATACGCGGTTGAGTTCGCCGCCCTTGAGCCTCCCGAGCGCGAGCAAGTCGATCGACGAGAAGGAGACGGCGCGAGTAAACGCGCCCATCTCGAGGCTGCTGTTCTGCTCGAGGTCGCGCTTGCCAATCTCGACGAACCGCCCGAAGGGAGCGATGCAGTTGAAGCTCTCCTGGAGGAGCACGCCGGCCAGGGAGTTCAGCACCACGTCGACACCCCGCCCGTTGGTCATGGCGAGCACATCGGCAACGAAAGAAGTGTTACGGCTGGAGAAGACGTGGTCTGCCGGGATGCCGTATCTGCTCATGACAAACTCCCTCTTCTCATCCGTCCCCACCGTGACAAACACCTCTGCGCCGACATGTTTCGCCAGCATGATTGCCGCCTGCCCAACACCACCCGTCGCGGCGTGGATCAGCACCGTCTCCCCGGCCTGCAGCCTAGCGGTGTCGTAGAGGGAGTAGTAGGCCGTAGCATAGACCATAGGCAGGGACGCCGCAATCTCGAAGCCGACATCGTCGGGGATGTGCACGGCGCCCGTCCAGTGCAGGCGGACGAGGGTCGCGTAGTGGCCCCGCAGCGCGGCAGCCACGCGGTCGCCGACTGCGAATCCGCGCGACGCGGCGCCGGGCCCGACGCGCGTGACGACGCCCGAGCACTCGAAGCCCATGGTGCGCTCGTTCAGCTGGCCCATCGCCACCATGACGTCGCGGAAGTTGAGGCCGAAGGCCCGCGGCTCGACTTCGAGGAAGTCTGGGTGGAGATCCTGTGCCGCGTCGGGGTCGTCGCTGAAGGCGAGTGTGTCCAGGAGACCGGGCGAGCCAATGTCCATGCGGAGCGGGCGATCCTTCTGGTGGAAGGGCTCGAGCTGGGAGTCGGCGTGGGTGACCTCTTCGTTGGAGATTGCCTTGTTCCGGGCGACATCTTTGTAGAGTCTGGGGATATGCACGACATCGTCGCGAAGAGCAAACTCGAAGTCTGCATGGTGGACGTCGGTGGAGTAGTCGAACACCTTTCTGAAGATATCGAGGACGCCCGCGGCAGACTGGCTGGACCACGGGTCCTGCTTCGGGTCGAGATCCAGAGACACCAGCCGCTTGCCGCTATATTCCATCCTCAGGGAGCGGAGGAAGCCCACGCTGAGGCTGGAGTTGGGGTCTTCGCAGTCCACGGCACCGCCTCGCGTGACCCACAGCAGGCCCTTGGATTGCGTGCAGAGGGCTTTGATGGCGGCAAACTGTGCCGCATCTGGGTTCTCAAGTATGGGTTGTTCAACCTCGCCCACGAAGATGCACAGTCTTCCGTCGGCTTTGACTTGCTCGAGCGGCTCGACCGTGGGCACGACGCCTGTAAGCACGGTAATCGAGATTCTGAGCTCGTCCAGCCAAGCAGCGGGAGGAGGCGTGTTCCCAGTGACCAGGACAACGTCGGTGAAGTAGTTCGGGGTGCTCGGTCTGGCGGTCGACATAATGACGCTGAACGAGTACAGCTCCTCGCTTTCGCAGTCGTGGACTTCCATCTCGACACCGGTAAACCCTGTCGTTTGCAGGACTCGGTCCCACATGTTGATCGACAGCGAAGGACTGAACTTTCGCTCCTCCTCCTCGCCTGCACGGTGTTAGAAAGGCATCAACAGAGAGAACCGAGCAAGAGAACTGAACAAGAGAATTGAACAAGGAAATTTGTACTTACTTAGCCACCACCCAGGAAGCAAACCAAATACAAACTGCAGATCCAGCTGATCCTGCGTGGTTTCCGTGATAAACAGCTTCCCACCAGGCTTCAACAAGCTGCGCACATTCGACATTGTGTGATCCATGGACTTCGTGGCGTGCAAGACCTGGCAGGCAATGATCAAGTCATACGACCCGGTCTCGAATCCCTGCTTGACAGGGTCCTGCTCGATATCAAGCTTCTTGTATCTCATCAACCCCTCCCAATCCTTGAACTTCTCCTTCGCAGCCTCGAAGAAGCCCGACGAGATGTCGGTGAAGTGGTACTGCTCAGCCAGCGGGCCGTATCCCGAGTCATCCTTGCCCAGCGCGTTCAGGATATACGTCGTAGTTCCGCCGGTGCCAGCGCCGATCTCGAGGATCCTAGCCCGCGGGTTCTTGTGCGCGAACCGCCCGACCAGATCGCCCATCTGCTGGCTCGACCGGTCCCACTTGAGCGCCTTGACGTAGTACTTGTACAACAGCTTGTCCTCGAGCATCAGCTCCAGCGGCGTCGTCTCGCGCCTCAGCATCTTGACGATGTGCGGGCCCAGGCGGCACACCATCTCGCCGTTGACGCTCTCGGCGGCGGCCTTGGCGATGAGGGCGGCCTTGTACTCGGCACCGTCGCGGATCCAGGCCGAGCTGTGTGGAGCCAGCTGGTCGCGGCTGGCCAGCTCGGTCTGGAGCTTCATCCAGACGTAGAACTTCTTGTGGTGCCACTCGAGCCCGGCCACGTCGGAAGCCGTCAGCGAGGCGAGCGCGTCATTGATGAAGTAGCAGCACACGCGCCTCAGGTCCATGATGGTCTCTGCCTCGGACGGGTCGATGCCGTAGCCGAGCTCCTTCTTCAGGAACGCGGGCTTCGCGAACGAGATGTCGGGCGCCCACTTGACGGTGCTAAACTTCTCGCCCTCGTGCGGGTCTTGGTCCTGGTTCAGCACGTTGCCGATGGACTGGCACACGAACCCGTCGAGGACCAGGACGGGTTCGCTCTCGCCGACTCCCGCCGCATCGCTGACGACCGCGATCTCGGCCTGGAAGCTCTGCGAATCCTGCCGGCTGATGTCCGAGTATGCGCGCAGGGAATGGCCGGCCTGGCTGCTGATGCTGTGCGACACCCACAGTTTCTTGATGGTCCGCGGGATCCTGGGGTTGGTCTGCCTCGACGCAGCACCCGGGAGAGCCGTGTATGCCGCCTGGAAGACCGAGTCGAGCGTCGTCGGGTGGAGCACGTGCTCGTGCTGGTGGTTATGCGGCATCACCGAGGCCGTGTCGGCGACCTCGAAGGTGGAAACAGATTGCTGCTGGCCGGCCCGGATGCTCTTCAGGTTCTGGAAGATGGGCCCGTGGTAGATCCCCACGGCGCGCATGCCCCCGTAGATGTCTCGCGGGTCGATCCGCCTTCTGTAGTCGGCATCTCCTCTGGCCTTTGCTGAGGGGACACTCGGCTTGGCGTGGTCGGCACCCGCGGCCACCAGATCGACTGAAATGAGGCCTTTGCAGTGCTCGGTCCACTGGTTATCTCCGTTGACCGAGTAGACGTGGAACTCTTTCCAGCCCTTGGCATAGATGGCCTTGTCATTGCATGGCCGGAGCAATGTTTGCACCTCAACTCCCTCTGCGGTGTCGGGGACGATCAGGGCCTGTCGAATATCCACATCACGAAGATTGTAGCCCAGTATCCGCTTATCGGTTGCCTTGGAGGATTGGAGCGCTGCCTCTATCGCTAGGCTGATGAATCCCGCGCCGGGATACACAATGTTTCCCTGGACGATGTGGTCTCGGACCCACGGGAGCTCCGACGGGCGTATCACATGTCTCCACGAGGGCTCCAGGTTGTTGGTCCCCAGAACGAGAGACCCGAGGAGATCATGGGGCTCTTCGTTCCGCTGCCTGTGAGCCTTGTTGAAACGAGGTTCCGACCAGTGCCTCATCTGGTGGTTCCAGGGGTAAGGGGGCAGGTCAGGCAACACTCTGACTCCGTGCCTCCCAAGGGGGAAGTTGATGGAGCTCATGTTGATAGGGTATCCCTTCCGCAGCAGGTCGCACGCCAAGGCATGCATCGTATCCAGAGCGCTGCTCTTCCTCACCAGACACGTGTTGTACGAGATCTTGCTGCCGCTGAACTCTGGCAGTCCTAAGATCTCCGTGATTGGCCCAGAAAGGGCGCCGTGAGGCCCAACTTCAACAATCACGTCGACATCCGGTTGGGTGGTGGCCGAAGGGTCGCCGAAGCACATATTGCGGAATGCATCCACGAATTGGACTGGCTGGGTCATGCTCCTTACCCAGTGCATTGGGCTCCCAATCTCCTCGGCCGACAACATCCTCGTCCCAGTAGTTGGAGATGAGTAGATGACGTCCTCGAGTACGCCATCTGGCTTGACAAGTTTCTCAAGCCAGGCCTGGTATGGGTCGGCAATGGGCTGCATGTGGTGCGAGTGGTATGCAGCATCGACCTTGAGGCGCCTTGCAAAGACCTTGTCTTCCTTGAGCATCTCCTCCAGCTCCGCAATCGCCGGGAGATCGCCAGACACGGTGATGCTGGTGGGACTGTTCATGCACGCCGACATGACTGTGCCGGAAGTCACGCGGGCGAAGTAGGGTTCCAAGCCTTCCTTGCTCAGCCCGACGGCTACCATGCCACCTTTGCTCGTGATGTAGCGGCCAACATCCGCGGCCAGTTCGCCGCGAGCAAAGACGATCGCCATGGCGGCCTTGAGGCTCAGGGCTCCCGCCGTGTACGCTGCCGCAATCTCGCCGCTGGAGTGGCTCGTGACGGCGGTCGGCTCTATTCCCCAGGAGCGGAGGAGTTCGACCAGGGAGATCTGGAGGGCGACGCAGAGAGGCATGCTCATCGTCACCTGGTTCACCTTGCTGGTGCTCTCGTCTCGCATAAGCTCCTCTGGGTTTGAGTTGTCAGTCACGCACATCCTACTATACTAATCAAGACAGGAGCGGAAGAGGTTTACCTATCAGCGACCACGTCGCTCCGAGCTCCTTCAAGTGGTACTCAATCTCCATAAGAGATGTCTTGAAGATGGGATACGCCTCGATCAATTCCCGACCCATAGCGTGCCACTGCGCTCCTTGTCCGGTGAAGACAAACCCGAGCCTGGGCCGCTCGCCTGTCCGAGCAGGCTTCATCTTGCCAGCGTCAATCGCGTTGACCAATCCCGATATGCTCTGGGCCGAATGGGCCGCAACCCATGGGAAGACGGTGCGCCGCTGGCCGAGGGTGTAGGCCAGGCTGTCCAAGAATCTCTCCTCGTCTTCGACCTTGGTCTCGAGGAGGTAGTCCTTCAAGTTGGACGCCATAACCTGAGCAGCTTGCTCGTCTTTTGCGCTCAGCATGATCAGCTTGGAGCCAACCTTCCCGGGGCGATTGTGTGTCCCGTTCGACCCCCCGTTCGACATGCCGTTGGAAGCCCCATGATGAGCGGCGGAACCGGGGGCGACGTAGTCTTCCATGATGATATGGGCATTTGCACCACCGTAGCCGAAATTGTTGACCGACGCTCGCCGCAAGCCTGTCGATGTTGGCCAGGGCTCGAGCTGCAATGGAACCTTGAGCTTCCACTCCTCGAGATTGAGCTTCTCGTTCGGCTTCTCAAAGTTGATGCTGGGAGGCACCTGCCCTTTTTCCAGAGCGAGAGCGACTTTGATGATGCTTGCCAGCCCACTCGTCGGTTCGGTGTGGCCAATGTTGGTCTTGATTGACCCGATCCTGAGAGGCGCATCCGCAGGCCTGTTCTTCTCAAAGACGGAAGCGATGGCCTTGACCTCAATGGGGTCACCAGTAAACGTCCCCGTCCCGTGGGCCTCGAAGTATGCCGTCTGCAGCGGATCAAGGCCGGCTTTCCTGTAACACTCGCGGATGAGCTCCTCCTGAGCCTCCTGGCTAGGCGAGGTGATGGTTTCCGTCTTGCCATCTTGGTTCACGCCGCTTTCGCGAACGACAGCTCGGATGGGGTCGCCATCGCGGATTGCATCGTCCAGGCGCTTGAATATGACAGTAGCCACTCCTTCGCCTCGGCCATATCCGTTAGCACGGCTGTCGAAGGTGTACGACTTTCCGTCGGGCGAAAGAAGGCTATGAGTGTCGATCAGCAACTGTTTGGTGTCTACCCTCTCATAAGAACAGGTCCAGGCTTACCCTAGTGATGACATGGAGATGAACATGTCGGGATTCAGCATCACATTGGCCCCTCCCACGATCGACATGTCCGACTCCCCTGTCCGGAGGCTTTGGCAGGCTTGGTGGGCAGCCGTGAGAGTAGTAGAGCAGCCAGTGTCGACCGTCATGCTGGGCCCCCGTAGGTCGTAGAAGTGGGATATGCGGTTAGAGGCCATGGCAGAGCCGGTGCCCATGAGGAGGAATCGAGGAAGGGTTTCCGGGTCCCGCATGTGGCTGTCGTGGTAGTCTCGAAAGAAGGCGCCAGCAAAGACCGACGTGTTGGAACCGGCGACATCCTGTAGTGTAATTCCGGCTGCGAGAAACCAGGGTTAGAGGTTGGAAAGGAGCGGGATGGACTATACAATACTACGGAAAGGGATGCCATACCACTCTCTAGCGCCTCGTATGTTGATTCCATCTGGAGTCGAAACTGGGGATCCAAGCTCTATTTTTATGTTAATTAGATCCTCTCTTCCGTTAACTTGGCATGCTTCAAGTTCGACTCACAGCAGCTGCCTCAGATGAGAGGTTGAAGAAGGCGGCATCAAACAGGGCGATGTCCTCGGTCAGAAAGTGTCCTCCGCGCACATTTGTCTATGAGAATTAATAGGTATCAGTGGTTAGTCAGTGTATTGTAAAGTTGCTACCCCGTAACTAATTCCTGGACACGTACCGTGTTGGGCTTCAGATTATTCGGGTGGTAGACTCCGTCGAGGTTGAACCTGTCGGCTGGGATCTCACTCCAAGCACTTCGACCCTCTGCGCAGAGCTTCCAAAGCTTCTCAGGATCGCTGGCACCACCTGCAAACCTGCAGCTCATACCAATGATGGCAATGGGCACGTTGGACTCCATGGCAGCCATTATGTCAACAACGATAACTGGGCTCGGTTTGTCTCTCCTTAAAGCGTACACGGACTTGAAATGAAGGCAGAAGAATGGTATTAGTGAGCTTGAAGTGTTCCACCAACAGTTATGTTTACGGTCTTCTTCAAGTAATCAGCCATGGTCCTGAAGAGGAGCTATTGCGTCTTAAATACAGCACGAGTTGCCTCTTACACGCCCAAACGAGGGCAAAGTGGGCCTACAAAATATCGGCATCTCCCGAGCAAGGGAGAAAGAAGTGTGTACATTGCTGATACGTCAGTCTCAGCAGACCCCCATCGCCGAATATGCATGTTACGGGATTTGCACGGGCCAAGACACGTAGGGCGGGGGTTGACGATCACGGGAAGATTCTCCGAGGCAGAAAGGCCGACAAAATACTCCGAAGCAAAAGTCCGGCACGGTTGCCCAACCGGGGCGTCGTCTCTCCGAGTAGCTTGGACGGGAGCTGGAAACAGTTCCATGCCATTGAGGACATCGAAGGGGGCCGTATTCTTCGACCTTTCTAGCTCACCGATGACCATGCAGTTTACCGCCATCACCTTTATCTCGGTGGAAAATGGAGGAAGGAAAGAAAGATAAAAAAGGGAGGGTGAGATCTAGATGAGTCGAGGCATTCCACACCGATACTCCACCAAACCTGTGACGTTTGTTAAATCTACCCTTCATTCCCTCCCTTATCTTTAGTTTTCATCCGTTCTTTGGGAACCACTGGTTCTCTGGTAAACCAACCTTGTTAACCCTTTTGTTACGGATCCCACAGCGCGACCGAAGTAAGTGAGAAAGACTATTCGTGGTCAAAACACCAGAACATCTATCCAGATTTCCCAGAGCATCCCGTCCCAACAAGCCTACCTCGTCACAATGGCTCGCCATATCCCCAGTCCTTCGACAGCACGCACGGTGCTTTTGTTCGGACCACAAGCTCTTTCATTTGACGCCACCTCCTTCGACAAGCTCCGATCTTCCGTACTAAGCAGTGACAGCCATCATTGGGTACTGGATATCATCAAGGAGCTCCCCGGCCTGTGGGACACGCTTGCCGCGCAGTTCCCGAAGCTACAGTCCATCGCTGGTTCGCAATGGCTGGCAGATCTTGCAGGCTGGTTCGAGACCGGCGCCATGGCCCAGAGGGAACGGGCGCCTCTTCCCAACGCGGTTCTGAGCCCGCTGGTCGTCATCACACAACTAACCGAATATTCGGAATACGTGAGGCTCACCGGTTCCAAACATCAAGACTCACAAGCCCCGCGCCATGAATGGGGCGTTTCCCGCTCAGACACCGAGACCATCGGATTCTGCACTGGCATCCTGAGCGCCATAGCAGTGTCGTGCTCCGAGGACCAGTCACAGTTTGCACAGTTTGGCGGAGTAGCCGTCCGTCTCGCCTTGCTCATCGGGGCGTTGGTCGACGCCCAGGATGCGTCGGACAGCGAGGGGCCGTCCAGGTCTTTGGCGACTGTGTGGAAATCACGCCAGTCGAAGGCGGAGTTGATGCGGATCTTGGGGCAATTTCCCGAGGTAAGCAACATATATCTATCTCACTGGAGGAGCGAGCAATTTCTAACCAACCTTCTACTCTTCTCCCAACAAATAGACATACATATCCGTCCTCTATGACGAAAATAGGGCGACGGTGACGACTTCGAAGAAGACCGCTTCGGCACTGGAGTGGCAGCTCAGGGCGGCGGGCGTGCATGTGGCCGAGATTGGGCTCCGCGGTCGCTTCCACTGCGATTACTACCAGAGCGGCTTCGAGCAGTTGCTAGAGTTCTGCGAAACGCAACCGGGGTTCCAGTTCCCGGATGCGTCCGGCCTAGTCTTACCAACGTGGGCGAATTCGGGCCATCTGATCACCCATGGCAAGCTCCACCACGTCGCCCTGCGCACCATCTTGACGGAACAGCTGGATTGGCACCGCACCTTCGCCGCCGTTCAGTCGGCACGGCTGGGGAACAAAGAGGCCTCCGTTATCTCTTTCGGGCCCGAACGGTGCATCCCGCCGTCCCTCATCCCGAGCCTTGGCGCCCGGATTTTGTACTTGGACGAATTCCAGGCGACGGCCAACAATATTACTGGCCTCGGCGCCAGTTCTCTCGATTCGGCACCGTCGATGAACAAGATGCATCACGGCTCGGACAATGACATTGCCGTGGTTGGCATGTCTTGCAATGTTGCCGGTGCCGAAGACCTCGAGCAATTCTGGAAGATTCTCGTCCAGGGCAAGTCCCAGCATCAAGAGGTCCCGGGCGACCGCTTCGGATTCGAGACAGCCTTTCGTGAGGCCGACCCGGCCAAGAAGTGGTACGGCAATTTCATAAGCAACCACGACGCCTTTGACCACAAATTCTTCAAAAAGACCCCGCGGGAGGTCGCCTCGATGGATCCGCAGCAGAGGATCCTGCTGCAGACTGCCTACCAGGCCCTCGAGCAGTCCGGATATTTCGAGCCCACACGCGCCGACGCAGACCGGAACATTGGGTGCTATGTGGGTGTCTGCGCAACCGACTATGAGTATAATGTCTCCTGCCATGCGCCGAATGCCTTCTCGGCGACAGGGAACCTGAGAAGCTTCATTGCAGGCAAGGTCAGCCACTACTTTGGCTGGACGGGCCCTGGGCTGACCATTGACACGGCCTGCTCGGCGTCTGCCGTTGCCATTCACCAGGCGTGCCAGGCCATTCTCAACGGCGAGTGCTCCGCCGCGTTGGCGGGCGGCACAAATATGATGACCCAGCCGCTGTGGTTCCAGAATCTGGCTGCTGCATCTTTCCTCAGCCCTACAGGGCAGTGCAAACCATTTGACGTCAAGGCTGACGGCTACTGTCGCGGAGAAGGCATCGCCGTTGTGTTCCTCAAGAAAATGTCCTCAGCTATTGCAGACGGGGATCAGATCTTCGGGACCATCTCTAGCACTGCCGTATACCAGAACCAGAACTGCACGCCCATCTTCGTCCCAAACGCCCCGTCACTGTCGGATCTCTTCCGGGGCGTCCTCCACAAGGCCGGACTCGAAGCGAACCAGGTCTCTGTGGTGGAGGCGCACGGGACGGGTACTCCTGTGGGAGATCCGGCCGAGTACGACAGTATCCGCCAGGTATTTGGCGGGATTCCGCGCCCGAGACCTCTCCAGTTTGGATCTGTGAAGGGCCTGATAGGCCACACGGAGGGAACTTCAGGTGTTGCCTCGTTGGTCAAGGTCCTCCTCATGATAAACGAGGGCTACATCCCCCCGCAGGCCAGCTTCAGCACAATGAACCCCGCCATCAAGGCCTTGCCAGCTGACAACATGGAGATCCCGACGGCCCTGAAGCCGTGGGACGACGATTTCAGAGCCGCCCTGATCAACAACTACGGGGCCTCGGGTTCGAATGCCTCCATCGTGGTGACACAGGCGCCCAGGCTTGGCCCGCAGTTCCACCCGAAACCTGACTCAGGGGCCACGCAGGGAGAGCAGTTGAAGTATCCCTTCTGGTTTTCTGGCTTCGACGACCGGAGCCTTCGTGCCTATTCCAAAAAGTTCCGCCACTTTTTGAACTCGCAGACAATCTCGGCCAAGTCCCGAACCATCGAGAACCTCTCCTTCAACGTTGCCCGACAATCCAATAGGTCACTCGGCCACTGCCTGATTCTCAGCTCTCCCTCCATCCAGGACCTCGCCGAGAAACTCCAGGCCTTCGAGAGCGGAGACGTGACAGTACCCTCGACGATGCAGCAGCCATCCAGGCCCGTCATTCTCTGCTTCGGCGGGCAGATCTCCACGTACGTGGGCCTCAGCCGCGGGCTGTTCGACAGCGTCGAGATACTACGCCGCTACCTCGATCAGTGCGACTCCATCTGCATCTCGCTCGGCGCCGGAAGTATCTACCCCGGGATCTTCGAGCGGGAGCCCATCGCGGACCCGACGAAGCTCCAGGGGATGCTGTTTGCCCTGCAGTACTCGTGCGCCAAGAGCTGGATCGACTGCGGCATCCGACCGGCGGCCGTAGTCGGGCACAGCTTTGGCGAGTTGACGGCCCTGTGTATCTCGGGTGTACTGAGTCTGAGAGACGCTCTGAAGATGGTCATTGGCCGAGCCAACATCATCAGGGATTCGTGGGGCCACGACAAGGGATCCATGATGGCGGTGGAAGGTGATCTTGACCAAGTCGAGGCCCTGTTGGCCGAGTCGAACAAGACATGCGAGGGGAGCCCGGCTTCGATTGCTTGCTTCAACGGTCCCCGCAGCTTCACACTTGCGGGCCCCTCGCGGTCTATTGACGCCGTCTCCGACATCCTCTCGACGAGCCCGGCTTACTCGTCGATTCGTTCCAAGAAGCTGAACGTGACAAACGCCTTCCATTCTTCCCTTGTGGAACCCATCATGGCTGAACTCGAACGGGTCGGCAGGGACCTCCAGTTCAAGGAGCCAAGCATCATCCCCTTGGAGAGAGCTGCCGAGGCAAAGACGGTGGAGCAGCCCACGGCAAATTTTGTGTCGGAGCACATGAGAAATCCCGTGTACTTCAACCATGCCGTCCAGAGGCTGGCCAAGGAGTATCCCTCCAGCATCTGGCTTGAAGCCGGATCGAACTCCACCATCACTACGATGGCAAGCCGAGCCCTAGGGTTGCCACGAGACAGCCACTTCCAACCCGTCAACATAACCAGCAGTAATTCCATGCAACAGCTCATAGACACGACCGTGAGTCTCTGGAAGGCGGGCTCGAGAGTCACCTTCTGGGGCCACTCGGCAGTGCAAACATACCATTACGCCCCCCTGGTATTGCCGCCCTACCAATTTGACAAGACACGGCACTGGATTGAGTTCAAAAAGCCTCCAAAGGCCGCAGAAGCCGATGCGATAACCAATGTCCAGTCAGGACCACAAAGCGAGGACCCAAAGACCCTCTGGACCTTCACCGGCTACCAGGACAACAAGCAGCAACATCCTCGCTTCCGCATCAACACGACCATTGAGAAATACCTCTCCATCGTCTCCGGCCACGTCATCGCCCAGACAGCGCCCATCTGCCCGGCCACCCTGCAAGTCGACATGGCAATCGAAGCCCTCCTGAGCCTGCACCCCTCGCTCGCCGCGCCGGCCCTGCTCCCGCAGATCCGCAACGTCAGCAACCAGGCCCCAGTCTGCATTGACCCGTCCAGACAAGTCTGGCTGGACTTTGAGCCGCTCGACGAGGCCAACAACCTCACCTGGCGCTGGAAGATCACGAGCTCGGGCGCCGGTAGCACAACGACGCACGTCACGGGCGAGCTCGCCTTCCGGGCCGCAGCCGACGCGGCGTACCTGCTCGAGTTCGGACGGCTTGATCGCCTGTTCAGCCACCGGCGGTGTGTGGACGTGCTGGACAGCCCCGATGCCGACGAGATCATCCAGGGGCGCAGCATCTACCGAGTGTTCGCGTCGGTGGTCGACTACAGCGAGCAGTTCTTCGGTCTGCAGAAGCTGGTGGGGAAGGGGAACGAGTCGGCCGGGCGGGTTGTCAGAAGGCACTCTGGCGAGGGGTGGCTCGACCCGTTCCTCGGCGACTGCTTCAGCCAGGTTGGAGGCATCTGGGTTAATTGCATGACGGACAAGGATCCGGGGGATATGTACATTGCCAATGGGTTTGAGCAGTGGATGCGGTCGCCTAGGTTCTATGGCGGTGAAGACAGTGGCGGCAGCAGGCGTCCGGAGGTGTGGCATGTGCTCGCCCACCACGACCGTGTGGCCTCGGGCTTCATCACGGATATCTTCGTGTTTGACCCGGCGAGCGGTGCGCTGGCTGAGGTGATCCTGGGCATCAGCTACGCCAAGGTGGCAAAGTTGTCCATGTCCAAGCTCCTAGCGAGGCTCTCGGCGCCGGGTGTGGCAAGATCAACGGTGCAGGGGGGCACCGGGTCGCTTCCGGGGAGCGCTCCAGCACAGTGGGCGGAGTCGAATTCGGCTCCCCCGATGACATCGCAGCAACCCACAGTCCCCGGGGAGACTCCGGCAAGGCGCGAGAAGACATCGTCAGGAAGAAGCGAGGTCTCAGGGAAATTGAAGGCGGTCCTAGCTGACATTTCCGGCCTCGAGCCCCACGAGATCAAGGACGACGTCGAGCTGGCCGATATCGGGATCGATTCGCTGATGGGCATGGAGATGGCCCGCGAGGTCGAAGAGACGTTCAAATGCACCCTATCTACCGATGATCTGATGCAAGTGACCGACTACCGGGGTCTCCTGCGGTGTCTCCAGAATGCTCTGGGCATCTCCAACGACGGCAGCTCGGCGAGCGAGGAGGGCGATCTAGACGACGATGACGGTAACACGTCGGATGCGAAGGGGTCTTCCGACAGTCAGGGCGATTACACCACCCCGTTCTCAACCAATACCACTTCGTTTGCTGCAAGCCCAGTCGGATCCTCGGTCAACCTGTGTGGCACCGGCAAAGCCCCAGACATACGGAACGGCACTAGAACCGGCGATCTCAATCTTCCCCCATCCGCCATCCTCGAAGCCTTCGGAGAGTCCAAGAAACTCACCGACCAGTTCATCGAGGATTACCGGTGTGCCGGATACCTCGCATCCATCAACCCGAAGCAGACACAGCTCTGCGTCGCACTCACCGTCGAGGCTTTCCAACAACTGGGCTGCGATCTTGCTTCGGCCAGCGCAGGACAGGAATTGGAGCGGATTCATCACGTTCCCGAGCAGGGGAAGCTCGCAGAGTATCTCTACAGGATGTTAGAGGAGACCCGGATCATCGACATGGATGGCGACGAGCCACGCATTACTCGCACCGCTATCCCTATCGGTCCCACGGCCAGCGATGCGATCCTGCAAGATCTAGTTCGGAACTACCCCGACCATTCCTTCGCAAACCAGCTGGCCTATTGGACGGGATCAAGGCTGGCCGACGTCCTGACGGGTAAGGCAGACGGGCTCAAGCTCATCTTCGGAAGCGAGAAGGGGAGGGAGCTGGTATCGGGGCTCTATGGCGACTCCCTGCTCAACAAGTTGTCATACAAACAGATGTCCGACTTCCTCACCAGGCTAATCTCCAAGATGCCGCAGACCGGCCCCCTCAAGATCCTCGAGATGGGAGCCGGGACCGGCGGAACGACAAAGTGGCTGGTGCCCATGCTAGCGAGCCTCGGCGTGCCGGTGGAGTACACCTTCACCGACCTCTCGGGGTCATTCGTGGCGGCAGCGAGGAAGAAGTTCAAGGAATACAGCCGGTTCATGAACTTCCGGGTGCACGACATCGAGAAGCCGCCCGCCGACGAGCTCCTGCACTCGCAGCACCTCATCATCGCCAGCAACGCCGTGCACGCGACGCACAGCCTGTCCGAGTCGACGACCAACATCCGCAAGATGCTGCGCCCCGACGGCGCGCTGCTGATGCTGGAGATGACCGAGACGATCCACTGGGTGGACGTCATCTTCGGCGTGCTCGAGGGCTGGTGGCTGTTCGACGACGGCCGCACCCACGCCATCGCGCACGAGTCCCGCTGGGAGCGCGAGCTGCACGCCGCCGGCTACGGCCACGTCGACTGGACCGACGGCTGCCACCCGGAGACCAACATCCAGAAGATCTTTATCGCCCTGGCCTCGGGTGAGAGGCTGGAGCGTCTGCCGGCAGCGGAACCCAAGGCGGTGCAGGACCAGGCAGAGCAGCTCGAGGCACGCAGAGAGGCGACGGATGAATACGTCCGGGGCAGCATCGCCGGTTTCCTCCCCCCCACCATCCCCGCAGGCCGTCCCAACCTACCCGCAACAACCTGCGTCATGGTGACGGGAGCAACCGGCAGCCTGGGAGCACACCTAGTCGCCCACCTCGCCCGGCAGGCCGACGTCGGCAGCATCATCTGCCTAAACCGCCGCAGCCCGGTTGACCCGGTACTCCGCCAGAGGCAGGCGCTAGAGCAGAGGGGGATCTCCCTCGACGAGCAAGCCCTGTCGAAGCTGAAGGTGGTCGAAGCCGACACGGCCAAGCCCCAGCTGGGCCTCGGGCAAGACCAGTACCACGCCGACCTCGTGGGCAGCGTCACACACATCGTGCACAACGCATGGCCCATGAGCGGCAAGCGGCCACTGCGGGGCTTCGAGTCTCAGTTCCGCGCGATGCGACACCTCCTCGACCTTGCGCGCGACATCTCGTGCCAGCGGCAGGGCTCCAAGGTCAGCTTCTTATTCGTCTCGTCCATCGCGACCGTTGGGCACTACCCTCTATGGACCGGCAGCGCGGATGTGCCGGAGGACCCGGTGGACATCCGGTCCGTGCTGCCGAACGGGTACGGCGACGCCAAGTTCGTATGCGAGCGCATGCTCGACGAGACGCTGGGGCGGTACCCGTCGCGCTTCCGGGCGGCATCGGTGCGCCTGGGCCAGGTGGCCGGGTCGGGGACCAGCGGGTACTGGAACGAGGCGGAGCACTTCTCGTTCCTGGTCAAGTCGTCGCAGACGCTGCGGGCGCTGCCCGATCTCGGCGGCTTGCTGTCGTGGACGCCCGTCGATAGCGTCGCCGCCACATTGGCCGACCTGGTGCGAGTCGACGATGACGACGACGCGCCGCAATACCCGGTCTACCACGTCGACAACCCCATGCGCCAGCCGTGGCCGGAGATGATTGCCGTTCTCGCGGATGAGCTGGGCATCCCCGCCACGCGCGTCGTCCCGTTCGCGGAGTGGATCAGGCGGGTGCGCGCCTTCCCCGGCGCGGTGGAGTGGGACAATCCCGCGGCCAAGCTGGTGGATTTCCTTGATGACGACTTCGTCCGCATGTCGTGCGGCGGCGTCTTGTTGGATACGGCGAGGAGCAGGGAGCACTCGCCGTCGCTGAGGGGGGTTGGCCCGGTCAGTGCCGGTGTGGCGAGGAAGTACATTCAGGCCTGGAGAGACACTGGATTTCTGCGTCGGTAGATGAGAGCGGTGATGTCAACAGACTGTTAATTTATAGATTAGTTATAGCTCTAGTAATGTAGCATGTTGTATGTGTGAAACTTAGCATTGCACTTGGCAATCAATTAATTTGTTCCAATTGACTTGAAAATGTCATTTCGTCTACGAAGGTCGCTACGCCTTTTAATGCGGGCAGAATAATCCCAGTAAACTCATAGGGTACTTAGGCGCCATGTCCACTAGCACTTAGCACATGTAAAAATTGCTAGGGGTTTTGTGCCACTGAAGTTCTAGCGACCCCCAAGAAAGGCGGTGGGCCCTTTCATTTGGTAGCGACCTCCGTACCATAGTAATTTACTTCATCCTGTTGAACCCTACAACCCTACTTTCACCGTCGATCTGACTGAGCCCTCCAGACGCGTCTTGATGTCTCTGTACGTCGTTCCCAATATCCCACGGGACTTCGTCTTGTCGTATCCACGCGCGTCTAGCGTCATGTCTTCAGCAGCAACATCCCCCGCCGGCAGCCCCGGCCCCATCATCGACCTGACCGAGTCCTCTATGCATGTCTCGAGGCCTCTATAGGCTATTCCCAAGATCTTGCGAGACTTCGTGTTGTCATATCCATACACGTCAGCTGGCATATCCTCAGCATCAGCATCCACCGGCGGCAGTCTTGACTCCAACTCGGGATAGCACTCGCGTATAATATCCGCAACCCTCTTGTTGGAGAAGTGACCCGCCACAATGAAGAACCTCTCCCCACCAGCTTCCGGGACTTCAATCGCCCTCACGTGTGCCATGGCAGCATCACGCACGTCCACCCAGAGGAAGACCGGCCCGGTGGGAGGCAGGCCGTCTTTTGCCTTGCCCTGAACCATGTCTCTGATCCTATGGTTCGAGGTATTGAGCGCCGTCAGATCGCGGAGGTGTCGTGGCGGAGGACCGAAGACTAAAGGAGGGTTGAGAACAACTAGATCGAATCTGGGTTTCTCGTTCTGGACAAACGCCCACGCTGCTCTTTCCGCGTATATCTGGTCTTTGTATAAGCTGGATGGCTGTCCGTCACAAGACTCTTTTGTCAAAGTACATACCTTGCTCGCCCTGTACGCAAGACGCGGATCAATAGCTTCTTCCCATGTCGTGGTTCCCCACACCGTCTCGTCGTAGACATCTGCGTGGTTGGAGGGGTTGAGGATTGCGGCAGACGACGAGGTCACGACGACACGCTTGACCGAGTTGCTGTACGCTTTCAGGGACTTGAGAATGCCCGAGGTTCCCTTGATTGCCGGATTGAGGAAGTCCTTGACCGGGTCTTGAATGTTGAAATGAAATGGCGAAGCGGTGTGAATGACAAATTCCAAGTCTGGTTCAGACTTGATTACCTTTTTCAGGGTGAGAGAGGGGAATGTCAGTTTTGATGTCAACAATAAGCAGGACATTATAGTCTCAACCTACATCATCGAACGCTCCTTCTTGTGCGATGTCCTTGACGATGGCATACGAAATCCTCTCCTTGAAGCCGTTTTCGCAAGCCTGAAGGAGCTTGCGCCCCTTTTCGTTTGACCTTACGGTCACAACGACTTGGAACCTGTGTGACTGTCAATTGCGACATTCACAGAATTTCAGCCGTCGATGAATACCCATGTTCAAGAAGAATGTCCAAGACGTGCGAGGCGATGAAGCCGTTGCCCCCTGTTACACGATTATTAGCATGACTTCCACACAGGATTCACGTGTGAATAGATCCAAGGATTGCCTTACCAGTTAGCAGTACTTTGGCCATATTAGGGTTGCTTTTGCGGAATTGACAGTGTCTGAGCTCGTGTGTAGTGGTGTTCGGCGTGAGACCGAGCAAGAGACCGAGCAATCGCAAGAAGTACACAGGGCCTCACGAGGTTGAATACTCGCATATGGATTCCCAAGTCCGGCCTGCAATAATTATCGGGAACTAATTCAGGTCCGTCACCGACCTCGGGAAGCGAGCAAGCCCGACGACGCAGCTTGGCGACCGACTCATTGTCCAACATCTCCAATATTCAACTCCGACATAAAACTCCGGGACCACGTGGAAACTCCGATACCCCTTTTGTGGCCGTTGACCAATGTACTACACCATATACGAGTAACTCGTGTCGGTGACCGAGTCGATGCGATGGGCGAGGGATTAAGAGTTACGTCATGCTTCAAAAGCTGTCCCAAATTACCTACCTACCTATGTCTCGTATCTCGATCATCAGCGATGCAGATTCCACCTCCATAAAATCCAGCCTTGATCTGCAGCCCACCGCGTCATCCTCCAACTCACGAATAGTCAGAGCTTCACCCAGTTCTAGTCAAGTTAGGCCCAACTAATTTTACAATGCCAACTAACACGGCGAGTCTTGCCAGAAAGGTTTTACTTCACAGCCCGTATTTGTGATCGATGTTTTGTCCAGCATGAGGCTCCAATCATGTGAGGCTCCAATCATCTTCACTTCACACGGGGTCATCAAGTTTAGACTCGTAAAATTTGTCCTCCGGACAGGATTAAAATCTGAACTATTCCATGGCATGACTGAGGTCGACAACATCAACCAATAACCTCCGTGCACATGCTCCATTCAGGATCCTTCTTCAAACCATCAAGATCCTCCTCACTAAGGCACACCAGAACAGGCAGATCCCCCTTCTCAGCCGGGTACAAGTACATCCCGCCCGGCACCGGCGCCAAGTTGGGGCGTCTAATCAAGTCCGGCTCGCCGAGCGCGCCCAGCCTCGGCAGCGCCGGCAGCTGTGCCATGGACGACGACCCGACGTCGAGGGACGTGTCGAACGGCCCGCCGTACGCCAGCGTCGACTTGTCCGGCACGCCGGCCACGAAGGTGGCGTAGCTGCGGACGGCGAACGGCGTGTTGGCCTCGTTGAGGTCGGCGCGCACGCGCGACGCCAGCATCGCCAGCGGCAGCGCCGCCAGCTCGCCGAGCGACAGCCGCGTCGACGCGTGGTACACCATCTGCCCGAGGTACTCCGGCGGGACGCCGACGGCGGCGCGCGCGTCGATGGCGCGCCCGAGTTTGGACGTCGCCGATGCGGGCCGGCCGTTGCGGAGGCGGACGGCTGCCAGGCGCTTCCAGTAGAAGGCGGAGATAGCGTCGTTGCTGGAGATGAACGGGACATCCGGGTTGAGGGTCGCCGGGTCGCTGGCCAGGGCCTTGATCTTGGGGATGGCGCTGCCGAAGAGCCGGAAGTAGCACCACGATGCCGGCGACCGAAGGGCCGCTGGGGGTGGTGCAGCCGGGGTTCCGTTGGCTGGGGCTGAGCGGATGAGATGGCTGTGGTCTCGGATGGGTTCGCCCTCTGGGAAGAGTGGGATGACGGTTTTGGGATCTCGGTTCCCCTGTTTGATGGCGATGTCCGACAACTCCTCTCCGCGCATGGCGGTGGCAAGGTGCATGATGAACATGAATAGGCCGGTGGCGTCCATGAAGTTGTGTTGGTTGGAGAAGTTGAGGAGCAGACCGCCCTTGACAAAGTTGGCCTGGATTGCAACTACTGGCGCGGGCCCGATGACGGATTCATCGTAACTCTGGGGAAACCCCGGGAAGGGGCAAAGGACGCTGGCGTCGAGCTTCGACACGGGAGCACCGGCCTTGATCAGGTCGGCATATGAGGGGCAGATGTCGGAGCAGTCCTTGACGCGCACGATGCGGTTGGGCTGCGCATCCTTGGGCCATGGTGCCAGCTTGTACGGCCCCGATTTCCCATGGCCTTTGCCTTCGTCGACCACCTGGTCGGCAAGCCATGGAATCTTGGAGACCACCTCGGCCGTGCCCTCTTCAAGGGCTTTGACCACGGATTCGCGTGCCGAGTCGTCGGCTATGGGGAAGAGAAGAATCCCATGGTTGTACGTCTTCAATATCGGAAACTGCCCAATCACATCTTCATAGCGGGCCTGGGACGCCATTGCGAGAGAGCTAAGGTGTCGGCGGTTGACTTGGGAGATTGGTTCTTGAACTATTACTCGAGTAAATAAGCAGGGAATCTTACGGCAGATGAACAGAGTCGATAGGATGGAGAGACAGTGACACGAGAGGTGGATATAATGTACTGCAGGCGACGCTTGTCCGCTGATGCCAGCTCCGAGATGCCCTTCATCAAAGTGCCGGGGAGCAGATTCACCGGAAACTCCGAACAAGAGAAACCCCGAAGTCCGGAAAAGCACCGCCAGACACGGGAACGCTGTCCAACCAGCGAATCACTCCGGGCGATCTTCCACGCAAGGGCGATGCAACAGGCGGCCTGCTGCTCGATGATAGCCCGTTCGACCAAATCGTGGCGGAAACCCAAGTCATTTAGAACATGCAGGTGCCGCCCGTCGCTAATTACTCCATGCTCCGTTACTTGGAATGGGAATGGCATGAGTCATGTTGATGCTGCAAGTGAAATAGTCTGCTGCATGACTGGGAAAGGCTCTGCGTTCCTGATCCAGACACCGACGACATCAGACAATGTGAGCAAACCTGCCGTCTTGATCCAGCCCTCGCAGGGGGCATCCCGTCAACCATCAGAACACGTCTTATCTCCCAAACACCTGGTATCGTGCTCGACACAGAGCCCGAAGAGTGCTGGCAACGACATAGCACGCAAAAATGCCGGGAACCATACTGAAGGAAAAGCCCCTTGATGTCGCCATAATCGGCGGCGGCATCACGGGAGTGACACTAGCCCTTGGCCTCCACAAGCGCGGTATCAACTTCACCATCTACGAGCGCGCAAGCAGCTTCCACGAGATCGGCGCGGGAATCGGGTTCACGCCCAACGCGGAGCGAGCCATGATGGCGCTGGACGAGCGCATCCACCAGGCCTTCCGCAAGGTCGCCACCCAGAACTCAGAAGACTGGTTCCGATGGGTGGACGGGTACAATTACGACAGGTCGAACCCGGGCGACATGGACGAGAAGCCGATCTTCAAGCTGTATCTTGGTGAGAGAGGCTTCGAGGGATGTCGCCGCTCCGACTTCCTGCAAGATCTCGTCAGCCATATACCGGAAGAGAGGGTGAAGTTCGGCAAGAACCTGGACTCAGTGACTAACAATGGAGACGACGAGAAACTTCAGCTAAACTTCTGCGACGGAACGGTAGAACATACCGACATTGGTGAGAGCACCAGCAGATATTTTCCTCTGAACATCCCGACTTACAATCCCCCCCTCCAGTCCTCGGCTGTGACGGCATCCGCTCACGCGTACGCCAACTCCTCGTCGGCATCGACAACCCAGCCGCACACCCGACCTACACCCACAAGTACGCCTTCCGCGGCCTCATCCCGATGGACCGAGCCCGCGCCGTGCTCGGCGACTACAAAGTCTCCACACGCTTCATGCACCTCGGGCCCGACGCCCACGCCCTCACCTTCCCCGTCGCGCTAGGCGCGGTCCTCAACGTCGTCGCCTTCGTCACCGACCCGTCCGACTGGACATCCAAGGACGGCAAGCTGACGGCGCGAGCCACGCGCGCCGAGGCCGAGGCCGCATTCTCGGCCTTTGGCCCCGCCGTCCGCGCCGTCATGGCCCTCCTGCCCGACGAGCTCGACAAGTGGGCCGTCTTCGACACGCGCGACCACCCGATGCCGGCGTACCACGCGGCGCGGGGGGCCGTCGGCGGCGGTCGCGTGTGCGTCGCGGGGGACGCGGCGCACGCTTCCGCGCCGCACCATGGCGCCGGTGCGGGGTGCGGGATCGAGGACGCGCTCGTGCTCGCGACGGTGATGGCCGCGGCTGAGAGCGAGGTTGCGGCGCGGGGGAGGGAGGCGCGTGCGGGGGTGCTGCGCGCGGCGCTGGAGGTGTACAACGATGTTCGCTACGAGCGGTCGCAGTGGCTCGTCGATAGCAGTCGGAGGATTGGCGAGCTGTTTGAGTGGCAGGATCCTGACTGCGGTAGCGACCCGGGAAAGCTTGGTCCCGAGATTGAGTGGCGGTCTCGCCGGATCTGGGATTATGATATAGATGCCATGGTGGTCGATACGCTGAGCCGGTTTTCGCGGAGGGTGGATGGGTGACCCATTGCTTGGAATTTGTAATTTGTCTATCAGAGCTGAATCTGGGGCGGGAAGGCACATAAGACTGTAGAGAAGCCCGCAGCCCAATTTGTCGTATTGGAAGGGGGCTAGAGTTCCCCACATAAGATAAGGGGCCTTGCAAGTCCTGTGGATATGAATATCAGGTCTTTTTTCTGTATCTTAGACTTGGAATTATCGAACCTTCTTCTTCTTCTTCTTGCCCAGTCTTCTTCATCTTCCACTGTCAGGTGGCTTGACAGCTTGTTGGTTGGTTGGGTGTTGTTTTGTTTCCCTTTCGGGGGTAGCTCTTTCGCCCCGTTTCAATATCATGATGGTATTGAATGCTTTCTAGATTTGGTCTAGGCCCTCGTCGCCTGCACAAAGTACCTAGGTATACATGCAAGTACAATACCTGGATAATTTGATACGCCACATGGCGACAGGAATGCTCCTCTGCAAAGGGGCCAGCCTCTGTCTGTGTGAGAGTCGTTGAACCAAACAGAATGAAATGAGTGATATGGCATTTTTTGTGTTGGTGACGATGACGATCTCTTTACTGTATTGGGAAAGCACAGAGGGCGTTAGGGAGGTTGTCCTTCTCTGACTGATCGACCAGCGGGGATGATCTTCATTTCTATCCCTGCCCCTGCATTCTGGTTGGACAACACCCAATGCCACTACCGGGGGTCATCCCGCCCCCCGGTGTTCGACTTGAGATGCATTGATACGAGGTTATCCAGGTAGGTAGGTAGGTATATATGTACTTGCACCCAACCAGCCGACCACCCGGCCCTGGTATTGTTCTCATTCCCTCCCTCCTGCATTTCTATGTTGCCCGTCCTCTGAACCGGATCGTAGGCCGAAATCTCTTCCATCTACACGCACAATGGCCCCGTCAATGACTCGAGAAGCGTATCATTCGCTGCCAGACGAAAATGGAGACTCGACAGTTTCCTTCCAAATGCAAGCACGAACAATAGAAAAGGAGGCAGACGAGGCAGCCGCAGAAACAGAGCGATCAGTGACGAATAAGGAGGAGTACATGACCGGATTCAAGCTCGGACTGATTCTCGTCTCCGTCACCATCGTTTGTTTCCTGATGATGCTCGACATGTCTATCCTTGCCACTGTAAGTCGACTCATGCCTCCCCAAGGTCCTCTCTCTTGTGGCTACCTTCGCTAACGCGGCTCATGAGGCCATTCCATACATCACAGACGACTTCCATTCGCTCCTCGACGTGGGCTGGTACGGCAGCGCGTATCAGCTGGCATGGTAGGCTTACTTGACTTTCCCACCACCCCAAGATATAAAATGTGGATGCTTAGGTTGACTGTTTTAGTGCGGCCCTGCAGCCCTTGACCGGGAAGGTTTACACACATCTAAGCTCCAAGGCGCGTCCTCCCCACCAGTTTCAGCACCCATGGTTTCTTCCAAACTAATATGGCATAATCAGTGGTCGTTCCTTGCCTTCTTCCTACTGTTCGAAGTCGGGTCTGCCATTTGCGGCGCGGCAGTTTCGTCATCCATGTTGATTATCGGGAGAGCAGTAGCTGGTTTGGGCGGGTCGGGTTTGATGAATGGAGGGCTTACAATCCTGAGCTCGTCCGTCCCTCCGCACCGACAACCAGGTATGAACTCCCTCATTACCCTCTGACCTGCGAGTTATCCTGCTGACAGTCCATGAACTAGCGCTCCTTGGGATTATGATGGCTCGTGAGTTTTGCCCCTGACGTCGGAACTTGGCATCCCCCCGAGCTAAATAAATCCTTGTCTGCTCCCCCAAGTTGGATATCTTGGCATAGCACTAGGACCACTCATTGGCGGAGCTTTGACACAATACGTGTCTTGGCGCTGGTGTAAGCTGCTTCCCTCCCAAAAAGAAACACGGCTTTGAACGGCATCTCACCCTCCCTCTGCAGGCTTCTACATTAAGTAAGCCTCTCTTGGCAACTATTCACGATAACCGCAGACACTGATATCTATATTTCCAAGTCTTCCCGTGGGTGGAGTAGTAGCCATCCTACTCCTCATGCTCAACGTGCCCGACCAAGTGGTCAAGCCCGGTTGGCGCAAGGTGCTGGGGTCCTCCCTATCGCATTTCGACCTGATCGGATTCAGCATCTTCGCTCCGGCCGCCGCGATGTTCTTCCTCGCCCTGCAGTACGGCGGCAACCAGTACCCCTGGAAGAGTGCCACCGTGATTGGGCTGTTCTGCGGCGCCGCCGTGACGTTCGTCCTCTTCTTCGAGTGGGAGCGCCGGCAGGGTGACGATGCCATGATCCCCTTCTCGATGGTGAGGAACAGGATCGTGTGGTCGAGCTCGCTTACCATGTTCTTCTTTTCGGGGTCCGTCTTCATCACCGGATACTATCTCCCCATCTACTTCCAGGCCGTGCTGGGTGCGACTCCGATAATGAGTGGTGTGGACATTCTTCCCAACATCCTCACGCAGATGGTCATGACGATGGTTGCGGGGAGACTGCGTAAGTAGAAGCCCGTCTTGGGCCACCGGCGAATCTCTGCTGACACACACGACTCAGTTGAGCGTTTTGGATACTACCTCCCATTTATTCTCATCTGTGGCGTGCTAAACGCCGTCGCCAGCGGCCTGCTCACGCTCCTGTCGCCGACCACGTCAACTGGACGTTGGGTTGGGTACCAAATAATCCTCGGCGTCGGGCGTGGCATGGGATTAACCATGGTGCGTAAAATACAGGCTCCCCCAACCGTACCTCTCATGCCCTTTGCTTAATTCATCTCCAACATAGCCAATCCTCGCAATCCAAAACATCCTCCCCAAGCCTCAAATCCCCGTCGCCATGTCGGTCCTGGTGTTCACCCAGAACCTCGGCGGGGCCATCTTTGTCGCCTTTGCCCAGGCGATATTCACCAACAGCCTGCGGCAAACCATCCCGAAGGCCGTCCCATCAGTCAGTCCCGATGCTATCATTGCAGCCGGGCCCAACAACATGAGAAATCTGGTGCCGGCTGACAGGCTCGAGAACCTGCTGGGAGCCTACAGCACCAGCATTGACCATGTGTTCTTCCTTGGGCTAGGTATTGCGGTGGCCGCGTTACTTATTTCATCTATGATGGGATGGAAGGATATCCGGAAGAAGGATGGCATGAACGAGTCGACCGATCGACAGAGCTGATGAGCTCCGAGGTTGGTCTAATTAGCGACCGGGTTTGGATATGCTCATGACTTTGGTGTTGGCAGCCTTGGAATAAGATTTAGATGTTATTAGCTACTAGATTGTGTTCAGTCAACCTCGGGGGTTAAGAGTGGGAAGAGGGAGGGTCCAATTTGATATGATATCCTCTCCACATTCATGAATCATTTCACCCCTGAAGTTGAGCAGCGAGATGATATTAAATCCACGTAAATTAGAGGCTACTTTTGCGTCCATTTCTTTCTCTCGCCAACATTGACATCGACACGCACTTCCTAGCCTGGTCCCGGATCCCGATCCTCTCCTCTCACCTTCGCCCAGTTTACAGAGTAACAACCACCTTCTTCGCCGAAACCCCCTTCTTCTGCACATCCAGCGCTTCCTGTGCAAACTCAAGACCGTTACCCACCACCAGCGGCTCAGGAGCAGCGACATAGTTTCCCCTCGCGAGCGCCTCCGGGAGGAAATCCTGATAAACAACACGACCAACCTCATTGTTCATCAGCGTGCTACCAAAGACAAACTTGGTACGAACACCATTCGTCTTCGCCTTGAACCAAGTCTTCACATTCCACCACACCAGCGACACGACCGCCGAGACAATGCCCCCCACACCCGTCGGCATCTCATCCGGAAACGGGACGCTGATCTGCGCGACAAACTTGTTCCCGCCCCCCTCCGCCCCCGCCGCAGCCGCAACAACATCGATACACGCCTCAAGCGACCCATCGCCGACCGCCACCGCGCCGGCAACCCGCCTACCCTTGAGACACCTGACAATCTCCGCGACGGCGGTGTCAGCGCGATAGTCAAAGACCTGGGCCGCGCCCAGGGTCCTGACATAGTGGAAGTTCCTAGGCGAAGCCGTAGCGACGACATCATACCCGGCCGCGACGGCGAGCTGGACGGCATTACTGCCAACAGCGGTGGAAGCGCCCCAAACAAGCAGCGTCTTCCGCTCGGCCTCGGGTTTGCGGTTCTGGTCCGGAGTCGGGGCCGGGTAATCGAGGGCGAGGAAGTCCTTCTGGAACAGGGCGCACGCGGCGGTGGACAGGCAGAGGGGCAGGACGCAGGCTGCGTCGTGTGCGAGCGAGTCCGGGATGGGCGAGGCGAGGTTCGCCCTCACGACGGTGTACTCCTGGAACGCGCTCTCGGCGGAGCGGTTTACGGTCGGGTCCATGCCGACGGCGTGGGCCAGGACGCGGTCGCCGACGGCGAAGCGAGTGACGCCCGCGCCGACCTCGACGACCGAGCCCGAGAGGTCGCCGCCGAGGACGAAGGGGTACTTGATCCACGAGAAGATCATGTCGCCCCCACACTGCTTGGCCCAGTCGACTGGGTTGACGGCGATGGCGGCGTTCTTGACGACCATCTCGTTGGCGCCCGGCGGAGTGTAGGGGGCCGACTTGACCACGAGGGGTCGGGCTGATTTGGCTGTCAGCCACGCGGCCTGATTGGTAGGCATGAGTGGTGTTGCGGAGGACGGATGTAATGTCAACAGAATGGGCCAGTCAAACTGTCAATGACCAGACCAGTTGAGGAAAGCCGTTACGAGGAGGGATGAGATGGGCGACGTCGGCCTGCAAAGGGAGTGATTCCGGATGCAACTAACGGGGGTCCTACCTCCCGCAAGTTGGGAATCTTGGTGGTGGCCCTCCATGGTGTGTGTGGCTGCAGTTTTTGGTGTTGGGTTGTGGGTTGCATAGCGACGATCCACTCAGATGTCTCTAAATACGAGACGAGGAAAGCCGTTGACGGCGGATCATTCCCTTTACATCAAAGCCGGGGCTATTTTCTTTGGAGTTCGGAGTTTCTTGACCCCCACCCATCCTGGCGTTTCGGAGGCGACCTATGGGAACGAGGTTCCGGCGCTACAGAGATACATTACTGAAACGAGTTAGAAGAGAAATTAGTGGGAAACCAGAAGAACCACCGGCGGTGGTGTACCTTCTCCTGAGGGCCGTCCCGAGGGCGGTTGTAGATCCGATTCCGGGAAAAGAAATCATTGCGAAATCCCGAGCGATAACTCCGCAGTACTCGTCTCATATGGAATTTGGGCTTGAGACCTTCGAATCCGTTGTAGGCGGCATGGTTATTCCAACCGGATGAGCTGCAACCGGCCTGGTCCAGCAAGCAGCGTCTACGCAATATGCCTGCCAGGTGGATTCACTCCGGTTGTGTCGCAGTGACTGACGGAAAACACCGCATTTTGTGGTTGTCCAACCTCCCTTTCTTGTACATACATATTTACATCACCGCCAAGCCAAATGAACGCCAAGCCAGAGCATCGCCAAGCGAAAGCGTCGCCAAGCCAAATCGTCGCCAAGCCAAATCGTCGCCAAGGCCAACGATGAGTCGTCTCAGTTTCCGAAGATTCATCATGACCCGGGCGAGGGCGGCACCACCCCAGGTGCCAACAGATCAAGTGGTGCCTATGCTGTACTTTGACGACACAAACATGACTCGAGGCATGATCATGTGCCACACGATGAAGTTCCACGACGTTCTCGACGCCGATAAGCTGCATAATTCGCTGTCCCGGTTGCTGAGTCTTGGCGGTTGGAGGAAGCTTGGGGGCAGATTGCGCCTTAATGTAAAGACAGCCAAGACCCCAGCCCTGAAGCCAAGATATGTTTGCATTTTCACGAGGAGACGATCCACTGACAATCAAGCTTCACACTAGAATGCAGCCAAGATTGATATCCACATCCCGCAGATGTTCACGCCCGAGAGGCCAGCGGTGCGTTACTCGCAAGTCAAGATCGACACATCCATCGACAACTACCCACTGGCTGCCAAGCTCCCGACGAAAACGACGGAGCCATCCATACAGGCAGGCGCGGAGACGTTTCGATCGCTGGGGTGCCGCGAGGGCGTGCCGACACGCATCCAGGACTACCTGTATTCCGACGAGCCGCAGTTCCAGCTACACGTTGTCTCCTTCACTGACGCGACACTGGTTTCCCTGGCGTGGCCCCACACCGTCACTGACGCAATGGGCAGGCAGGCACTCTACAAGGCTTGGCATCTGGTGCTCGCGGGCAGGGAAGACGAGGTACCGCCGTTCCTGAGCTTGGAGGACGATCCGATGCGAGATCTGGGGTTGGACAAGCCGGCCAAGCCGTGGTTATTTGAGGCCTTGCAGCTCAAGGGCCTGTCGATGCTCTATGCCGTGGTGCGCTACGTATTGGGAACCATCTTCTCGCCGGAAACAGAGGCACGGACAATCTTCCTACCTGCCAAGACGGTCGCAGCAATGCGGAAAAGGGCCCTCAGCGAACTCCCCGCGACAGATCACGAGGGCAAGGCGACGTTCGTCAGCGACGGCGACGTGCTGACGGCGTGGGCGACACAGACGTCGTGCCGGCACATGCGGCCGACGTCAAAGCGCAACGTGCTCGTGCTCAACGTCTTCGACCTGCGGTCGCGGCTGCCGAGCCTGTTCCGGTCCGAGGGCGGTGGCGTCTACGTGCAGAACGCGTCGTTTCCGTGCTTCACCATGCTCCCGGCCGGCCAGATGTTGCGGGACCGGCTGGGAGACCTCGCCATGCGTATCCGGCGGTCGATCCGCGAGCAGGTCGGCGAGGAGCAGGTGCGGTCGCTGGCGTGGCTGCTGCGGAGGGCCTACGACACGACGGGGAACGCGCCCTTCTTCGGGCCGCCTGACAGCTACTTCGTCTTCTTTACCAACTGGTCCAAGGCCAAGTTTTTCGACACTGTGGACTTCAGTCCTGCCGTGGTGAAGAAGGGGAAGGGGGACAAAGAACGAACAAACGTAATGGGCCGACCCGAGTATTTCCACTGGCAGATGCTGGGAAAGGGCTTCCTCTCCGCCCGTAATGCCTTCAGCATCACGGGTAAGGATGCTGAGGGTAACTACTGGATGGGGGGTATTCTACACCCCGAAGTCTGGTCCAATTTCGAAAAGGAGGTGGAGAGATTGCGAGAGGAGCAGCCCAACTGATCAGCAGTCCAACTGCGGCGAGTCGTAATAATTGGTGCATTATTAATGGAATTGGAATGGAAAGTGCAGTAGTGTACACGTTGGGCACTCACGATGTCCACCACCCGCTGATCATTCCAATGAATCCACACCAGGAGGGTGGCTCTCAAGCCGTCCATGAATACGCAATCGGGCTAGCCTAGGTAGCTTCAGGGGCTTCCGATTGGCGAGTCTTGGCAAACTTGCCAGCCACCACAGGCCATGTTGACCTATCGGGCCTTTGTCTACGGAGTAAGTCCAAAACGAAAGATAACGACGGCCCGACAAAGAGCGCGGATGATGCATATACCGGAATACGGATATATGTATTTGTCTCACCGGACTCAGTACAGCCAAGCCCAATGCCTTTCCCAATCCCCCCAGCCAGATTTCCAAGGATGCCACCCATCCTGTGGCCCCTCCAAGCAACCCGTCTCTTGTCTACTCTTTCACAGATCACCTGCTGCTAGTTAGCCCTTCTCCTCGTCAGAATCTCGCCGCCATGGTCTCCCTCTCCGCCATCCAGGCCTCAAATGCCAACATCGCCTCCGCACTGCCGGCCGGCCTCGTCGCCGTCTTTGTGGGCGCGACCAGCGGCATCGGCGAGACGGCCCTGAAGCAGTTCGCAAGGCACACTCGGCAACCCCGCATCTACTTTGTCGGCCGCTCAGACGAGGCCGGCAAGCGGGTCGCCGACGAGTGCAGGTCGCTGAACAAGGACGGCCAGTACAACTTCGTCCGCGCAGACGTCGGCCTGATCCGCAGCGTCGACGACGTCTGCCGCGATATCACGGCCAAAGAGACGGCCATCAACCTGCTCTTTCTCACTCCGGGGACTATGGTTAGCCACACAGGTACGATGGCATCCGCAGACTCCCAGCCCTGAAAACAGGATATATATATATGTTTACTGACAGCGACTCGTGGCCCCCCTCTCAGAAACCGCCGAGAAGCTCCACCTCGCCACGGCCCTCGTCTACCACAGCCGCACACGCTTCATAGTTAACCTGCTCCCCCTCCTCCAACGAGCCACCAGCCTCCGCCGCGTCGTGACCGTGTTCGCGGGGGGCAAAGAAGGCAACGTCGACACAAACGACCTGCAGGCTTGGAAGGTCCCGATGCTGTCCACGCGCGGCCACGTCAGCTCGATGGTGACGGTGTCTCTCGAGACGCTGGCCAAGCAGGCGCCCGAGGTGAGCTTCGTCCACGCCTTCCCGGGCGCCGTCAAGACCAACCTGTCCCGCGGCGCCAAGAGCCTGTCCATCGTGGTCCTGCGCGCCGTCTTCAAGGTCATCGGGCCGCTCATCTACATCCCCAACGAGGAGGTGGGGGAGCGTCAGCTCTTCCTGGCCACCAGCGCGCGGTATCCGCCCAGCGCCGGCGGGGCTGAGGGCGTGCCGCTGGCGGGCGCGGTGGCAGTGGCGCGGGGGACGGACGGGAAGGCTGGGAGTGGTGTCTACTCGGTGGACCAGGAGGGAGAGACGTCGGATGCCAAGGTGGAACTGCTGACCAAGCTTCGGAAAGAGGGGGTCCCCGAGAAAGTGTGGAACCATACGGAGGAAGAGTTCAAGCGGATCACCGGCGTAGAGGCGGTATAGATCGAGCAGACGGGGCTCCTGGGAGAGAGAAGATATGAAGTTTGCTTTGCATTAATTATGTTTTCAATATACCACTAGAGAAAGATACGCTACCTAATTAATCCACATTCTCGGCCAGATTCCTCTTTACAACTAGACTTGGAGATAATATATGCTCGTCCCTATGATCAACCTCCAAGTTGACCTTAATTCCGTCCCAAGGATGTCTGCTTCCGAACTTCCCTTGCTCCCCAGATTCGATCAACCCTCACCTCGACTTTTGGGGAGCGACTCGTCTTCGGCAGGTGCACCAAGTTCAATCACAAGTTAGATGGAGAGCATGACGATAAGTAGCTAAGTATTGAAGAACGGTGGTGGCCTGGATGCAGTTTGACGCTGATTATAATGGACGACCCAGCAGCTCTCTGCCTGCGATACAGGCGAAGGCAGGAGGAGATCAGGGCGCAGCAGGCGGGATGTAAGTAACGAAAACATTACCTTCCAAATGATATTCGATCCAAATTCAGCCACGCAGAACCATACCCAGTTGAGAACTCGGAATCCCGTCCGCTCTCCCGATATAAGCCGCCCAGGGGTTACTTGCGGGTGAAGCAGCCGCATCCGAAAAGGGTCCTGGGGCCCGCCACTTACTTCTGATTGGCATGCATCAACTGCCTCAAACCCCATTGTTGGCGGGGAGGCAAAAGCATATACCTCTACCTCCCACCGCTCCTGCGCTCTGTGCAACAACTTCTTTCTTTTGAATCAACAGAATCTTTCATGGCGAAGACGACCAAATTTCAAGGTTCGCAGTTCAACGTCGATGCCCTTGTCACGTTGGCAGGTGCACTTCGAAACCAGCCATGCACTTGCGATATATCAAAACCACCTACGGCCGGAAGCATGAACTGGGCCGTCATCGTAGCCTTCGATGATGGAGTCGAGTGGATCTTTCGCTCCCCACATTCCGGAATGCGAGCATTTTTTGACGAAAAGACTGCATGCAAGCTACTTTCAAGTGAGGTCGCTACCCTCGAGTACATCAGGTCGCACACTACGGTCCCGGTTCCAGAGGTTTTTGCGTCCAGGTGCGGATATTTTGCAGAGCTCTTCAATATCCAGATCATTTTTAACACAGGAACAGTGCTTCATGTGAAAATGACATCGGAGTGCCGTACATCGTTATGAGCAAAGCGGCCGGGCATTCCCTTGCAGAATACGACTGGCGGTGGCAAGCCCATCAACCACCACAGTCCTCGCTAATCCGACCGCTCCGACCGCTCTCACAAACAGATATGGAGAAAATTATGAGCCAGCTTGGGGCCATGACGCTACAGCTATGGCAACTTCGTCTGAATAAAGTCGGATCCCTGTTCCAGGATGGCAACGATGGTTTTGTGGTGGGGGAGTGTCTCTCCCCGTCGCTCATGTGGCAGCAAAGGGATTCGCTCGAAGGAATCGACCGGGGTCCCTTCAGCGATGAGCGTGCATACTTCAATGCTCTTCTCTCGGCCTACATATCCCACGCAGAGGAGCTTCCCTTGTCACCGCATGCTTTTTTTCGCTCCAGTTCCTGACACATCCGAGTACCCCAGCTGGGCCAGCTACAAAGCGCTGTAAACCGGTGGAACGACTTCGTCACGATTGGGCAGAAGATCGATCACAGCAACAACCGGCTTGCCTACTGCATCGCGGGCCAGCTGATGCGCGAGATGTCATTGCACCTGTGCAGTGGCACGGCTGATGGGGGCTTCCCACTCGGCCACCCTGACCTCAACACCGGGAATATCTTCGTTGATCAAGACTTAAACATCACTTGCATCATTGACTGGACTTCTGCGTCATCGGTCCCACCGCAGAGGTGCTTGCGATCCCTGGATTGCAGGGCTCGGTCTCTCCACCCGATTCGTCGCTCATTGCCGCCTTCAGAGCCGGTTTTGAACGAGCATCCGGCGGTGCACAACTGGGTCCGAACACCTGGGAACAAGCCGACATGATGTGTTTTTTCCAGCGACTCGTGGGCATGCGTGGAATTCGGGACTATCACCACTTCGAGGCCTTCTACGCGCTGATCCATGCCTCCAAGTGGGGGAAGGACGACGACGACGACGAATCTGTCAACATACCGGGGCTGTTTGAAGCCTACGCACAGCGCGCCGAGAACAGATTGCTTTTAGACGAGTTACGTGAGGGAGACTGGTCCGCGGACTACATCCGAGAGCAAGAGCAGGCTAGCTTCGGTAGCGCTGGGGCTGCAAATGATGGCAGGGTGGCCGTGGCGAGGAAGCTGACGCTCATGTTGGAAATGAACAAGAGGTTTGTGGCGGATCGGAGACTGTGGCAGTGGATTGAAGAGGCGCTGAAATACTCTAATTAACCATTGATGGGCCAGGATGGACGTTAGTTGTGTCATCCACGTCCTTTCTTTGCCCTCTCTACTTCTCTTCCTCCCAGTCATCCTGCTCCACTGCCTTCCCCTTGCTCGCTCGAGGCATTTTCTGCGTCAGCGGCCGCTCACCGCCTCCGGATGACCCCGCTTTTGTTCCCGTCAGGCTTCTACAACAAGCACTTTCTTGACGACTTGAGCAAGTTCTTCTCCCTTGCCATATCCTACTTCGAGATCTGGACTGTGCCAAAACTCTTATTTTCGCCATTTTCTTTCGCTCGTGATAAATTTCATCACCTGCAAGCCAGGTCTGCCTCAATGAAGCGATTCCTTCGATCGTTGCGGAACGAAGCAAATAGCGACTGTCAATACTGTCGAGAGCTGCATGATGGACAACTGCGGATCTCTGCCACAGAGCTCATTCAGGGCTTGCTATGCTGTCCGGCCTGTCAATTGCTCTATCAATCAATTAGCCCTTCGGACCTTAGCGATCCCAGAATTGTCTTAGCACACGTCCGCTTATCTGGTGACTCGCAAGTCTCCCACACTTTCGATCCGAAGTCCGAGGCTATGTCTCGCCAGTTGCGCGCAGAAGAGGGTAATCGCGTTGTTGGTTTCTAGAACAGGCTGGAAGACGAGTTGTATCGCTGACTGTCGCAATTATCAGGTTTCAGCAAAGGAGGCTGGTTCGCCGGCCCTTCATATCCTCCTGCGGCTACTTACTCCCCGGTGGAGCGTACAGTGGAATTGTTTAGTCTTGAAGGTCAGTTGTGCTATAACGCAGGATCTTTGATATGCGGGCTTTTCATGACTCAAACCCGTCTAACCAATGAATAGGGAGCACTTCGCATTGGCTTAACATTGGCACTTCGAGACACATATCAACCGCTGCAGATGCCCCTGAATGTCTCGACCTCATCAGAACCTGGGTGTCAGACTGCGACAGGAAACATCGAGGCTGCAAGAAAACCTCATCCGCAATTCTCCCTGATCGAGTCATCTTTGTCGGCTCCGGAGCCGATCCGCACCTCGTCGAATCCCAAGGCACTTTGGGGAAGTACATTGCTCTAAGCCATCGCTGGGGAGGCGAGGTGCCACTGCAGTTGAAGAAGCACACCGCCAATGACTTCAAGCGAGGCATTCCTTTCTCTCAATTCCCAAAGACATTCCAGGACGCCATAACTATTTGCCGTGCCCTGGCAGTCGAATATATCTGGATCGACTCCATTTGTATCATACAAGACTCGAAGGAAGACTGGGAGATCCAGGGGTCCAAGATGGACCAGGTCTATGCCAACTGTTTCCTTACCATAGCAGCAGACGCCGCAGAGAACAGCCACGCGGGATTTATCAGGACTTCTGAAAGGCAGGACTTGAGGACCAAGACCCGGAAACTAGTCTGCTACGGCCCAAAAGGCGAAAAGAGTGAGATTTTCGTCAGGCCGTGGAGGGAGTTTGGGAGCCTGGGTGGATTTGGACGGCACTACTTCGAGAGCCTAGAGCGGGAAGATCTCAAGCCCCCTCAGAGATTGACAGACCAAGGCAGCTATCTGCTTAGACGCGGCTGGGTGTTGCAGGAAACATTCCTCCCCCCTCGTGCTCTCCATTTTCTCCCGGGTGAAGTCACATGGAGGTGTGCCTCGGTCTCTCGGTGTGAATGCCAGCTCCGACCGCACGGTAGCGTTGTGCATGAACCTCTGGATCGTGAACGACCCCGGGAGATCAGCTCCGATGATCTGAAAGAGTACTGGAAGGAAGTCATCGAGCAGTACACGCGACGTCAACTCACTTTCCCCTCGGATCGGCTGGCAGCTCTAGCAGGTTGTGCAAGCCGTGCTCACTCCAGTAGCCCGGACGTCGACTACTACGCGGGGTTATGGTCAGATGCTCTGCCATCCACGCTTCTGTGGGTCGTTGACCGGCCGCCAGTCAACTCTGGGGGACATGGGGACTGTGACAGCCATCGGATTGAGCCTTCTATAGCTCCCACATGGTCTTGGGCTAGCGTTACAGGTTACGTCGACTTTCTGTTTTGGAAACGGAACTTTGATCGCGGGAGTTGGGCAAAAAGTGCTCCTGATTTGACGGTCGTTCATATTCACTGTCCGCCTTTGGGCCAGAACAAGTATGGCAGCGTTGGCGATGCGAAATTGACGGCGGAGGGGTATCTTTGCAAAGTACGTGTTTGGTTGACGGGCGGATCCAAGTGGCATTTCCCGTTCAAGATGGAAGCTCAAAACCTTGATGGAACGCTTAGCAAGGCATCTGGCTTCTTTTATCCTGATACAGAGGAGGTTCTGGCGAGTCTACAGAAAGAGCGTGAATCCGGGATGTCGATGATGGTGGTCAGCGTTTATGAGTCTCGGCTGTTCCTTGTGCTGAGGCAGATCGAAGAGAGCCAGTTGGTATTTGAGAGGATAGGGGTTTGTCACTGCCATGTAAGCGACGAAGTGGTACTTTCAGAGTGGGGACGCAGGGAGCGATTCACGATTGTCTGAAGGGAAATGGGAAAAAGGAGAGTGGTAGATGATAGTACAGGTTTCGTTCCAGTCCATTATAATATGCCATGTTGAGTTTGTTGTTGAAAATAATACTATTGAGCTGGAAGTTTAAAATACGACAAACCACATTTGGCAGGGGCTGCAATTATCTGAATAAAACTACGAATACCATGCAACAATCTCTCAGACAAGTAATTATCCCCCTAGACATCAAGCTGTCACAAGTACGCTATGGGGTATCTCCTTCACCAGCTTAAATCGTGTCAACTATCCAGCATTCGCTTCCTCGATCAGCCCTGCACCTTGGTGAACACCAGACCACACTTCTTGCCCTTGGGAATGAGAGTAAAATGATCCGTCATCTCCATGTCATCATGGGTTTGCTCTCCCTGTAGCCGAACTTCAAACACCTCGATCATCCTCGCGAGCAGAATCTTAATCTCCATAGTTGCCATGTGCTGGCCGAGGCAGATGCGAGACCCCTTGCCCCAGACAAGCATCATGTCGCGAACTTCCTGAGTTCCAGAGTTGATGGCACCATCCGAAATCCACCTGTTTGGATCGAATTTTTCCGGTTCGGGGAAATAGGTTGGGTCTCGCTGGGTTGTGAAGGCTTGCATGGAGACGAGCGTCTACGGGCAGGGTTGGGTGATGGATGTCAGAAACCAGTCCGCTGGAAAGAAAGGGAGTACAAAGTGATAGGCGGGCTTACCTTTCCAGGTACCCAGAGTCCACCAATGTCGCACCCGCTGCCTGTCGTGACCCTGGGTAAGGCGCTGGGAGCAGCCGGATGCAATCTAAGCGTCTCCATCACTACCCCGTTCAGGACCGGCAGGGACTGCAATGACTGGAAGGAAAAACCGGCCTCCCTTGCTCCCGAATTTCGAATCTCGGCACGCAGCTTCTCCTGCCACTCTGGATGGCAACAGAGACGATACAACGCATAAGTCATGGTGTTCCCGGTGGTGTCGGTCGCGGCGAAGACAAGATTGGACACCTCAACACTGATCTCCGGATCGGACAGGGGCTCGGTGCCCGTGGCGGGATCTCCCGCGATGATCTTGGTGAGTAACGAGCGACGGCTTGACTTGCGGCCGTACAGCTTGAGATACTCCTTCATGGCGTCGTCACCGTACTGGGGGAGAAAACAACGTATCCCGTTAGAAAGGCGGTCAAGCAGTATACCAGGACTGGAAGAAACCCAATGGACATACTTTGTACACGTAGTCTCCGGCAGCCATGAATTCTCGCAGCGATTTGATGGGCAGGAGAGCGAGCATTCCGCATAGTAGTGGTGCAAGACCATATAAGGACCATACCAGATACGCATTATCGAGGTGGTGGACGTAGGCCGGAGCTTCTCCATCGCCGTCAAAGGCACCGAACGGCTTTCCCAGCAGGACCTCGCCTATGGGACACCGAAGAGAAGGTCAGAATGCGACGGGGCAAAGATGAAGCTGACAAGTAATACGCCCCGGTTGGACTTACCGGACACATCCAGTGCAGTCATCCGGCACCAATGCAGAGCATCCACAGGGTTCCCGATCCTCTTTCCGATGGCGCTCAGGACCCTGTCAATGACAGACTGGATCAAGGGCTCCATGTGCTGCAGCGAGGCAGGGGCAAATATATGCGCGACGCGCTTCTGCCTCTGGCGATGCTGCTCCGGATCCTGCATCTGGAAGGAGCCCAGCCGCCCAAAGTTATCATACGCCGACGACTTGATGCAGGTGGTGCCGGCGCCGTAGATGGGCTTGACGCAGTCGATGGAGCTGAAGGAGAGCTCGTTGGGGGCCACGCGTACAACTGGCCCATATCTCTTGTGCAGCGCGTTGACGGTGCGCGCCCGCGAGCCCGACAGATCAACAAGTAGGATCCATTTGCTCGTCAACCTCGCGGCGAGAGGCCCTGGGACGGATGCGGGGATCGGTGAGAAAAGCACGTTCTGGGTTACCTGCCAAGCAATACGCGTTAGGGCAACGACGGCGATGGCTGCGACCACCGTCGGGTAGGTGAGATACGATGTCCACTCCATGCTTGCCGAGGTCGATCGCCGGTTATCGGTCTCACACGTCAATCTCTTCTTCAGAGCGAGTTTCAAACGTTGGGGGAGAAGGCCATTCAGCTCGGAGATTCCGACAAAACACCAACCCCACCCACTGACGCTACCCAGTGGCACTGGGTAGCGTCGATACTGCATAGTATAGTGTAGTATAGTATCTGCGGGACCCTCTAGTGTATATTGCTCTGACCCTCTTCCTTGGCCCCGGGATGATGGTCCGGGGCCGGGCGGAATTGGCCCCCGGTAGTCTATACTGTATCCGGCATAGATGGGTTCCTTAGTGCAAGATTTCCCGCCTTAAAACGGCTTAGAGACCTGCAAATGCCTGCACCCCCCCACGCCTTGCATCCGCTGCTGGCGAATTATCTCCCCACACCTCATGCCATTTCTGAGCGATGTGACTTCCCTATTCCTAGCCCTTGATCAAAACACCCAGCGGCCTCCATCCTTTCCACCTTTCCCCGCATTCCTTATCAGCGCAACGTGCTACCTCGTGTGTTTGTCACTTGGCAACGAAGATCGTTAGGACGAAGACAATGACGCAACCACCGATTGAAGTCGACCCGGCGGCGGTTCGTGATCCCCTCGGAAGGAGCGGGAGCATCCTCTTTCTAATAATTAGCTGACATGCCATGGCTCATTGGTTTGACAACACAGGCAAGCGACAATGACTCGGTCATCGATGACCAGCTGTACGAGACAGCCTCCTTCAGCCTCCTTTGGGAATTTTCTTTTTCCTTCACTAATCAGCGGGTGGGAACAGTTCCGAATTCACCGCGTCCTTGACGTCCAGCGTCACCGACTATCCGGTCGAATACGGCCGCCGATACCATGCCTTTCGGTCTGGCGGTCAGTATCTAGAATCCCGGGATCATTCCTGTCACCGCTCGTCACAACTGACCTGTCACATCCAGTGTACTGTCTGCCCAACGACGAGGTCTGCCCCGGCCCTACTCTGCCATCAGACGGTGGATTTCATGCTGACTGTCTCCCCTGACGAAGCTCGAGCTGGACCGCCTTGACTTGACCCATGCTCTCATGACCAAGGGGATAGGTGGGAAGTTGTATCTCGCCCCGATCGAGGCCGAGAAGCTGCACCGGATCCTTGATATCGGAACCGGCACAGGCATTTGTACGGGATCCCCAAATAAACATCCCTGGCTGCGTCTCGCTAACTAAAGGAGGGTCTATTTGCATGGGTGACGATTTGCCAAACGCGGAGGGATGTGCACTCGCACTTCGTCGAATAATCAAATACTAACCTCTCGAGCAGGTCCTAGGGAATGATCTAAGCGCCGTCCAGCCCACTTGGTGCGTCGTTTATTCCAATCCCTGCGAAGTGTTCTCCTTGCTCACTTAGCTCAAGGGTCCCTCCCAACGTAAAGTTCGAAATCGACGATGTCGAAAGCCCATGGTCGCATCCCGTTCCGTTCGACTACATTTTCTGTCGATACATGGCGGCCTGTATCTCGGATTGGCCCAAGCTAGTAAAGAACATCTATAGGTGGGTTCCACATGCAAGATCGAAAATACTACCATGCGATGAGATGCAGTCCAATTAACCAACCATATAATGACGCAGGAACCTGGCACCTAACGGGTGGGCCGAGTTCCAGGACTTCGATCTGCAATACTACTCCGAGGACGGATCCCTGACCGACTCCAGCGATACCATCAAGTGGATCAACACTCTCCTATCGGCCGCCCGCAAGATCGGCCGCGATCCCTGCCCCGGCGTCAAACTGGAGGAGCGGGTGAGGGAAGCCGGCTTCAAGAACGTCACCCACCGCAGATTCAAGTTTCCGGTCGGGCCGTGGCCCAAGGACCGCAACATGAAGGAAATCGGCATGTACAACCTGGCGCAGGTCCTGCAGGGTCTGGAGGCCTTCTCGCTGCGCCTGTTCTGCGACGTCCTTGGCTGGCAAAAGGAAGAGGTGCTTGTCCTGACCAGCAAAGTCCGAAAGGAGCTGAAGAGCCCGGCCATCCATGCGCAATTTGACTTGTAAGTCTCCTCTCGATATTCTTGCCGAGTGCTGAATTCCGCGGAACTGACGAATGAGAAAGCCACGTCGTTTATGGGCAGAAGCCGTGAGGAGAGCGAACAGAGTTGGGATCAAGAGCAAGCCTAGCCAGCACCCCCCTTAAGTTTGTGTCTGTCCGTTTGCGTAGAGGAGATTTAGAAAATTGAATGAAAAGCATCTATGAAGCCACATATCAACCGTCGACATCTTACAGACATACTCCAAGTGACCACACCAACCCCTTCAACCCTCCTCCTCCACCCCCTCCCGCAGCGCCTCCTGCCCGATCCTCCTCAAGTCCTCATTACGCAACGGCTCCTTCTCAAACCCCCGCACTACCTGCCGCAGCATCGCAGCCACCAACTCCTCGGCAGCGACGTTGGGTATGACGTTAGTCCAGCGCACCGCCGCGCCCAACGCCGAGCGCACGACGGTGCTATTGCCGGTGACGAGGCCCGGCTTGGCCACGCATGCCTCGACGGAGCCAGGCGGCTGCTGCGATGCGGCGAAGGAGAGGACCTGGTTCTCCGTCTCGCCCTGGAGATTTTTCCGGGTCAACATTTCTCCTCCATTGTGCCCGTGTCGGCAGGCAGGGGATGGATATCAGCTCACCCGCATCAGAAGATAGGCCGGTAAGAATGACGGCGTCTTGGTCTGGTCGCGCTCGCACGAATGGCCACTCACGTAGAGGAAGCGGAAGGGCCGGGCCGGGCCGGATTCGACCATGGCGCGGAGCCCTGCCATTGTGCATGCGTGGCATATGCGGGTCACCTCGTCGAATGCAATGGTCCTGGACTTGGTCGGCGTGATGGCGACAGTCCTGGATTTGCCGTTCTGTCAGCATTGTGCGGGGTGCTGTTGCTGTGTCTCTGGTCCCTTGCGGGATCTACCGGAATGCCGTAAAAATGTCGAAAATTAAGACAATCGAAGAAAGAGTGAAAAAGGACGTAAAATTACCATATACAGGCGTCAGCGCCGGCAAACTCACGCCGCACATGGTCCGGGTAACTTTCGTAGTCGTCGAGCACGACGCTCCGGAGCTTGGCGGCGTGGGCGGCGCTGGTGCCTTCGGGAGCCGCCACGGGCTTTCGCGCGAGCGCCACCACCGTCGTCGTCTCGCGGAGCCGCAGGCTCTGGCGGAGGACTTCGGCGGCCACAAAGCCGGAGGCGCCCGCAATGATGAGCTTCATTTATTTGCTGTCTACGCCGGCGGTTTGACTGGTGTCTGGAGGAGCAGCTGTTGAGTGCGACGCGTGGTGAATTTCTACGTGCTGGAAACCCACAGCTAAACTACCTACCTACCTAACTGCCCTAGGTACTCAGGAGGGCCTTTGCGCCTGGAACCCTGTCGGGGCTTACGTGTATCGTCCCGTGGAGGCTGACAACAGCAGCATTAGGTTGCCCGGCGGGGCTCGGAACCGCCGGGCCGATCTTACCCTGCACTAGGCTACAGCTTACCGCATCACCCCATGCCGCTCGCTCAGGGGCTAGTCAGGACGTGATCCAGAATTCATTAAAACTGGCTTGGACAATGGAGTCCTGGAGAAAAAAATGACCATTGACATTTTGCGAGGAGACAGCTTGGGTCTCCTCCTCTCATTCTCTCTCTCGATATCCTGACTCAAATCTCGACTATCAGCTTCTCTCCGCTTACCCCCTTCTTCAGCTCATTCAATGTATTTTGGTGCCCTCCCAGCCCTCCTTCGACGTGGACGGAATATGACCGGTTCTGAGAGCCCGCCAGAGAAGCTTACCTCGTACCTAAGCCGGCGATGCTCGTTATCAATGGTTTGCCACAGGAACCCGTCCGGGTTGGCCGTCCGTGAAGTGCGGATATGCGCAATGCTACTGCAGGCTTCCAACGGCTTTAGGGGTGTGCACATGGAAGCACAAGACTCAACTCGCCATCCTCTTCCTTGATCGTAGTGGAACCCACAACTGAGCTGGTGCACAAAGGCCGGTAGATTCTCCGGTTGAGTCATCATCCGGGGGTACGTCCGAATGATGGCTGTAATGAACTTCCAGCAGCCATTGGAAATGAACCGTTCGGAAGGCTGATCCAGGGTGTTGACTGTACGACTGGGGACTAATGATTGAATGTCCTTAGGACTGGACTGACTGACAATGGAAAAGTTAGGTAGGGAGGGTGACATACGGGGTGACGAGGAGCGGCGCCAAACCATTCGGAGATGGCTGCCGGAGTCCAGCATCGATGGACCGAAAAGGGCCGCCAGCGTTGCCGGAGCGGAGGACTAGATCAATATCGACAATGGGTTACTGTAAAAGTGAAAATAAGGCGGCATATTCGTCCCCAGATAATGCTACCGTTGTAGAGAAACCTTCGTCCAAAGAAGAGGCGGTCGCCCCATTCGGCGGGCCCAGGTCCAAGTAGGCCCCTAGGGTAGAGTAAGACCCCATGATAGGAGCACCAAGAACTGCAGGGGAAGGGTCTGCCACTTTGCTTCGAGGCTTGCCACTGGGTCTCTCGCCGGTGTCTGTGCCTTTCATGGTGACAGTGCCGTTGTGGCCTGGTGCGGTCCTCTTCAACGTGCCATGGTCCTTGCCGTATGAGCATGGTGTTTGTCTGGTAACTCACCGGGAGCAAGGCCATCGGAAGTCGCACTTGCTTTTGGCCCTTCTGCAGGACTGGCAGGCTTTTGGCCGGGCGGGTTGTTTTCTGGCTGCTCGCCTATGGCAATATTCCACGTGGTGGGTGTGGGAGGTCTCTGCCCGTGTCCTCGTCCGAGATGAAGAAAGAGTCAAAGGAGCTTCTGAAGAGGGCAGGCAGTGATACTTTGGTCAAACGGTTTTCCGCATATAGAACAAAAGTACAATGAGCCAGTGACAGTGAAAGTAATGTCAATTCGATCCCATGTTCATTCTCGCAGATCCGGGCTGTCACTATTAATCACCTCAGACGGGGGCAACGTTGTTAACTTTGTGAAGGGTACAATACATTACATTTGTGGATTAATTAATCAGCAGAACCTAGTTACCCCTGAGCCACACCTCAGCCTCTTCACCAACCCCTTTTTGCTTTTGCTCAGGGGCCATGTATTCGCCCCTTTCCATGCTGGTGCTTCCTTCGAACCAGCCCCGACCTCCCTCATGACAGCTCGAAAGTGATATTCGATAAGTGCCTGCCCCTGGGTTCCGGTTCTTGCTAGCTAACAACTCCGACAAACCCCTCCCACTTCCCCTAACACTATGGGCATACAAAATAAGACCGCATACCGCTCTTTAAAAACCACAGGATTGGAGTTGGCAGCTCAACAACTCGCGAGACGCCGTGGTGGAAAATGCGATTGGAAGAGATAGGGGAACGGGTGAGGACATCCACAGGATGGGTTGCTTGCTGCGCTAAGCCTTATAAGGCGAGCTTGGTGGTACAGACGAGACGATGTGCCCACGCGTGGCGCCACGTGACGCAGTCCTTTCTATTATATGCCCGTCTGCTGTATCTGCGTTTGTCTTTCTATTCTTCTGCTCTCCTGTTCTTGTTTTGCACCCGCCCGTCGCCCGTCATCAGGCATACCACGTCAGATCGATATCTTCTCGAGGCAGATTTCAACAGAATACCTACGCTTGCGCACCGCCATATTACCAGATCAATCATGAGTATCCAGCCTTCGCGTCGTCACAGGCTCCCACAGACGACAGACCGAACCCTCGATGCTGAGATTCCGAAAGCGGATGGTTCCCCCCCAGCAGCGTCTGAGAAGCGACAAGAGGTACTCAACGAGTGGGAAATATACAAGCCTGCCGATATTGCCGAATTCGAGAGCTTCTTCAGTGGAGCAGACAGTGTTGGCTTCTACACTGCTCTGCTTGGTCTTGCCAAGTCGGTCAAGTATGCCAAGTCTAGAGAGCTGCTGGAACAGGCCCGAAAGGAACGGGGCACTGCCAATAAGAAAGTGTATAGATCCGGTTGGACTATCAAGGATGCAAAGAGAGCCCAGGACCTCGGCTGCAACGTCCCTGAGCATTTTCGCACGGATCAGAGTGTTAATATCTCAACGGATTCACGCACCGAACCTGAAGGCCAGGATTCCTCAACGGCCCTCAGCCAGACTCGAACTGAAACCGTGCCCTCGATCATCGGAATCTCCCCAAGTCCTCCTTCCTACTCGGTGTCCCCGGTAATACGCGATTTACTGCGGTCGCCACCGAAGGTAAGATGGGATTTATTGAGGCCCCATCAAGCACGTCTATGAATCATTGCTAACTGCTGTTGTCCTTATCCGTGCGAGCCAGACTTTCTCACCTGAACCATTCGCTCCGCCAGTTGTTACTGGGGTCATCCATCCAACGCCGACTTGGCCGCCAAGCGGCTTCCAGGGCCAGAGTCTCTCGAGAAACCCGTCCTCAAGTCAACCTCACTTGACCTATAATGATCCGCCCCTCTCTCCTCGAGCGATGAATCGATATTCGGCACCTACGATGTCGGAATATCCGACAGATGCTCCCAGTGACGCTCCAATCTCTCTGGATCAATTCGCAAGCCCCCGCAACCTCGGCCCGGATAACACAGGTGGTCATCCCTCAATAAGCGCCCCGTCACAGACGACACGTCCATACCCACTCGCCCAAGTAAGCAACCCAGGGTATCGACTGGCCCCTTCCGCGGCACTCTCAACCGTCCGGTGTCAGTTTCAAGCAATGATAACGGAGACGAAACACCTCCCCTCCCGAAGCTGCTCACTGGAGCCGATGCCCTCCTGCCAGGCAACCCTCTCACAGATACGCCCGTCAACGCCGTCATGGACCTCCTCTCGACCATCTTCCCACTCTCGATCGCAGCCATAAACTCTCTGTTGACGCGCCGTGAAGAAGCAATGACCGACCGCATGCCGCCCCGGTGGGATACCAAGACCCCGCTAGCCCGCTTGCTCGCCCTCCGCGCCACAAACCCGGCCACGCTCCTGGTCCCGCTCCGCCTCCAGCCCGCCAACCACTGGGTTCTAGTCGCGATCACAACCGTCGCCAGCCGCTTCTCGCCGGCCTATGCCGTCGAGCTCTTCGACCCGCTACCCTCGTTGAAGAACTATGCCCCCGCAGTGAACCTCGCTCAGAGCATCGTCGAAGCCCTCTGCCGCCGCCACTTGGAGGACATGAATACCGACACGGGGTTTCCTGAGGACCAGAAAGCCGCCCAAAAGGTCGGAGACGGCCCCACGTGGCGGGACACCCTCGACGGCCTCCTCCCCTGGGACGACGGGCGCGTCATCAGGAGGTCGTGCCCTCTGCCGCATCCGGACGGGATCGAATCCGGAGTCGCGGCCATCGTAGGCGCCATCTACCTCGTCGCAGGCAGGGAGATGCCGGTGGCGGAGGGCGGGTGTTTTTGTTGGGGCCTGTGGCGGTGGGTCGTGGCGATGCTCTCCGTCGACTACCTGGGCCCGGACCTCTCGCGTCTCACCGAGGAGGCCGTCCTCAGGCTGGGGGCCTTCTATCCTGCCGCGGCTGATATCGTGCTGTCGCAGCGCGACCTTGTCCTCGTTGAGTCGAGTAGCGCCTGCGGGGAGCGTGGGGGGGAAGACCCCGGCTCGTTGGACCCGGGACTGGGGCGCAAGATGGCGGAGCTCGTCAAGGTGCGGGCTAACCTCTCTGAGGTGGCTAGTGTGCTGCACCTGCTGTGCGTCCGCTCCGGGTGTGTCGGTCGAGGCCCGCCACCCCGCCATGTTGGATGCCGCCGTGCTTGGCGACGATATTCGCCCGAGGGTAACTGATATTAAGGTCCTGCTCGCGGACAGCACGGAGTACAACGAATTCCAAAAACGGATGAAAGCCTCCACCATTGCCGAGCCGGGGGCGGTCGCCCAGTTGGAGAAGATCAAAAGGGAGCGAGAACGGCTAGGCGCGAGGGGTGAGCAGGCTCAGATGTTTCTCCAGCGCGTCTATGACACGGTAACAACGTGTCTCGAGCGCTGCGAGAGGCTGAACCGTCATTTTTTGGCTCAATCTTTACGGGACGCCAAGGAGGAAATGCGTGGGTAGGTGGATAGGTGGATAGTTATGGGCCAGTTCCATTGGATGACAACTTGTGCGGACCGACTGTGAGGCCAGTGGATGAAGTGCTTCGTCCATCGGCCTGGATATTCCGTAATTACTATGCAATAGGCAGTTTGGATAACATAGTAGACCGTGTAGTGTACCTTGATCAGACCACACGCCAATTCTCATGTCGTCTGATACCACCATTCATGCTGCCAGCTCACCCCAGGTGACTTGTTGTCGCCGTGGTCCCCCTGAAGGGCCTCCTGCCAGAGCCTCAGAACTATGAAAAGGGAGTTGAAGTTGCCAGATGGCACTTCTTACCCAGGCGGCAACATCCTGTTAGATGAGGTGGTGATAGAAAACATCAGGATGCCCTGGCATATCCAGGAAAAAGTCGTGGAGAATGTCAACTTGTCTACCGCTGCTGCCGTCACTGTCTATCGCTGCTGCCGTCACTGTCTATCGCTGCTGCCGTCGCTGTCCATCGCTGCTACCGTCGCTGTCTATCGCTATTGCCGGCCATTGCCGTCACCATCGCCATCAATCGTTGCCAGCCAGGCGCGCGCAACAAAACCCTTCCTGAGTCACATATGCCACGCTGGGGGGCTCGTCCTCACGAGAGGTGGTGGTTGAGCGTAGCAAGGTATGTTTCGATGCGCTGCACGACAGGCGGCCAGCCATTTTCGCCTTTGTATCCTATGATCTCTGTCTGGACCGCAGAACGACTGCACATCGCGCGTTCCTTTCTTCTGAAATGGTCAACACGATATAGAACTGGGACGAGATGTAGATGGTGACTTACAGGAGGCACATCCTCCTTCTCTGCGGCGGCCTGGAAAGATGTGAAAATTTTGACGATAGAGCTGGGAGAAGCAGGGCTGGAAATACTTCGTTTGGTCGCTAGAAAACAAAACGCCATCATCAGCAAGCGTATATACATGAAAATAGAGTCACTACTGACCTGCTTCTTGGCCGGCGGGGTGGGATGGGCGACTCCACAACGGTTGACATGTTGCATGGCGACCTAGACAGGATACCCTTACGCTGTAAGCCCGCTTGGCCTTGACAAAGACACCTTATTAGCGAGAGTAGACCAAGAAAGGGGCTGTGCGACATACTCGGCCGGCACAGCGGGCGCCAATTGCTGGCCTTTGGGGTCCTGCGAGGAGAGTGTTAAACGAGGGTACGAGGCAAATGGAATGGCTAATGGAATCCCTGGACACTCACTTTCCCCTCGAGGGCCGAGGACGGGCGTGGTCGGGGCTCCTGCGTACCTTGTATGAGAACGACACGAAATTTAGTTTTTGGAAACTCTGAGGAGGAACTTGCGCTTGAGCACTTCGCCGAGGCCACCGCAGTTGTAACACTTGATGCGGCATCGCTTCGTCTTTGCGGTAGTTTAGGGTAATTAGAGAGAGCAAAGGGCGTGGCTGGACTCAGTGGATCGTCATGAAGAAGAGTAGAGGGGGAGGATGTCGAAGTTCGAGACCAGATCGCCTTCGCCCAGTGCTATCTACCTAGGTACCCAGGTACGTAGCCTATCCCGGAACCCCAGAGTAGGAGGCAGCTCAGGTCGCACATTCCCACCGTAAGGGTACTACCTACCTGACCTCCCTACCTAGGTAGGTAGGTACCAACAGGCCCAAGGAAGGTACCTAGGTAGACAAATACCTCGGTAGTGTACAGAGCCAACATGGAGGGTAGGTCCTGCCTACAGGTATTTGAGGTTGGATCTCTGTCGTCAGGTACATGCCTAAGTACCTACACTTTGCATGACAGATGATGGTGGGCAGGTGCGAGCTGCTTCTCTGGAGAGGTAGTTAGCAAGAACGCGATCTGGTCTCGAACTTCAGCCTCCTTCCCCTCTCCTCTTCTTCATGCCATGATCAATCCAGTGAGTCTAGCCCTGCTATTTGCTCTCTCTGCCCTAGACTGCACCAAGCGCTGACGCATAGGTTGTCATTCAGGACTCCAGACAGAATGTATTTACTGTGCAGAGCTGGAATTTCCTGTACAGCACCAAATGCTGACAGCTTGCCCTGCAGAACATAAATCGAACGTACCCGACCCCCCCCCCCGGCAGCTAAGATCATGGCGCCTCAAGTAAGTCACCATATACATCTCGTCCCAGTTCCATATTATGCTGACCACTTCGGAAGAAAGGAACCTACGAGGTGTAGTCGTTCTGCGGTTTAGCCAGAGGTCATTGTGTTGCTAATTATCCGTCATGAATAGTACTGCGAATACATGGAGACCGTAGGTATGCCGGGCCTGCTCACCTCAGAGATTGCTAACATTGTCTTGTTAGATGGAACGTAATAAATACAAGGTATGTTCTACGCACATGACTCTCTTCCATGAAACAAGTGCCCAGTTCTGACTCGATCTTAGGAAGCGAAGGCGACGGTGGCTGTGAGGATGAGGCCCCCACCATAGCATATGTGACTCAGGAATTGCTGACCTTGTCTTAGGAACTAGAGGCGAGGATGGAGGTCTGTTATCTGTTATCGACGAAGATGTCCCTGCTGACACCAGCGCAGGAGCATTTGAAGGCCGCTGCCGTAAGTCCATTCGACGATGTCTTCCGACACTTGAACGTGTTTGTAGCTGACGACATTTCTTGTTAGCACTGGCATATCAAGAAGATGGTCAGCACGCTCCCCCTTGCCCTCCCTTGCCCCTTCTCTCCACCCTTTTCTTTGCTCCCCCTTTGTCCACAACGGCTTCTAACGCTGGCCATAACAGGGCATGAAACCAGCAGAGGTACGTTTTACCAAGGGATCCAGAAACACCAGATAAACGTCTTACAAGAGCAGGACATCGAGATGGAAATCGAGAAGGAGATCAATGTAAGTGCTTCCCAAGCATGTGCAAAGATCCATCTTGCAGCACCTAACACCCGTTAATACAGGCTCTGATCGCGGAGCGAGTTGTAAGTTTCCCTTTCAGATTGATTTGCTGCTACTTAGGCTACCAAGATCGCAGGAACGGCTCGCCGAGGTGAGCGAGACGTCTCCGAGACTGGCTATGGGTTGCTCACGCATTCAATAGCAGAAGCACAAATAATTTTGGTCGAGGTAAGTCTACGTTGCCATTTTACTTGACGAGAGCTAACGGTACGACAACAGTGTCAAGGAGGAATTCGGTATTTGTCATTCATTCTTAAACCTCGAGGTCCCCAGGCTGACTTACAAACAGAGTGTATTGCAGTGTTTGTTGGTATCCTCTCGCTAGCCGACTTAACAATGCTGACAGTGACGATAGGTTAGATTATTTTTAAATAGGGGTGTGCTTTACCCCTCTCGAATTGAGCGGTTAATCACCGCGATTTTAAACTCTAGGCTTCCCACGCCCTCATGTCTCTCTTCATCGTTGGAGAGACGTGTCGGAGGTACGAACCATCCTTTGCCAGGGAGTCTCGTCGTCTCTTGCGTCGGTAGCATGCTAATCGTTTCAGGATCGCTGTCGTCCGCTTCCTTACTGATCTTGTTGTTGGCGCCGAGGCCTGCAACATTATGATCAAACTTGCATCTGATTCCATTGCCAAGAAGCAGGGCCTTGTGGAGGCGAGACGGATATGTGCCAGCGAGGGAGAATGATCTGGTCCTGGGGAAGAGAGTGTTATGTGTAGCTGAACGGGCCTGAGTAGGCAGCTGGTCTCAAGCGGGTGGATGGCCGGGCGGCGGCTTTGGATCGGCTGACTTACGCGAGGTGGCTGGGAGGCAAGGTTCCGGCTAGATTGTAGGCAAGGACTGGGTTGCTAACGAAGTGGGAACGGGACGGTCTGATTGAGAACTCTCAGCCAAAACTCCAATTGAAGCGTGCCCTCGTAATCTCTCAGGTAGACCCTAGGCGTTATACTCTACAACCCGGGTGCCCTCGAGGAGCGGACCCTGGATCCATGGGCCAGCCAGGTCTCGTATCCTTACTGGGTAATCCAGATACGGGCCGACATGATGTTCTTGATACCAATTGTGGTAACATGGCCAAGCTGTGAGGTGCAGAGGCCAGCAGCAAGAACATCCCCCTCGAAGAAGCCACAAGAGACGAACATGGGTTAAACCCGCTTTCCTGCTTCCCCTCCAACGTGCTCGACCTCTGCCGCCGCCGCTCTGACCTTCTCCTGCAGAACTTCGTCGTCATCGATATCCACACGCGCGACCTCGGCATCCTCACCGTCGAAGATCTTGGCAATCTCTTCAAGAGTGGGGCCACGTGTTTCGACGAAAAAGATCCACACGAAGATGACGTCGAAGAGGAGCCAGCCCTGAAGACCATTAGTATGAGGAAGGAGATATCATCCGCAGGGGGGAAGAAAGGCGAGGTAGGAGAGAGCTCACGCAGTAGATGGAATAGAAGCGCCATCGAGGGTGCAAGTTCTTCAGGCCGATTGGGTTGATGTATCTGGAGAGTCAGGAAGTAAGTCGCCGCCGCCACATGAAAGAAGAGAGCAAATAAAATGGACTTACTGGTTGAAAACCAAAGCGGCTTGAACGAAGAAATTCATGATCATCAAACCCTTTGCACGCAGCTTGTACGGCATAATCTCTACCGTGTATCCGACGAGCAGGCCAGACCAGGCGATGTTATAGAAGACACCGTGAAGGAAGATGAAAAAGATAACCACCTTCCCAGCCACGAGGTTGTGGTGAAGGTCATATAGTGCCGAGCAGACAGTCCAGAGGACAAAGGACACAAACATTCCTGTAGGCCTGCCGTTGGGACAGTCTGTTACAACCAAAATCTGGAGGAATTACGTACCACAAGTCGCCGTGAAAAAGAGCGGTCGTCGACCAATTTTATCAACGACAGCTGCTGCCGCGAGGCCGACGATCAACTTCCGGCGGTCAGTGGCTGCCTTGTGATACCAAAGTCCGACCTAGACTTACCGAGAGAATCGTCTTGCTCCCATTAATCTCAAACTGGGTCTTCGGGTCAGTGACACCGATGCTGTCCATCACCAAAGCAAAGTAGTAACTCGTCAGTCCGTTGCCACTCCACTGGGAGAACAGTCCGAGCACAATCACCAGCAGGAGCCTATATCTGTTTCCCTTTGTTCGGAAGAAATCCAGGAAACCGCTAGTCTTCTTGAACTCGTACTCGAGACGGAGCGTCTCTCGAATCTCCAGAAACTCAAACTGGACAACGGCATTTGTCTCGTCCCCGTTGGCGTGGTATTTTGCCAGGATCGCCAGCGCCTCGGAGTCGCGCTCTTTTGACAGGAGCCAACGTGGAGACTCTGGGACGACCCAGATGAAGAGGAACAGCAGAAGGGTGGGCAGGGCCTGGAATAGGGACGGGATCCTCCATGACCAGTTGTTCTTGATGTTGAACGTGCCAAAGGTTATCCAAGTTGCAGCGATTGAACCGATATCCCAGAGCTGGTTGTACACAGTTGTGACCCTCCCTCGGTGCTGCGGGTGGCAAAGCTCGGTGAGGAGAAGCGGCGCCGAATTAGAGCATATGCTATTACCGAACCCAACGAAGAACCTAGCTGCGACGAACACTATCAAGGGTAAAAGGGTGTTGTTAGATCCTTCCTTCCAAATATTCATATGCTGCCTGCAAGGGCGGAAAGCCATACTGGAGAAATTCTGGGATGCCGTTTGAACGGCAACTCCGACGAAGAGGAGGAGGCATCCGGTAATGATTGCAATCCGACGGCCAAAATAGTCCGCGATATAAGGGCTGCATCGGAGTAAGCACATGCAAGGGGTGAATAGGGGGCCACCCACGTACGCAAAAGGCAGGCCAGCAAGACTACCAATGCTGTAGATCGATCCGTATAAGCCGAGCAAGGCTCCTCTCGGATGATGAAAGTAATCTTGCCAAACAGTCAAAATCTGAAGGCCGTTAAGCATCGACCTGTACGAAAAAGACAAAGTCAGCACCAGATCCAGCAAACATGGATTATCAAAGGCAGTACCCGTCGTAACCCGTCGTGGCAGAAGCCAAGCAGAGTGCCATCGTTAAAGCATATAGCTTCCTCAAGCCTGGATCTTTGTACCATATCACCCGACGGAGATGAGGTGCTTCAGCAGTAGCAACCTCCCTCTCCGCCTCTCGCATCGGCCGGAAGTGAAGGCCGACCATCGTACCAAGAGTTGACCAAGTTAAGAGTAGAATCCAACGAGTTTCGTGTCAAGAGCCGTGATGCTTGGAACAGCGCAGCCAGGGCAACGAACGAGGAGGCCATGGTCTATGGATATATAATTACGTTACATAGTAATTATTCTACATCTTGTGTGTTTGAATATGCCGATCTGTGCTGTCAACAGAACCCCCGGCTACAGGCATCATGAAATTCCACCAGAACCAGGTTTGCAGTTGAGACCATCAGTGGTAGTGCACACTACTTGCTTCTTTATTGGGCCATGCCGCATATCACCCGATTTCAACCGCAGTCGAGGTTAGGAACCTCTGCACTACCCCATATTCCCCACACTTCACCCCGCAAGCTTGATTCAACGCCAGTCATGATAAGCCTCCTCGCATGAAGCTTAGCACGAGTTAAGCGAAGATCGACATGGGGACTCAAAACTGTCGGATATAAGACAGCGATACGGGCAGCTATCAAGGCGGAACTACCGAAAGGTCGGGGTCAGGGTCAGGTCAGGCGAGGAGGCCCCCGCTGTCTGGATCACCAGGGTAAACCACTGGGAAGAGGAGATATCACGAGAGGATGAGGCGCTAAGTTGCGGGGATGGGAACGTGGTATTCTTAACCGGGGGAAGTGCGAGACGCGGTAATGGCGGCGCGGAAGGGTCGCGCCCGACGAAGGGAGTAAGTCCCCCTCGCCGGCGCAACATCGCACCGGCCCAAAGCTCTCCTCCAGGTCTTCCTGGGCCTCGTGACAGCCTCGGTGTCCAATTTATCTACCCCCTCGAGGTAATTACGTTTCCATCGGAGACCTCCAACTGCTCGTCGACCAAGCTGAACACCGTCATCTATCTAGACAGAAGAAGGCGGAATAATCCATAGCCTCCCCTAATTACTTCAACCTCGCCTTCGTCTCGTTCGCCAGAACCTCCAACTCCGACAGACACTGGTCCCAAGAATTCGCGCACCATCAACATCATCCTGATGCATCACGCCATGGAACAGGAACGCGACCGTGGACAATTTCCACAGCTGCAACTCCCTTGTCCTCCTGCTCCTGACAACAATCAAGAAGACGAATAATACCGAGGAGACCTGCACGACGGCGGGAAGAATCAGCCACTCCCATCGAACCTGGACGAATACCACCTGATCCATGCTCAGCCCCCGGGCTGTGACGTTGTAACTCGACCGGAGCTGATCCGTCATGCTCCTAGCCATGTTTTGGAACGTCTGTGAAATATCGCCGCTGCGAAACACATCTGCGACCCCTTGTGGCGGAGATGGTGGCTCTTCTCCATCGTATATGCTGCCGTTGAAACGGTCCGAGACGAACAGCAGATTCAGGGCACTGACATCTTGGACGGAGGCTTTCAGGACGGATAACCCACTTTGGTTGAACACTATGTCGAGAGAGGGGGTTGGTGCCGTATCCGACAAGTTCCACGTTGCAACTCCAGGGTTGAGAGGGATCAACTCTTGCTTGGCGATGGTGAGGTTACTGCCGGATGCGGATATACCGGAATAGCTGTATGCTGCTAGGCTGACTTTGCATTCAACGATTTCCATCTTGCTATACTGGATAAACCAACTTGTCCAATCGCTCGGCACTCTCAGCACCGTGATACGGGCAATGTTGGCGGGAATCAAGGCGCCGTGTTGGATGAGATCGTTGGGATTGGGATCCGATCCTCTCCCAGGATATACGGCGCTCAGGAGGGAGGCACTGCCGAGACTGACAACCGTCTGCCATGAAGTAGGCAAATAGGTTGCTCCAAGAGTAATTCCTCCCGGGGTTTAAATGTTGGAGCCAGTTCCGTGGGACCCATTCCATAATGACGGGCTTATGCCCAGTAGAGTGGCATTCGTAACGTCTGCACAAGCGCTGACAAAACCAAGTGATAGGTAAGTCCCGTTCCAGATGCACGTCGAAGCGCAGTTGAATGCGGAAGGGGGGGGTCAATGTCAAACAAGCCTCTGTAGATGGCCCCTTGCATCGACTTGTCGGCAGTTGAGGCTGGCAGGCAAACATGTTAGAAAAGATGACACACACACACACACACCTCTCTCTCTTTTCCATTTGTCTTCCCCATTGAACGAGAACATAATTACCTTCAACTTGAAAATTGACACCAACCCCGTCTATAGATCGTGCGCTAGCTCTGTATCTATGGGCGAGGCCGAATGATGCTCTACCATCATCGACAGCGACAGTAAACGGCGTGAACCTGATGATCTATTGGATAAAGACATCGAGACCCAAAGCGAGTATAGTAGCCGCGCGCACCAATGCTCGCGAGTTCCCTTGGCCTCGTCGCAAGAAGCCTCAGGGACCCAACAGGGCCGCGGCTCGCTTCCTCGAAAAGGTCAAAATCGCCCAGGGTGCGCGCGGCCATCTTGAAGTACAGCCACTTATACTGGCTTATGCAGGCAGCCACGCCAAAGCCCGCCGTCGATTTGGCCGCTGTGCTGGAAATGGAGATGGTTGCTGGGAGACTGAGGGAAAATGTCCACTCGGATAGTGGATGGTCTTTCATCTTCACCAGGATGGTGACGATGCTGGTCATGCAGCCGAGGCTGACTGTAATGGCCAGTATTTCCCACGACCATCCCAATAATACTGCAGTGTTTGTCTTCATGGTGCCTCGGATTTCTGATCAAAGTTCGTCCCGTGGTTGAAGTATGGAGAACGAAGGTCGTCGATGCAATTGGTGCGCTGCCCGGACGGGGCGCTCGACAATCGTTTTATCATGAGGATGGGAGGGGAAGCATTGCAATAAATGTGCCAATGCTTCGGGTGGTGCGAGTGCCTAGCCATCCCCAACACTACTCCTGCAAGCCATATCTGCACAACTCCCTGTTGTGCTCGCCAACGAGTGGGTCGGGTGGAAAAAGGGGGCACTGGCCCTCAGGCTTCAACATTCGAAGCCCCTGTCGGAAGACTTCCAATGAGCTTGGGCGCAAGCCACCAAAGTCTGTGCGACTTCCCTGGCATGGCATTAGAGCTACTGTGCCACAACGAATATAGAAGCAGTAGCTGTATGTTGGTTTAGATAATAAGATGTGTGTTTCAGCTTTGGTCGCACAACAGTTTATCGCACAAACAATACTACCCTCCTGCCAAGCGTGCAACAGTCGAACCTAGTGTAGTGGTGACATGGAAAATCTTAGCATTAAACCCGCCAGTCCGTAAGGGGAGGAATGTGTTAGGATTACACGGGACGGGCATAACTTCTAACACCGTATATTGTACTCAAAAATCGGTTAAACCTTCATACACTAAACTGGCAGTCGTAGAAGTTTATAAAATACCCCTATAACGAGCGTTTAGAAAGGTAAATATCATAACAGGAACCTTAACACTCTCGCAACAGCAACATCTCGACAGCGAACAGCCCACGAACCCAACCCCAGCAGGTTTCCCTCCCGGAAAAGGGCCCCCCAGCCTGCTCCTGTCCCGCGACCCTCTCACTCTCCGTCCGCAGGCGGATCGTCCGCAGGCGGAGTCTCGGCAGGCGGAGTCTCGGCCGGCGGAGTCTCGGCAGGCGGAGTCTCGGCCGGCGGAGTCTCGGCAGGCGGAGTCACGGCGGGCGGAGCAGCAGCAGCCGTGGTGCTGCACTCGTAGCGCGTCGACGTCGTCTCGCTGGCCGTGACCGTCACCCTGGTGTACTCGACCCTCGTCCGGTGGACCGTCGTGGTCACGGGCTCATTAGCCGTGGGTTCGACAGCAGTGGCGGTCGGGGCCGGGGGCGCGGCGGCGTCGTCGTCGCCGTCGCCGCCGTCCTCTTGCCTCTTGGGCACGGCCGGTGGCTCGGTCCTGGTGGGTGCTGCAGGTGGGGATGTACGGCCGGGGCCGCCCGCACCGCCACCGCCACCGCCACCTCGGCCGCCGCCGCCGAACCCGCCGCCGCCGAACCCGCCGCCGCCGAACCCACCGCCTCCGAATCCGCCTCCGAATCCGCCTCCGAGAGGACAGTCAATGGTGGTGACGGCCACAGCGGTGGACAGGTACGTGGTCTGCGTGTACGAAATGGTGGTCGTGGCATCAGTGGTGAGCACATAGGCAATCGTCGCGCTGCATTGGTAGCTGAGGCGGGTCTGAGGCTCCGTCTGAGTCACGGTGACAGCCGCCACGACTGTCCTGGTCCGTGCCGGGAGCTCCGTCGTCGCGGTCACTGTGACCGCTGTGGGCTTGGCGGGGGGCGCCTCGGTGGGTGTCTCGGTGGGCGCCTCGGTGGCCGTGGGGGTGGCCGTGTCGGTGTCGGAATCTTGACGGCGAAGGATGGGGATGGGGGCCGCGTCTCCAGAGTCGTCGCCAGAGTCGTCATCGGCTGGCGGAGGAGGCGTCTCAGCCGCCGGAGGAGGCGTCTCCGCTGACGGAGGAGGTGTCGCCGGCGCCGGAGGAAGAGCAGCAGGGACTGATGCGAGAACGGTGCGGGTGCAGTTGATGTTGGAGACGACGGTGGTGGTGGTTGTGTAGACACTTCTTGTGGTGGTCCGCGTGACGTCCACGACGGCGGGCGTCTTCCTGACTGTCACGGTCACGGTCGATGGTTCGTCATCCTGGCGTGCATGCAGTGGGGAGGCCACGGCAGTGTATGCCAGCGCAAATAGGCACACTGTTTTTAGGAGAGCCATCTCGAGCTTTGGCTTGCAGCTTGATTCTTACAAAGTCTCAATTCACACGCCTTCCAACACGGAGGGGAGCTTTTCCCGTGCAAAGGGGTCATAATATATATACCCCTCGTTCGTACGTCCAGGGGAAACTTTGACATGATGGCATACACGTATCGCAGCTCGGCAGTCACTTAGACCAAAGCTGACCGACACGGCAAAAGGACGGGAAGGAGAATTGGAAGGAAGTCGGGAAAGCTTGTTCCCGTCATCACTGACGTGATAATCGACAATCTATTCCAGCGAATAGTATGTCGACAGCAAATTGTAAGTGAAGTTGCCAACCTAGGTAGCCTGATAGCTCGGAGATCCTCTCACAAACACGGTGGGGGGGGAGGATATACCGGGTCGATAATAAATGTCGTTTTTATCAACCCCGACAATTAATTGAAACATCCCCCCAAGCACGGCACTCATTGTCCAATACCGATCGATGTAACCACCCAACCTTAGCCGGAATAAAATCAACCTACACCCGAGCAAGGTCTATGACGAATCTGTGAGACCTTCTATGCAGCGGCTGGAATACCGACAATAGGCTTTTTGTTAGGAGTTAAATCCACGAGGCTTACTATATAGCCCCGACTGGATTGCTCTGGCACCAGGTTGAGTCAATAATGCTCGATTCTTCCAGAGCAACGTTAAAACTCCGACTAAGCTGACGCAAGTCTGACCACGTCTGAGTCTATGACGATGGCTTGGGGGAGAAGTCGATGAGCCGATATCGAACCATGATATTAATTGCTCTGCTTTACCGCCCCGCGAGATGTGATGTCAAGACATCATCGCAAGCCACTCCTGCACGCTATGATATTGCCGGTGCGGGGTTGACTGTCTACCACGATGGCCATGGAATGCCATGGAAAACACACTCCCAGGAGACAGCAATCCGTCACCCCTTTTGTCCATGAGTGATTATCCACCCGAGATTGTTCAAGTTGTCATAGTCCCCGGTCTGTAATGGGTCAGGTCAGTGTGGCCCCCACTCGATTGACCGTGGTAATTCATCCTAATTGGCGGTGAGAGAAACTGACGACGGTAGCGTATGGGCAGAGGAGTGGCGGGTGTCTAGATGCGAGCTGTGGCAACATGCTCGTTGCAATATATCCCACCATTCCTTTCCCAAGGCTTTACCAAGCAAGCTGCTCGGTTAGAGCCCCTCCGTACACCCTCCCTAGGTCTAGGCATATGTCACATAACCCTATTGCAAGACGAATCAGTCCCATGGGCATGCAAGATTCGAAAGGGGGGGTAAAAGGGGGGTGGCATACAACTAAGAGTCGTGCCAGACGCCAGACATTGAGACTTGCGAATGGCACCAGGATATGAAAAGGGGGACGGAGCCCCTGTCGGAAGATTTCCGGGATGCAAGCCATCTTGGAGCGCAGCCGGGAGTCTTTCCAACATGCTTATTCCTACAAGGGCCGGCCCCACAATCGGAGGGCCTTGAGACTCCACCCGGAGCCGGAAGAGAAGGTGTTGCTACTTGCTTCAGGTCGTCAGTTCCGCGGAGAAAATGGAGGCTTGGCAGCAATCTGTGCCGGAGAATTGGATGGAGTGCCCTGTCTCATATATAGTGGTTGTGCCTGAGTTGCGGGGTGACAGCTGCAGGAAGTATTTAGGCTGCCGGGGGTGGATGTTAGGAAAAGGCGTGGTCGTGGGGTATAGTGAATCACATGGGTTGATTAGATCCTGATGTTTTATTCGCGCGGTTACAAGAAGGGGTTATGAGGTGCTTGGGAGAACAGAACTTGAGCGCGTACGAAACGTGAATCGGCGACTTGAGTAGAGAGGAGAAGTCATTTGTTCCCCTGAACAGCTCGCCCTAATGCTAGTGGAAATTGGAAAGACTACACTCAGCGCTACGAGATATTTCCCGTCGTGCTGGCAAATCGTAATATATTTCCAGTTGAGACGATGAATACGACTTGCTCCGCAGTCGAGCTCGGAGGATAAACCAGTGCCCTCGCATAGAATTACGTATTCTGGGCCAGAACACGGGGGCAATGATTAAGGAGCGCAAGCATCGGGAGCCCTATTCGGGGTTGCATGCAAGGCTTCAATGGAACTGGGTGGCAATGATGATCTATCTCCCATGTCCAATTTCCCCTGTGATTCGGTGCCCAAGAGTTGGCCCGCATATGGTTGAGGCTTAAAATTGCGCCATCGCAGGGGCGTCTTCCGTCATCACCTCGGGGCTCAATGTCGTCGTTCACTCTCCAAAAATCAACCCCGTTACACTGCAATCAACCTTCCAAGCAATCCCCAGCTCACGAAATCATCCTCCAATTAGCCCAGCACACCAGGGCGATCGATGCGAAGATCCCCAACCACACGAGCGCGGTCTTCACCATGATCTTCCGTGCGAGAGCATTGACTGCGTCCTTGTCGTTGACCCGCGGGAACGGCTTATTGGGGACCGGCTTATCCAGCATCTTGCACAGCGGAGCCCATCCATCCTTGAGTTCCATGACGAGGAGCTTGTCTCCGGGTACTACGTCTCGGAGGTACTTGTGGTGACGCTCGAGGAGCTCTTCGCTACCAATTAGCAACGACGGATCTGGCGTTTGCACGTCTAATAAAGCGGGAGCAGATTACTCACCAGGACCGTAGACGTCGTTTCCGGGAATCTCGGGGGATCTGGTAACAGCAGTCCTGGATCAGCGGCCAATGCGGCATGGCCTCCCCGGAGAGGTACTATTAGCTTGCTCACCTCTGGATCATGCATTCTATTGCGACAGGGAACCAGCGCCAGCCTGGCATGGGCATGAGGAAGTAATACAGCCACTTCGGGGTGGCATTCTGGACGACGGTCCCCAAGCTGGCCCACCATTTCACGGGGTCGCGATTGACGTCGACGACCCTGGCATCCGGGTACAGCTCCATGAGCTCGGGGATGAAATGGTTCCCCGGCACGTCGGCGATGGCGACGAAGCCGCGGGTGACCTCGCGCAACAGCTTCATCAGTTGGGGTTTGTCGTGGCGGTGTCTGTACACGTCGATCCACTTCTTGACGTATTCTGGCGACACGGCAACCCCGGCGCGTCAGTTCTGCAATTGCGGAACACCATAAACGACAGTGGCTCCGACTTACCGTCTTCACGGCCGAGGAGTTGGGTGCCTCCGTGGCACACGGGACCGCCAAGGAGCTCCTCGAGGGCGAGGCTCATGGACACGGTTCCCGTTCTGGAGTAGCCAGCGCTGATCACTTGGATATCGCGGCTGGGATCAGTCGGGACCGACGGAACTCCACCCATCTTGACTGGCACTGGAGAGCGCTGGCCTCGCGACGGCGGCAAGTGGTCGATTGATACGGGTTGGAGAGGCTGGTCGAGAGAGTTGATGCACTTGTTCGCGTTGTCGTGGCGGGCTGCCTGCCATCAGGCGCCAAGGCCTGCATGCTTACTGTTTACCATCGGCGGCCCGAGCCCCCAGCGGTTAGGGTGGCATCCTTCCCCCCGTCTGCATGAATTGTGACCTGACCAGTCGTTCGTCCGGACCACCGTTTCTTCTTCACATGGAGAAAGGTGTATATATGGTTTGCCCGCGGGCTTTGACAACAGCGGAGATATATTATTCGAAGCCGGTCGAAATTTGTAATTGTTGTGCGGTCTCATTGCATCAGAACACGAGCATAATTTTGTCACAAATATCAGTCGGGATGTGTGTCCAAGCAGCTGATCTCGGTGCTCAGTTTCTAGCTGATAGCTTTGTGACATTTTCAGCTAGGTACTTGTGTTACTTTCATCTTCTATCAATCAAACTCTGGCCGTTTCTTGCAAAACATGTGGGATTATCAGTTCCATCTAATGCTCCTGGGAGAATCAACATTTCGAGAAGTCTGCCTGGCTTGCGAACTATTACTGGTACGGGCTGAAAAAAAAAGCTTGTTTGTGGCACAAACCAGCACTGCCACTTCTTACCTAATTGGGCTTAGCGAGAATTTTGAAACTTACAAATTTCTTCAACAATCGTAAAGGTTAGAATATTTTGACGAATCACACCAGAAGCTTCCATGTTTGCTGAGCTGCAAGCACAACGCACTTTCCGTAGGTATGATGAGAATCACCCAGCAAAGGAAGGAGGGGTGGGGCGAATTGCAGGGTCAAGCATCCACAGGGGTACAGCTGACCAATGATCGTTACCCCCAATGCCTACCAGCTTCAAGGCTGAAGCACCAAGAAGCCAGCCTTGTACGTATAGAATACGGCCCATCACATCTCATCACAGCGGGCAAGTGACACAGGGCCCACACTGATATACCTGGGTACATCGGGGAGACTTCTTCCCGTTTGAATGGACAATAATTTTTTCTTCCAACCTTCCATGTCAAGTGCGAGGCGTTTCCTTTGCCAACGGGACCAGGACCAAGGCAGGACAGGAGGGCAATATGCCAGGCCCAAGACGCGAGGCCCGGTCTTCGGGCACGAGAATAACAGCTCAAGTCACAAGAATCCAGCGAGAGCTCGAAGAGCTCATTTCGAAGCTGGCCGATGACGAACGGGCTGCGCTGACTGCCTACGAGCGGGAGACGCCAGCTCTTCAGGGTCAAGTCCGCAGCAACGAGCAGAAGATGCAGCAACTGCGACGCGAGAACAAAACAGCCCAGGATACCATCACACAACTTCGGGGCGCCTGGGAGGCTGCCAGAGAGGAGAGGCGTAGGGTGCAGGGCATGTTTGGGCGTGCCCGTGAGAATACTGTACGTCCTGTCCTGACCTCACCTCGCCTCGCCTTTACTTGATTTGATCCCTTTGGGTCGGACAGCTTCTGACAGCGGGGACAGATCCCACCAGAAATGCTGCCGCCATTGACAGCCGCAGGCATCGCGGACGCCGGACCCGCTACATCTCAGCAGCGAGACGAGGAGCCGCCCGTCACCCAGTCAGAGACCCGCCGATCGACGCGAGACCGAAGGGCGCCGCGACGTTTCTCCCTGAGTCCTACGCCCCACAAGCTACGAGTCCCATCTGCTTCTCCTCTTTGTCGGGGAACCCCAGCCGACAAACCAGCATCCGCCGCCGGAAAGGCAAGTTGTTCTATCCAGGCCAGGAGTTTAATCTTGTGGGCTAACTTTGTACATCAACAGAGGAAACGAGACGGCGATGATAAACCCGGGAGTGGTCAGCAAAAGCAAAAACGCAAGTTCGTCGCCCAAGCTGAGGAAGCTGAGTTGGCCTCTGCCGCCCAGAAACAGCCCAACGGAGTTAAAGGTAAACAAGTCAAGACCATCAACTTCAACGAAGTTTTCCAGGACGGTAATGCCGAGTACAAGCACCGGATCATAGAGTATCCCGTGTATAGCGGGCACTGGTATATTCTCCGGTGCGATGAGCACTATATGCATTTCGGCCATTCCACCTTGCTCATCCAGGCCTTCAGGCATCTGCACAGCAAGTCGCATGGCTCACAGCCCCAGGGGACGGCAACCGCCGTCCGAGAGCTTGGCATTTGCGTACAAAATTGCGATGCATCCAAGGCTGCTCAAAACAATGCTGCCTTTGCCGCCGCACTGAAACGCGGATATAAAGTGCTCAAGGGCAAGCCTTCACTGAAGGAATTTGTTTCTCGCCGCAGACCAGCCGCCGCCCTACGAGTGACACACGAAAGGGGCAGGAGCGGCGATGATGATAACTCAGAAGGCGAGGAGGCAGCCACCCAACGGATCCGGTCAAGATCTAGGCCCTTCAACGGGATCACCAATCCTGTTGCGGGTGAGCTGTACCTCGGACGCTGGCGATCGCGGTGGCACGCTGCCATCATGCTACCCATCGGCAACCTCGAGACTGTGGGCATCAGCGGGTCGATTTACGATACGCGTCTCATCAAGCGTCATATCCCCATGTGTTATGCCCGGGACAGTGCGCGGACAATCCTCGGGTACGCTGAGGGTTTCGAAGACGGTGGACCTGATGCCAAGAACCGGAGGTTTCCCGTCATGTACTTTGACGATGATCAGGACGTCACGTACTCGGACGACGATCAGCACATGTCCCTAGAAAGTGGCCTCGTTGTCCCACCTTCGGACTCTCTGGCCTGGATCCGAGCCAGCCTACTCCGACCATTCAGCGCATATGACCCCAACAACCTGCCCCCCCGTGGCTACGATGTCGCGCTGGAATTTGCCCAGAGACGGGGCCCACTGAGTGCTGCGAAGTCGGTGCTCGCAGATGTCTCTGCCCATCCTCGAGATCCAACCACTGGTGAGTTTTTAATACAGTTGTCCAGAACACACAAGGTGATTAATTAGGAAACTTTACTGATGGTCGGGCAACAATCGCCAGGTGAGACCCATCAGGCGGAGTCGTCAATCTCTCACGAGAAGGGCAAAACGTCGAATATCGACCCTGCCACCCTTGGCAGAACGGATAAAGAGGGCACCGCGACAGCAGCTGTTGGAGAGGGCTCACGACCGACATCCTCGGGACCCAGAATTGCATGGGGGATAGCCAACAGGAGCTTTGCCAACCAATCTTGGGAGGAGGACATGGCCGACGCCTCCGAAGATCCGTGCGACGACGCCGAGTCTGGCAGCGATTCGGATGATGAATCTGGTTCCGAGTATAGTAACCACGCATCCGACCCCGAGAATCGAGCTCCCCAGAGCGATCAAGCTAACGTAGACACGTTAGAAACCCCAGAATTGCACCCCGAGTCCGACACCGAGCTCCCAGGAATGGCAGATTACACCGAACAACCCGATAATTCTGCAACCAGAGAGCACGTTCGAAGGTCCAAGAGCGTGGATGTGAGTTTCGATTTTGCACCGAACTTCCACATGGTCCTGGGCACAGATCATTCGTCGCAGGATGGGGACACCACCGAGTCGGATACCGACAATCAGGCTCAAAAGATATCCAGGCAGACAGAAGGATCGCAGAACGCCCGCACCTCGCCGTCGCGCTCTATTGCCGACACCCTTCCCGTGGTGCGCGAGACACTGGCGGACGCCCATCTCTGGCTGGACACCTCTAGCGACGGAACATCAGAGAATGCGAACGCCCCGCCAAATTCCACAGAGCACGACGGGGCATCGCCCATCCAGCAACGATCCCCAGCCGAGAGCCCTCTCTTGGGGGAACCATCTCGCCCGGGCGTCGATGCCCAGAACATGGATCATGGCGACAGTCCTGCCGCCGATTCACAGGCGGGCTCTTTCTATTCGACGCAGCCGGGAGGGCAACCGGTGCGAGCTCCAACATGGGATGATATCAAGAACCGCTAACAGGCTGCAATAACGGGCGTATTGGACGAGGAGCTTCGAGTTTTTTTGCGAGAGAGTTTGCGTCATCGCTTGGTCATCATCAGGTGTGTGCTTGGACTTGTGCTGTATCAAATTATCGTGACGAAGATGTCGAGTTTGATTCATTATGTATCGTTCGTTACGAAGGTTACTCCCGTGGATTTCCAGGCGAGTGTTGACAAGGCCAAAGGGGCTTCATCTAGAAACTAACAATTGCTACTGTGCAAAGCCAACACTGGCAATGCCTCTCGACGTCTAATTACAACCGGGTCACATATCTTATAACCCACTGAATGCTCCTGCGTTGAAGTATCCGCCCAGCCAATGAGACGGTCCATACACTGGTTAACCTACCGCGGTTGCACGAAACACTGATATTTCTATTCGGTGTCGTCCGTCTCTCTCAGATGGCGGAATCGGTGGGGCCAGATACCTTGTTTCCCTGGTGCCAAGATTCCATTGGGATCCAGTGCGTCCTGGGCAAGGGTCAGAAATGTCAGAGTCTTTTTCTTCTCTCATGGATGGGCAAACATACCTTGATCTTCTCCACAAACCTGTTGTAGGCATGATCGTTGAAATCGTTTAGGTTCGCAATGAGATCTAGTCAAACCCCCGACCCCCGTGGTTAGCCACACCGTACCCATTTCACAACCTCGGGCCGAAGTGAAAGAACAAAAGCTAGCTCACCCATATGGTTGACGTGCGCGCGATACATGCCGTAGCCGCGCTTCTTGGCCTCGCGGTAGAGGCCGTAGTACAGCTCGTGGACGCGCCTCCGCTGGACGGGGTCCTGCTGGTCGTAGGTGAACATGTTCATGAGCACGACGTGGCGCTCGTGCATGAAGAAGTCGCCCATCAGCTCGATCCCCGCGGCGTCGTAGATGGGCTGGCTGACGCGCATCCACTCGAGCAGCATCTTGCCCGACGACGGGATCACGGGCGCGTAGTCGCCGTGCGCCGCCTTGCCCGTGCTGCCCTTGGGCAGCGGCCAGTCGATCAGCGGCAGGCTCCACAGGCTGGGCACGCCCACGAACATGGTGCCGTGCTCGTCGGGCACCGTCGCCGCGTCGAGGCGCTCGCCGTCCTCGGCGGCGAAGAGCTTGCCCTTCAGCTCGCCCGTGGGGGCCTTCTTGGCGAGGATCTCCTGGATCTCGTCGAACTGGGCCTGGACCATCCGCTTGGACCCGTACAGGCCCCAGCGGGCGAGCCAGTGGCCGACGCCCATCTCGGTCTGCAGCTCCTTGATGCGCCACTGGGGGATGGGGCCCTCGCCCTTCCAGAAGTCTTCGCGGCGGCCGCTGATGCAGAGCGTCTCGATGACGCTGGTCATCCAGACGCAGTTGGGAACGACGCCGTTGCGGCGCATCTCGCCGAACTCGTCGACCATGACCTCGATGTCCTCAAACTCGGGCATCGAGAAGCTGCACGACATGTACGCCGCTGGCTGCGGGGTCATCCAGATGCTCAGCTTGGTCACCACGCCGAGGTTGCTCTGCAGGAACAGGCCCTCTACCGAGGGGCCGTACGTGAACTTGGACAGGAACGCCGACGGAGAGTTGGTGATGCCGAACTGGCCCGTCCGCACAAGGTCGCCGTCCGCGAGCATGACTTCGATCCCGGCCATGGCCTGGTGGTGCGAGAAGTTGGCGCCGAATCCCATGCCGCGGTCTAGGGTCTGCTCGGAGTTGTCAGCTATCGGAATGCCATTTGCGCAGAAAGGAGAGGGGGGAAGAGGGGCGGGGAACACACATTGCCCAGAACGCTACCCCATCCGAGCGAGGCTGTGCTAGGCCACACCTTGAGCTTGTTCTCGACGCAGTATCGGTAGAGGTCGATGAAGGTCACGCCGGGCTCGACGACGGCGTAGGCGTACTGGTCGTTGACCTCGATGATCTTGTTCATGCGATGCAGGTCCAATGCGACCGAGCCGTTAACCCGAGGGGCCGGCCCGCCATATCTGTGTTCGCAGGTCAGTTGATGGAGAATGTTGAAAGGGGCAGGACTCAAGTGCCGACTGACCCTAGATTTTTTCCCCTGGAGAAGGTCCATACAGGGATAGTATATTTGTTGGCGATGCGCAAAACCTCTTTAAGTTCATCAGTCGAGGCGGGGCTGCGTTATGGAGTGGTGAGCAGACGAAGACAAAAAAAGAAAGAGAGGGGGGGGGGGGGGGGGGGGGGATAAACAAAGGTGGGCGAGAACAACCACAAAGCGGCGCGGGGAAAATACCACTACCCCAAAACGGACAACCAAATGTGATATGGTTCGATATTG